CCCCCCCCCCCCCGCCTCGGGGGGGCGGCGCGCCCGTTTTTTTTGTTGTGTGTGCGCCGGCTTTGTGTGTTGTTGCCTGCAGGGATGCCGGCTCGGCGTGAACAGTCCGAAAATGGTGGGCATCCTTGATGTGGTATGGGGAGGGCGCCGCGGCCAGCTTGCTTCCCTCGGAATGTAGGGCAGGCAGCCCCGCCGGCCTTGCAGGCAACGAACGAACCAGGGGCGAAGCGCTTATGCGGGGCGACCGCTCGCCGGTTCGATGTATCGACTGCAATCAATCTTATTTGGCTTGCGTGGGACGGTTGGGAGTTTGGCCGTGGGCCGCTCTCTCGTGCGTGGCGCTCCTGCTTGCTCGCCCAGCGTCAGAGCCCAACCGAAAGTAGCTGACGTCGAGTGGGCGGCGAGGTCACTTGTTTACAGGTGTGTAGTGAAGCTGGTTGCCTTGTGTTCCTCTTCATTTTGTGAGGTGTATTTCTCATCTGGTAGGCGGCGGACTAAGAATCACACATGCAAAAATGTTCTTCGTTCGCAGGTGTGGTCCATCCGATGAGAGAACAGTCTGCTCCTATCAACAGCCGCATCGGTAGAAGTATGATTTTTTTTTGTCACAACGAACTTCATGATTTCTCAGTAGCTAGTACTTGCCTTGCATCAAAAATCTATCAGTATCTTCAGACCATAAGCATGCGCAAAAGTTACGGCACGTACGTAGGAGGTTCAGAGGACAACTCAGGCAAATCTGGCGCCTGCTTTTACTTCGGTGCATCTTGTTGTCGTGCCAGTTCGACGTATTATCCCGTTTCTAACGCCTCGGTACTAGCTCCTTATTGTTGACACTCTCTTTCGTTTTTCCTGCCAAACCCCATCAAATAGAAACAATGGCGGCAACCGCAACGTCCAACTCCACCTCGGCGAGCTCCTTTTTCGGTTCGTTCTTCGACGATTTCAGTCTCCTTCCCCCGGACTGGGAGCCGCGGCACAGTTTTCTCTCCGTGCACCCCAAGGAGATGCTGCAGGCGTTTGTGAACCTCGTGGACCCCCGGCAGGCGAAAAAGAAGCTCGAGAATCTGTTCATGGGAAACAACGGCCAGGACGGTGTGGTTTTTTTCGCTGTGGCCGTGGTGTTTTTCACCTTGCTGAGGCTCTACACGCGGCGGGTGCGGAACAAAATAGCCTCAGGCCTGGAGGCGGAGGGGGTAAAGAAGGAGTGAAGATGCGGTGGGTGGTTCCTTCTTGTTGCGACGAAAACCTTTTTTGAGCGGCTGTCTGGAGGTGTGTGTGTGTGTTTGTTCTTGCTGCTCAAAAAGAAGTAATCGCCTTCGTTGTGCGTCCCTGTACGGTCACAGGAAGAAATAAGTGCCTACAAATAGGACGGCGACAACTTCGGCAGCTTGATCGAGAGACAGATGAAGCAGAGGAGCGCAACATCATCAAGGTGCAGCCGGTTCTTCTTGGCGTGGTCTTCTACGTATTGCCTGTACTTCTGGGTGGAGGAAGAGAGTCCATTGCGGCGGAAAATCAAGCGGCCTGCAGTTTTGCGGACTAACGCAAGTCGTGCGCATCTCTTTCAGCATCACGCGGTGACGAGACAGATGTGAGACGAAGTGCTAATGATGAATTCAAATTCTTGCTGGGCGACGACCCGAAATGGACCCACTAAATCGTTGTTCTAGTGAATCGTTGTTCTTGCTTAAGTACAAGGAAGCGACGTCTTCAGTAGATTCAATGCGCTTTTGTCGTCCACATTGGTCGCTACATTGCACAGAATGAAACAGGGAAGATGAAGAACAAATTGGAATTGCGGACCGCTGCAGCTGCATTGCAGCGTGCTCCTCTGCATCGTCTGCAGGTTTTGTTGAAGCGCTAGCGGCAGTGCCGGCGTCAAGTACGACCATAAACGTATTTTTGTTCACCGTGATGGTTTCGCCTTTTCTTCTTTCCAAAGCGAAGCTTCTGGCTGAAATGGAAATCGAAGACACATCGAGGTATGTGCGAAAGTATGGATCCTCCAGAGTATCATCATCATGAGTCCTACTCGACCCTTATTTGGTTCTTGTACGACGCTCCTGTCAAGCTCAAGTATGTAAATTTACTCCGAAAGCGGGGGTCGTAGGGTCCGGGCCCATCCAGAACTTGCGCAGTACTTCGCCGCGGATGTTTCGCCTCTGGAATTTCAGAGCCTGTCAGGCACAAGATGGAGTGGCCTTGCGAAGCTAACAAGTGCTCCCAGTGTCGCACTCCGCGAAACGGAGCCGGGCTGCTGCACTGAGGTCGCCCCGGGGTCGGCCCCAAATGCTATGCGCCGCGCCAACATTTTGCGCCGGCAGAGGCTTCGGTGTGTCGGCGCCGCGCGCGCCTTCTCCTTGCTAGTTGCCCAAACCAGGCCGCGAAGACAGGCCGCAGGGACCGCCCGTTGGTGGCTTCAATTCCAGAGGCATTTCGTTGTCTCCTTGCACACTTGTGCACTTCGCGCAAATGAGCTGCTGTGGCAGCGCCATCGCGTAACGCACGTTACACGGCGGCTCTCTGTTTCACTTGTGCCTTCCCGGCCGTGTCAATAGTGCTCCCCGTGGCGGCCGCTTTAATTTCAGAGGCATGCCCTTGCCTGTATGCACGCTCGCGCACGTTGCAAAAAGCTTGCCACCGCCGTGCCATCGTGTAACGCACGTTCTTACACGACGGCCCTCTGCTCCGCCGCAGCCCCCTTCGCGTGTGGGGAGCTGTGTGCGAAAAGCCTTGCCGCTTTGGGTTGTAAGGAGGCGCCCTCGTCCTCTCCTCGTCTGGGTAAGGCGCCCGCCAGCTAGCCATAAGAGGGGCAAGGCGCTGCTGGCTCGCCTGCCGGGCTGCGTCTCTCACTCTTGGTAAGTGAGCAGCGGCCCTCGCCGTCGCCTTCGTGCCCTGGTTAGAGGAGGTGCGCCACTGTGCTCACCCTCGCTCGCTGCAAACAGGCGACGGCCCTTCTGTTTTGTTCCTGATGCGCCCCACCGAGAGGATTTCATTTTCTTGTGGCTTGTGCTGGTTATTTCCATTTGTTCTGCCGCTTCTGATCTGCCGCTCGGTGGGTGCTCTGCTTCTTTCAGAGCTGCGGTCGGATCTTGGCTTGGTCATCCGCAACTTCTTTGGAGATTCGGTGTGAAGCTTCGTCCGGAACTTTTTCCACGATTGTCTCAGAACTTGGTTCAGAACTTGCAAAAAACTTGTTTTGGAACTTGCAAAGTTTTTTTTTTGGGCTTTTCTTTTTTTCTCGTTCCGCGATGGGATAGCCAATTTTTCGCCTTTCTTTTTCGGTCTGCGAAGCGTTTTTCTGCAAGTTCCGAGACAAGTCTTCGGACAAGTTCCGAGACTAGGTCCGGAAAAAGTTCCGAAACAAGTGCCGCGGCAAATTTCTGAACAAGCCCCAGAGCAAGTAGCCCCGGAACAAGGCCCGGGGCAAAGCTCCTGCGTGTGCAGGGGCCCCGCGGGCAGGCTTCTGGGGCATTGGTTTCGGAACAAACTAGCTAGGCCCGTTACGTGGCCCATGAGGGTGGTCCGGGCCGTCGCGCCGGCAGGAGTGTGACGTCGGTCTGAGGTCTGACCTTCGCCACTGCCAGCGGGTCACGTCCTCTGGGAGGGGGCGGTGCTCTGGTGTGATCCGGTTAGAAGGCCTCGCAGCTTTAAAGGGCGGCCGTCGGACCGCCCAGGGGCGGGGCTTCCGGGACTCTGAAGAAAGGGCAACGGGGTTTCATGGCGTCGGAGGCAGCCTGGGTGCTGGCTCGGCGCAGCCAAGCAAGCTTGTCTCCCCCGCGGCGCCCGGTGTGGATGTGCCGGCCCCTGTCGTCGGGTGGGCCCGCGGAGACTGTTTCTATTTTGTTGTCATTGCGCGCGCGCCCGAAGCGCTTTGTTTTAGAGGCCGTACGATTAATGGACCCCCTTTTCGGTACCGAAAAGGGGGGGGTAGGTGCGGTCGGTCATCTGGCCGCGTCCAAAAATGGTCGCGTCCCTCCGGACCCGACCGATTTTCGGAATTTAAAAATCGAAAACGCAAACGCGTAACTCCCCCAACCCGGCGAAATAAGTTCTGTTTTGTTTTCTGTGGTTTCTCAGCGGTTATAATCTCTGCTGCTGCGGTTCCTGCAGCGGCGTGGCTGGAAGTAGAACAGAACGAAACAGAACAACATAAGTTTCGTGGAGCGCACACAGCGCGCGCGTGGATTGGCTTATGTTTGCAACAACGCAAGAAGCATCAGGCGCACGCCGTGCGCGCGCAAACTGAAAAAAAAAAAATGCCGCGCGCGCCGCGTGCGCGCGGCGAAGAGCATGCGTCGTGCATGGCTATGTCAGGACGCTGCGAAGCATTTGCACACAGCTGGAGCTGGCTTCGTGCAGTTCGATGCACTTCTACTTCAGCAGGCCCACTGCAAATAATAAAGAAAGAAGCAGCCGCAGCACAAAGAAAGAGCCTTCGAGTAATTTACTAGGGCCTTAGAGCCTATAGACAGCAGTAAAAAGACAACTCTAGAAAAAAAAGGGCCCGCACAGCAGGGCAGATCGGGCTTCGTGCTGTTGAATGAAGTAAATACTTTGAAAAGAAAAAGGCGCTCCCCCACGGCAAGAAAGACACTTTTAGTCGTGCAGAACTATGCTCCAAGCTTGCAAAGATATCGGCTCGCCCCCGTGGTTGAAGTGGCCACCTCAACTTTTCCACAAATGGAAAGAATTGAGATGGTCGCTTCAACAGCCCGAGGTCGGTTGGGGTTGTGCAGTCCTGCGCTACAAATTGCTGCCTCCTCGTGATCTACTGCGCGGCAGTTTTTTTTGTGCAATGCACCGAGCTGCTTCGCAGTAGAAGAAGCGTCGCAATGATGTGCTGTTGCGCAGTGTCTCTGTTTTTGAGGAGAGGCGCTTTTTAGTGGATCATCTACGAACTGCGCCGAACCTACTGCGAAGCAGCTCTTTTGTCTGCGCGGTAGATCCAAGGCCTACGTCTGAAACTAGGCGGCACCGGCACCGCTATCAAGTTGCAGATGATTTACTCCGAGGCAGCTGCGCTGCTGCTTTCTGAAAGACAGCCGAGCCCTCTGTCTTGGGAGAGCAGCCACAGTAGCCGGCTTTATTTTGAGAACCAGAAAGCGCGTCGCTTTGCTTGCCCTGTGGCGAAAGGAACAACGCCTGGGCCTGCAGCTGCTCTAAAAAAAAGAAAAAACGAAAAATCTCGGCCATAGCATCGGCGCTGTGTTGTACTTATAATTTGCGCGCTTGCTATTATAGTTCGCCCTGCAGACGAATCTGGGCGCCGCCTGTTGCTGTGTTTTTCGAAAGGCGTGAAGCACACCGCTCCGCCGTGATTCAGATTCGCAATAGCTTTCGCGACAAACAGTCCCCGGATTTCGAAAAGGGGGGCGTAGGGGGGTAAGCTCGGTCAGAATCGCGCTTCTACCCCCCTTTTCGGTATCGAAAAGGGGGTCGATTAATCATACAGCCTCTTATCACATTCCAGCAAACGAAGCCGCGCGCCATCGTGTAACGCGCGTTACACGGCGGCGCTGTCGTTTCGTTCTGTCGCCTGCTGCGCAGCTGTGGCATGCTTCCGGCTCCTGTAGACGCATTGTTTCACCACAGAGCGACACTCGCTCTCGCGTCCCCCCTCTGGCGCAACACCTCAAAGAAAGGCCTCCCTTCATGTCGTGCCGACAGCCGCGAGCACGGGCGCCCGCGCGGCTATAGGGGAAGCATGCTGCATCGCGCCCATCTTCGCTTGGTGTGCAAGCGTGTTGCCGTAGCGTTTGGTCGTCGCTGGGGTGGTTCGTCTCGGTGGGCTGCTGCCTCGCACCAACATGCAGCCAGCAACCACCTGAGCAGAATAAACCAGTGGAAGGCTCCTCCTACTGGGGCTGGGCCCTCGTTGCCTGGCACCCCGGCGCCCTCTCGTATTGCCCCATCCGGGAATCGGCCCGACAAGTTCTGGGCAAGTTCTGTGCGAGTTCAGCGCCGCATACATCTAGACCCATGCTTTCGGAGTAAATGTAAATGTATTTCTTCTAGACCTCGCGCTGCTTGGCAGGGTGAAGAAGGTACTAACTTGGCATAGAGCTCCAGCTCCTGTACGTATTTTTTGTATTGTTTGATGATCGGCAAGAATGCCAATGTATGTAGGCTACATCATCATGGTCGTGTAGATCTTTAGCTTTATCTTCCTGCGCTGGTCTGTCTAGTTTCCGTGCTGGTCATGAGGACCAATAGAAGGCGATCTCTACTAATCTGCAAGTTGCTTTGAACATACTTACATCTTCACACAAACTACCGCCCTTTGGATCTCTCTTAACTCTTTAGTCATTCTTGAAGATGAAGTTGTCGGAAGGGAACTACACGAAGATCTCAAGTTGCTTCATCTTAACAGTAAAACATATAACATTACCGCGTTAGCGCTAGAGGAAGGTTAACTGTTCTCATATAGAAGAGTATGTGACACCTTCGTCCAAGGAGATCCGAAAGATTGGCTGAAGTCTAGCCCTTTAGCCATAGATTATAGGACACCGAAGTTGCTGTGCTAGTGTACTTGTACTTCAACTCATCAGCCACAACATCGTGAAAGAAAAGTCAGACTCAACACGAACAGAAAAACCGACAGTCTCGCTCTCGTTCATTTATGAAAATGTGATGAAGACTCCTACAGGTAGTAGTGAACGCATCGACGTCAACATACGAAAAGATTGGTCGGCGAGAATTGAAATTGTTATCCGTACAACGCACACACTTACGCATTGTCAAAATATTTATTTTCCTAGTAGTCAAGTACGTAGCTAATATACACTTACCATACACTCTCATACACCACTCACACATCCAATCGATAAGAACCGTTTTTGGATAGCCATCAATTCTTCACACGTAAATACAAGTAACAAGAAGAAATATCTACCATTACCAACATACTACAGCACAGCTCCTGACCGATCGTAGAGAAATAGCGTCGCACAACTTCCGAAAAGTAGAGAAAGAAAAAGCAAACATACTTTTTTATCTGGAGCGAGGAGCAGGTATTTTTACCAACCATACCCATAGGCTGTGGAGCTTCTTGCCCCTCGACACCACGGGCAGCTTCTTGAAGAGGATGTCCAGCCCTCTACAAAATATTTGGGCGATCGAGCCGTTGCCGTCACCCCCACGCTCAGGGTAATAAAAGAAGAACTATCATCTTCATTTTTCCAAATTCGCCTTGGCCTGGGCCTCCCTCTCCCTCGTCGCGAAATTTTGGTGTTGCCTTTTTGTGTTTTCCACTGGTATCAACTTTTGGTTTTGCCATTCCAATCTTGTTTTACTCCAATCTCTATAATCCGCAACAACGGAAATCCTTATCCTACTGATACTTCTTCACTACTCATGCTCGTTGCGCGGAACTATAGCAACACATAGGTACTGCAGCCATACTTAAGTAGCTGAAAGAACGACCGTAAGCAATACTACTAAGTATTTTCCAATTGGAGTCTCCGAGATTTCATCTCCTTCTCCACCGTAGTTTGAGTAGTTTACTGATAAAATTAAAAATAGAGCGGAGTCTCCGTTTCTGAGTAGATCCTAAGATGAAGAAGCAACCGAAGAAACAGAACGCACTGCGGCATCGAATAAAATGAAGACGCACGACAAGTAAGGTCATCACCGCCACCGGAGGAACAACAATGTGTCGATGATGTAAAGTTGCTCGACGCGGCGGCCCAAAAATGCGTGACGAGGAGTGGAGTCGGAGGTCTACCACGAAAGGAGCCGCCCCTTTACTTTACTGATCGTTCTGGAAGGTCGACGTCACCATCTTTTCATTGCCGGTCACGAGGACCTCCGAGTTTGTTCGTACACGGCCGTCATGAAGAGCTACAACTTCTACATACAACAAGATCTTTTAAAAGTTTCATTTTCGAAATCGAAATCGATCCGGCGGGCCATGTTGAGGTCTGCTCTCCTCCACGAGTAAGACGCCGGCTTTGATGCTACATCAACTTCGAGCCACGCAGCTGGGACCACTATTTCTCTAGCGTGCTCTGAGTTCTTCATCTTCCTGCACGAGGACCTCGATGACTTTCTCCACTCCATCTCCAGGTGGTCGGGCGAGAAGCAGGCTGTCCTCTCCAGGCCGACAACCCACGATTAGCACTCCACCTCCGTGTAAAGACCGACTGGTGGACCACCACTACCATGATATCGACAGCACGCCCGTGGTTAAAATGTCAAGAACATCTTTGAGCGAGCGGGAGGCACAGACACAGTTTGAAGATCTTATGTACGACGAGGGCGGGACCGGGACAGCACGACCGGAGAAGAAACTAGAGCCGGTCGATAGCGATCGCGATGTTGGAGCCCGTCATCCGGATGAGCTCGCCCAGCGTCAAACAGAAGCAAGCGGCTGTGCGTTCGAACAGTCGGGTGATAATTTAGATACAGATTTTAATTGTGACTCACCACCTGCTCTCTGTGGTGCACGTGCTATTGCAAATAATCAGAACCCTGAGGAGGTGGAACAGCACTCCGCGACGTTCTTTTCAACGCGCGGAAATGGAATCGAAACTGGTTCTTGCCAGCAACAGCATCGTCAGGAAAATAGATCCCCTGACGAGCCGCAGCAGCAGGAGCTACCCCACGACCAGGAGGGGCAGCACCAGCAGCTCGACCATCATGATCGCGCACCACGTACTGCATCGATCGAAAACATGAAGCTTCTCAATCTCGAAGACACCGCTACTACGCACGTCCAACATCAGATGAACCTGCTCGCCCAACAAGGTCGTCATCATCCCGAGTCGTGTGAAGATAATCTGTTTCACCTCGGCGCGCATCAGATGAGTGACGGGACCACCAGCCTCCACCTCGAAGTGGAGTCCTGCATCACCACCACCCCCAGCCCCACCGCGGAGGAGGACACGGACTACTTGCTGTGCCGCTCTCACAGTATGACCAAAATGTGTCAGAGCCACCTCAGCGCGATTATGAGCCCGTCGCCCGCGAGTTGCAGTGCGAGAAGAATGGTAGAAGAAGAAGTCGAGGACGAGGAGGAGGTGGACCGCAATAATTGCGTCGCCGCGCCTGTAGTAGTTTTTCGTGGTGAGCAAGAGGATCATGATGGTTCTACAGAGAGGTCCTCTTCGTGCTGGAACGAGCAAAACATAAGCAAACCAAACCGACCGGAATCCCCGGTGGTGTACCCAGAACGCAGCTACAATCAGCAGACCAGCACAACCGGTACTAGATTTTTTTCGAAGATTTGATCGTCATGATGGAAATACTAAAAATGAATACTTTATTTTCAGCAGTTTTCTTTTTCACGAGGCACCTACTTACCAGGGCCGGGGACGAGACAGCACCGCTGGACCTAAGGAAGGACATCCCGGCAGCGATGGGTGCGGCGGGGATTACCCTAAACAAGACGAAGCCGAGGGACAGGAGGACGGTGCTGATGGATACAGAAGTAGGGAGAATAGTAATAAACACGCACGAAATTGGCCGGATTCAGGAAGCCCGTTTTCGGAGGAAGGAGCCAAGGGGTGGCGACCCGGTCGACGCAGCAGAGATCATGAAAATGATCAAAGCGGCCCCTAGCAAGCAGGTGAACTGGGGTCGAGGGGCATGGCAGCGCGCTCTTGGTGCAGTACACCTGAAGAGGTCGCCGGGCCTGAGTGGAATACGGCCAGAAGAGGTGAAAATCGTGCCCCCCAGTTATTGGGATCGTTGGACGGAGGAGCAGAAGCAGCTCTACAACAACATGGAGCCAATGCCCTTCGAAAAGTCAAACTTGATAATAGGAATCAACAAGACTTTGCAAGACGCAGGACTGGTCACGAACCTACGCCCTGTTGCTATCCCGGAGGGCTGTGACAAGGTTGGCGAGGGATTGCTGCTTGAAGAGCTGATGCCGATCGCGCAGCTGATTGACCACCAGAACGCCTACACACGGGGCCGCTCGTCCTGTGTCAGCCTCTACCGAGTAGTAAAGTTCATGCGGGCATGTGTGCCCGGCATGGTCCAAGCAGCAAGGAAGGCCGACGTAGAAGGCGGATTCGAAAATGTGCTCTACTCGCATCTCACGGCGAGAATGATCAAGCGAGGAGCGTCGAGGGAGTTGACGTTCCAGGTCTACACATGGCTCACGAACCGCACCCACGCCATATGTGTAGACGGCCAGATAGTGCGACGGTGGTCGCCCCAGGTGGGTATGGGGCAGGGCCCCAGGATCCCACCCCTGCTGTGGTGCATTTTCTTGGGAGAGCCAATCGAAAAATTGGACCCGAGAGTAATCACCTTCCGGCCCGAAGTTTTCGCGGACGACGTCCTTTTGTTGTTCTCCTTCCCCGCCGGGGAGTTCACAGCGAAGAAAGCAGAGGCAGAGGAGTACTTGCTCAAGTGGCAAGCGGAAACCGGGCTGGTCTTCGGGAAGGTCGGCTGGCTCAAAGCCACCAGCGGATCTACATCGGAGAGCGAGATGATGGAGTATCTCGGCTTCCTGCTCCAGTCCTGCGGCAAAACGCTGAAGGAACTGGAAAAGAGGCAGGTGCGGATCGCATCCGCGGCGAAGAAGCGGGACGCGGTCGAGAACAGCGCACGGACCCCGAGCGAGGACATCCAGTACTGGAACGAGAAGCGCCGGTCGCAATTGAGCTACGCAGCGGCGGCGCTGTTCCTTGGGGTCCAGGACAACGCCAAGGCGCTGGAGGACTTCAGGGGTGTTGTCGCAAGGGCGCTGAGGTCGGTACTGGGGCTATCAAACACATTTCCGTTTGCAGCGGCGTTCCGTTTGATCGGGATGGCGGACCCCGTGGAGATTTTGAAGGTCGAGCAAGAAGCCATGGAATTTTATCTCCAGGGCAGTTTCGGAGAATTCAAGGTTTCACGGGGTGAGATCTACGCTCTACCGGAATGGTACGATGAAGAGCGGATTGAGGTGGTGGACGCGGCCCAAGCCTACAAGGACTTCGGGTTGCAGCACGGACAAGAGGAGAAGCTTGCAGAAGAAATGAGCAAGAAGTTCGACTCCGGTAACTGCCCGCAAAACACTCTGCGGGCAAGCACAGACGGGGGAAAAGGGCCGGAAGGTGCTGCCCGGGAGACGCCGGACCACTTGATGCGGGCCTGCTGCTACATTGAGACGGACCAGGGTGGGGCTGCTAAGGTCTGGATGGTCTGGTCGGAATTGCTCGGCTACGACGCGGAGGTAATAGCGCTGACACAACTGCTAAAATGGCTGCTGGATGAGACCAGGAGCAGCCACACAACCATCCAGATATTTATAGACAACAGCATGGTCCTGCAGTCCCTCAATAACCCCAAGAGCCGGGAGGAGGCGACGAAGAGGCTCCGGGAGCTGATCAGCGACCTTCTGAAACAATTCCCAACCGTCAGCATCCTCATACATTGGGCGCCAGCCCACCGCCGGTTCCGCCTCAACTGCATTGCGGACCTACTGTGTAAGCAGATGAACGGGTGTGAAGAGGAGCTGCCAGAAGTGCAGCCGATCAGTAAGATGCGCCTCAAGTACCTTGTCAAGGAGGAGCGGAGGGCAAACCTGCAAAACCATGTAGGAGGACCAGCGGAAGAGAAGACCACGCTTTGCAGAGGGCAAAGAATAAAAGCACTGGGAAGAGTGCCGCTGGCGGGGCTCTCACCAGCACAGGAACGGGCGGCGATGTCCCTATGGACGGGAGAATCGTATTTGCCGAAATCCCTAGTCACGATCAATAACCGGGGATGGCCCTCCTGCCGGAAGTGCGGGCAGGAACTGAGGGTAAAGAAGCAGGATGCGGCAGGGACATGGGTGAAAGGTTTCCGTACGGGGGAGGAGGAAGACGTGAGGGGTTTCTGTAGGATAGTCGACCACCTCCTCATGGAGTGCGAGACAGTACAAGACGCCGCAGAGTTCAAGGGGCAAGATGTGGTGATGATGATAAAAAAGGGACCAAGAAAGCAGCTGAACAGACTGCTGCATGCAGCGGGACAAACTGGGGAAGCGATACCGGGGGACCACTCCTGGCCGTACTGGCCACGGACGGAGAAGCCAAGTCAGGAGGTGGAGAAGAGAAGCATGCCAGCAGCCTGGGTGGAAACAGCGAGAAACGCCATCAAGAAACGAAGACTATCACAAGAACCAGCGGACGGGGAGGGGCAGTAGGGCTCGCCTGCAGCTCGCGCGTTTTCTCCTTCCTTTTCTAGGCATCGCGGAAAGTATCTTCAAACTCCTGGAACGGGCTGTATCTTCATTTTCCTGGATCTTTACTAGAGGGAAAAAGTGAGCTTACTACCTAGCTCTAGGTACAGGTTGGTAGCAAATTTCTGGATCTTTGTAGAGGAAATACAGCAGCAGCAACAAGATCCGGGGTTTGTTTGTGTCCATCTCAAAAGAACAAATTTTTGTTTTTGCTAAGATCTTACCTTCACCTATCGACGTCTCAGGAGTAGCATCAAGATCCGGAAATAGTTTTTGTGTCCACCACTTTGTACATTTTACTTTGCCAAGCTCATTCATGTACCAATGCTGTAGAACACTCAAATGCTGCTCTCACCTGGATCTTTGCCGAGAAACAAGTGTGACAAGATCCGGAAATTGACTTTTCTCTTCTCTTCTGGACAAGTTATAGAAAAGCAAGCGTGTGCGATTGCATTTGGCACGGTATGCGTTGAAAATGTTAGACGAAGTTCCTCCCAGTTTACGGCTATAAATTGTAGATTTCCCTTCACGATCAAGGTAATTTTTGTTGCTTTCTCTTGTTTTTCCACCTTTTTCACACAACTTTAAAGCACCAAGTCGATGGATTCTAGGCGTAAGCGGTCAGCATTGCACGAGAAGATCAAGAGGGTGCGCTTTTGCTTTTAGCACGGTACTCGTTGAAAATGTAGTCTATCTACAAGACCCGGAAGTCCGACTTTGGGCACGGGCTGTTGCTCCATTTTTCTGGAACTTTGTTAGAGGTAAAAAGAGACCCTACTACCTAGCCATAGGAGCAGGAAGGTAGCACTTTTCTGGATCATTGAAGAAGATCTACTACAGCAGCACCAAGATCCGGAATTTGTTTGTGTCAGCCACAATGTTATTTTTCCTCCCTCTTAGATCTTTCACGTATCTATTTTTTCAGCAGCAGCAACAAGATCCGAAAATTGCTTTCGTCTTTCACTTTGTACATTTTTCTTTGACATAATTACTCATGTGCCTATTCTGTTGCACACACACTACCAAGGAAAAAAACAAACAACGACCTACAAGAACGAAAAGCTTGAAGAAGAGAAGTTTTGAAGCGCGACCAGTAGCGCTTTTGAAGGTTTCTGCATGGTCGCGCCCTGTTTTCTGGCCACTAGTCGTGTATTAGTCTCGTTTTCGACAACGAACTTCCAAGACTGATAGTGTACAACGAGCAAGAACAGGAGTAGAGCAGACACACCAGGTGGAGACACGTGCCCACCAGCGCAGGTGGGGCAGTAGAGGACTCGTACAGCGAGGCGAGTAATGAAAAAAAAAAAAATCAAGACCGCAAAATAAAGAGAAAAAAAAGGAAAAGAAAGTAAAGCTATCTACTTACAAAAAGAAAACCTGAGAAAAAAAAAAACAGAACAGCGCGCGAACTCAGGACGTAAAGACACAGCGGAGAAAAAAAGAAAACAACCAAAGCGCATGAGATAGCAACATAAAAGCGGCAACATCAATAAGCAATAAGACTAGAAAGCTCCCTGTGCAGGTTGATCAAACAAAGTGCGATAAAACTTCGGTTAAGCACGGCGCTTGGAGGATTTCGCATACCTGCGAAGCGCTTGCGCTTTGCGGTCAGGCTCCGGCCAGTTGTCTTGTATTCCAGTCCGACACCTGGTAGCCACCGGAGGCGAAGGGGCTGCCGGGTGGTTGAGTCGGGGGTTAGGTCTCGTGCCATGGATGAGGAGGTAATGGCGCTTGATCTTGAATGCCAGCGGCAAGAGGAGACGTCAACGGCAAACTCCCCCCTGGTGGCCGGGCACTGCTAAAGCGGGCGGTGAAACGTCACTGGGGGTGTAGGAGTGGTCCTTACCACTACTACAGAATCATTTACCACTGAGCATTACACTACAGTATGTGAGAGGCTTTACCGCTCACCTTGAGAAGCGCGCGCGTCATTCTTTTTCATGATTGCAAATCCAAAAGAGTTGTGCTCATGATGTCTTCCGGATTTACTTAATTGCAAAATGAAAATTCGAATTACCACAGCGGCTGCGACTTCGGCAGGTGGATGCGATTTATTCGATCTGCATCAGGAGCAGAACTTGAGTACCATCACCCAGGGAAATCTCGTCAACATCTCAGAATTTAGCACCACAGTAGCGCCTGGAGGTGCTGGTGACGAGATTGTAGGCCTCACAACGCCCCCTTCAAACAGCAAAAACAACCAGCAGGATTATGAACAGTCGCAGTGCGAAGGGGCAGTCGACAGTTGTTGCTTGTGGTCCACCAACACCACCCGTGTATCTCAGCAACACCAGGCGCCGGCCAACTTCTGCCTGCAAACGCCCACGAATTTTGTGCGGCGGCTGCGCTCGCCGACGTTCGACCCGAAGGTGGCTTTCCACGGCGTTGGAATTGTGAAATCAGTTTCCACGACTCCTGTTGTACATGACGAACGCGAGGACGACAACGGCCCCTGTATCTCCGATGTAGATGACGTTCATCTTCTTGATGCTTCCGGCAAGTTAAACGCGGACGATCGATTGAAGACAAAGACACCCAGCCCGAAAGAGACGCAGCATCAGAAGAACTTGTCGGGGTATAATGATATTCGTGGCCGCTGCTCTTGGGGTCCTCGTGCTTTTGGAGATGGAACGAAAGACCACGACGATTCCTCCAATCCGTACGAGGCCATCCAGTACGATAGAGATTTTCTGGACAACGACAGCAACACAGACGACCCTGGTGGCACGACCAGCGTTTCTTCACCTTGCCGGCCGCATGAAATAAATGTTATCGCCGACGATCAAGATGAGCGAAACGGTAACAGCACTGCGAAAAATAAGTGCTCTAGTACTTCTAGCGTGGTAGGAGTTCCCTCCCCACCCAGCGCGGAGCTGCTGCAGCGCACCAAGTCTTTCAAAGCGGGCTATCGACACTTCCACTCCATGAACAGTAAGGCGCGAGAGACGAACTCCGTGGAAGAGGTGTACGAGCTATTGCAGATGATTGGCGAAGGGTCTTCCGGTTCTGTCTGGACGGCGCGGCGGCGGATTCTGATCGGCACGGACCGAGAGAGGTTGTCGAAGCAAATTTTTGCGGTGAAGGAAATCCGGAAAAAACAGTTGTCCTGTACGAGGCTCGGGGGCAGCGGAGGCTGTGCAAGTACTGCAGCACCGGCAGTGCAAGGTGCAGGTTTATTGCCGAAAAATGCAGCACTAAGCGGTTCTTCGGCTGCGTGCAGTAGTGCTCGCCCCGTAGCAGAAGTGCATCCCGGCCAAGAATGGCAAATGAACCGTTGTACCCGTGGTGGAGGAGCAGGAGCGTCACCGTTCAAGCGACTGCAGGAGCAAGCGAGCGCAACATCATGCGGCGCTCCTCCCGCATTCCCCAGCAGAACCTCCTCGCCTGGCCAGCATGAGAATCCTGCAGCCTTGGACTTCGGATTCGGAAGCTGCACGACGCGGGAGCAAAATCCAAACTGCACAAGCGCCGGGCTACTAGGGGGCTCTGTAGCTGCTGCTCAAGAGCACGTGGTCAATGACTCGCCTTCTCTTGGCGGAGGTTTAGGTTTTCTGTCCCTCCCGATCCCCTCCCTCGCCATCAATCAGAACTTCGAGGATACCTCCGACTGCTTTTCCCCGTGCGGGTCCAGAGACAGCAGCCCGCTGCAGGGGTATAATTTCGTGCCCCAAGTAGGAGAACCGGCGGTTTACAGTTCGGGGACGATGATGCAGCATGGAAATTATGATGAAAATAGTGCCACTTCGTGTTCTTACAACACCTACCGCCATGGTGGAGATGAAAACGGTCGTGATGTGCACGACTTCGAAGATAGCGATATCGCCCATAGCTGCCATAACGCCGACAGTAGTTCATCTTACATCAGCCTCCACAATCTGAATCCGACATCAAAAAATCCGCGCAGTACCACGACGGACATTCTCGATGAAGAGGAGCGGTTACTGATGGAGGAAACGTGCGCGTTCCGGGAGAAGCGGCAAGTGTTGGAAGATATCCCAGAGAAAAAAGCGAGCGGGGCGCATTTGTAAAATCGTAATGCAAAAATATTATATGTCTTGCATGGCCTAAAAAACGTGAACGCCGTTCGATACAGCCTGCCCATGCTGACCTAGACCTACATATCAACATGTTTGCATACACAAATGCGCCTACCTTCTAGCTTTGTTCTGTGGGATAGAAGAGCACCTCTGGGCGGTGAAGTATAACTGGGAACAGGACAGCACGACCGGGGAGCGGAATCACGGACCCTGGAACCACCTGCAGCTGGATCGGGAAAACTACAATGTCAAAGCCGGAATCATCGGACTGAATGGTCAACAGTCCTTGAGTGGAGGGAACGGAACCACAAGCCGGACCTCGTCGAGGATCAGCTCCAGGACGAGCTGCGAGAAGATGAACCAGCAGAGCGTGGAGGAGGGTGGCTCACCACCAGACCTTGATGTACAAGAACCGACTGCTGCTTCAGGAGCAGACGGGGTTCTTGCGCCGTATAATGAAATTGCAGCTGCGGAGGCTGCTCGCGTTCAACAGCAGCCTCCTACTCCGATTTCTACCGGCTCTTTTTCTACGGGTAAAAATTCTGGCGCTCTTATTCCGCAAATATCGTGTATGACGGGGCAATCCAGAAGGAGCTGCACAACATCGTCGCGCGTTCTCCCAGAAGAGGACGGTGGAGTGTTGCACTCCGATACTATGAACAACCAATCACGACCGGTTCCAGGACCACCTTCAACAGCGGCAGCTGGTGCAACATCGGCGCTGCAGCAAATGAAACCAGTGCGGTTCACGAACGTTTACGCTGCAGCGGAGATGAGAGAGCATCAGGATCAAGAAATAGCACCAAAAAACGACACTGACGCGGCTCCTGGTGCAGGAGTCGTGTGCTCTCAGTCACCAACGCGCGCCGCCAGCTTCAGTACCGAGATAGCGGAAACGGAGTATCAATTTTTGGACGACATGAACCACGAGCCGCACCAGGTGCGCGACAATCTCCCTTCGCAGCGTGAATGTCGTTCCAACTCGGCGGAGAGCGCAATGACAACAATTTCCTTTAGCGGAAGTGGGGCGGTCAAACTGTCGGTGGCTCGATCTCCCGATGTTAAACAGGAAGTACATGACGAAATAAGTTCTTCCGCTTCTATTTTCTCAAAAGGAATATCACTATCAGCGAAGGCAGAACTACTCGGAGCAGCATGTTCGTCTAGCGGCGGGAGGATACCTTTAACCTCGGAAGAACATCATGATCAAGACGAATCCGAAGATGTGGCAGCACAACTACCAGGAGCTGAAGATATAATTAACCACGGCCACCAGGAGCGGATGCTGCGCACAGACAAGCCGTTGCTCTCCTTCCAAGAAGAAACGGCGAAGCTGAACCTGAAACAGCGGCACTCGCTGCAAACCGACCTCTTCGCCCGTACGGAGTCTGACAAAAACATGCTGACAGTGACCACAAGCCAACCCTTATCAAGTGTAAAAGTGTCTGGGTCTGGAAGAGTCATGCTGTTTTTGCATGACACAGAAGGTCTGGCATGGAAGCTCTAGCATTACAGGTTTCGAGAACCTTCCGCATTGCCGAATCCGCATGACAAGTCCCCTACTTTGCTGACAAAAAGTTGTGGGAGCTTTTGCTACGTATGCATGAGAGACTTTTCCGTGTTCTGAAATACGCATTACAAGTTGCATTCTTCCAGACCCAGACATTTTTACACTTGATAACCCTTGCACCGGATCAATTCGAACGCGTCCTCGCAGAGCGGCGGAAGAACCTCAAATTGTGGCACCAGACACAACTACATCCACAACTACACGTCGTCGGGCAGCACGAACAGGGGAAACAAAACCACAACCTCGAATTCTTACGGCCGCTCATCGTACAACTTTTCGACGGCGGAAATGATGATGGGGACGAACAAGAACTGCAGGCCGCGTGTTTCGCTGAACAACCCGATGTTCTCGGGAACAGCAGGAGCACCAAGAGGACCACCTTCACAAGCGCCGCCGGCTCGGAGTCGGTTGAACTCGGTGGAGCAGATCCCTTCGATGTACCGGCCGCGCCGGGCCTCCGAGCTGCTGCTCAACCGGAGGCCGGCAAATTTGATGGACGAGCAAACACCGGTGGTGCGACAATTGGTCGTGGATCGAAATGTGCGGAGAAGTACGTGCCTTTCCCGGTCGAGTAGCTCCGGTGAGGGTCGTATGCAGGGAAAAACCGCCATGATCCCCATCCATTTTTTGTTTGATAAAACATAAACACTTGATGAGGTACTTACTTAAATGGGTGCGCCTCATTGATTCTTCATCCTCGGGCTGGGGGATAGAGTAGCACGCAGCTGTCTGCCAAATAACGGCACACTGTCAACATCGTCATCACTGGACTTTACGTTTACGCATGAATTTGGCATGAAAAATTCGATGGGGATCATGGGTCTTTTTGTGTGGATAGGTCGGCGATCGGTCACTGCGGGAGGAGGTGCTGGAACGAACCGCAACGCGACAGGCACGGCAGCTGCGGGGGTCGTGGCCGCGGACCAGTCCGCGCGGGGACTGCATCATGTGAGCTGCTGTTTTCCTTCGATCCCGTGTGCCATAGACGAGAAGCAGGTGGCCGATATGATGTTGTGTAAAAAGAGATCTAGTGCTCACTGTGGTGGACGAACAAGCGGTTTTGCGTCCGCGCGGAGTAGCTACCGGATGGACCAGGTGAGTGAACACTCTGTCGAACAGAGCGGGACTGCTCATTGCGGTAGTGGTGCGAAGGAGCACGGAGAAGTTGGAATCGATCCCGGGCGCGGGCCGCACCACTACACGAACAACACTGCAGCTGGCTCCACCTTCGTAGTGCCAACGCAGCGTTTTGGAGCTGAACGGGATAATTGCGTTCCACTACATGACGAGTCCACGCCCACTTTTGACGGCACGGCTCCTGATCATGGTGGGGAAAACCTAATGAAAAACACTGGAAATTTATTGCAGAATAATACAGAGGGTCTTGATGTTGCGGTTGCGCGGGTAAGTGGAACATTATCTGCGGACCACGCCACGACCGAGCAACAAGGTAAAGGTTCTTTGCAACAAACATTGAGCGGCCCTCCAATTGGTGTAGCAGCAGGAGCAATTTTTCGGGACACGGACTCCGCACCAACAGCAGTCGACTCCAACGATAATTTTTCCGACGCGGAGCAGGCCCCCGGCACGACTTCTGTTCCTCCATCCAGCCAAACCGCTCTCCTGAAGCAGCTTTTTGCGGATGAAGAGGATCCGGCTGGGTTTGGATACACGCCCAACAATGTTGGTGCCAATCAAAACAACCGCGGAAATAATTTTAAGAACTGCTACGGTTTCGCGCCACCCAACGAACAGGAGGATTACCTGCAGGCGAGGTTTCGGGAAGAGATTACCATGATGAAGAGCTTGGACCACCCGAGTATTTGCAAACTTTACGATGTTGTGGAGGACGACTTTTCGATCTTCCTCGTCATGGAGTATTGCGACGGGGGGGAACTAAACGACAAAATTGACGACGACAGCCTATTACCGGAACATGAGTCCTTGCAGATTGTCAAGCAGGTGGCCCAAGGTACGGAACGGAAAATTTTGAAAGAGTTACTTATGTCATAGGGTGTTCTTCATTTCAGAAATGAGAATGAGAATCTTTATCGGATATGCGGCCTACGCCTAAGTGAACCCAAAAACAACATATTGCCATTGCGTCGCATGATTTTTGCATTTCTTTGGTTTTGCATTTGCACGGCAACTACAATACGAGAAAGAATCAGAATCATAAAATCCAAACCCATACACCGCAGGTCTTCGCTACTGCCACGAGCAGAATATTGTCCATCGCGACATCAAGCCGGAGAATATCCTGTTCAAAAGCAGCAAAAGCGCTTCCAACTACCAGCAGAAGAGTTATGCGGGCGACCACGAGAGTTCTTACGTAACCCGCGAAGATCGAATGCTGCACAACAACATCTCCAAGAACGGTGTGGTTCCAAATCCAATGAAGAAGGAGCAAGATAACTTTGTGAAGCTGATCGATTTTGGCATTGCCAGCTGGAATAACTCGCTCACAAACGAGTTTCGCGTTGGGACGTATGCGTACGTTTCTCCAGAAGTGCTCGATACGCAGCACCGCGACCTGGACCACAAAGTTGACATTTGGGCGCTCGGAGTGGTAAGTACAACCTACACCAGTAGAAAATTCATAATTGTTTTTTTTTTTTGCTGGTATATTAGCTCCTCGTCTTCTTGTTGACGATTTACACCCTCCTTTCCCCAATCGATACTAGGTGATGTACGTGATGCTCTCGGGTTTGATGCCTTTTGCTGGCCCCAGTTGTTGCAGCGACATCGTGAAAGGCAACTTTCAACCGCTGACCGGCGCCGTGTGGGAAAACGTTTCGGGGGAGGCCAAGGATCTATTGCGGCATCTGTTGGAAGTGGATCCAGAGAAACGATTTTGCGCACAACAGGTAGTGGATATTTTGGCTTCTTCTGACTTGTTTTAATGCTCTTGCTGCCTTAATAGCATTGTGGCTGCTTGCTTTTTTAACAGCTGCATTGATTCGTGTCATTCTCATTCGAGGATTTATTTCGCTTGACAAGCTGCTGGACCTCAACAGCGACGGCCTGAGATGAAAGCTCGGCGCTGTGGTTTTCCCATTTCTTCATCTTCTACTATGAGCTTATTGACCACTTCATTCCTTATCGTTATCCTTGCTCGTTGGTCTACTTGCAGGTACTGGATCATCCCTGGTTCAAGACTTCGTCTGCACATCAATACCTGTACTACTACAACCCGAGTGGTCACAACTTCCATCAACCCCCGAAACCGCTAACCTGCTATGCATTGCATGCAAAAGTATCGTACTCCTTAGTATAAAATGCATTACAAATTTTCCCAAGAAAAAAATTCAATTTGTCATGCTATTTCAGGTAGAAGCTCGGATTTGTCATGCATATCTGCAATTAGTACGAGTGCGATACTTTTGCACAGGATACCTGCCCGCAGACGGCGAAGAACTACGCGCGGACCCTGAAACTGCTCAACCGGCTGAAGCGGTTTCAATCGCTGTCGCTTTTCCGATATGCATTGCAAAAGTATCTATCGTACGTAGTATAAATTGCATTACAAATTTTGGCAAGAAGGAAAGTGGAATTTGTATATGCTGTTTTGCCTTAGGAAAGAAATTTGTCATGCATATTTGCAATTAGTACGAGTGCCATACTTTTGCACAGGATATCCGACGGCTGACCCTCACCATCATCGCGATCAAGATCGTGCTATCAAATGTAAAAGTGTCTGGGTCTGGAAGATGAATGCAACTTGTGATGCTGCATTTGGATTCCAAAAAAATGTGTATTGCGTGAGTACCTACCAAAGGGAATGCAATTTTTGCTACGCTGAGAACGCATTTGTCATACGGAAAACGCATCAAGAAGCCCTCAAAAAATCTGTATTGCTAGGGTATGCATCACAGACATCATGGCTCATGCAAAACGTGCATGACAAGTGTCAGAATCTTCCAGACCCAGACATTTTTACATTTGATACGTGCCGGACCTCGCCCCCGTGCGGCACCTCTTCCACGAGATGGACACGAACAATGACGGTGTCGTGTCCGCTGAGGAATTCTGCACGTTGTGGCTGAAATACGACGACAATCAACAATCTTCATCTTGTTCATCCGGAACCACCACAAGCACTTCTAGTACTTTATTGCCAGCACCGGTTGCTGGTGGTGCTGCTGCTGGTGTGGTTGCCCATCTTGCACCAGCTGGAGGAGATCCTTTGCCGCTTTCACCTGGAGTAGTTGTCGATGATGTAGATGTTCTTGGCACTCGACGTCCCGGAGCAGGAGCGGTTGCTGCACACCGTCTAGAGGAAGCAGAGCCGTCGACAAGTTCTGCATCTGCGCCAACTGGCGCGACGTCGATTTTCAGTTGTACTGGTTCGGATAAAAATCATGCCTGTTCTGACGAAAAGGAAAACGAAAAGGCAGGGGCCGCAACTACACATGGTAGTGATGATCATGATTCTGATTGTCCAGCTTGTGTAGAGTCTGCTTCACACGAGGACCTGTGCGTCCTGCCTAGCGACATACTAGATAACCACAGCTACCACCTTGCTTCGCCAGATCCGATTGTGCCTGGCGCTGATAATTATTACGAGCAAGTGGGCGACGCAGTTGCACTTCCTCATCATCAGCATAATCAACAAGAATATCCGCTCGTCTCTGCAATACCGATAGCCGAGTCCTCGTCCACTAGCTCCGGGCAAACGCCGCCGCTAGAAATACCTTGTTCCGGGAAAGTGACACGAGGACCCACGTCTGGAGCAGGTAATAATTACACAAAGCGAGGGACCGCAGACCGTGAAACAAGGGACGAGAACCTCACCCCTCCCCCCCGCACAAGCACACGAATGACCATCCAGCAACATGCAAATCTGCAGCTTCACCAGGAGCAGTTGCAGCAACTGCAAGTCGCTGCGAGAATGGGAATCAACCTGATGCACCATCCGGGGGGCGGTGGTTTGAGCAGAGCCGGATCGCAGCCGGATTTATTTCGCCAGGTGCGGACCACCACGGGAGACGAGCAGGCTTCGCACGAGGTGAGTCAACATCTGGTTTCCGGTGAGGCGACGAATTCATCAATTGATCTTCGACACAGGGAGATCGCGGGCACTGCCGCGTCATCGACCACGGTCGACTACCACTTACAAGAGGATGTACTAGTTGATGAGTTTCTACTGCCTGACAACTGTGAAAAGAGCAAGAGCGCCGGGGTTAAGAGCTTGAATTCGGAGCAGCGCACCATCTCTACAGCGACCGGACAAGACACGATGACGTCCTACCCTTCGTGCTCTCTGCTGGAAAGCAGCCCTTCAATGCTCTCGACAACCGCGGGGACCACTAGGACGACTGCCAACACCAGCAACACTCTGTTTTCCGCTTATCTCAAAAGTTGCAGTTATGCTGCGTGTTCCGCCTCGTCCGGAACGTTGATGCTGAACAAGAACCCCAAGAACGATGGTGGAGATTATAGATCAACTTCAACCGCGCTACTGTTCCCGGACGGTCAAAATGCAGCCAGTCCTTGTGCGGTCTCCGGAGTTCTTGGGATGTCGTTTGACCACCAGCATCCCGTACTGTTGCTGGAAGAAGACACGGCGGTGTCCGGCTACACATCATGTGCAGGAGCATCGTCAACACCCTCCTGCTCCGACGCAAGAAGCGGAACCAGTGATATGGATGTCCACCAAACAAGTACGAGTCAGGTTCGTGGCAGCTGTCCGCCGCGCGGCCGGGGGAAGGCGCAGATGATGAAGCCGCGGCGCAGCCGCGCCACCGGCCCTGTTGGATCAATGCAAGTGTGTGAAGACGAGGAGGAAGGCGACGCGGTCGAGAGACTCAGTGAGAAACAGCTAGCGGTATCTTCGAATGTTGCGAACCAAAAGGGTCGCAAGAACGACGGTACTATGACCGCAAGCGAGGACAGAAACTTTAATTCACAGGAGAAATGTACAAGCGATGAAGCCGGCGAGCCACAACTCGATTACCTGCGCGGGAGCAACGCTCCTGCAGATGAACTACCGGAAGTAGGTGATGACGATATTGCTCCAGGGCTGCACGACACACATGGAGGTGCGGCCGCTGACGCGACCTCGAAATCCACCAACTCGACGTCTTCTCCGACGAAAACTCTGACTCTCACCCCTGCGACTCGTTTGCCGATTCCCTCGCCCAACAGTGTGGTCTCGACCAGCGCTCCCACGACTAGCTCTAGTCCATGCAGTAACTTGTCGGCAAAAAGCATGTTTAACACGCGTTCGGGCTGGGACACGCTGTTGACAATGAACAGCAGTAGTTCATCAGCATCCACTAGTACCACTTGTAATAACCACTCAGCAGGTGGTAGTTCCTTCCAAAATGGCACTTCTTCCAAGCCCAATTATACCAGTTCACAGTTTATAATTCACAACAACGCCGCGCAATACATGGGTGGAGACTCCACGTCCAAAAGTCGAAGTACAACCTCCACCTCCGCCGGCGCCGCCACGTGCACCAATCTGGACGGACGGTTCAACTTGGTCGCGCATCCGGAGAGCACCAGTTGTGCTGCTGTAACAAATAGCACGAGTGCATCAGCTACCAGTACCACACGTAGTACTACTGCGTCTGCGGCCTCGAGCTCAAACGGACACGGAGCGCCTTCTGCGGATATTGATGGCAGTAAAAGTAGAACTTTAACGACCCAGCACGACTCCTCATCTACGAAGCCTGGCAGCGCTGCCGGTCGCGCGCAGCCAGGCCGCATTCATCTGGGAAGAGAAACCGAGGGCGCTTTATTGTTCTGCGCCACTCGTGATCATGGTGCCGCAATGCCGCAGCTTCTGCAACCCGGAACAGTGCTGTCTCTCGCTTCCGCTGGAAATGAGATTGCACAGCAGGAACGTCGTGCTGTCACTGCCGCGCAGACGTCTTCTACCGGACGAGCAGTAAAGTGCGAACAAACGCAGCACGACAGGAGTGACGGCTTGGTACCGTTTTTTGAAGATGAAGGCAAGTTCCGTGACGAGAATAATAGAGCAGAGGACGTTGACAGCTGCGTCGTGCTATGAAATGCAAAAGCATCGTATTAGTAGTAATCGCATTACAAATTTGCTCAGCATGACGAATGGAATTTCTCATTCTGATTTACCTTGAAAAAAAGATTTGTCATGCATAAATGCGATTACTACGAGTACGATACTTTTGCACAGGATACGTGCCAACCAAAACGCCAGAGATGGTGCGGATTTCTTCGGGGTTCTTCGAAAGCGCCGCGCTTATCACACCCCCGTGCAAGAAGAGAAGGCGGCCCGCGGCGATCAAAACCAGAACCGCTGGAGGCACAAGCGAAGATAAAAATTATCCATCCGCCCCCGGAGCTGTTGAACATGCGGATCATGCTGTTTTTGGTTCTTCTACTCCTCCGCACGATGGTGGCGGGAACAGCGTTTCAGCAGCAGGCCCCCGAATATTAAACAGTAGCAGGCCCTGCTCCTCTCCTGAGCCGGAACAAGATTTTGATACCTGTCGTTTCCCTTCGTCGACACCGATGTTGACGCGGCTGACGGATAGCTCTAGGACGTCCTCTTTGATATCCTCGTCAGACGGACGCAACAGCCACAGGCCCTGTGATCATGCCCAAGTTCTTGGGATCCATGTTGACGACGAGGCCGATCACGAAGAAGATGATCTGGCAGACGTTGACCCAAGAACGGCTCCACGGCTACCGCTCATGCCAAACGAAGCTCACAGAAATCCAAATCTTGAAATCACCTCGGACCTGCCTCCAGGCTTCAGTATTCTCGGCCCGGCCTCGCAGCCTCTACTGCGCGGATTCGTGCCCCCCATCGCAGAGGAAGCGGACTTAGAAGAAGAGCTGACCAGCCCGGTTCTGTTGCAGTGCCGCTCTCTCACCGGGTCCGCGCGGGTTATTATGGACGAGGAGCAGGTCGTCAAGGGTGCTGTCATGATACCACCGTCAGGGACGAGTTCATCTTGTTCGGCTTCGGGCGTGGAACTAGAAGACACTGCAGATGCAGAAGTAGGACGAGCGGAATCGGAAAGGGCGTCCCGTGCGTCAGACCACACTGACATCGCCAGTGGCACTTCCTCGGGCGTCCGAACCAATTATGAAGAAGATGCGCCTACTTCTTCTTCATCAACTACTTGCCCCGCGCCGTTTCTTCACAGCGAAGGTAAGACGCCAATCGGGACGAGAACGTCATCAAGTGGTTCATCATCTAGAGGTAGCTTGATGCAGCTCGTCAGCGGTCAAAGCCTCCCCTCGCACCCAGACCTGCAGGTTTTCACACCTCTGAAAGAGATCACCTCTAGCACGACCACTACCTTCTTGAGTGATTTCGGAGGCTCGAAGCCGGAGGACCACGGAGCAGCCCTCATGCCAGACGAAAGTCCAGCCGGTGCTAAAGACATCTTGTTCAACGGGGCCGAGAGTCGTGAAAATGTTATAGTGCCACTTCTGGTAGAAGTTGCACCTAGTAGTAGTGCTGCGACGACCACCGGAACAAATTCTTGTGTTGTACAAGTGGCCGCAGGTCGTGATGCTGATCCAGCAGTAGCGGCCCCAGCGCAGGCACTCACTGGAACTCCCTCGAAGATGAACGCCACCCCGAGCGGTCAAGACTTGCTGAGCTCGGCCAACCTTTCCTCGGCCCCAATCAAAACGACGTCCTGTTCGCTGACCAGGCTTTGCAGCACCACGACTGCTGCAGACGAGCTGATGGATGGTGGCAATGCGAGTGGTACCTCCAAGAAAACATCGACCGGTAGTGGGCTACAAGACGAGTCAGCTGCTAGTTGTACAACAACACCAGCTGCAGCTTGTTCATCAGCGTCGACAACTGCAGCTGTAAATAATTGCAGCACGACGACTTGCGACGTCTACGTCGAGAAGAAAGTGACCAACAAGATGAAACAAGCGTCAAGGTCAACCGAAGACGGAGGTGGGGATGATGATGACGAACTGGAACTGGACGAACTGCAAGTGGAAACTACAGAAGACCGGCGACGGAGCAAGCAGCGGGCAATGGAGGTGTTTGCGTCTCTTGATTTCAACCAGGAGAATTGCCTCCACTATACGCAGCTTGTAGCGGGCGTGATTAACGATAAAGCGGTCTTGGAAAACGATGAGATCATGTGGGAAGTGTGGCGCGAACTCACCTGCTGCAAGAGAGATGAGAAAGAGCAGGTGGAACTCAACATCCACGGAATAAACGAGCAGAAAGATGAACAGGACGACCGCGAAGGAGCTGGGGCCGCCGTGGGGCTTGAGGATAGAAGTACTAGCGCCGTCAATATTCACGACGAACACGACGACGCTCAGGTGAGAGATCATGTCGATCCCGATCCTGAACACGAAGTGGTGAAGATGGACATCTTTAAGAAACACACGACAAGAACGATGTCGCCAGCAGCAGCTCCACTGGCACCACAGCAGATCTCGACGTCCACACAAATAACTCAACCACCGTATAAGTCGTGCACGACGACCAAGCAACGCCACAGCCAGAGGGATTTGATCCAGGCGGAGGACTTCATACACTTTCTCGGCGAATGTTTTCGCAAAGAGCTCGAGGAGGAGTGGAAGCGCGAGACCGGTAGCGTGGAGGCACAGCTGAGTTATGACGAATTCAAGAAGTTGCTGATTTACGGACAACATAATGACGGCGGCGGGGGCTCTTCTACTTGCGGTCCGAGTAATGCAGCAGGATCATCTTCTTGTTCCAGCGCTTCTTGTTACACTGCATATTGTGCTGGAAGTGGTGCTGGGGGTGCGGCTACCACGACGGCCGCCGCTGCTGCAGCTCATCTGGCACAGCACCAATATCCTACCAATCCTGCTCTTCCGACTTCTGCAGGTGGCTGTTATACTACGAGAAACTTCTACAACACAGGAGCGTCGGCGTCAAGAGTGTCGCAATCGATATTCCAGCCTACAACAACCGATGCACAGGGACCTCCAGGCTCCCCTTCCTGCTCTTTTGGGAACAGCGCAGCTGCACCCACAAGCACGAACTTGAAAACACAAGAAGAAGAACAACACCAATTCTTGCACTTGTATCCGTCGGCGCAGCGAGTTTCGGTCTGCTCCGGGCTGCTGCCGAATTATCCTGCTTCTAGTACCCCGAAACTACAGAGCGCCGCTGGCTCTAGTCTGATGTCTTCAAGTGGGCATGATGTCGAAGATGATCAGCAATTTTACAAGAACGTGAGCTCTACTTTGTCCACCGCGTCTTCGTCTTCAGGCCGCGAGGAGCGGGAGCGCTGGCTGGCCAAAAAGGAACCGAACATGAACAGCGCAGGAGCAGAATCTTCTGTGGGGTCGTCGTTGTTCCATGATGAGATAAACCTGAAGCGAGTAGTAAATGCAGATTTTAGAAGTAGAAACAAGAACTGTAGCGGGTGGAGGACGACTACAGCCAGAGCGAGCGTTGAAATTGAAGCTGAGGGTGAAGATCCTTCACTTCGCAAGAATAACGACGCCAGGAGAAGTGCCACGACTGCAGCTCATGCCCCCCCGACGACCGTCTTTTGCGGCGCGCCTCAAGAACTACACAGCTGCAAGGCTAGATCTTCGCCTGCTGCGTCGTGCTCGGGAGTTGATGTTCATGGGACCTCCACGACGACCACTGCGATAGTGAGAAGTAACAACGTTGGCGAAACTTCTAACCGAAGCGGCGGGTCATGGTCAACAAGTTCGAGGGTGCGGCGACATTTCATGCAGCAGAAAACAGGAGCTTTTCAACATCTTCCTGGCGCACCAGATGAAGAAAGCAGACTTATGTCACAACCCAATCTTCTACTTCATCACTCGAGCACTCGTGATCAGGTAGAAGATAGGCGAGTGCTAGAACAAGCACAGCGTGGTCAGGACGCAAGCTCCTCGCGTAGTGACCATAAGCGACGCAGTGCTGCTGCAATCAGCTTTTATCCACCGGCGGTGACTCCACGGGGAAACTACTACGCAGCTAACGCCGGAGGAGCGACCAACTATCCTAATCCGCCACGTCCGCGCGTGCGGAGCCGCAGTAACTTCCGTGACAGAGCGGTGAGCACGGACACAATGTTTCACGAAGCTTTGTATACCCCAAAAATCCCGAAACACAATCCAGCATTTTTCTAAGGAACTACAATTTGGATAAAACCTCGTCGTCTCTCCGTGTCGGGCTCGGCGACTCGACAAATTCATACATCAGGTTGTATCCCGAAATATCAATACGAATACTCAGAAGTATTTCGCGACCCTTTGTGGCCGTCACGGATAGCCGATAGCGACAACATCTTTACCATCTTTCGTGACGTAAGTTCTTTCCATAAAACCCTTTCTCACTGATACAATTTTTGATACTTGACGTTGGCACAGAGAACACCTAGCAAAAACCAAACGACCCAAGTTAACGAGTTTTTTATTGAATAGGATGTGCCAAACTTCTCGCGCAACTTGCCCTTGGAGGAAAAAAAATCTATCATGGGCGGTGCGGGCTATCCTTCACTTACACTGCGAAACTTTAACAACAATTCTCAACACTTTGATACGAAACAATTATCACGTTCACTTTAACTGATTTATACGAAAATAACTTGAGCAAATACTTACACTGACACAATGACATTGATGATAAAATACTTCTCGTCCTGAACTAACGTAAAGCTGGTTTCAGTTTCTACGCGTGCTATTATTTCAACACAAATAGAAGGCGAAAGCTAGCTGTTCTTGTTATGTCCTTTTTTTTTTGCGAGTGTGGCGATTAAGTATAAGTATGCCGTCCCGTGAGTGAAAATCGAGAATACGAGTAGTAGCTATACGGTGTCGGGTCTCTCGGCGATATCTATTAATCGTGGTTACCAGAACTGATTAGAAAATATTTACTGTTGCCGAGGATAATTTCACGATTGTAAAAATACAGAGCATGTCGGAACGAAGCCTGATACGTACAGTTTTTTTTTTACGAAAAGCTAATATGCCGCAATCAAATTTCTGCTCAACAGCAGAGTCAGAGGCGACGCTCAGAAAATCAGCGATATTTATTATTGAAAGCCGCAAACTGGTTTCGTATTGATAAGTAGATAGAGCACGACATTTTGATATTGCCGCAGGAGCACGACAAGACCGCGACCAAATAAATCTATCCCGGGTAGTACCTAAAAAGAAGTTTTCACTTTCAAAATCCGTTTTCCGTCGAGAAGCGAGACTTGGTGGCCTGCTACTTACTTTGAAGAGTTTCACTTGTATCTATATGTAAAACTAAAAACAAATCGATCAACATCTCGAGCATGAATTTTTCAACTGCTACGTCATATTAATGTATTGGCACGACACGACCTGCTACAAGAACTCAGAATCACAATGATAATAATTTGGGAAGAAGTACTAGTACTACATCGGATATGTTCAGTATCGTCATTCAGCACGCTATCCCTCTCTTGTCTTTCTTTTGCTTTCTATCGTCAAATAAGAATGAAACAATTCCACAGCGAACTCTGTTTGTTTCGTTTAACTAACTTGTTGTTACAAAAAGTGGACGCCACGCTGAGAGAAGACGGTGCAGTTCTATGTTTGGCTTTGAGAAACTGAAACAGGAAGCGACGACTGAGCAGCTCCGGTAACACTAACAACTTGGCACTAACAGCTCCACCCGTAGCCGGCGCCGCAGAAGCCAAGAAAACCAAAACCGCCTGTCTTTCTCTTCCACATCGTCTTTTTCGTTGATGATGCTCGACATCCTTATTTGTTTTTTCTTTACCACACTGATAGTTGTATGGCAGTACGAGTTCTTCTTCTTCTTCTTCTTCATACGGCAGTCTTTGTCCTCGTGGTCGCCACCAAGACCAGAGTACTACCGACGGTTATGTTACATGACGAGAGCTGACAACTGCAACATATTTATGTAGAGTCAGCAAGCAGCGTAGAAATAATGTTCTCCATTGAAAATGAATGCGGCAACAGATGAATGCGATCGTGTTTTATTGCAGGAGCAAACACCTACTTCAGGCTCTACTTGCAGCTGATAGAAGAAGCACAACTGTTGACAGCTACGTGGCCCATGAGACGTTAGCTCTTCATAGTCAGCACGCCCTTCATCGAATATTTGATCAGCACCACTCAAGGAGAAGATGCAGAAAATAGATGGAAATGGCATTTTTTGAAAAGAAAGACACGGGTGAGCCGAAGAAAAAGATGAAAATTTAAATCTGAGGAAGCACGACCGTCGCACTGATAAATGAAATTCAAATTGGCTCGAAAGAATTATCCATTGCATGAAAAAGGAAGAACAAAAATCTTTTTCCATGTATTGGAAGACCGAGGTTTCCCGCCTAAGTGACAACAAGGAAGGATCCATATCAAACAAGTACAAGCACATGATATTATTCATGGTGAAGAAGAAGATGCTATTCGTAGATGAAGTATTTCGGGCACTAGTTGTGTTGTTCCGTCGCAGCGGTGTTATTTTTCGATCCATAACGAGCCAAGCAATCTGTTTTTGGACGGACGGTGTACCTGGTCTACAACCCTTTCGACGCACAACGCCCGAATCCAGGCACAGTATCTTTCTTGGAACCGAATATGAATACCCGAAGAGCTTTGCTTAACCACATACGTACAAAAACCCTGCTCCAGCTAGAACATTAAGCTTACCCCTGCATTTTGCTGTTTGAATTTGAAGCCGCAGGTCGTTTATTTTCCTTCAGCAACTATCTAACAAAACCTTAGAAGGCGGCATCTACATCTTTCATCGTTTTGGAGTCCTTCGTTTCTACACATCAGCATCAACATCTGCACGACCCTCCATTCAACAGGCAAGATCAAGCACTCATTTTCTGTCGTGCTGCTCGTGTAATTTCAACTGAAGATCGAGATCTGACGCTATTGGATCAGCAAAATTTCCTTGCAAGAAGAAAGCAGTATCCATTTGGAAGATTTTTTCGCGGGAGGTGACGCCAGTTGAAAAAGCTAAACCGCTCGAAAATGTCGGACCGCAAGGGTTGCAAGGTGTTTGTGCACAACCTGCCGTATGGTATGCACGAAGAGGACGTAAAGGATGTTTTCGGGGACGAAGCGAAGCACATCGTCGAGGTGTACGTCATGAAGGGTTACGACGGAAAGCCCAAGGGTATGGCATCTGTGGAGTTCAAGACCGCGGATGACGCACAGTATGGATATGTTTTTTGGCTTGCTCATGCTGTGTTGTAGAGGTAGCTGTACCTCCTCCTCCTCCATAGAAGTAAGGAAATTTTGTGCTGAAGATTGGATATTATATCGTGCAGGAGAACATGTTGCTGCAATGAACTGGTGGTCCTGCTGGAGGTGCTGCCCACCCTGGAAAATCAACTCCAGCATCGCGATATTGTGGTTTATCTATATGAATATGACAAGAAAAGGCATGCTACAGCTGCTACTCGCTTGCTGTACCTAGTAGACCTGCGCATGGTATCAATTATTAAGGTGAATACTAAAAAAGCCTGTAATGTAAATGTTGTCCACTTCCACCGCAGGTACTGCATCGACAAGTTGGACAAGACCGAGGTGCAGGGGCGCCGCATCACCGTCCGTGAGGATCGCGGCACGGGCTACATACACCCCGACAGCAAGGGGAAGGACAAGGGGAAGGGCAAGCGCGGGGACTCTCGCGGCCGCGGAAAGGGTGGCTACGGTGGTGGATACGGCCGTTACGAGGAACGTGGACGCGGTCGGCGTGGGGAGTCCCGCGACAGGCGCCGCCGCTCTTCCGGCGGAGGTCGCTCCCGTTCCCGCGGCCGCCGCTAAACACGAAAGAACCGCCATATAATTACGGGCAGTTTTTAGTATTGGTAAAAAAGGAGAAGCCATAAGGTGTAGATGAAGAGCTATGGATAAAAATTCTTGAGTGGTTTTGCTGAAGAAGGGGCTGACTTCTGACACGGAGGCTTCGAAAACCGCCATACGAGACGAGACCACTTGCAAGAACAATAAGAACCGAGATTAGAAGACTATTGGTCAACATCTTCACAGCAGCAGCAGTGCAATTTACTACAGGATATGAGTTACCACCAACAGGGTATGATCTTTCTGTTGGTGTTGCGCGTGATCAGGAACGAGCTACAGCCTAAACACTACCCTAGCTGTAGTTACCTCAATGATGACAAAGCGACAATTTGGCGCTACATCTTCAAACTCAAAGCTTGACCAGAGAAGATGAAAAGACAACGATGTTGATCATTGAGAATAAGCGCGACCTCCAAGAATCTTTTTTGCTTCTGTTTGAAAAATTTTCAACTACCCCTTTGTATTGAGCGTACTAAATTTCAAATGTCTTCTGACGCCGTCGTTTGTCTGATGGACTACCGAGGAGCTTCATTGTGGTCAATTATGGTCTTGATGCTCCCATCAATAGAAATAGTGTGCTGGTGTTCTTGTTGGCCTGAGTAGCACCACTAGGTGTACATCCGGGTGTGACCATGCGCGAGAGAAAGGAGAAAAAGGACAACCAAGACGAGCAAACCGTATTACTTTCGTTTATTTTCTTTACTTCGAGAGCAGGACGTGCCGCCACTGCTAGAGACTAGATCTAGAACTGCGGGCCGTATTATAGTGCCCGTGGTGAATCTTCGTCTTCCGCGCTCGCGCATGCACGTGCCATTATTTGCAGCAGAGAATGTGAGCACTCTTCTTGGTTCATCAGCGTCAGCCACGCGACTTTTTTTTATTTACAAATACTAGAAAAACGAAAAGATGCAAGTGATCCTCGAGAACGCGAGCGCGGAGCTGTCGAACGACGTTTTGTCCCGTTTCCAGGAAAACTTCCGGCTGCTCGACACCAACAAGGACAGCAAGTTGAGCCACAAGGAGGTTGGGATTCTGCTTCGCGCCTTCGGGCAGAACCCCACAGATGAGGATCTCAGCACGATGCTGCAGGACTTACCCGCACTCGTGGACTTCGACCAGTTTTGCGAATTCTTTAAAGCAAACTACGCATTGCAAATATGTCTGGGTCTGGAAGGGAGGCTGCGAACTTGTGATGCGTGTTGCGCATCCTGCAAAAATCAGTGTTGCATGGCTTGCAAAAGACGCCTATTTCTGGCCATACTGAGAGGGCGTTTCTCATGCGGAATAGGCATCACTAAGGGGCTGCAGAACCTGTGATGTTGGGCCCTGCATTTCAGACTTGGCGGAGCTTGGACAAACAGCATGACAAATCTCGGAACCTTCCAGACCCCGACATATTTGCATTTCATACAAACTACCGCCCGCCAATATCCGAGGACGTACTCGTGCAGGCTTTTCAGGTACTACACAGATTATACCTGCGATAAAATGGAACTTGAGAGGACATGATGCGCCAAGATAGAGAACGTGATGGCCTCCACCATAATGGTAGGCTGTGCTCTACTTCGGACTTACCACGACAAGCGCTAGTGATGTGCAGCTACTCGATGATGAGATAAGGAGTAAGAATAACGAACTGCACACTCACATCAAATGGTGGCTCTCGAGCATGACAACCTTCATTCAACAACCCTATCTAGGTGTTCGACGTAACCGACAAAGGAGTACTAAACGTCGAAAAGTTTAAGGACGTTATGGCCAGTCTTGGGGAACCGCTTCCGATATCACAAATCGCAGAGATTATGAACGAGGTATGTTGATGTTGATGTCTCTATTGAAGTGAATAAACTCAAAATTGAAGAACTACTAGGATGCAAATTATTTGGTCGTGTGTCAGCGCCAGCGCGTTGTTCTAAAAACACACAAGGTTGACGTCGACGACGACGGAAATTTTGACTACGTTGCATTAGCGAAGACGCTTTGCCAAGGACCAAAGGGACTGCCGATTCACTAGGTGGGCTGCGATGGATAAGTAGAAGGGCGCGTGGGTTCTTGAAGTTCTTGGTCCGCACGCTGCCACGAGGTTCTTTTTTCGCCGAGCGGTTTTTTTTGCAACACGACCAACCTGAGCAGCGTATAGGCAATTCGGGGAACAGGGATCGCAGATCGTCCAAGATGAAGAGAAGAGGATCCATCGATGCAAGTCATGCCGGTTGATGTGTTCAGATTTTGCAGGAAGACAAAATTATTCCGAACCACGAGAACACAGCTGGTGCCTCATTGGAACTGATGAAAAGGAAAATTGTCCTCGTCGAGAATACAGCAGCAAGGGCATTGCTAGGAGTTACAACAGGAAAGCGCCACTGTGCTCCTGCGTGACAGGGGCGAAAGTGGAAGAATATTAAATGAGCAACAGCTACCTACACCTATTCGCAAGATAGTACCTGGTGGTTGAGGATCGTGTTGCATCCCGTCGTTTCTCGTCACAAATGCAAGAAGACCAAAACAAGGATTTGGCTTCGCGTGTGAGTGTGTAGCGATTGATCTTTAAGAACCGACGGGACCCATTTATTTATTAGTGGTGAGCGAATCTTCTTCTTCAACGCAGAATGAAAGGACCCTCTTCTAACATAACAACATATCGCCGCCAACGAACATGATCGCCATCGTCTTTTACGACTCTTCATTGTCCAATCAGTGAATATATTCATCGCTCTTGTTGTGTCGCGTGTCGCTCATCGTATCTGCATTCGGGTCGCTACTTCGGAGTAACAGCTTGTTTACATTCATTTTGTGTTGACGATCGTTCGTTCTTTCAGTCGCTTCGCCCTGTGGTCGTGTCAGTTCGATTCAATTTCAAACACAAAGCCAAAGGTGGAGCAAGAGATTGTAAAGTTAAAGTGTTAAAAATAGCCTTAGCCTTGCAAGTGGGCTAAAGTCGCATCGCCTTCGTATATCGATTCTACATCAATGGATCGATAAACCCAATCTGCAGTCTCCACTATCCGCTCACCACCGTCAAGGTGCAGCTTCGTCCACTTCGTACAAGAACAAAACTTACTTTTGGAACAAGCGCTAAAGCAAAATGAGCGAAAGTGATCTGTTGTGCTCGGAGGAGCACGAGCAGGGTCGTCCGCAACGCGGCTCGGAGGAACACGAAACTCGATTCGCTTGGGGCGGAGACGGGTACAATCATGAAAGTGAAACAATCGCGGGAGGCAGCAAGCGGGACAAGGCCGCTCGTGCGCGCTTTTGCCTGCTGACTGCGGTGTGCTGTCTAGTGTTTGCAGGGTACGTCGTTCCGCGCTTGAAGAGTCATTTTAACTTGACCCGCAACCTCCTTTCTCGAGCTGACGGCCGAAACAAGAAGCACCGGAACGATCATGCAGACTACACTGCTCACGGGGGCGAGGAGCAGATGAAGAAGGCGCGCAGTGCAGCTGCTGCCCGGAACGCCGAACAAGGTGAGAGTTCTTCGGAAAGAACTGCTAGTGCATCTACTTCCTCGGCCGGGGGCACCACTACTTCTAGGACATCAAGAACGATCTCGAACTCGCAAAGCGAAACCAGTGGTCCCGACCAAAAGACCACGGAACTCGACGACCAGCTGAAGGAGGATATCTCTCTGAATGACGACGCCCTGCGATATTTGTGCGGCGGGCAAAGTGTGTTCTTTTCCCCAGCAGGAGCAGCTGCTCCTACAACTCCAACCCCAGGAACGACAGAGATGTTGTATTTCGCGCTGCCGTTTGGGAAGGACCTGGACGCAAGTTTCGGCCTCTGTTGGGAGCACTTCTCCGCGAAAGTGCCCGCGCTCGATTGGGAGTACTTTGAAGGTATTTTCAATTCCAGCCCCGTGGTGACCCCGGAAGAGGAGGTCGCGACGGGAAAAAGCCGAGACGACATCCAGAGCATGTTTGACACCAGCGGGCCCATCCGGCACTGGTACCCGTTTCAAGAAAAATCCCGCCTCGACGTCGCTCCTGCCGCTGCAGAGCATAGAGCCGCCGTCGACGGACAGGTGTCCGGCGTAGGAGCGGTTGGGTCGCACCCATCTTCCCCAGGAAAAAGAGTTGTAGATGACGCGGTCCAGTTGCGAGAACGGAAGACCGAACTCCTGGATGGTTTCCGCATGTATCCCGAAAATGGAATCACCGCCATGTACGTTCTGCTGATCGACCCGCAGACGCAAAAGGTGGTGTGGCACGCTATGACTTGCTGAAACGTTACAATCTCAAACGTTGCAATAGAGTCTGGAATTTGATGTGTTGCATGATGGGCATGACAGACTCGCACAGCGTTCCACCTTTTGCAATACAAATTTCCCCAGATAATTGTAGTGGGGTTTGGAGCTCCGGAACTTGTCATGCGCAACCCTATGAGAGCTGGCTAGATCGTGCTCATCATGCAAGACAAGTCTCAGATTCTATTGTAACGTTTGAGATTGTAACACCTGAGCGGCTTATACACGCGACCTGGCAGCACCCCGAAAACGACTTCTCGTTCCGCACCGGGTACCTGTGGACGCTGCAAACCGCGAAGGCGTTTCGGGGAAGAGGCTTGTGCAAAGCCGGGGTGCAGCAGACGTTCGCGGTCATGCAGCGACTGTACAACAGCCCACGCAGCGCGAAGTACTTGCAACAGGTCTTTCCAAAAGAGTACGAAACAAATAGGGCGCAGCTGCTCACCAGACAAGCACGAGATGACCCGGCAGACGAGACGCACTTTTTGAAAAAGCTGCTGATCACGGATGGCAGCTGGCTGACCGTCTCCTACGACTTCAAGGACTGGAATGAGGTGGACACGCGGCTGCCCACCCAAGCCGAGCTGGCCGCGCAGCGGTGGCTTCCGCCGGGGCACCGCGCGATGGCCCCGGGGGTGCTGGAAAATACCATCTGGAAGTACACCAAGGACGAGCCCTTCCACCTGTACCTGATCGACAACTACGCCCCCGTGGACCTGGGCGCGTTTGCACCAGCGCCCGTCGTAGTTCCAGCTGCACCTTCTACTCCGGTAGGACCGACCGAGCAGATGAAGGACGACGAAAATCGTAAAGATCATGATTTGGAGCCAGAGCCGACTGCTGCCGTGATGTTTCAGGCGGTGAAGAATCACCCACAGCCGATCGACGGAATCGCGAACACGTTTGCGTTATGAACTGCAAAAGTATCGTGGTACTCCTAGGAATTGCAGTCATGCATTACAAATCTCCATCCCAGGTTAAAACAGCATGACAAATGGAAGTATTGCAATTTCTACGGTGGAAGTGCGATGCTTTTGCAATGCATATGCGTGTCCCTGCTACCGTGCCCCCTGGAAGGAAGGAAACTACGGAGAACCGGCCTTACTGTTGAGCAGTTTCGGCCCCCAGAAAATCGGGCTGGAGATGCAGAAGGACGCAGTTCTTCTTGCAACTTCGTCCTCTTCAGTGACGGCAGGAGCTGCTGGCTCCGCCTTGCCCCCCGCCGGCCGTGGCGGAGGACCTGATAGTACGAACGAGAGCGACGTCGCTGTGAAAGATACGCACCAGATGAAGACTACACTCGTCCCGGACCGTCCAGATCATGGTGGAGTAAAGTTACCAATTAGAAGCAGTAGTACCGACGGGGACAGCGACATCGTTACTGAAACGGTGCAGGACTGGCGGCCCACGTACGTGTACGACATGCCGAAGTTTGGCGCAACCACCGTCCAGCAGAATCGCCTTCCGGCCATCCCCGAGACGGATTGGGTCACCAACGACGAGTCCGTGCTGCCGCAGCAGCAGGAAACCGCCCGCGAGCTGCAGCGCCGGGCCTGGCGCGAGGCGGAGGTCGCGCGCGAGGCGGCCGAGAACAGCTTCGCCGGGGTATCAAAATGAAAAATCCCCCCACCCCATACTCAAACCAGAAATTTGTGATGCAGATTTGTGGTCACAAATCAGCTTTGTCATGCTAGAACGGAAAAGATGCGGACTGTAGTGCTGGTTGGCGTGGGAAAGCCTTGCATCTTCAGCATGACAGGGGGCAGCTGGAAGTGGGAAACAGCATGACAAATTACCTGCAAACGAGGCCACAGCTGCGTCTCTTGGCCTTCTAGCATTATAAGTCGATTTGTCTACTCAAATACAGCATCACAAATTTAATTTTCGATATGGGGAGGGGGGATTTTCCCTTTCAATACGGGGAGGAGCATGCCTTCCTGACCGCGAAGAACGCAGGGCCGGAAACGCTTTCGATCTACAAACCCGCTGGCGACGCGGTGAAGGCCGACAAGCAGGCCATGAATGATTTTCTCGCGACCGCCACGCCCGAGCAGCTGCGGCAGGTGGCGCCCCTCTCATCTCCCCGTGTTGAAGAAGATGGTGTCGGAGGTCGTGGTGGGGAAACCGGACGAGGAGGTGATGCTGATGGAGATGAACGAGGCGGTCCTTCATCGTTCGAGGAAAAAATCCTGCCAACTGTGCAAGTTGTGGGCGCGCCAAAAACTTCATCACAAAATCAAGGAGAATCCTCGACCACAGAAGACGCACCCGCAGCGCACGAAGACGAACAAGAAACGGCCACCGCTCCAGGAAAAGCAACAGCAATGTCGAAAACCAGCCGTGGACATGAGTGACGCCGTTTTGTCGCATGGTGTACGGCTGGGATGAAGAGACGTGCTTTATGCAGCCAGGGGTAAGCACGCATGGCTACCGGCAGTGAGTAAGAGTATTTAATGAATTGATTCATTTATCGCTAAAGTCAAAGGAAAGCTGAAAAACTAAGTCTCTCTAAGGCTAGTAATGTCGCAGTTGTAAAAAGAACCGAGTTACAAACGAAAATTGGAAAAGTCATATACTTGTACTGAATAGCACCCGCCCAATGGTATCTGTTTTCTCCAAACTCACTCGACTGTACCAATTGATCCTGCTTCCTGCTACGCTGTAAGTATCTAGTCAGACCACGACGAGCCACGAGGGACGTAAGTACACGTATTATTTGATTTCGTTTCTCTTTGTTCATCGTGGGGATTTACCGAATGTTTGTAAAAAAATGAAATGAAAAATCCACGTTGCTTCTATCCCACCCTGTTTGTAATTGTATGATGAAAAGAAAAAGATAAAGATGATAAGAATTTTAACCTAGCCATATTGGAACTTTGTATGGAAAGGTTGATTTGCACTTGCGTCTGCATCTAGCTACCTAACGAAGGTCCCAGCAGCAGCCTTTGTGTTTGATGCGCATGCAATTGGTCTCCGATACCGATGTTTCTCGCGGCCGCCGAAAACTGCATGATCACCATCGCGTCTTACGACGTCGGTTGGCCATAGCTTTGGAAAATTCGTTGCAGTGTCGGTTGCTTAATGTGGTGTGCTCGTGAACTTCTGCAGAAGCCAGCTCGTTGATCAGCGGGAAATGAGACCTTCTCTAAGATGGAATTGAAACTGATAAACCGGAAGGTTGGGTCTCTTTTTCGCATCGCGTCGCGGGTCGTTTTGTTGATCGCGAAAAAGAAAATATGCGATCGTTCCCTGTCGACGTTGAAGTTCATGATCGTCATCGTTTTTAGTTCCTTCAGCCACCTCGCTCTGTCGTCTGTCATCCTGGTCGTAACGCCCTCGCGATTCAATAAGAACAAACACTCTTTGTCCACGGAAGTAGTTGCGGCATCGTGTACTAGCCGAACGATCAGGTTTTTTGACAATGCCGGCATCTTTTATTTTGTTTTGAAAGAGGAGGAGGACAGTAAAACTAAAAGAAGAAGAACATTCATAAGAATATACTAATTTGAAAATGGAGGTCACCCTTCGCATTCGTGCCGGGCTCCGTGGTGGACAGGAAAGTGAAGACTTACTGCTTCCCGTAGACCCGAAAGTTGTGGCCACAATCGGCGACCTTTCCGAGCACCTCAGCAAACACGACTACAATCTATTTCCCAAGGGGAATCTGCTCCCACCGCCGAGTTTGTTTCGGTGGATGAAGAGACCGTTTGGAGGAGGCGATGAGCAGGAGGTCGAACATCAAGACCATCACGGGAATTTTGTCGATACCCCCGACGAGGATCGGTATCGTCTATGCTGGGCGGCCACCCCGTCGGACTGCGATTCTGCTCCAGCGGGGAGCCCCGTTCCTCGTGCAGATGCTGATGACGAGGTGGGCGGGGAAACTACAACTAGTAGCCACGAAGATGTCGTGTTGAAGGAGAGTGACGCAATTGATTTCGAAGAATCTGATGCCGTTCTCTACCATTTGGTGATCACCGACGAGCGGTCCTACGACAAGGCGATCATTCAGTACTTAATGCGATTCCCATCAAGTGCGCAGGAGGAGGGAAGAAATCTACGAGGACAAGCGGGGAAGAACCTCCGGACAAATGAGGACGAGCTACGGGTGGAAAACCAGCATGATGAAGATGTTGAGGACGTTGAAATAACTGAAGACGATCGGTTGCTCCGATTGATGTCGGAAGACGACCGGAAAATCTATTCCCGGTACCCATCGAGAGTTTTGCGCATGCAAAAGCTGCAGTGCTTGCTCCGTTCTGGCGTGCTTTCCAAAGTGGCGCTCCGCGAAATGCTGTACGATCAGGTCTACCTGGAGGGGATCATGACCGAGGAGGAGAATCGTGATGACTCCACGAGCGACGACGACGAACTGGTAGAGCTGCCACCCATCCCGGCGCAGTTCACCGACGCGGTTCGCTGGTGCTTTCCCGGAAAGTGGGAACTGTGGTCGACGTGGAATTTTCACTACGAGCGACACTGGGATTTGGTGCAGCTGATTCTGGAGCTGCCCGAAGCCGAGCGGCAAAAGCACGCAAAGCAGTCCGGTCAGCAGATGTTCGAGAAACGCGAGCTCCAAGTGCTTGCCATGAACGTCTTGAAGCACGTGCTGCTGAGCCACGACCCCGAATGGATTCCCGTAGGCCACGATTTACGTGGTGACTTATTCGGGCGTCCGGCTCGAGCAGGTCTTGGTGGACAACAGCAAGCAGATGGTGCTGGCCAGCACGGCCCAGCAGGGAACTTTGGGTTGTTTGGACCTCCGCCGCCACCGGAGGACCCGCTGGTTGCCCCGACTACGCGGAGAACCCTAGTGACACTGAGGGATGACTTACCCGAAAAGTACAAGCGAATCCTGATCCCCAAAATCCTCGTGCCCGCCCTTGAACTCGCGAAAGAAGCCAACTTCCCGCTGGCATCGTCGTCAGACGGATTTCTTCCGTTCTTCGCGGACCAAGCGGCCAGCGTCTTTATCTCGGAATTTAATCTACGGTTCCCGAAAGAACTGGACGAATTGTGCTGGAGGGGGTTCTTCCGGGCATTGTCTGCGCCGGAGCGGGAGACGTTTCTGAACCGTTTGTTTGCGGGACCACGCGAGCGATACAGGAACATTGATCATCCGGACGGTGCGCGAATGGCGGGGCCCCTGTTCGGTACCGGTGGATCGATACCGGCGAGGTGGTTTCGAATCGTGTCTGATTGTGCAGCGCGACCCTATGTGCTGCCGGAGCGACCGGCGCAGCGTCCTCGTGCTCCAGACCCCCTGCGAACGGATTTTCGGGTCCCGAGGCCGATGCCGGTGCGCGCGGAGCGGCAGGCGGATGTGGAAGCGAGGGGGCGCTTTGCCGGCCGTCTCGCGGGAGGGCGGGGCAACGAGGGCGGGGGCGACGAGAACAACCAGGCGGGAGAAGATCGATTTACCTTCACGCACGTACTGGGTTTCATGCTGGCCGGCGCACTGATCTTTTTCTCTGCGCTGTTCTACATACTGACGGCCATGATGCAGGAGGTGGTCAAAGCCGGGACAGAAAAGTGGAAAAATGTAATCAGTACGGCAGTGGAGCTGAAAACCACGGCTGTGAAAACTCTGACAGACTTCCCGCGAGCGGCGCTGAAGAAGGTCCTGAAGTTCTCCAGGCTCTGTTGCGGCTCCCTTGCGGAGAAAGGTTTTCGGATGATGGAGAGAAGGGTGGGCAAAAAAACGAAGGGGGTATAATTCGAACTCCTTGAAATGCGCGCAGACCTGCTCGCCATTTCCAACTTGATTATTCGTGAATCGAAGTGACTCAGGTCCAGGTGCGTAGTTGTAAAGTTTGTTGAGATTTTTGACAACCATTTCTATTACATCTTTTCGTGCAGAAGCTGCTTCTGCATACAGCCTGCTTCTATCTTAATATTGCTATTGGATTTATTCGCATTCGCTTTCGCATTCTATCTTGAACTACAAGTGTTTCGCAATTGCATATTGGTTCTGGTATGCCCACCGTACTGGAAACTGAAGAAATTCTCTTGTTAGCAACTTTCTGTTTCAATCAAAACTGTACCTATGTTGTTTGCTCTCTTAGCAGTTGGTCTTGATATTCATTGCAATCGAAAAAATTATGCGAGTTTCTGCAGAATGTTTAATATCGATATCCTAGAGACAGTTTCTTATTTGAAAGTGAACTACGTATTTAGTTCGAAAGAAAAAGTAAATGGACGCGTGCGATACATGGACGCTACCGCTAGATAGGATCCACGAGTTTATTTCGCTCCCAGAAGAAAAACCTTGTCCTCGTGATTCTGATTTGATGCGCCGCAAGATTCCTTCTTTTGAAAAGTAGAGGGGGAGCAGCAACGTCAACGTGCTTGAGCTGGCGTTCCAGTTCATCGTTCGACTCGTAGCAAAAACTAAAAGATAAGGTTTTGATGTCGGTTCCAGGACAGTTGAAAAAACTCAATTTGCGGTGTTTGCTTCGTTCGTCCCGTTTTTCTTGAGGTTTTCGTACGCGTTTGCGTTTGTGCAGTTTTCGTCTCGTGCAACAAATTTCGTCCTTCTTTCGACGTAAAGACGCTTTATGTGGTTCGTGTATCCTGGAAATTCTAGACAACGTTCACGTCCAATGAATCGCCTGGCGAGCAACTGCAGATGGAAACTATTAGAACCCGATGATGCAGCTCCAGCTTTTACCTGCACCCCGCGGTAAGTGTAAGTGTTATTTTTCGCCAATTAATAGTACATTCACTTAGAGTCAGAGAACAACTGGCATTGGCTCTCCGCAGCCAGGCTGGCTCCTGACCTGTGTTGAACATATACTCTCTCTACTTGCCCACTGCGTTCAATACTGGTCGTTACCCTCCTTAAAGGGGCACAAAAAAAATAAACCACACGACCATGGCGCCGACTCCGGCTACGTCTTCCTCCTCTCCCCTTCGGGAGAAGAACGCGGAGATGCGGCAGCGTGCGAGCTCCGCCGACATGTCCTCGCTGCAGTGGCTAAACGTGATCGTCGGGACCTTCTGGCCGCACACAAAAACCGCCATCCAGGACATTGTGGAGAAGCAGCTGATCCCCGAGATCCAGAAGCAGCCCGGCTGCTCCGAGCTCCACTTCGCAAGGTTTAATTTAGGCAGTAGGGCCCCGAGCTTCGGCCCGATCCAGGTGCACCGACACCGGGACAAGCTCGGCCGGGAAAAACTGCACATCCAGCTCGCGATCGAGTACAACAGCGACATTGACATCTTACTGGACAGCGGATACCAGGCCACTGTCGGTACTAAGCTTTAGTGATAGGAATGGAGTAGCAGGTTCTGCTGTAGCTTCGTCTTTGATGAAGGAAACAAGCGACGTTTGTTTCTTTTGTTTCACTCGTAGCTTCACTCGTAGCATTATGATAGGATTGTCGGCAGCACAGCGGCGCATGATTGAGATTGATTGTGTTTGTCTTTACTTTTTGAGCTGTGCTACTTTACGAATAGGACGTACAGACTAACATCTTCTCCCTACACAACGAGCTCAACCAACTTTATCAGGTATCAAGGGCATAACTTTCAACGGCAATGTGAACGTCGTACTGGGGCCCATGCTGGACGCCCTCCCATTAGTCGCCTGCGCACAGGTCTTTTTCGCCACGAAGCCAGAAATAGCATTCGAGTTTGACGGTAAGGAACAGGGGCACTTACACTGAATTGCTTGTGCTTGTTCTGCTTGACTCCTACTGGAAAATTACCCCTTTATTTCTGTGTACTACTATGAAAAACAAAAACACGAACAGATTTTTCTGTATAACAAGATGATGATTAGTTTGTGAAAAATATGAAGAGCATATTTTTCGATTTTTCAGGTTTCCTCGGCGCGTCCGGTGGTTCCCTCGAGCAGTTCATAATTTCCACCGTGGAGGAACAGATCTCCAAGCAATTCTTGCTGCCGAACCGCTTGGTGCAAATGGTTTGCCTGGATAAGAAGCTGGTCGATGATCTCACCGCCGCGGCCACCTCTGTCCCCAAGGGGGTGCTTTGCGTCCGAGCCAAATCCGCGAAGAACCTCGCCGGCGCCGACTGGCAGTGGAGCAGCGAGTCTGATTCCTTTTTATCAAACCCGTACCCAAAATATAAACTCGGCGGCAGCCAACCAGTCATGGGTCCGGTAAGACAAAAAACCTGCGCACCGAACTGGAGTGGGGGCACGAACACGGCGGGTGGCAGTAGTTCCTCCACTTCGACGCAAGGAGGAGAAGAGGAGGACAACTTCGCGCACTTTCTGGTCTACTCCACCGACCAATCGTTCTCCGTTGCGGTGAAACACGACCCAAAAGCGGGCGCGAGCAATCCGCTGATGACGTGGAGCAAAAGCGCAACGAGCGGCACGACGTTCCTCGGCGACAGCGACGAGATACCGCTCTTAGATTTACCGGAGCACTGGCAACGACTCGACGGAGAAAAATCCAGTCACTTCACGCAAACGATAGTCCTAAACACGAAACTCGTGCAAAAAGAGATGCTGCATGCCAATGACCCGGTGGCGCTTGGTAATAAAATTGGAGTTTGATGTAGTTCTCCAAGTCCAATGCCTGCTTACATATTATGGTAAATGCTCGTTTATTCCTGCTTGAGATGATGAACAAGTAGATCATCTTCCATTCTAAAATCTTTCATTCGTCAACGAACAACCCATAAAATCGCAACAGGCACCGCCCCTTCCCTCCTGGAGCTCGAGGCTCAGTGGCTGAAGCTGAGCAAGCAGCCCCCGACAGAGAAGCCGCAGTCCTCGATGGCGAAACCGCACGTGGCGCTCTTTGTCAAAGTCCATGATGCGCGGGGGGTTTCGCAGAAACTCGTCGAGGAAGGTTTGTCGGTAGAGGCGGTTGTGAAGACAGCCGGTGGATCATCAACTTCCTCCTCTTCCTCGGCACAGAAAAGTAAATCCGCCAGACTCCGAGCGATCACCGGCAAAGCGCACTTGGAGCTCGACGAAGAGGAGCTGGACAGCTTGGCCGCGAAAAAGTCCGATCGGGGAAATATCTACGGAAAAATCGCGTATATCGTGGATAAACTGGTCGAGAGGAAGATGAAGGCCAGCGACATCGCGGACATAATCGGCATGAAGGTCACTGATGTGGAAAAGTACATAGCGTACAAGATAGAGCAGGACGCGAAGCAGACCCGGATGAAGCTGAACCCGCAAGCGACCGCCCTGGAAACGATGAAACAGAATAAGGAAGCGCGGTGGAGCGAGGTTCTGTTCCTCTGCATGCCGGAAGAGGACGTCGTCATGAGCGACTTGTGGGTAAATTTGGTCACGTCCGGGGGTACGACCAGCATAGGGCAGCTCGTGTTCTCCCTACAGATGCTCAAGCAAAATGGCGGGGAGCTGAAGCGTATCATTTACGATACAACAGCTTTTCTGTAGTAGACATCCATCACTAATTCTGACATTAATGTCCTCTTTGCAGTTAGGCTTTTAGTTTTGCTACGGACTGGTGCAGTTTCCGTTGCAAGCCAAAAAAACTCATATACATATACAACCTGGTGCTGCTCTTTTCTTCTCTTTGAAATGAAATTGAAATTCCCTCTATACCCACTTGTTTATGAATATGTATGAACAACACTATCAGGCGCCAGGCACAGTTTGAAGCCACCGGCGGAGTCCCAGCTGATGCAAACCGCGGCGGCCGCAGCAACCCCGCTGAACCAGCTCTCCAACTGGTTTTTTTCCGCGACCAAGTCTGCGACGAACACGTGCACGCAGTCCCCGACCAGTCCGGGGGGGCAAAAGAGGAAAGTCGTCGCCGACGCCATTGATCTAGAGTTGGAGGTAGAACTGCTCTACCTCGTCCCTGATTCTATCCCCCAGTCCGATTACGACGAGGAGTCTATCGAAGAGGAGCCGAGCCCCAACAGAACGAAACAGGGCCAGACGAATGGAAATTTAAAGGCTCGGGTCAGCTACGTGGGAGAAGACGAACTGTCGCAACCAAAACCGGTGGCTATGCTGAACAGTGGTGCGGCCGCCGGGGGAAGTAGCAGGAGAGTGTGATCATTATAATTATATCAATTTCAATGTAGGAGAAAAAAAATAAAAAAATGATCAGCTTTGCACTGAAGTCTCCAGCAGCTGAATTTCATTTGGTTGCGCGTGCTGGATATGGAGTTGGAGGTGCCTTATGCTGCGACCTTGCTGTGATCAACTGAAACTGATTGGACTTGTTAACTACAAAGTCGGCAGAAGATATCTGTGTCTGTCGACTGACTTGCGAAAAAAAAGACGCGTAATCCGACACCGACGAGGTGCCTGGTATTTGATGCTTTGCAGTGTTCCTCGGCAGTCAACGAGAATTAGGTGGTCCCCGATTCGACAGAATCAGGGTGTATGATGTTTTTGATTGCGTTCTTCCTTCAAGTCGTGTTTGGTGTGATTTTTTTCAGAGCAAGATCGTCGATGCCGTTCTTCTCCTCGTCCTCGCCTTCGTCAAACAAAATCGTGCAGATGATTGGAAAATAGGCTAAGCTGTACGAAGCTGGAAAAGCTTATCAAATAGATACTGTAAATAATGCACTTCTAATGGAGGTGCTGCACAGCAGGTGCAGGACGAGTAGCGTCAGGCTTTGTCTTGTTGCTGGTCGTCCTCGCTTCCTATATTGATCTCCAAACTTCTCGTGCTTGTCGTTGATCGTGCGTGTCGTGCTGTCAAAGTCAGTGCTTATGCACTAAGTTTTACCGCACTTAGATTTTAGCCAATCATGCGCACAAGTACTGATTATCATAAGGCACTTATGTTGATAAAGTCTGCCTCTGCGTCAGGCTATTTTAGGAATGATTCCAAATAATTCGCAGCAGAACTACAACATTTGTGGGGTTCAGTTTGCAACTTCAGCTTCCCATAGATATTCATACTGTGACTCCCCGTCCCCTTGTTTTGTTGGTGGCTTACTACATTTGGTCTTGTTCAATTTTTCATGCCCGACTAGATTGTTATTCTTGTACCACGATCGCTCTCAAAAGCGTGAACTGGCCGTGATTTGAGCTTTTTAGAATGTTGTTGACAACTCGCCCCCCTGACAGATCAACGGCGCAATCGTCCTCTGGCCCGGTGTCAGCAACACGAAGCCGAAACATGCAATCGCGTCTACAAAACACAACAACTTCTTCCACTGCGCAAGAGGAGTTGCCTCCACGAGAGGGCCTTGCTGGTGGAAATTCGGTCGAGAATGATCAAGAACTAGGAAAAGCGACAACTACAACGACCTTGGGTCTGCAGCCAGATAAAGATAAACAAGTAGTTGAGGCAGAGCTACTTGATGCGCCCCCTGCAGATGAACAAGAAGTTGACCTGTCCTCAGCAGCTAATCCTACTGCGGCACGCGAATTATTATCAGAAACGAAATCCGCGAAGATCAATCGGTACCGTCTGCTCCAGCAGAAATTCGTCACCGAATACCGCAAATTGCTTCATACGGTAAACACCTTCCGCAGCGCAACATTCCAGGTCAGGAATAAACTGGACAAAGCCGAAGCGATCCTGTTCACGCCGCTCACCTTCGAAGCGAGGAGGCGTGGTCATGTCATCAATGTTGTGGAGAACGCCAGCGGGGGAGAGCACCAGAGCGAAGAACAGATCCAGGTAAAAAAAGGCGACCACAAAAAGCATGACAGACCACTTCTACCCCCTTCCTGGACTTCCCTCCCACTCTTGGAGTATGGTTTCTACGAGAAGTTTTTCCAATCGCCGTCCGCCCAGCTCTGTCTCGTCTCCGACTACTTCACAGCAGTTTTGTCAATGGAGGAAAGAAAGGGGATCTGGAAGAAGCTAATCGGCGGTCGGCGGAACGAGGCGACACTACGAGAAATCACCTGCCTGGTGTTGCTCGCTCGGACGGAACAGCTACCGCGGTTTCGCGCGTGGGTGATGCAGATTAATAACAGGAGGAAAACGAAAGGCAGTGCTGCGGTCGTCGTGGAGGAGCCTCAGCTCCCTGTTGCAGTTGCAGAAGGGGCGATTGTTGCAAGCACCACGGATCGACAAGTAGTAGGAGGCAAAGTAAAGAGAGAAAAACCCATGGCGGGGACGAAGCTTCTGGGCGGTAGAGATTTTGAGTACACGACAGACTTCGTCTCCGTATCCTCTTTGGACAGGTGGGATGCTGTTTTAGAGAAGTTTCCGCCGAAATCTGAACAGCAGCTGACACCATCGATTTCGAGGAATGAAGAGGTGGCCGACTTGCTTGCAAAGACAGCTGAGCAGGGACGGAATCAGGATCATGCGAAGCCGAAAAACTCCTTCCGTGCGATTCTTGATAGGCTAAGCGAATTTCAGGTCGCGGAGGACCAAAGCGTGGCCGATGCGAACAACACCACACTGAAGGCAGGGTCGAGTGTGGGAAGGACAGACCACAGCGAGACATCACATGACCCGCACGACATCTTATCCCACCCGGCGTTTTCCATGCGTACCGCCAAGGGAACGCCGATACTGAGTGCGAAAGTCCGCGCGCTGCTGCACGTAAAGCGATTTGTGTCCGCGTCAGCGTTGTTGGTCAGCAATAAGAAAAAACAAGAGCAAGAGCAGGGAATAACTTCCCAGAATCTACTTCGGGCAAAAATAAAACACGTCGACGAGGAACAGCAGCAGCAAGAAACAGAAAGCGTAATCGCAAACCAAAGAGAAAGCGCTAGCGCAGTCCCACCTGCAGTAGTAGGCACAAGAAGTGAAATAGGACGACCTGTTGCACCTCAAAAGGCGGCCGCCCTGGCGGACGATAGTGCTATGCTGGCTAGTACCGACAATATAAATAGAGGCGTGACGGCACAGCAAGAAGTGCTACAGATAGGCGATCGCTCCCCGCCTCAGTCGACCGGCTTCGGCCAAAACACGGCTGGTTCACCAGCTGTTGTACCTCCTGATGCTGCGTCTATGCTGGTCGCCTCACCAGCAGCAAAAGCGTCCACGGTTGAGGAACAGAGCCGGCAAGAGAAGACCACGGCAGGGGCGCAGCTGCAAACCGGTGGTGCTAGTAGCCTGGAAAGCGTAAGCGAAAGTGGACCACGACCTGCAGCCATAATGTCCCAGGAAGCTACTCCTACTTTGGGTGCAGCTACAGAAGCCCCTTCTACTGCAGAGCAACGAGGACTCGTTGTCAATTCACCGACGAGTCAGCCCTCATCTTCGACTCTTGCAGTTGCCGCACCTCCTGCTTCTCCCGGCCCTACAGTACCACCAGCTACTGGTTCTTCGGAGGCAGCCTCCGCCAGGACTGTCCCAGCAGTTGCAGTTTCTCCTCCCGCTGCAGCCAGCGTCAATACCACCAGGGCAGTGGAAAATACCAAGCAGCAGCAGCAGGGCGAAGCCGTCCTTTTGACCAACGCGACGGATGCGGAACTCCGGTTCCACGTCATTCTCGTGGATGCGAGCGCGAAACTGGGCATCAAAAAATCCGGACCGCCAAATCTCGAGGACTTGCATATCCTCAGTAAAAACATCCCCACACCAGAGTCAAGATGGGGATTTTGCAACACAAACCTAGAACTTTTGGAGGTCACGCATCACAAGTTGCAGTCCGTAGTGTAGTGCAGGTTCGCAAGGCCAGCTGCGTCAGAAATCCATCTGCTCATCCTGTTTACACCATTACAAATTCCAAAACACGACTAAAAATGCCTTTCCTGGCGATGCGCATTACAAATGTTCCTGTCATTGCAAACCTGCGTAACAACTCTGGCGTGGGTACGTTTTTACATAGGATATTGCAACTCCTGCAGTCCACGAATTTGAAACAACAGATTTTGGTCTCCAAGGTGACCTATCAAATGTAAAAATGTCTGGGTCTGGAAGATTGGAACTTGTGATGCTAAATCTGAATCATGTAAAAATCTGTGTTGCATGATTACCAAAAGCTGTCCACTTTTGACCTAATCGGGGGGCAATTTCTCATGCAGGATAGGCATGATAGAACTCTCACAGAATCTGTCATGCTATGTCCTACATACAAGACCTCATGGGCCATGGAAAACCTGCATGACAAAGCAGGCAATCTTCCAGACCCAGACATATTTGCAATCCATATGACCCAATTTCAGGCGGCTGACTTGGGCCGGGTGCGGGTGTCGGACCGGATCCACGCGCTGGACGGCAAAACGGTGATCAACGCGGATAAGCTGTACAGGGGCGTGAACTTCACAGAAAGAGAATTCCGGGACGTGTTGCAGAAACAGCGGCCCGTCGCGGTGGAATTCGCTCGCCCACTTTACTGGAAGGAAAATTTCAAGAAGAATCCCCTTGTTTCCTGTCTGTTTCTGGAAATGCCACTTCCATCAACTCCTGCAGCAGCTCCTGACGTAGTTGACGGCGCTGCTAATTCTAAGAATCAACAGCAGATGAACCAGATAAAACTCGGATTCCACAAAATCGGGCTCTACGCCTATGCGAGCGCAAGTAGCAAGCCAATGATTGCAACATCTTCTGGTGCGCCGGCGAAAGGGAACAAGGGTGGAAAAACTACGCAGTTGCAAAGGGCAACCAAACCGCGAAACTCCGTCTACTTCGTCACCCGTGTCAAGCCAGGGGGGTTGGCGGAAAAAGCAGGGGTGAAAGTGGGGGATAGAATAGGCATCCGGAAAAACTACGCTGCTGAAGACCACGCGGTGATGAACAACCAAAACCAAAACGCCCGAATTTGCTCCTTCGATTTCGAATTCGAGCAAGTCATTAAAGCCAGCCGATCCCCACCACAGCTACCAGAAGTGCAGGCTGCCGCAAACAAGAACAAACCGTTGACCGTTCCCGCACAAGATTCTTCCCGCGCATCTACGCCGGTGGCCAGAACGATTGCGAAGCTGCCGGGTTTGAGCGGGGTTGTAGTTGCAGGCAATAAAAAGCAAGGATCATCTACGGCAAATCGTCAACCTTCGGCGGCGCCAACTCCAACACTGGTCTTCGTCCGGCCATACTACCAAAAGTACAATTATGCGACCGCCAACCTTATCACCCTCGAGTCCTTCGACCCCGCCGAGAAACTGGGAATTACCAAGGTCGGCAGTTTGGACTATGAGAAGAGCGGAAAATGCGCCGCATTTGTGTTGCTAAACGACAACCCGAAAACATCGTCTACCGGTGCTGGAGCCACTAGTACTGACGTCGCGACGGCGGAGATGAAGAACACTGCTACCACGACCACTGCGGCGCAGCGGTGCGGGATAAACAACGGTGACCGGATTGTGTCGGTCAATGGTATTCCGGTGGAGGAAATTGGAAGTGATATCAAGTTCCGACAGATGTGTAAAAAACGACCGGTGAAAGTGGTCTTCGCAAGGGATGACTATGGACTGGTGTACCCGGACGCGCCGTGGAGTTTTGTCGGGACACCAGCGGCTCCAGGCAGAGGACCAGTGCAGCCTGCGAGGCCCGTCGACCCCGGGCTTTCTCTCCGGTATCTGGGGGAACCGCCGTACTGAGGAAGGGAAAGAAACGGGCTGGTGATCATTTCTGATGTGATGTCCAAAAGATAATGATAAAGATCATCCCAGATCGATGAATGAGATTTGATAGCTTCTTGTTCACAGTAGTGGTCGTCTCCCGATGATGCTGCCGAGGAGGTAGTGAGCTGCAACTTTCAGGTGTTGTGCCATCAGGTATGTAGAATAAAGTGTAGTACTCTCGAAGAGGTGGAAAACGGTTAAGCCTCCATGCGGCTCCATATTAATCATAACCAGCAACACGACCACATACTGCTGTAGCGTTTTCTTCCGCAATCATTTCTTTGTGTAGTTCACCGCGATGTTCTTGAACAAGATCACGGCCGATTCACTTTTCGTCCTCTTGGGACGTTCTTGACAAGAAAGATCAAGAAGGCAGGGATCAAATTAAGTGCTCGTCGTTCTTTCATGTGCGGTTGCAGCTGCTGTTGCACTAGTACCAGAACGACCTGCAAGAAGTTGCTGATGAATGATTTTTGTTATATTTCATTGAAAATGAACCGTCTCGTTCGAGTTCGATCGCCTCTCGATTTAGAAGTACGCGCCGAATTGTCTGCTTATTTTCTCGTCTTGACTTAGAGGACGGCGACGGAAGAGGTTAATAAATGAAGGGGAAGTCGACCCCGAATTATAGATATGCAACGGCATGACCATGATCTTTAGCACCAACACGATAAGTTGAAGTTGAAAAGAAGCCCTCGCAACATTATACCTATCCTCGTTTCTCGCAAGAAGCAAGATCAAGAACATGGCTACTGAAGGACTAGGCGTCTTCGGATTCGTGGGTGGCGTGTGGGTGTCGTTAATATTAGTGTGTGAAGGAATAGTAAAAGGAGGACTCGAACAAAAAGTTCGCCATCCCGGAGGTGCGGTTCATCGCGGTCGACGTCCTCGCCGGGCACGATTGATGCGTTACGAAGCGATCGTACAGAAAATCGAGCAGAAAGAAAAGCACAGCGCCTTTTGTGACACGACTTCGATTTCTGCTTGCAGCTCCTAAATTGTAGCTTGTTACAACTACTTCGTGTTTTTACGAAGAAAAATCTAAAGAGTAAGTAGTTCTTCTCGGTGAAGAACGTCATGACCACCGTTGCCATCCGTCCCTCGCAGCAACTGCAACAGCAGGCTGCCAACAAGAACGAGATCACGCTGCGCGGGTCGGTGGACATCATCACGGAGTTTTTTCACTACGCACTGAACAACATTCTCTACCAGCGCTGCATCTACCCGGCGTCGCTGTTCGGTTTCGAAAAGAAATATGGTCTGTCATTGATGGTCACGAAGGACGAGAAGCTGCAGGAGTATCTGACTCAGGTGTTGTCCCAGTTAGACAAGTGGCTGGTTGCCGGTCACGTTAGTCGGTTGGTTTTAGTGTTTCTGTCCGAAAAAACGAAGGAGGCGAAGGAAAGGTGGACCTTTCACGTGGAGCAGGAAAAAAGTATATAAAGTGTTTTTATTGTAAAAGGTGTTAGTTTGAGGTGAAGCTGTAGCATCTATTGCATGCATTACGGCGACTTCTGTTCCGTCACGTGCCGTCCATGCAAAGAGATAATACAATTTCGGACGATTCTGAAACCGAAAAGATAAATCCAGGTTACAGCCATCCAGCGACTTCGTCATCCACATCGGAGCAAGAAGACGCGCCGATGAGTGACGCCAATCAGAATGGGCCACGACCGGATCAACAACATCATCCAGGGCAACTACAAGCGCAAGAACCTGCTCAACCACCGCAGCTGCACAGAGTGAAAAACAAAAACACCAAGTCCATGCAGGAGATTACCCGGGAAATTCAGTCGATCATGCGCCAGATAACCGCCTCCGTGTCCTTTTTGCCGGTGATTGACGAGATTATGGCGTTTGACCTGCTGATCTACTGCGATAAGCAGACCACCGTCCCCAAGTCCTGGGAGGAGGAGCTTCCTTCCGCGTACTCATTGAAGGAAAGCGCGTGCCAGCAGGTGCGTCTGTCTTCCTTTTCGACCTCGGTGCACCGGGTAGACAGCATGGTCAGCTACGCGATGGAAGACTGATCCGATGCTGGTCGGCATTGGAAGGAGTGGCTCAGATCACACGGTAGTTGATGCGAAAGCTGCATTGACAACCCACACCTAAAGATGAAAATGAACGATACAACCTGCGGGATTTTTTGCACTAGAATAAAATGAACACCAGGACGAGCCGTTATTTTGTACTGGAGCTTCTACGAAATCTAAAACTAATACTGTAGTTGCGGATGCCGTAGCTTGTTTTGTGCGAGGAGCCGCGGCAACAGAGCTCATATCCTGTACACAGTCTTGATTCAAAACGTGGACGTGAAGCAATGTAGAACCAACTAGAAGCAGGGACTGCGAGTGGATCGATAATTCTTTCGAAGAATTCCTCTCGACGTCCATTCCTATTCGTTCATCTTGGATTATGTCGATGTTGTTCGACGACGACGATCTAATGTCGCTTTCCGCTGCTTTTAGTTTTTCTTTTTCACTGTTTCTGTTTATTCTGCCGGTTGGTGGTCGAGTCGTTGGTTATGGCACAACGCATTGGGTTGAACACTCATATTGGCTCTCCCAAGTTATCTTTTGTTGTCGTGTGAGCAGCTTTTACCGGGAATACGAACAAGAAACACGCAACAAGGCGCAGCAGGCTCTACTAGTTGTAAGCCATTTTTAGGTACCATCAAGTCGTTGAACCTGTGTGCCCACCGTCAAGAGTTCTTCTTGCACAACGATATCGTCGACCATGTTCGTTCCTGGAGCTGCAACAGCTTCAGGCTCAGCTCCTGCGGGTTCTCACCAGAGCCGCAATATTTCCGGCTTCGAGCAGCGCACAACTGCCAACGTTGACGTCCAAGTCGAAGGTCAACCAGCACAACCGTCCGACTACTCCGACCACAGGGAATTTGACAGCTTCTACTCCGAGGACGATGATGATGAAGACCACTTCTATGAGCTACTTGAGGCTGAGCTACTAAGCAACCGCTTTCCCCTTGGGCAAGGCTTGACGGTGAATGTGGGTGCTGCCGCTCTACGCAAGAGGTTCATGGGGAATATGATCGGACCCGCTGCTTCTGCAGCCTCTCGGGCGGGGGCACATGGAGTCCTCAATGCCGGCGAAGATGGTCGTGTCCTCCACCGAAGAGGATCTTCATGTCCAAGTGCTGACTCCGCGGAACAAGAACTCGAGCTACAACAAGCCGGAGAAGAAGATGTTGGCACTTATGATGATGTTCTCTCTACTCCTGCCGCCGCATTTGCCTTAATCGGTCAGCCCCCCGCCCAGATCGTGAACGCGATGAGCACCCCGTCCGGACTGCTGCACCCAGCAGCCGCACTGGGTGGTGGAGCCTCGGGAGGTCATCTGAATGCGGCCCAGCACCTGCTCCCAGGCGGACTGCAGTTTGGCGGATTTGGCGCACACCCCACTGCTGCTGGAATGAATTTATTCCAAGTACACCCGAATCTGTCCGAGGAGCAGCTGCTGGAGCATGAGGAGCAGGAGTTTGCGCGCAGGTTGGAGGAACTGCGAAGGCAGCGACCCGCTTTCTTGCCCATCGGGATGGTCAGCTTATCCTGTGCAAAAGTATCGTACTCGTATAAATGCATTACAAATTTTCTCAGCATGAGAAATAAAATTTGCAATGCTGATTTGCCTTGACAAAGAAATCCTGCATTTATACTTTTGCACAGCATACAGCTTCGAGGACGACAACGCGTTCCTGGAGGAAGAGGCGGAGGACGGCGTGGACGAGGAGGATGAGGAGGAAGAAGGCGGTGGTGGTGCAGCTGCAGGAGACAATGGTAATGCAGGCGATGTGGACATGGAAGATATAAGTGCCGAAGTCGCGGGGGCAGGAGCTTCATCCCAGCAGGCACAGGCTGCCGGGCTTGCAAGCCCCGACGAGGACCTGATTGGCGTCGACGCGGCAGCGGCTGCGCAGCAGGCTAGTAGTAGCCAAGCTGCTGCCAGTGCTCCACCGCACCAATCCCATCAACCAGCACCACAAGCTGGTAACGCTTCAGGATCGTCCTCGGGAGCAGGGGATAGAAACTCCATGATGACTCCGGGCGGCCCGAATCTCGGGGCGGGTAGCCCAGTGAATATTTTTACTTGATGAAGCACGCACCAGAATAAAGGGAGTAGTGATGTTTGTTCTGTTTGTGTTTGATGTGTTACTGTTGTCACGCGGATCATCAACATCATCATTGTTATTTGTGTGCACTGGAAAGACAGAAGCAGAACGCATCAGAAAGATCCAGCACTATTTCGATTTGTTATGTTCATTATCAGTGTAGTGGGCCTGGGCCGGGCCCGGGCGCCGTGATGATGGTTCCGGATCTGGTTGTCGGTGTGTGGCACCGATCACGGCAACATCGTGTCGTTGATATTGATCAAGAAGTCGGTTGCAGGAGCAAGCAAACGTTGGAGGTTGTACGCCTTAGTGCATATTAAAGAGAAGATGTCCATCCGAAATCCAAGCTGATGTTCAAATAAGATGCTAAAAGATTTAATGGCACGTATTAAGCAGGTGCAGGAGGAGGTGCAAGAACAAGACTGCACGAAGATCGTCCGAGCACGTGATTGTCGTGATATGCCGGAAAGATCAGATAGACAAGATCTCAGTTGAGATCTCGTTCCAGATTAAGCATGGATGAACTGAGATGATCTTCTATTCTACAAGATAATACTGTTCGAGCTACCGCCGGTCTAAAGACGTGGATTTTGAAGAATGAGAACCTACCTCTACCTGATTTCAAGAACACGATTTTATGCTCCAATACCAATTGATCGATGGTCAGAAATGGATCCAGAGACTGACAATGAGTAAGTGTTATATTTAGTTGGCCGCGGCCGCGGCGGGTTTTATGGCACATATCTCAACTGAGGATCGGCATCGCGTCGTCATCAACTAGACTATACCAGCACTACGCCAAGAAGAAGAACAACATCACAGATAAAATACCATGCCTCAACCACATCGAGGAACACGTCGGCGAAGCGACACATCAGCGGCAGCCCCAGCACCAACCACGCGACATGTAGTTGATCAGCCTTTATTTTCGCGGCAGGCGCTCGAGGACGCCGCGGACGCGCGTCTGCAGAAACACCTCGCTGACCAGGACGAGCAGGAGCAGTTGGTTCTGACTTTTCTCGATAAATTCCGCAACGCGCTGCACTGGCAGCACAGCAGCGTGCTGGTTCTGCTGCGCGCGGCGGCTGCGGTTGCCGAGCGGGCGCGGCTGCTGCTCACGGCGCCCCACGCGAAGGACCTGAGCTTTCGAAGGGATCCTGCTGACAACTGCATGGAAGATCTGGATCAACAAGTAGATGATGAAGGTGATGCCGAAGTAGATGATCCACTCACCTTTGCGGAGCACCAGATGCTCTTGGAAATTGTCCGCCTCGAGGAAGGGATGATGCAGAACAGGGGTACCAGAGGAACCAGAAGCAGAACCGAAGGGGAGAATAATTTTGCAGATGATCATCATGATGAAGAACAAAACACGTTCCTAGCCAAACGCTACCACCGCCTCGTGAAGAACTACAAGTCCTATAAACGGGATCAGCAAGACGCAACGAGGTACTCGTTCCTGTTGAAACGCAAGGCAATATCGACTTTGTTGGCGAAAAACTGGAGGCAAGTCGATGAGTTCGCCCACCAAGCGGAATTGGCGCTCACGACGGCGGAAGGGAGTGCGACAAATAAAACGATCTCGGGCGGAGGTAAATCTGCTTCCGAGAAACGGAACATCCCAGCAAGCGATTTTCATACCGACCCAAATGCAACGTATTCTGCCACCCCTCCGATACCCCTGCAAGAGCTTGCGGAAGCGTACGCCGCACTGCTTACCAAGGTGGAAAATCCCGCTGAGGGTGCTCGCATGACAAAACTGCTGGCTGCGGCAGCTTCGGACACGACGAGAACAGCGAAAAATAAAGACGCAACCAGTTCTACTTCTGCACCTCGAAGTAGAAATGCCGGTGGTGCACCAGTCGTGCTAGTTGAGAACAAATCAAAGGAGCCCGCCCCCGCAGCCGCAAGTAGCGAAACTTCGGACAGTGGTACAACCGGCACCGCATTATCCTCCCTGAAAGAAATGACGGTGAGAACGGGGAAAATGTACGAACGCTTCCTTTCCGACGTGATAGAAAAAGAAGTGAAAATTGTCACGGAAACGGGTTTTTCCGAGGAGGCATCCAGTGCGGAAATCGAGGGGATTTCGGAAACGGTTGACGCCATTCACGAGGAGCTGCGGATTCTGTATAACGAATGTGTGGAGGAGGCGGATGATTCGTCTTCGTCCGATGGTGGCGGCGTAGGAAAAAAACGTGAATTCCCGAAAAAAGTGCGAAAGAACGACAACGAGTTGTAACCCGAAGATCGTGATGATAAACCTGAAGCGACATTGATTACTAGCGACAAAAATCAAAATGTACTAGACACATGAATTGCAATGTACTTGACTTGTTGTAGATGAGGCACTGATTTGCGCCGTGATAGCTCTGCTTGTGAAGGGCAGCCACAACACATCACAGCAAACATCAGTGCAGCACGTTCACCTTCACTACTAGCATGCTACCTGGTGGAGCTGAACCAGCAAATTATATAAGCAGCCTGCTGCCGCCAAAACCAAAAGTGTATCGTGGTTTGCAACACGGTCTTCTTGATACCTCAGCGTCAAACAAGAATGAACTTGGAACTCAGGAGACCGAAACTCACCTGAAAATGTCTTACCTCGGTAGTCTCGTCGCAGCAATTCAACGACAGGACATCTGTGTCGGCTTGTGTAGAGCTGCAGGCGCCCCCTCTACTTCTAGGCATTGGCGTTGATTACAAAAAATAAAAAAATGATACGGCGCCTCGTCCAAAAACAGAAAATGCGCAGAAGCGCAAGTAAGGCTGACACTAAATCCACGAACACATCGGTGACTACTTAGTAGAGACTTGAGCTCTCCGGAGGTTCGGTCGTTGAAATTTCTTCTAGTTTTCGGTTTGGCCAGATTTTTGCTAACAGTGTCGGTGGACCACAAGGTCTCAGGTGAACGGAAGTCGCTCCGTCCTGTTTGCCTTCATGTTGTCACGTAGCCGTCTCGTTGTCTACGTGCACATAGTAGTTTCACAGATGAAGAAAAAAGACTGTTTTTCTGACGGACGGCAGCTGTTACACTTCTGACTTCTGACCTTAATAAATAACCTCGTCTTCCTCACTAATTTTGGTTTGATGTTTTTCTTCCTCGTTTTAGATTCATACCTGGCAAGTTAGTAACACATAAATATGGATATGACCTCTTCTATCCGACAGGAGCAACCGTTAAAAATATCCTATGTCTCACGGCGCTTACAGTAAACTTTACTGTAAGCGCCGCTTTCTTTAACTTACATATATTCCTTTTCTTGTTTGCACTTCGAACATCGATTTTACGTTTTAAAGTCCGGCAAACGCGATGTCTTCCGGAACAACGTCCACGAGCGCCTTCTACCGTGCCTGTGGTTGGTGGGGCGGCTGCGGTTGTCGCGAGGACAAATTCGAGGACAAGAACAGCGAGCGAAGCAGCACGCTGCGCTACTTCGAGCTGGAACGGAAGACCGCAGCTGGCGAGGGCGGAATCCGGGAGTCTGCGGCACAGAAGCAGTACGGGTTACTGGATGTCGTCGATGAAGATGCTGAAGACGTCACGGGTTATAATTTCTTCCGCGGAAGAACAAGTAGCGCAAGAACCGGAAGCCGGTTTTCTGCTGCCGAGACGACGCAGGAGCGCATGTCGGAACAAGCAGGACAAGCCACGAGGATGTCGGGCTTGGATCTGACCGACGAGCTGGAGGACATCTTGCTCGCGAAGCAGCGCGCTTCCCAGGCGAAGACGCAGCTGCTGGTCGAGGCCCAGGAGAAGCTGCAGCTCGAGGAGGAGCAACACAGGCTCAGGTTGGAAGAATTGGAGCGAAAATTCGAAGAGGAGCGAAAGCTGGTGGAGAGCATTCTCGCGCGGGAGCAGGCGGAAAAGGCGCGCGCGGAGGCGGAAAAGGCAAAGCTCTTCGCGGAACAGGAACAGCTGCAGAAGGAGCGCGACGACGCTTTGAAAAACGCCGAAAAGGAAAAAGCAGAGAGCGCAGCTCTCAAGAACCAAGACGTCACCGCTTTGAAAAGCCAAGAACTCCGCATCCAGCAACTCGAAACCCTCCTCGAGAAGCAAAAATCCGCCGCGGACGCCGCCGCTCAGCGCGCGCAAGAGGAAGCCACCGCGCTCCAGCGCGAGCGGGAGAGGGCATCGACCGCACGGAAACTTGCCCTGGAGGAGAAGGAGAACGAACTGCGGGCGGAATCCGAGCGCGGGGCCGTGCGCGCGCGGGTGCTGGAAGCGGCTTTGGAGGCCGAGAAGGTTGCCGCGGAAGACGCCATGCGCCGCCAGCGGCTCTCGGAACAGCGCCGGTTCTCCGTCGCCCGGCTCGGGTTTCTGGAGGAAAAGGAGAAGGTATTGGAGGAGGAGAAGGACGCGCACGCCGCGAAAATGCTGGAATTAGAGCAGTTGCTCGAGGACCAGAAGAAGCAAACTGCCGAGGCAGTCCAACGCGAGAAGACCGAGAAGATCCGGTTTGCGGAGACGCTGCTGCAGGCGGAAAAGGACAAAGCGCAGTTGCTACGGGAGAAGGAACTGGCGCTGCAAGCAGAGGCGGAAAAGACGAGCAAACGGCTCCAGGAGCTGATTGCGTTGGAGAACGAGAAGAGCAAGAAAAGCAACGAGGATCTCGTGCAGCAGCAGGAGAGTGAGCTGAAGTTTTTTCGCGACCAGGAGCAGAAGATGCGGGCGGAGAATGCGGCGCACAAGCTGAGAATGGACCAGTTGGAGCAGGCTTTGGAGCAGCAGCAGCAGATTCTGGAGCACGCGGTCGCGCAAGACCGCGAGCGCCAGGCGCAGTTTGACGCCGATCAGCACCGCGCGTCCCTGGCGAAGCGCGCGATTTTGGAAGAGACGGAACAGGCGTTCAAGCTGCAGATTGAGGAGCGCGAGAAGAAGATCCTGGAGCTCGAGGCCGCGCTGACCGAGCAGCTCCACCTCGCGGCCGAGGGGCTGGAGCGGGAGGTGGAGGAGAGCGAGGAGCACGAGCAGCAGCGGGACTTCGTCTCGCGGACGAAGACCGAGCTGGAGCACGAGCGGGAGGCGGAACTGCAGAAGGAGGCGGAGCGGCAGCAGCTGCGCCTGCGCGAGTTGGAGAAGGCGCTGGAGCGGCAGAGGCAGGCGGGCGAGGAGCGGCTGCGCCAGGAGCAGGACGCGCAGGAGCGGCGCGCGAGCCAGGAGCGGCAACAGCTACTGGCGGAACAGGAGGAGGTGCTCGCGGAGGAAAAGCGCAAGTTTCAGGAGAAACTGGCGGAACTGGAGGCGCGACTGCAGAAGGAGAAGCGGAAAACGGACGCGATCGCCGCCCGCGAGGTGGAGCGCGCCCAGAAGCTGATCGCCGGCCAACTATGGATTGCAAAACTGTCTGGGTCTGGAAGGATGTAACTTGTGATGCGCATTTCAGAACACACAAAAATCTCTGATGCATAGGCAGCAAAAGCTGCCCACTTTCTGTCACCAAAGTGAGGGATCGATTTCTCATGCGGATTCAGCATTGCGGAATGTTCTCGAGACCTGTAATGCTAGAGCTTCCATGCCAGACCTTCGGTGTCATACAGGAACAGCATAACTCTTCCAGACCCAGACACTTTTACATTTCATACCAACTCGCGGCAGACAAGGCGCGCGCGGACCTGCTCAGAGCTCGCGCTGAGGCGCTGCAACGACAGCGGACAAGGCAGGCAGAAAGCATGAAGGACTTGTTAAGTGCGGACGGAGATGGAGGTGATGAAAATATCAACGACGAATCAAACGAAAATGACAGGACGTCCGCAAGAAATAAAATGGACGAGGACAAGGACGCTCAACAACGACTCTCGCGGCGCCCCCGCGGCGGGGGTGCGTCGAAGTCGAAGAAAGACGGTGCAGCTTCTCCGAGCTCGCCGTTTTTTGTAGCTCAGCGCGTGGCGGGAGGTGAGGGCAGCCAGAAAGAACAGGCGAACCGAGGAAGTAGTTCTGTCTCCAACACCAGGACAACGTTAAGCGAAAGGCGAGCAACCGAAGTTCTTGGTCGCAGCAGCCAGGCCCAGATTGCTTCCCAGCCTGGAGGCCCCCGCGCCTCCGCGAGCGCCGATCCCAGCCGCTGGGTCCAGGAACAGGAGCAAGCCGTCACCCTGGGTGCTTGGCAATCTGCAGCAGAGAAGATCTATGATGCCGCGGAGGAAGAGCACGAGTTGACCAAATTGATTGTCGCCAAACAGGAAGCCGAAACGCAAACCGATTACAATGCTCCTCCTGCCCTTCAGACGAATAAAAAAGCCCCAGGCGGCGCCGGTGGCACGGCCGGTGCTCCAGCAGTCGCAGTCCCTCCGCTCGCTCTCTCGGGCAGCACATCCGCGACGCCGACGCAGGTGAACCCCGCATTCACCACCGCATTACAAAAGAATAAAATTATCTCGCCGCGTGCTGGAGGGGCAAACGCAAATAAAGTTGGGGCCACCTCCACATCGTCTCCCCGCTCGGGCGCGGCCAACAATAGTCCCAGGACAGCGAACAGAACCACCGAAGAACAGCAGAAGCTGCGCGAGCTGGACTTTCATCTCGACCACGAAAAAGACGTCGGCTCGGTGCTGGGCGCGGCCAAACTCTCCCCGAAGGGCTGGGAAACCTCGCTGCGTGGCGCCGGCGGGGGCGCCGCGTTTTCGCCACGCGGAGCAGGCGGTGGGGCCTTTTCACCGAGGACCATGTCGACCACTTCGCCCAGAACCATGTCAGCTACTTCACCCAGGTCTGCAGGAGCTGCAGCTCCTAGTACAACTACTATGCAGGCGAAAGTATGTAGTTCCGCGCTTTTAGATGAAGTGTAACTCTGCTCGTGTGGAGGTTGTAAATGCAGATGACAGTGCAAGTGCATAGAGGAACGGAAGACTGACACACAACTTGTCGTGCGCGATCTCAAGAACCAAAATCATGCTAGCCTTTTTTCAACCGGGTACGGGATTTCATTCCGTTTTTCTATGCATGACAAGGTCTTTTCATTTTGATTTTCTGGTCATGCGGGGTACCACATCTCTTCCTCTATGAGCCGCAACAAGAAAATTACACGACACGAGGACAGCGCACTTTTACTTTTTTCTGCAATAACCACTACTACGCCGTCGAAGAAGTTTACGCCAAGCGCACGATGAACGCTGTTCGACGCAGCTGCGACGACGACAGGAAAAAGTTGGCGGGGCCGGTGCGACGCCTGCCATTCTTTTCATTCACGAGGTCAGTCCTTTTAGGACTTTTCTTATTTTATCATTTTCATCATGTCTTTTACTTTTTGTTTTGTATGCATTTAGCTTTTTCGTGCAACTTGAACTTTTCTTGATTATTCTTCGTGCGACATTTTTGTCAAGTATTCTATGGCAGACTTGGCTCTCTTGCCCGAGTTGAAGAGGGTCAATGAATTTTATTTTTACGTAGGAATATGATTTCTTTTTCTACTTCTTCTCTATCATGTGAACGCCATCTGCTCTTCGGGTGCAGCACTAGGTGAGGACGTCCTCGATGGATATTCTGTTAAAGTGTGTGACGTTTTGCTCTTCAGCTAGAGTTCTTTTCTTGGATCGAGATTCTGAAAGAGTGGATATAAACAAAAAGATAGAAATAGAATATGGCACCGGGAGGTGATACATCGTCGCTTGATGAAGCACTTCGCTGTTGCTCTCGTTTGTTTGGTTGAATCTCTCTTGGGTCGTGAGTCCTAGTCCTAGTATTTTTGCTTCGTTATGATCAATATGGTGCTAGCGCAAAATTGCGTAGACGGGATTCAATATTAAATACGTCGCAAGATCTGTCGTCTCCTTCCATCACCATCGTGAAATCGTGAGGCTGATTTCTGGATAGTCGTTCGAACTCGTAAAAGGATTCTAGAAATTGCAGGCAATCAAACCTCGTCGGACGAAAGTAGGGTTTTCTTTCCCCTGTTGCATGATTCTTCTTCAATTGTTGCATAAAAAAAAGTTTGCGTCGTAGCTGGTCTTTTGTTTTTCGTATCATCATGAACAAGAAAGTAGCGAGCTGACGTATGGAAGACAAGAAGGAAAGAGCAACTAGTTCTGTTCAAGGACGTTAAACAAAAATATCCTTAAGTAGAAGCGCAATCAGCATGCTGCGGATCAACATGCGGGGGATCACTCTCCGTGCGCGGCCGCGGAGATCTTCAGTAGAAGTTCTTCTGCTTTATTTCTTGTCCTTCCTCGTCTTCGACGGCACATCTCTGACCGGCGCCGATGTGGGTGTGGGACGCCGACCCGTGAACGAGCACGATGATTTAATTACGCCACATAAGCCTGTATTGGTATTGCTGCCTGGGGTACAACCGGACGTATCTGCGGATCATGCTGACACCACCGGGAGGGAAGAGAATTATCTCGAAGATCTTGTACTACGACCAGATCCAACATCAAATCATCGCGCGGATGAGGACCTCCAGCAAGAAACCACCGATGTTGTGGTGACAGAAGATGAATTTTTGCGGACGGAGGTTGATGAGACTGGCGCGGCACTGCTCGAGCTGCCAGAAGTTCTTGTGTCTGCTGGTCGGGAAGAGGATCTGGTCCTGGTGCCTACGACCGAGAGTACATTCTCATTCCGAGGAGCCTCCAGTGCGACGGGTTCGCGAGGACGAGACAAGATCGTGGTCGTGACAAAAACTACAACACAGCAGGTCCACGAGGACCAGGTGGAGCGCCTCGCAGGTGCCAGCGTGGCGGACGAAAGTGTTGAGGAGGTACAACACGATTTTGGCGCGGGTGTTTCATCATCATCTTGGTCCGCCATAAACTCCTCTTCCTCGACGACTCTCGGATTGGGCGAGGACACTTCTTTCTTGCGCTCGTCTCTTTTCACGCCGGCAAGTTCGCAGCTCGAAGTTGTCCACCTCGCGTCGGAATCTGGTGTGAAGGCCGACATGAAGTCCCAGGAGGAGGGGTTCTTGGAAGTCAAAGTCGGCCAACTTTCGCACACACAGCCACATTTGCACACCACGGCAGCAGGAGGACGCCGCCCCCGAGATAATGAAAACTCTCATCACCTGCGGGTAGCGAGCTACAACATCCTGTACGACTTGCAGACGGGCAGCCTGCATAAGGGCGACAAAACGCAGCCGGCAAAAACGTGCGTTCGACAAGATGGCGGCGCAAGCTGCATCGTGAACCAAGGTCAGGTGATCAGCGACAACGATGTGACGCTTCTTGGGGTGCAGGAATTCATGGACCCCGGCGGACCTGCGCACTTTAAGAACGGGGACAGAAGCGCAGCTTCCCTCGAAAAGCAAGGTCATGCGAGCCAGGAAGCGTTTCTCGAGGGTCTGAACAGCAACGCAGGTCGTGCGTGGGAGCTCGTCACTGGAGAGGGCAGCTGCGCGATCTACGTGGACACGAGCGCGCCGTGGTACAAAGATCACGATCCGACGCGCGGCGGTCACCACCCCCTTCTGTTGGGCGACTACCTTCCCAAGAAGCAGAAGCATAACCAGAACCCGGCTGTACGCGGAGCCACCGCTGCGTTTTTTCCACACAAAGCCTTAGTTTTTGCTTCCGCCTGGTTCGCGCACGGTCACGGTGTGGGTGCAGCCGGCATGAAAGTCCTCACCGAGGCCCTCGGCAAGGCTATTACCGCAAACGGAATTGGCAACAGCGTCCACCGCATCATCGTGGCGATGGATTCTAACGTACATCACCGTAGCAATGAGTTTCTCCGCCAACAATTTCCTGTCTCTTTGATCGACAATGTGAGTGGGAAGAAGGGCGGAAAACGAAAACAAGATGAAACGAAAGAGCTGAAGCTGCACTTCGACTCGGGCAATCAGAACAACCACATGGGGTGCTGCATTTGGGTACAGGAGCGATTTTATTTTTCTGGCCCGATCTATGGTGGCGACTTCATCGCCGACACGGCGCAAGACGACCGGCACAAGACGCAACCCATCACAAGTTGGAGCAACGGTGCCGAGATCATGGGGTACTGGGAGAATGATCCTCGTGGCAAGGCGCACGGGGACCCCGGGTCGACTAAATGGCGCCTTACCTCCGACCATCAGCCAGTTTACAAGGACGTGATATTGTGAGCAGTGAGCGTGGCGCTGTAAGCGAAGAACATCCATGACTATGCAGTTGCAGGGATGGCGCGCACGCGCATGCATTGATGATCGTGTAAAAAATATAGGAGCAGAAGTTGAGAATTATGCGCATGCACTCAGAACAAATATATTCATAAAGCAGCATTGGAGGAAGTCCACTTTTACGTACAATAATGTGATTGTGATTGAATATGTAAGAAAAGCATATAGCCAGCATCAACAAGTGTACACGAAACTTCCCTTTGGGATTTTAGTTTTCAATAGATGTAGGTAAGCGAGTTGAAGTTGTTCTTCAGATTGTCGGAGTTCCACACTCCTCGTGGCGAGGACAAAGAACAAGAAGACCTGTCTTGTAGTTGCTGATTGAAGGTGAAGATGTATAATTTTAATTGAAAGAGACCCTGACCCAAAAGACAGAGAGACCCAAAAGAAATAGAAGAGAGACCCAAAAGACACATCCGAGGGAGCTCGGCATCCGAAGGAACTCTTGTAGTGCCGGTAGTTTTTTCAAAAAGCAAGAAATCATGGCGTCGTCCCCCGTACCGTTCTCGTCGCCTAACTCGGGTGTGGTGGTCCTGGACCAGGTGCAAGAAGGACAGCAGCGAACCGAAGAACGCGTGAACAAGCAAGACGAAACCTGCACGATTGCTCACCTAGCAGATGGAATTCCCCTCCCCCCCGATTTCCAGAGATCGGACGGAAAGATCACGTATGCAACATCTTTTTGAGTGAGCGTTTCCTTTCGGGTGCATGACAGCAAACTGTGTATGATTAATCTTGTAGCACGACACCGTCGCCTCACTCATAGGATCAAAGCTGCACTGTGAACAAATCTATCAGATCGGGTCCGCGAAGATGCGCGTGTTCGTTGGCTTCGGTTGCGACCTCCAAGGTGCACAAGCACAAACAGTCTGGGAACCTGCACGTATGTTTTTGTTTTGTTGCAAACATCGAGGCCAATCTGCAGTTTCCAGGAGAGGATGTAGTAACATCCCTTGTTGGGGCTTTGCATGGTTGTGAAGTCGAAGGGGCATGAAATTTTTCACAGTTTTACCAGTATTGCACCCGGTCGTGTACCTGCCGTACGCAATTTTTCTGGATGTCAAACACAGGTCTTGCCCACGAAGAAGAAGGAGCCGAAGAACGTGTTCGGTATCCCAGATAAGATTGAACTTAGCATCGCAACGAATATACGCCACCTTACGCATGACAAACGAACTTTGCATGGACATCAATATTCATGGGCATCAACTACGTCGCAGCGTTGTATTGCTATGGGCAAATATTGACTTTTTCGTAGGATATCCAAGAAAAAAATTCCGATGGTCCGCGTATACCGCTTCACGGCAACTGCCGCCCTGTGTGTGACCATGGTCGTGGATGTCTACGGCCGCGAGCACGTCGTAGACTCCGCCGTTATCAATTTCGACAGCAGTTTCACTGACGAGCAAGTAGAGGCATCCGCAGCGGACGGGTTCTTGGAAGTGACTGCCTCCAGCATGAAAAGCTCCTTTGACAAGAACGATCTGTACCTGTACTTGGTGGAATCCCAAGCGGTGAAGATCACGGAAAGCCGATTGAAGGCACAAAGCGGTGCAGCTGGGGGAGGAAAGCTGGAGGTCAAAAAGTGGAAGAGTTTGCAGGTTAAGGGTATAGAAAATGCAATCCCAAGAACAAACTTAAAAACTTTACATGCTCTGCTCCGTGCGCGGAAAACAAACCGGGCGCAGCCTTTGCATTATCAAAAGCGAAACCGCTTGCAGCTTCTAGATGGTAGGGGTTACAGAAATGCGCAAAAAGATATCGGCTTCAGAAAGTTCGGAGCTTGAATTACAAGACACGCTGGGAAGTAGTCAGAGGATGCCCAGCCAAAACATGCGCTTGCTTTTCATGTTGCGCGCAGTGTGAAAAATGGCGCCCCAATATTGGCGTATTTGGCGCGCGCGCGCGGGTGCGCGGGCGCTTGCGTAGGACTGCCTGCAAGTATGAGTAATGCGCAGAACAAAACACAGAAAAAAGCGCAAAAATAAGCAAAATTTTGACCATAATTGCGCTGTCTTTTGCGCGCGCGAAAACTACCACGGCAACCGAGACCATACCGTGGCGTCTAAGAAATTTACAGCTAGTGAAAAGTGCATGGCTTTTTGCTGCATAATTCACAGCAAAAAAACAAGCATTTTTCACAACGCAAAAAAAAGCATCCGTCTTTAGAGCTCCGATTTGTGAGAACTCTATTTGCGGGCGCTTTTCCGGAAGCGTATCTTGAGCTTTTCCGCGTGCTTGAACGTGCGCTGCAACATGATGTAGCGCAAAAAAAGCCACGCCATCACGTTGAAGCATCCGAAAAAGCTCAAGAAATAGCATAAAAAAGTTGCGGCTCCACGCCCGCGCGCGGATAGTGTGTTTTTGGCCTGTAGCTGTTGTCTTTCAATTGTTTCGCAGCTGGGGGCTAAATCGGTTATCGTGGTGCTGATTCGGTTTTTCGTCGTGCTGGTGCAGCAAAATTTCGCGCATGTAAAATTTTTAAGATTGAAGAAGGAATTGCATTTTTTACACCTTTAAGCAGGTACTTGTCATGAGGTTAGTTACCTCAAAGAATTATTTATATATATTTTGTTCGTTCTTGCGATCTCGAATGTGAAGCTGGAGGAGACCGTTTGCCTGCATAAAATGATTGGACGACTTGTTGCTTTTTCGCCATGTTGCAAGATGTGACTGAGTACTTGTTACCTAGCACCAAACGTATGCCAACAGACCAACGTGCAGACGATCCTGGTTACCCCGCACTTGCAACTGGTCCCCTTCCCTGTGCTGGTGGACTACTTGGCCCAGTTTTCCACCGTGGACCTCGATGGATCCAACGCTATCGAACTCGGCGAACTCGAGAAAGTCCTGCAAACGGCAGGCGGAAACGAGGCTGGTCCACAGGAAATTATGTCCACCGTGAAGTCCTTGTTCCTCCCCGCCGGGCCGCTGGCGCATGTGGCACAAGTTTTGGGCGGTCTTGTCCGAGACCAGAAAGAGTCGCAGTACCCAGTGGCGAACGCGCCGGACAAAAAGTTGCAGCTTTCCGAGTTCTGTAGTGCCTGCGAGTATTTGCGAACGACGAGCGACGACGGAGTGTTGACCACATCATTGCTTGCGGATTCGTCGTTCCTGGAGATGCAGAAAGAGAAAGTCGTCGGCAGTCTTCTCGGCCTGGCCGCTCTTTGCGGTCTTGCGGGAGCCCCAGAAGGGGCAATCACAGCTATGAGCAGCCGGTTGCTGCCAGGTCCGTCGCGTGAGGAACAACAAGTCGGCTATTACGACACCCGAACTCACCAACGCGTAGGCGATCACCAGGAGGGCTGACGCTGGGACGTTCTACCAGGAGGAAGGCAATCAAAGACGCGAATACTGATATTTGAATAAAAATTTTTTAAAAAAAAGCTCCTTCAAGCACAAGCTCCAAAATTTTACCTTACAGCTGCGAGAAACAGGATTACAATGCAACTTTTTAGAACAGCACTGCTTTGTGACCTTCCCAACTTTTCAGTGGATTTTCAACTTTCAATACCGACATCGTAACTTTTCAACAACTTCTATTTTTCTCGTCTCAACTTTCAGACTTTATCTTCCTTTTTCAACAAGAGCGCTTTACTTTTCAAAAACGACTTTCAGGGTTTTACGTTTAAACTTCAAAGTAGTAGTATCCTTTTCTTCTGCTAGGTTCGTGTAGTTGTCCAGCAGAAAAAGTTTTTCTATAAGGCCCCAAGCCACATGTTGCTTGCCCAGCTTGTCTTTTTGTTGAAGTAGCGCTAGCCACGTGAGGAGAAAGCAAAAAACTTTCAAGAGGTTCCACGTGACCACTCTTCAAAACAAACGACAAACAATTCTAATTGCACTGTTTCAATAGAAGAACCGTATCCGTACGATCTTTCTATGTATTGAATTGGCGTGGGCGTGCGCTCTTGTTTGGTCACTGGTGCTACTAGTACGGCCAACAGTGGCTGCTTTGTTCCTTTTCTGTTCTTTAAAGCCGATCCCGACGCGTGGTGGTCAACACAGCGATTTCGTGTTTCACGAAAGAAATCACAGCGAAAGGACAAAGTGTCGTGGCAGATACTTACTACAAAGAACTAGAATATCGCACAGACTGATACATCGTCGCTATCGGTATCGGTTCGAGCACCTCATTGTTCCTCTTCTATGAATGTCTGCTCTCGTAAATAAAATGTTTCAACAAAACAAAAAAAGTGTACTACTAGCAGAACTGCGTTGTGTTGACTCCTACTCGTCGTATTTTTTCCTCGTTATCAAGCTGGTGGTGGGGTAGCGCAAAATTGCGTAGAAGACGGGATTCAAATTCAATATTAAATACGTCGTAGGATCTGTCGTCTCCCTCCACCATCGTGAAGTCCGCTTCCGCTTCGGGCTTCAGTGTCATTCGTAGTCGTAGAACGAACGTGAAAAATTCGACCGCGTGTTGGAAGTCAGTGGGATTCTGAACAAAAGGACTGCGTGACCCTGTTGCCTGATTCTACTTCACGTAGGAAGGGCCTACTGCTGCATTGTAATTTAATGAAGACGACCCATATGGTAGCACGATGATGATCATGATGATGAGTAATTCTAATTCGGTCGTTCTGGTGTCAATGTCATCGATCAATGATATCGACGACCTAGATGACCTAGAGGACGCATGTCTTACTTTTTTCTCGCGAAGGTTGGAGAATAGAAGATATCGATATCCATATATTGAAACAGTATTGGAATCTCGTCACACTCTTTGTCAACATGCTTGTTCTTGCAAGGCCGATTCCGTTTCTCCTCTTGAACGGAACTTTGACCGGTGCCGGGATATGGGTTATGGGACGGCGACCTGTGGACGAGAAAACTGATTTGCTCGCATCTATTCCAGGACAACGTCAACCTGATTTACTACATGAGGATGAGGTGAACGGGGGAGGTGCGCCAGCTGCTGCAGCACACGACGAAATAGAGGAAGTAGATGAAGATGCTCCACTTCATCTTCAGCATGATCCTCCACCGTCAAATCCCCACACTGAAACCGACACTGCGGACAACCATGCCGTGACTCAACGTGAACAAAATGAATTATTTCACCCATCGAACGTCGAGGCGCCAGTGCTTCTGCTTGCTGATGCTAGTGTAGTTGATGTAGTTGATGAGACTGCGGCACTGCTGGAACTGGGAGAGGACGTAGACGACGGCTCTGTGGGGTTGTCCACTTCATCTTCAGATTCGCTCCCGCGTATGGATGATCTGCCGACAACCAGTTCTTCTTTCCGAGGGCGAGCCTCTTTTGCAGCGAGAGCGACAGCATCGAACTATAGACGACCACACGGAAAACCAGTACGGGAAGTGATGTTTTCCAACTTTCCTGCAGGTACAACTAGCAGGGAACATCAAGGTGCGGACGTTGATGTTGTTGACGGTTTGTTGTATCCGTCCGGCGGGTCCGGAACTTCTAACAACTCGTCGTCGTTCATCACAACGACAGTCGGCGGTGGCGAGAGCAAGTACGTTCCCTTCCTTTCCGCTCCTTCCACAGCAAGTACAAGTAACTCTCACCTCGAGCTGCAACACCAGGGACGAGGCACGGCGTCGCCATCGGAGGCGACACTGAAAACCAAATCCGGGGACGAGCAGCCAGGTTTTTTGGAATTTGGGTCGACGGAAAGAGATGAACTCGCGAGCGGTGGTGCAGCAGCGGTCGAAGCAGATGATAACGCTAAGGAAAAGGATGAAGAAAACCAAAACGCCCAAGAAGTAAAACCCAAACCCGTGGATGTTGTTTACAAAGAGATGGTGACCGCGTATGACCCCAAGGGCAAATGGAACCTCGTGAACTCTTACTACCAAATCAACAGGGTGCGGCTCGGTGGCTCCAACAGGAGGTACTTTAGATTCCAAGTCGCGCCACCTACTTCGAAGTCGGAGTCTGGGGAAATGAATGACGACAACCTGCAACCGTACCCAGGTCCGTTTTCTCCCGGAGCGGCGGCCGCAAATGAGTCGCCCCCGCAGAGCTTTCGCGCGATCAAAAAAGGAAAATTGCAGAAAGACGTGGCCGAAGATAAGGAGAAAGAGTACTATTACGCTGCACTGCGTGCCTACATTGAGGCGTTCGCCACGTGGATCCGGGCCGCGTGCCCCCCGTTTACCGGGTCGGCATTTCCGGCGGGTCATTTCTACAAAACCAAGCGCGTTCCTCAGGATCTGAGATTCTACTGGGATCAAGGAGGTAGTAGTAGTACGACAAAGGAACTGACCGTCGCCTTCGTTCCCGAAAAGAAGGGCAGCTATATCGACGCGCAGCAGTGGAAGACCGCTCCGGAGGTTCCCTTTGTCGGAGGTTCTGGTGGCGGATCATCCGGACGAAAGAAGGACCTCCTGCCAATCCGGCTCTGCCAGGCGAAGTACCAAATTACCTTCGCTGGGCTGCTGGGCGCCTTCGAAGACGACGACGGCCGCGCGCAAGTGTGGAGCCGTAGACTCGGCAGCAGTGCGGAAGGTGGGGCACAAATTGTCAATTTTGAAGATGACGGTGAGCGTGAGCACGATGGTCTTCAAACCGTGCAGCGCGAGTTCTTCGACACCGTGAAAGAAAAAATGACCGAGTGGATCCGGCAACGGGAGGGGGTCGATGCCTGGACTCTGGACTTCGCGGAGCTGGTCACGGCGAAGAGGGACCTGAACGACGCGGCCTTCCTTGCGGGTTGGAAAGTTCTAGAGAAGCACTACAAGAAGGGCAAGAGTAAAATCTTTAAGCAGACCCCCGCGTTCGATGTGCTCCGGGATTTCGTGACCACCATGAAGAGCTGGTACAGCGGACTCGAGGATATTCTGAAGAACGTAGAAAAGAACCTGCGAAAAAGCGCGAGGACCAAGTTGAACGGAGCAGAGAAATCGAATGTCGCCGACAAGGCCCTGTTGTACGTCCTGGGCGAGCCGAGGGGAAAAAGCGGAAAGGCCGGCAGTGCGTGGATGGACATTCTAGACAACAACTACCGGTGGCACGGCGTAGATCCGCAGCTGAAAGGAACCTTGATTAACAAGAAAAAAGACGTCAAAGCGTTGATTGCCTCTGCGGGCCGCCTGCAGCAAGGATCGTCTTCTTCTAATACCGCTCCTTCCGTCCGGGAACAAAGCAACACTGCCACGGCAGGCGAAGAACCAGAGCAAGAACGTGAAGAAGAACAAGACGAGAGAAGCGCAGCGGTGAAAAGAAAAGAGATCCTCCAGGACTTCTACGGAGCCGCGGTCTGGGCACACAAAGGGGAGGACCTCTACATGCCCACGCTCGCTCGGGCAGCCTACGCTGGCGTCCTTGCTGCCACGCCTGGAGGCAGACGCAGGCTCGGACGAGCGCTATCGGAATACGGGCAGCAGCTGTGGAAGTAGTAGGAGATGCACTTTCATGATCTAGTAACAAGTAAAAGCTTTTTCAGCTCCCAAGGCCAGCAACGACGACCGCCTCGGAGTGACGTTAGGGTTACGGACTAGCAGCTGCCAGGAAGAAGTGTCGTAGTTCTAGTTTTTGCCGTTCGTTTCGCTTTTGTTTACTACCTCGCCCTTCTACGTCTGTCCCGGTGGTGTAGCAAGGACTAACATGCCGCTGGCGATGCTTGCTCATGTCGCACGTGCTTGGTGGTCTAAGAGATGTCGTCCATATAATCGACAGTCACGATACTCGATTTTGCCATTGCGAACAGCTTTCGCCATAAATTCAACTTAAAGAAATTTTTATTCATTTTTCGGTGGAAGCAAAAAATAAAAAGTACCCGTCGAGGTTGATCTTCTCCTGTCGTGTTGAAAAATGCAATGCAGAGTAACTGCTGGTTTACAAGAAATTGATGAGCATTTTTGCAACTCACTTTCTTGTCTCGTCGTTTTTTTGCTGCTTTGTTCTCGTCACTGCGTGGCGGCGTTCGAAGAACGATCATTGAAGTCACCAGCAGTTCCACGACTGAGAGGAGCCCACCCTTCGTGCGTTGGCGTTGAGAGTCTAGTGTACTGCAAAAGTAAAGCGTACGACAACGACCAAGCGTAAGCGAAACCGTAAGTAGAGCTTAGACTTATGCGAAACCGTGGTGCAAGATATTTATTCAGTCTGAACTCCGGTACTACAACCTGGTGTCTACCACGAGAAGAACAATGTTGTTGTCAATCGGACGCTCCTCTGCGTGCTCCTCCCTGAAGCCTGCTATTGTGGCATCCACGCCTGTTGCCTGTTGTTCAGCGTCGTTGCCGTGGATAGCTAGAACCAGTGGAGGGGCCGCCACTTCGCGAGTTTTCGACAGCCCAGGGGTATACTATCCTGCTTCGGGTGCTGCACCATCAAGTCATTTTCGTGTCTTTGCACCTGCTGCTCTTCAACAGCAAACCCGGCACGGCTCGACGCGCACGTGCTCCAAGTCGATTCTGAATCACTTCTACTGCCACCTGCGCATCCGCCGGCGGTGGCGACGGGCTTTGTGGAAGGGCACCATGAAGTGGGACGACAGCATCGGACAGGCCAAGATCCCCGATCTCAACATTGAGGGCCACGAAAAGCACAAAAACAAGCCCTACAAGGGGAAATTCGAAAATTGCCGCTCGCAACGGGTCATGTTCTACCACTAGTAGGAGAAGATGAGGACGATCATGCTCATGGTCATGCTCACGTGATGAAATAATCCAGTTATTTTTCATTGTCTAGTCGTGATTGACACTTGATTTCCATTTGCCGCTCCTTCTGTGAAAAAAGAGAAGATCCTATGGTGCAAAAGGAGAAAAGAACCAACACAGAAAGCTTCTCAAGATTAGGCCGCGATTTAAACGTGGAATATGACGACCGACCCATTTGTGGTCATAATCAAGTGCCGTCAATTTTTCATGTGGAGGTTAACTGCGGATTCATTTCTTGTTCACCTTCAAAACCGAGAACAGGTACAGGCTTACACTTACTTTAACAGCCAACTGCAGCCAGCTATTTCAAAATCAATTCCACGCCGTTTGCAGTCTTCTTTATTGTATGTTCTTATGGTGAACAGAAATAGTATGGCATTGCAATGCCAACGCCGCAGCGCTGCGTACTTCTACTTCAATAGCAACATGTGTAGAAAGAGAGCGAGAGAGAGAGTTTCCTGATGTATGTACAACATGTTCTTTGCTTTGAGCTGTGAGCAGAGTGACAGTGAGTAGAGCGATGACAAGACATAGCTCAAGTTCAACCAGGCCGGTATGATACTTATTTCCACGTGCTGCTGCATAAGGCCGCGGAAGGAATAGAGTAGACAACGCTTTTTCCCTGAGCTTAAACTATGGATATATCACTTTGATGTTTACCTTCGACAACAGCTCGCTTCGTCCATTCTTTTCTTCTTGTTTTTCTATGTGATTCGGAAGTAAACAACGAAACGTCAGCACACTCTTGCGAACCTGTGGCGCCCCCCTCGTCGTTACGCCCCATCGCACTTGATATTTACGCTCGACATTGGTAGTGCAGCCCGAGGGTTCTTCTAATTCGATTTCGCATACGCATCATTTTCCTTCCAACTCGGTACTTTAACTTTGGTGAGGAGGAATGAGTCGCATTGAATTTTTGATTCTCGCCACACTCTGGGCGACTTTTGAGAATTTATTACGTCAACATCGCCTTTGCCTTTCCTCGCATAAATTTTCCCTCAAAATAGAACTGCACAAGTTTTTTTTTGGCCTAGCGATTTCGTTGCGACGAGTAGCACAACGAACTCTAGTTACGTAAAGAAGAAATCGCAATCTATTGATACCCGATTGATATTATCTACGTAGTTGATGCGTCACCCTCTCGCCTCGCGCAAATACTCGAATCTCTTTAACGAAGTATCTTCCTCAGCTTCACGACCTCACCAAAAAAAGTATATCGATGCTTTCTACAAAATAACGATAACCGTTGATATCATACTTTTTACAGCTAGTAGCTAAGCCTAAGATTTTTTGTTACACCGAACTTTTAAAGTTCGCGCTATTTGTTTCAGTTTCGTTTCTATTGTTACATTTGTCTACGTATTGCTAGATCTGCTTTGGTACTGTTTCATTCTTTTTATCTGTATGTTATTTTGCTGAAGTAAAATAGTTTTTCATCATCTTTGTTTCGATGTCACCGCTTTACTGATTTTTACTGTCTTCAAGAAAAATCGATACGTTTGGTTTCAGTTTCTTGTCCAACGAGCTCACGCTGGCGCTAGGAAGATTACCCTTCACTTGGTTTCTACTTTTTCAACATCTGCAACGATCTTCTTTTTGAGCAGTATTTTTCGAATCCCTGCTGCTTTCACGACGACCACCAGCACACCTTGATTGCTTCACCTCGACGCGGTCTACGGAGCGGCAACATTATACAAGGTTGCTCTACTTGTACTTCGCGGACGATCGTTCAGCGGCCGAGTTTGTGAGACCGACCTGCGTAGTGTTGTTGGTGCCTTCATTACGACCAGCCAGCACCTGCACCTCCCGGCATCAACGATCTGCACCATTCATTGGCTCGAAGAGTTTGACTTTTGCTGGGTCGCGAGCAGAACGAAACGCCGGAAGTGGAGAGGCCACTAAAAAACGAAGCAAGAAGGCCGCGCTGGTGCTGCAGATGTTGAGGATGAGGCTAGTGCAGCGACGATGATTTTCCGCCGCCATGGCAGCTGGTGCCGCTGAAGTTGAAGAGCAAGAGTCCTCGTTCCTCGGTCTCGAGGATAATTTCTATCATCAACGTGATTTTTACCAGCTCCAAATGCCGGCAACGCTTGGTCGTACCTACTCAAGATGAACTTTCACTCGTCCCGGGGCACAACAACCAAGTGTGATGTCGACCACCATTATTCATTTCTACGTCTAGTCTTTGAAAGATTTTGGTGAAATCATTCCCAAGCGAATGTTTTAGATCTACAACTTGTACTTCTACATCTACTCTCGACAACCTACTTCTTCACCGCGTGGAGCAAAAATTCCTGTGCGAATATTAACAAACCGCGGTGAATAAAGCGAAGAGTTGTCGTTCACGACGACCTACTTGGGACAACGACGCGGTCCTGAAGAAAGGAAAATCATTCAACCGTAACGACCGCAAAATTAACCGTAAATCCTCTACTTCTATTGGTATCACCAGTACTTGTACTTCTAGCGGAGCGCTCTTTTTTCGAAAATGCCGGAGAACTCGGGTTCCGACCTGAGCAAGCCGAACAGTCCGGCGTTTGACGCAGCGCAGCCCCGGTCACTCACACCCAACAAGAAAATCCCCGCACCTCCGCTGGCATCGTCAAAGACCACTGCCGGAGAAGTTCCACTGGACAACCATAACCAACGAGGTGGACCAGCAGGCAGTGGCACGCTATCGAAATCTTCATCCTCTTCGGGGAGCAAGATAGTGAATCAAGCGCTAAGCGGATCGGCGACGAGAAATAACCCGATGAACAACGGCGCAGCAAATACAAGTGCACCAGCAGCAGGTAGTTGTTCATCGTCGGCCACTGCTGCTGGTGGGAGAAACAAGAACAAAAAGAAGATCAAGAACTTTCACGTGCACGGAGGCTTAGGTTTGCTGGACAACTCTCAGTCGGACGATGAAGACAGAACAACGGCAACCAAGGGCGGGAAAGAACAAGGCACCTCGCAGATGACCTCGTCCACTGGCGTTGGCGGTCAACATCAGCAGGGACCGCGGCACGGCGGCACTAGAGCTAGTGGCGCTTCGACCTCTTCGTCAAGTAGAACCACGACTGCGGCTGGAAAAACTGCTGCAGGCAAAACAGGAGGACCCGCCGAACCGGGTATAATATTACCAGCAGGAGCTGCGCCAACGGCAGCACCTGCACCTGGGGCCGCATCTTCAAGCAAGATGAGCTACAAGGATCGGCTTCTTCAGAATCAAAAAGCCACGACCGGAGGCTCATCTGGAGCTGCACCTTCGAGCAAGAGCGGGCCGCCGTCTAACGCAGCAGGAGCTTCCTCATCGACGTCCTCCTCGAGTACTTCTAGACAAAAAACAGGGGAGCAGGCGGCCGCCTGGTCCTCTAGCACCACTGCTGGAACTATTGCAGGAGCGGCGTCTTCGTCGAGAACTTCTTGTGAAGATTTAACTAGAAATAATGGTAAGTTTGGAACATCATCATCAAGCTTCGATCGCTTTGAAGATGCGGATCAATATGATGAACAAGAAGTGCAGAGCTCCCAGGACGTGGAATCTCTACTTGTGGCGGCCACGTCAACTCTGCGCAGCAGCGGACAGCGGCGGTCGACGCCTCCGCCCTCGTTGACCGCGGTGGCGGAGCACGAGCAACTAAAAGTCGAGGACGAATTTCCGACGCCTTCACCCGGGTCCTCGTTGAACCTGAAAAACGGGGGAGCGTCGTCGCGAAAAATTTCCTTGACCGTACTACAGTTGCTATCTTTATTGTCATTGTCTCCACAAGCACCACCGGCTCCTAGCAGCGGTGCCGTTCCATTGTCCAGTGTGCCGTTTGATATTGTCAATCCGTTTTTAGTGGTCTTTCTCTTCTAGTAGGTGCTGATGAGAAGTGTGCGTGTCGTATGTAAGATCATTGTCAACATCAAATTTATGCACACAAAAATATAATTCCCAGATCGTCTGTGACGGTAATGAGAACCGCATCGTGTGCGACGGCGCCCTATCACCGGAGGACAAAGACCTTTTGGACCGCGCGCTGCGCATTGCTGCGCGAGAGGGCTTGGGGAACACGAGAAACACGAACGGGAGCTTCGGGAGCACGGACAGCAGCGCGGGCAATAGCTCGACGCATTCGTCAACACAGAAACCGCAATCCACCCCGAATTTGCAGGAAAACAGCAGTATATTGCAAGATATTCCACCATTGGAATCGCCGAACCCGGGTGCAGCGACTGCTGCGGCAACGAGTAGTAGGAATGAGGATCGTTCTTCGCAAATAACCGCGCAGTCAGTTCGTAGTGGACCAAGAGCCGAGGATCGATATCCTCGAAGTACAGGCGCAGTTGGGGGCGGAGGTTCGCCTCCTGGAGGCAACAAGGAAGCAGGAGGCAGCAAGCGTGGTAAGCTACGCATCAAAAACGTACCTATGACGTCCGTCGCCTCGGGTAGCTCTAGTGCTTTGCCAGAGCATGCCGCACAAGGGGAGGACGCTGCAACTTATCACGAACGTCCTGGATTCGCGGCAACTTCTTCCACCTCTTCTTCATCTTCTTCTAGAAACAATGCAAAGCGGCACGCAGACGGCACCACAGACAGTGGGACCATGGTTTTGTCCGATTTCCAGACAAAGCGGCTGTTTCCCCTCGACCTGCCGAGCAAGATGGAGCCAATCGGAGCAGGCTGCGTAGACCCTGCTGCTATTCGGTTCCCAAGCAGCACCACGAGCACCTCGATACCGCGCACGACCGCGTCCGCTTCGGACCTTCTCTCGCAGCACGAGCGTGCGTCTAGTAGCAGTGGGGGCGGGAGGAGTACGAGGGGATTGGGAGAGGACCACCTGGATGGAGGTGTACAGCCTATTCCACCAATGGAGAGCAGTAGAGAAATCAGCTCCACCTCGTCGTCAAGCGGAGGCCAGCACCAGCCGCAGCTGATAGACCTGCGGACCGGGCAGCAGTTAGTGATTTCTCAGCAAAATGAGACGCGGAGCCACAAGCAGACGGCCAGCACGTCAGCCACCAGCAGCAGCAGCGAGGATCAAGTGAAGCAGGTAGAGACAGGAGTAGGCGTCGTGCCAGGTGGCAGCGGAGGGGGAGCATCTTCTCCACCGCATACACATTCTCACTCGTCACATGTACAGAAAAGCAAGAAGCAGGGGATGAGCAACCACAACAACAAAGCTGCCAGTAGCGCGTCGAACCCGCAGCTGGTTGTAACTCAGTCGAGTAATCTCAGCCAATTTGGGCCCGGCATGCTGGGGAACCAAATTCACACGAACGCGTCGTCAAAAAAGTCCTCAAAAGGCACGTCCTCATCCGCGCACCAAAGCCCAAACAACGCCTTCGCGACCTCGTCCGGGGCGCCCGCGACAGGTCATAAGTTTTTTCAGGGCCAGAGTGGCGGACACGGACATCTTCAGCACCAGTCGCAGCATGGCAGCAGTAAAGGGATCAGCTCTGCGAACCATTCGAAAGCAACTGCCACGGCAATGGGAACAGCGGCAGTAGCTGCTGGCTCTCCTCTCGCAGCAGCAGCACCGTCCTCCTCGTCGACACAGCCTTCGATGAAGTTTTCGTCGATCGCGGCAGCGACAGCGCTGCAGAAAAGAATAGCGGGGTTGACTAGCAGCGCGTCCTCTTCACTTTCCGTTGATGCACTGGTGAAGCAGAAAATCAGTCCACTAGGTGCTTGTCAAAGTCAAAGTAGTGGAGCGAACCTCATGCAGCTCCACCTCGATGGTGCACCAAACGCGGATCAGCAGGATGGAAGCGCACCATCTAGTTCACTTTTATTTCTCGACCACCAGCTGGGCTCAACGTCCGCGCCGGACATTTTGAACCGAAACTCGACTACAACTGTGATATCTGACACCACTGGCACAGACACCGTCTCTCCTGGCCTGAAACCGATAAACACGGAGGAGTCGCTCGACGCAGACACCACTTGGGGGGCGGAGCTCGGTGCGAGCTTGTCCGGGTCGATTAAAGATGCGTGCGGGAAGAAGCCCGAGAAGCTAGACAAAACAGAACTGGCCAACATTCTGGCGAAAGCCATGATTCCCGCAATACATAGAGTGTATCAATTCATTTTTTCAAGTCAGATGCTGTGAGTAGCAGTAGGTGAAATCAATAAGAACCTTAACGTAGCTTTTCCGCCGATGCATGATAATCTTATAGACCTACGAGATTATGTAGTTGTTCTACTTCATCTCGTTCTCGTCCTGTGGATGACTTCTGCCACTAGTAGCCTGGTTAAGGTTGCGGCAGCTGTGACATGATAAGACTCTAGTACGTGAAGACGAGAACAAGTAGATCATGACGTTGCAATGAAGAAGATGAAGAACCCGAAAATCTTCAAAATTTCAGGCAACGACAGAAGAAGGAGGAGCGGCGACGGCAGCGCGCGGCGATGTCGAGCACGACCTCGCTTGGGAGCAGTGTCACCTCGGCGTCGAACATCATCGCGGGCGCCACCCGAGCCTCGTCCGGCTCCTTGAAGAGCCGGAACTCCTCGGAGGTCCTGGTGTGCCAGTTCGACGAGCGCGGAAACGTCAGTGTCCTGGAACGCAACCAGCACGGCACGAGTAGTATCCTGTGCAAAAGCATCGTACTCGTACTAATCGCAGTCATGCAAGACAAATTCTATTATGCAAGCTAAATCAGAATGACAAATTCCGTTTGTCATGCTGAGCTAATTTGTGTTGCAATACAACTACGAGTACGAAGATACTTTTGCAGTTCATAAGCAGACCCAAGGTTTTCTCCCTCGAAGACCTGAGCCGCAGAAGGGACACGGAGGGAACGCTTGCGGATGTCAAGTCGGTATTGATACATATGAAAGATGATACTCGGGTGAACCGAATAGAAAAAAAACGCCAGCCAATTGCAATAGCAATGGCCGCGGTGGTGCACAAAAATTAGGAATTCTTGCAAGAAGAAGCAGAAACTTCTTTTCTTTTTGCAGCATGAGCATGACGAACAACATTTCTCTATGTAGGTTCTTCGCGAATACCTAGACGGGCAGCGAAATAGCAGTAGCAAGCCGCTCCGCAAAGCCGCAGACCAGCAGAGCTCCTCGAGCCTTTTCCCTGTGGGTTCTTTTGACGAATTGATTCGCGCGGCCAGCAGCACCACGCCAATGACCGTCTCGGAAAGCTTTCATGCGCTGGGTTCAGAGGGAAATTTCTCACGGTCGAGCTCCATCATCGGTACAATGTTTGCGTTTGTGCATGGCGAATACATAGTGACAGTCTGATTTAGTTGAGTCAACTAAATGGCATTGGCAGCTTCTTCCCGATTCGCTTGTGATGGCGAGAAAGATGACGACGAGTCAACAAATGGCCATATACATAGAATGCCTCATTTTGCGTGTGCAGGCACAGGCTGTTATACGAATTTTGATTCGAACGGAAGAAAAAAAATCTTCTCCTCGTGATGGCTCTTTACAAAAAAGCAAAAAAAAATCCACCAGGCTCCACGACGACGAGCGTGGCGGGGGCGGAATCCGCGTACAATTACAAGGAGCGCAACAGTCGAGGCCACCGCTTCCGAAAACACCACACCGGGGCCGGCTCGTCGGAGCACAGCTTCCAAAATTTCAAGTCCTCCTCCAGTATGCGCAAGGTGATTGGCAACCACAAGGCCCTTCTTCTTCGCAAGAACGGCCGCGAGATTGTGGTTTGCATTCCGGAGGGGTTAGCAGGTGGTGCGAACAGCAACAATTCCGCCGGGATGTTGAACACTGCTTCGAACAAAAATCTGATGGGCACCAGTACGACCGGCGGTGGCAGCTCGTGCAGCACCACGACAGAGACGGCGGGAACCAGGGGCGCCACAAGCAGGTCGTCCAACAAAAACTCGTCGCATGGTCCGGGCGTCAAGAAGTTCTCCTCCACCAACTCTTCCTATGCATTGCAAAAGTGTTGTGCCAGTAGAAATCAGAATCGCATCACAAATTTGGTCAGCATGAACAATCAAAATGGAATTTGTAATGCTGGTTCCTAACTAACATGTACAGAGAAAAATCTGCCATGCGTGAAGATTGCCATTAGTACGATACTTTTGCACAGGATGCTTCCCGGGCCAACACGACGGTGCACGAGCAGAGCTTCGAGCGCGAACACGTGCCCTTCGTCAGCGAGAGTCCGAGCATCGACATGAAAAGCACTAGTAGGAGTGTGTACAGCATGCACCCGCCGTCACGAGTCCTCGGCGGGGGGCAGAGCAGCCAACAGTTCAACAACGCGGCAAGTAGCTCGTCAGTGAGCCGGGGCGGGAACAGTAGGACGATGAACAAGATGAGTGCTGTGGGGTACTAAATAAAATTTGATTGCTTTGATAGAACAGAAACTGAAACTACTGCCGAGAATATTCATAAGAAACTGTATGGGAACCACGAGTTGTTGTGACCTGCGTTCTTCTGACTTATTGCACTTCGTACTCGCTGTCGCTGCAGAAATTTATTTTCCACCGTTGCTTCAACATACGTTTACGTTATATAGTTACTATCATCATTCACGATCTTCACCTCCCCAGCCCCATTTCCGAGCGCGGTGGTGGCAACCACGAGATGAATAACAATCGGTCCAGCCGGCGCAGCGGCAACAACCGGAACAAGCACAACCGCAACCAAGACCACCACAACACCCATAGTCACAGTGGTGGGAAACGGCGTTCGAGCACCAGCAAAATGTATGAAATTATGCAGCACGGCGAGGAGACGCCGCCTCCTCCACCCCCGTTGCACGCCCCGGCCTACACACCAACCGCGGGCGGCACGCCGCTCCAGGCCTACATGACCGCGCCAGGGAGCTACGGTCCGCCGCCCGGGCCGGCGCCCCACCACCACCAGCAGTACGGTCCTGCGGCTCACATCGGGCCTGCTGGTATCAAATGTAAAAATGTCTGGGTCTGGAAGAGTCATGCTGTTTTTGCATGACACAGAAGGTCTGGCATGGAAGCTCTAGCATCACAGGTTTCGAGAAGCTTCCGCAATGCCAATGCCGAATCCGCATGACAGATCCCCCAACTTGGTGACAGAAAGTGGGCAGCTTTTGCTACCTATGCATGAGAGATTTTTCTGTGTTCTGAAAGAGAGTATGTTGGAAAAAAAAAAATCTCAAAGAAATTCTACCGACGGCCTAAAGAGATTCTCCCTCAAAGACATTCCTCCTGCGAGAATATGCCAGGAAACGACAAGAAGGACACGCCTGGCGCAACACGGGGCGAGCGCATCAGACGGGGCGCGCTTGGTGGGTTTGTTACCGGTCGCCACCGTCGCGCCGGCGCGCTGGAAGGGCTTGCGCTAGGCCGGGGCGCCATCGCTATTCAGCGCCTTGTTGGTGCTAGCCTGGCATCGGGGCGCCGGGCTGGTTCGCTGCCTTTTATCTTTCGCTCGCCCCTTTCCTTCGCCATGGCCGACGTGTTTCAGCCGAGGGAGGCTGCCCCCCTTTCCTATGAAATCCGACGCAACGAAACCGCGCGGCGTTGCGTGTTCCATCGGTTCGTTTTCTAGCCCTGCCCCTCGTTGCAAATAGAACGACGAAGCTTCCCACCTTCGCTACCCTCTCGCGGTTTTTGCTTCTGACGTGGCACGCCTCATTCTGTCCAGCGTCGCACTGTTTTGTTTTTGGGCAGCGGCGAGCCTTTGCGTGCGCTCCCGAAGCCTGAAGAGAGGTCGAAGCCGCGCGAGGTCTGTTTGCAAGTGTGACGCGCGGCCAAATTTTTTGTAAAGTATTGCCTTGCCCGCGCGGGCCCTCAAAGTTTTGAAAATAAAAGCTCTCCCCGCCCGTGATTTTGAGGCCCGCAGCCGGATCCGGGCGCGGGGGCCGAAAATTTTTTCTTCGCCCGCACGCAGCGCGCGCGCACCCACGCGGGAGCCGGGGACGGCATTCATTCTTCGCCGCCGCTCTCTCAGTTGCGAAAAATCGTATTTCGCCCGCGCGGTTGAAGCCCGCGGCCGCCTGTGTGATATGTCTTTGGCCGGCGAGGGGCGAAGAAATTTTGTTTCCTCGCCCGCGCGCTGGCGTGCGCGCAGATTTTGATCACTCAGGGTCGGGGCCTACCGTGTTCGGCGTTGTTGCTTGTGCCGGCCGGGCAAAAAATTTTTTCGCGCTGCGCGCGCGTGCCTTTGTAGCGGTTTCGCAAAAGCGATCGCTTTGCGCCCGTGCGCGATTAGGGGCGGACCCGGACAAGGTCGCGGCATCGCGCTCGACGTTCATCTTGTGCCGGCTGCACAGAAACGCGCTTGGAGCTACTGCGCCGGGAGTGCGAAGCTTTTTTCCCGCGCGCGGACCCTTTACTTCGCCCGGCCACACTGTTTGGCGCTGCTCCTTTTCGCTTTACGGAAATTTTTCGTCGCCCGCGCGCCGTGCGCGCGGTGGGTTAGTTTTTCTCAAGGCCGGGGCCAGCATTGCTGCCGTATCGATCGCACGTCAGGCGGGGCGGTGCGCGAGCGTGAGGCCCGCGGCCGTCTCTGCGATATGTCTGTGGCCGCCGAGTGGCGAAAAATTTTCCGCGCCCGCGCGTTCCTGCGCGCGCAGACATTGATCAGTGTCGGGGCCTACCGCGCTGGTCCGGTGTTCGTTGTTGCTTGTGCCGGCCGGGCAAACAAAAAAAAAAAATTCGCCCGCGCGCTGCGCGCGCGGCAATTTACCAAAGCCGGGGGCAACATACATACAGAGTCCGCCCGAGGCCGGTTTGCCGATCGGGCAGAGTTTTTTTCTCCGCCCGCGCGTTGCGCGCGCGAACCTTGACGAGGGTCGGCGCTGAGGCATCGCGCTCGGCGCTTCTGTGTCGGCTGCGGAAAAAACGAAATTTTTCGGCCGCGCGCGATGTTGGACGGGGCCGCGGCACCTCGTTCGGCGGTTCTTCGCCGGCTGCACAAAAACGCGCCCGGCGCTGCTTCGTCGGGCCCGACGCTGCTGCGCCGGGGGCGCAAAATTTTTTTCTCGCCCGCGCGCTGCGCGCGCGATTTTATCATGCTGCCGAGCCTGCGCCAGATTGTTCGGCGCCTCGCCCCCCTTTGCGCTTGGCGAAAGTTTTTCGTCGCTCGCGCGCGGCGGGCTTTCATGTTTTTCCTCGCTCGCGCGGCGCCTTACCGCCTGACGCTCAGGCGGTAACGCGCCGGGCGGATTTTTGTCTTTTCAGCTTGGCAATTTTTTTTTCGGGCTTGAAAAAATTCGGGGCGCCCATTTCGCGTAAACCTGGCGGGCCCCGCCCCCCCTCATTTCGAGCATGTGGTAGTTGCGCTCTTTCGCAACCCTCCCGGGGCCAAGATTTTTTCTCTGTTCCTCGACGCAGCATTTCTGCGATTTTTCTTCGTCAGTCTCTTTGGGCCCGGCCCGCGGGCTTTTGAAGTTTGAAGATAGATTAGGCGGGCGGACTTTTGGGGTAGGGGGTGCGTGCCTTGCCAAGTAAAAAAACGAAGAAAGACGCTGGGCGGGTGTAGGAATAAGTTGGGGAAGTGCAGCTTGGCTGCAATTTGGGTGGTAGGTCGGGGCTGTGTAACTCTTCTCTGGAGATGCGAAGCGGCGCGCGCCTCTTCGCATCCCCACGCGCACATCTGTAGCTCCCAGAAATCGATCGCTTGTCTGTCGTGGGGCGGGCGACGATGCTCGTCGCTTCGAGCACGACCGCCATCTCCTGCAGGTCCGAAACGCGCTTCGGGGTTTCCGGCGCTGGATCTCCGTGTGAAGCGGAGCCGGACTATAGAGGAAGGAATTAGCGACGGAGACGGACTTTAGGGGCCAGCTTTGGGGGGCAAAACTAGCGATGGAAAGTGGGGTCGGGTGCGAAAGGTCGGGCGTTAGAAGGCCGCGTCGGGCGGCGTGTTGGGGCTTCGTCGTCTAAGATGGTCTTCTCGGATTTCTCTCCACATCAGGAGCCCCCGTACCAGAGAAATGAGCAGGTGCGTGGACGAGGGGGCCGGAGGCTGTATCTACCAGGTAGATACAGCCTCCTGGGGGGGCCTGTAGCTAGGAGGCCTTCTTTGGGAGCCTGTATCTACCAGGTAGATACAGCCTCCTTCTACCAGGTAGATATAACCTCCTTTGTTTGGGAGCCTGTATCTATGTCCAGGTAGATGCAGCCTCCTTAGATGCAGCCTCCTTCGGGAGCCTGTAGCAGCTAGGAAGCCTTCTGCTTCTGTGGGAGCTTCTATCTACCGGGTAGATACAGCCCGCGCTAGGGAGCAGGGTAGGACTGGCGGCCTCGTCCCCACAGCATTAGCTCCCGCCGTGGGCGATTTTCCAGGATATTGGTGTTTTTTGCCCGAATGGTAGTGTTTAGCATAGCCAATTCTGGCTACCCAGGGCAGTGGTTGCCCCAGCTGGGGAGGCTCGACAGCAGTCCCCGGCGGGACCGGGCAGGGGCGGGAGGATGGGGCAGGGCCGCGAGAATCTCTTTGCCAAAGAGATTCTCCCTCACCTGTGGAGAATCTCTTTGTCAAAGAGATTCTCTCACTCGGCGAGCAAGCACGGCCGCAGGAGATTAACAAATAAAAGGCCAGAAACGCCGCTCCTTGCTCAACCGACGTGCCTGCTCAAGTTAACAATCAAATAAAAGCCAAAAACCGACGTTCCTTGCTCAACCGACGTGCCTGCTCAAGTTAACAAATAAAAGCCAAAAACCGACGCTCCTGCTCAACCGACGTGCCTTTTCAGCAGAATCTCGCACCTTTTCCGGAGAATTTCTTTAGATTCCAGAGAATCTCTTTGAGCCTAAGAGATTCTCCGAGATTTTCTTTGCGGCAAGCCTAGTAAATGTCGAGAAAAAAAAAATACGGTAGAAAAAATCGCAAAGCATCTAGAAAAAATCAAACCGGGCTCCCACTGTAGAAAAAACCAGTCGGGTGCTTTGAGAAAAATCGAGAAGAATGCGCGAAAAATTTTCTCCGCGCGCGCGCTGCGCGCGCGGCGAGGTTGTTTCTCAGCGTCTCTGCACATGGGGCGCGCCCCAATCTCCGTCTGTCGCTTGAAAAATTTTCTCCGCGTGCTGCGCGCGCGAGTTTCCTGCCTCGGCCTTCGTCTTGGCCGCCGAGTATGTGGGTGCGGTTCTTCTGCACACAATGCGCGGCCCCGCCTGGCCGCGTGGCCCGCTTGTCATGTCGGAAAAATTTTCTCCGCGCGCTGCGCGCGCAGCGAGGTGTCTTGTCAGCGCTCCCCACACATGGGGCGCGCACCTACCTCCGTCTGCCGCTTGGAAAATTTTCTCCGCGCGCTGCGCGCGCGGCGAGATTGCTTCTTCGCGTTCCCTACACATGGGGCGCGCCCCCCACCTTCGCCTGTCGCTTGAAAAATTCTCTCCGCGCGCTGCTCGCGCGGCGAGGTTGCTTCCAAACGTTCCCAGCACATGTGGCGCGCCCCCACCCCCGTCTGCCCTTTGGAAATTTCCTCCGCGCGCTGCGCGCGCAGCGAGGTTGCTTCTCAGCATTGCCCACGCATGGGGGGCGCCCCCATCTCCATCTGCCCCTTGAAAAATTTGCTCCGCGCGTTGCGAGCGCGGCATTGCTACCGTTGCCGTCTTCTTGGCCGCGAAGTATGTCGGCTCGGATCGTCTGCACCCAAAGCCGCGCGCGTCCGCTTGGTTGCGTGGCCTGCTTTTCGAAAAAATTTCCCCCGCGCGCTGCGCGCGCGGCGAGGTTGCTTCTTAGGGCCCCCCACACATGGGGCGCGCCCGCGCCTTCGTTTGCCGCTTGCAAAATTTTTCTCCGCGCGCTGCGCGCGCGGCGCGGTTGCTTCTCGGCATTCCCCACACATGTGGCGCGCCCCCACCCCCGTCGGCCCTTTGAAAAATTTTCTCCGCGCGCTGCGCGCGCAGCGAGGTTGCTTTTCAGAATCCCCCGCACATGGGGCGCGCCCGCATCTCCGTCTGTCGCGGACTTGAAAAATTTGCTCCGCGCGCTGCGCTCGCGGCTTTGCTCCCTTTGCCTTCTTCTTGGCCGCGAAGTATGTTGGCTCGGTTCGTCTACACCCAATGCCGCGCGCCCCCGCTTGGCTGCGTGACCCGCTTGTCGGAAAAATTCTCCCCATACATTGCGCGCGCGGCGAGGTTGGTTCTCAGCGCCCCCCACACATGGGGCGCGCCCCCACCCCCTTCTGCCGCTTGAAAAATTTTCTCCGCGCGCTGCGCGCGCGGCCTTGCTGCCTTCTCTTTGGCCGCCGAGTATTTGGCTGCGGTTCTTCCGCACACAATGCGCGGCTCCGCCTGGCCGCGTGGCCCGCTTGTCATGTCGGAAAAATTTTCTCCGCGCGCTGCGCGCGCGGCGAGGTTTCCTGCCAGCTGCCCCCACACATGGGGCGCGCACCCACCTCCGTCTGCCGCCTGAGAAATTCTCTCCGCGCGTTCCGCGCGCGGCGAGGTTGCTCCTTAGCGTTCCCCACAAATGGGGCGCGCCCCCGGCTTCGCCTGCCGCTAGAAAAATTTTCTCCGCGCGCGCGAGGTTGCTGCCCAACGTTCCCCGCACATGTGGCGCGCCCCCACCCCCGTCTGCCCTTTGGAAAATTTTCTCCGCTTCTCAGAATTCCCCACGCATGGGGCGCGCCCCCATCTCCATCTGTCGCTTGAAAAATTTGCTCCGCGCGCTGCGAGCGCGGCATTGCTACCTCTGCTGTCTTCTTGGTTGGCCGCGAAGTATGTCGGCTGGCTCGGTTCGCCTGCGCCCAATGCCGCGCGCTTCCGCTTGGTTGGTTGCGTGGCCTGCTTTTCGCAAAAATTTTCCCCGCGCGCTGCGCGCGCGGCGAGGTTGCTTCTTAGCGTTCCCCACACATGGGGCGCGCCCCCGCCTTCGTCTGTCGCACGCTTGGAAAATTTCCTCCGCGCGCTGCGCGCGCGGCCTTGCTGCCTCTGCCTTCTTCTTGGCCGCGAAGTGTGTAGGGTTGGCTACCCTGCACCCAATGCGCCCGCTCCCTCGCTTTGCTGCGCTTCCCGCTTGTCGGAAAAATTTTCTCCGCGCGCTGCGCGCGCGGCGTGGTTGCCTCGCCGCGTTACCCGCGCCCACCGCGCGCTGCGCGCGCGGCTTTGTTATTTCTCTTTTCTCGGCCGCGAGGTCCGCTTTGTTTTGCACACCCAGCGCGCCCGCCCCCGCCTGGTTGCGTAGGTGGCGGGCCCGTTGGCCTGAAAGGAAAACGAACTTTGTCCGCTTGCAAGACGAGGCCGCTTCGTTCTCAGCGTTGCCCACACATGGGGCGCGCCCCCATTGCCGTCTGGCGCTTCGCGGTGCTGGGGCTTCGCGCATCGCTTCGCGCGTGCGCGTGTATTCGGCTTTTCCGCTTCTGGGTGGAGGTCTTTTGATTTTCCCCGGAGGTGTTTGATTTTTTCTACCGTATTTTGGAGGTTTTCGGCCGCTGGCCTCGAATGGGCGGGACGAGAAGACTTTCGAGAAAAAGCGAGAACTTCGAGAAAAAGTGAGAACTTCTCGAGTTCTTGCCATTTTCTCGCTTCTCTCGGTTTCGGACGAGTCCCGTTTGATTTTTTCTACAGCTGTAGAAAAAATCAAAACGAGGCGCGTGCTTCTTGTGAGAAAAATCGTCGTCTTTGTGTTTTCTCGTTTGATTTTCTCTTTGTATCCTTTCTCTTCTTTTTTCTCTTTTCTTCTCGTTATGATTTTCTCTACATATTTTTGATTTTTTCTACCGACACTAGAAAAAATCAAATATTTTATGCGAGGCGACTGGCAGGCATGTTCACAAGTTTGTCTGCTTCCAGACCCAGACATATTAATTTGCATTGGATAGCTGGGATCCAGCACCACGGAACCACGTATTACCCGACACCCGCGCCAACGCCCACATATCACATGGATCCAATGGGAAATTACCAGCAGGCTCTGGGGAACCCCGCGCAGCCGTATGTCTACATGCAGGTATCTATTGAAGCTTAGATTTTGACCTATCAACAGGACATCGATGTTGCTGGTGCTTTTATGCAGTTTGTTGATGCTGTTAGTGTTACTGGAGCTTGTGCTTTCAAATTTGCAACTTCCTGTGACTTTGTGAGCCAGAAATATATTTTTACGGAGAGCACGACCAATCTTGCGCTATTAACGCTGTGCGCGATCTTTCGAAGTAGGGTTGTTTGAGCCCAGGTGAAAATTTTGACAATGAAAAGAATGCCGTCGCATTTCTTTGGTCCTTTTTGTTTACTTCTACGCTCCTACAAAACAAAAGTCAAATAAGTATAAAGTGGAAGTGCGTATCCAAAAAACAAAAATTGACTCCAGATTCCGTCGGCTCCCCAGGTGGTTTACCACCCCCTTGGCGGGTATCCGCAGATTACGCAGCTGCAGCCAATGCCGGCCAACTTGCAGCCAGCGCAAGTGCAGCAACTCACGCAACAACCGCCGCCACTAGGGCCACCTCAGCCGCAAAGTAACCCGGCGACGAGTATCAGTATAACAAGTCCGAAGCAGCAGCACCACGCTGCTACTTTGAACTTGGTTGCTGCAGGCGGTGGCGCGGGACCACAAATGCCCTCTTCAAATAACGCGGCGACACAGCAGCTACTGAATCCGCTGGATTTGATCCCTCTCCCGTCCGGCGGCGACACCTGCAACAGCACGAGCTCTGCGGGAAATAACAGCACGATGACCGGGACCACGACCATCCATGCGTCCTCCTCCACGTCGTCTGCGGGAGCGCCGGTCGTGGTCCCAGCTGCAGGAGCAGGTTGTGCCCCGCCGCCGATGGATCACATGCAGTTGCTGCAACAGATCGCGCAGGGGGCCGGTACAACAACTCTCGGCGGTGGAGCTACTGCAGCCGCCTCATCAACATCCACCGCACAGCATCAGCAGCTGCCGCCACAACTGCCGTCCACGGTTGCAGCAGCTGTCGGAGGAGGAGGAGCCCCCGCCGGGGGTGCACCAGGAGCACCCGGCGGGCCACCAGTCCCGCCGATAAATCCGCAGGAGCTCTTGGGTTTGATTCCGCGAGAGCACCAACTAATCGGCACCATGGACGCGCGGGGCGGTATCACGTTCTTCAACAACGCACTGCAGTCATTGACTGGTGGACCTGCAGCGGGAGCTCCGCCCTCTGGGGGTGCGCGTGCCGCTCCGGCAGGCGCGCCGGGTGGTGCAGCTGGCGGGGTGGCTCGGACTGGTCCAGGGTAACAAGTAGGCCGAGGAGCACTGAGTTGTTGTAGCGACACGAACAAAAGAAAATTAAAAAAAAACTGCGACCTTTTATGATTTCGATTTCCACCATTTCGTGGCGGTGTCGAGTCTACTTATTGTACCCCGCAGTTTGATATCGTAAACGGAAAAGTTAGCTTCTCGCATGGTATTTCTTCCCCGAAATTATACTAAATTGAATATCAATACAACTATGAATTACAGATATACAAAAGCTTGCGCAAGCGCTTCTCAGTCACATTATTTTTTGCTTCAGTATTGACGCATTTTTCTTCAGTATTCTTGTCTTTATTCCAATTTTCAACTTTAGAAATAACAACTCACAGTATGCAAAAATACAGTAAAGGTCATTGCACTCAGAAACAAAACGAGTACCAGAAAAATTAGACACGATTGGATCGGAGACTGGGGTGCTTGCTCTTGTACGAACTTTTCGCGTGCTTATCCATGTGAAATGTTGTCAACCATCTTCTAGTCTTGCTATCCTTTCAGCTCCCATTTTTACACACCATATTTGCAACAGTTAATTCGACGCCAACATCAACAAGCTCAGGCACGGTAAGATTTTATTCTAGTTCATTGCTTCTTTAGCTCATCTGTTGTATTTTTCCAGACAACCTGAAAGCTTTTTCAGGTCCGCCGCCCGATCCTGAGCCGAAGGTATTGCACCTCAGTACGCGCGGGTCGGTGGTTAAAAGCGAAACTGCCTTTCTTCATCCTTTCTCAAAAGCATAAGTCTTTTGCGGAAGGTTTTGTTCCTGCGGAGTGAGTGGAGGAATTGGATCATTGATAGGCCGCTTTCAGCAGGAGCATGGTGGGGACGACAGCAAAAATCAACTGTCGCAGAAGTATATCGAATTTTTCAATAACAAGCGCAGCTGCAACATCTTCAAGCTGCAGTGCGACGCACAGTACATTGAATAAATGAACAACTAAAAGTACAACAACTACAACCATCTGCAGCGGATGCGGAGGTTGTGTTTGTCGGAAAACAATTACTTCTTACGACGACGGGCACGTCCATCTCGACCACGTCGAGGACGTGATGATGCTTATCATCATCATGAAAAATGAAGATAGGAAGTGACGTAAAAATTACTCGGGTGAATGATACCTCGACGGGCGGCAGCATGAGGGCTAGAATGAAAATAAAACCTTCTTCTGGGCTCACCGGGCTCCTCCGGTTGCTACGTTTTTGATTTTGGTACAAAAAAAAGACCACTCAAAAACTGCGAGCATCGGTTAGGAAGAACAAAGAAGTGAGATATGATTACAGGACCGCCTCGGATTCAATTCTCATACAACAAATGTACTTGACTCTTTATGTAAACTCCGTCTACTCTATCACAACCACCAGACAGTGCAATAGCTTCAATTTCTTGAAACTCACTCCGGACGAAGGGAGCACGCAGGAAGAGCAGCATTTCTAACTCTTCGTGAATGCTTAGAACAAATGTATCCAAAATTTTTCATTGAAATAAGAAGCGATAAGAAGACAACTCATCAAACAAAGCTAAGCAAGCGAAGAACCGTCTTCAAGACCCCGAGGCAACACGACCGCCTAAGTTGTGTAGGTCTTGGCCACCAAAGACCACAACTTCCGGGACCACCGGCTGCTGGCTGCCTGTTCATAACTCGCTTTTGTTGTCGTCTTTCGTTTTTTTTTACGTGAGAATAATACACTGTTCGTTTGTCCTGCGTTTATAGAAGTTGTGTCTACTTTATTCTTGGTCTTCGAGCAGAATCACACCGCAACAGTTGACGTTTTTTCCATTGTGACGTCGTCCAGAGTTGCACATCAACAACGATGACAAGGACAACAGAACTTCACTGCACAAGAAAATCTTCTAAATCTATTACCTACATCAACAGCGGCCACTGCAACTGCAGCTCCTTGTACTTTTTCCCTATCGGTTGTGGAGTACATGAAGAAATCATTTTTTGTGCTAAGAACAATCATGGGTAGACCTAGCCTACCAACAAGCAAAGGCCTGCGAATTCTTGCGAAAATTTGATCTTGTATGTTTCATCTGCTCCGTAGGACACACACGACACTGGTGGCACACTTGCGGCCCGCACCAACAAGGTCGTCGAAGTTGGTCCTCTACTGTTGGACCTTCGTGGTCTGTCGTGTGTGAAACTGTTACAAGAACTGTACATGAACTATAAGAACTTCTGCGGTTATTTTCCGTTTTCGGGGCAGAAGCATACTACGTAGAAGATGGCACCAGCAGAGCAGCAACCGTCCTCCGGTCCCAGAAAACAACAAGGTGAAGAGGAAGCTCCGCAAGAATCTTCAATCGTAAAGGACCGGACCGTATCGGTTGACACCGAGGAGCTGTACCCCAATCGCACGGAAAGCGTCGGTATGTATTGCAAATATGTCTGGGTCTGGAAGAATGCAAGATTTGTCATGCTTGTCTGGCATGACTGTTAACTCTGTGATGCTTAGGCGCGAAAAGACGCACTTTCCTGTCATGCAAAAACGAAGCCTGCCATGCGGAATACGCAACACACGGGAGCATAGAAACTTGTCGTGCTTGGTCACCTATTGCAGTGAGCTCATTATTCACAGAGTTGCATCACAAGTTTCCAGACCCAGACATTTTTGCAATGCACAGTCGCCTCTCTCTTTTCCGACGAGCGTGCGCTGGAGCAGGTCGCCGCGAATGTCGCGGAGAACGCAATTTTTGGGGCGGACAAGGCTGGCGAGGAAGTTTTACACACGACTGCGGATCATGTTCATGATGCAGGAGCAGGAGGGGCACGATTAGCAGTAAATCAACTTCCTGGCGATCATGATCATCCTCGTGAAGATGTTTGTTCTGCTACCACCGCGCTCCCGTCTGATACTGCAACGGAAGCAGCACCTCCAGCAACTGCTCAGGCAGCAATTCAGGGATTTGGATTTGCAGCGGCCACTGAGGATGAGGAAACTACAACAGCATTTCCACCAGTTGACGGCGAGCCAAGTAGAACAACAGGCGCAGACGGGGGCAGCTCGCAGCTGCCAAAGCACTCCGTTGCTGCACGTCGACAGGACGGCGCTGAAAGTTATGAACTAGAGGAAGTGCTGATGTCCACCGCATCGGAGGCGGAAGAGGTCATGCTCGCACGCGTCGCCGCGGCCGTGGTCCACCAGGTCGAGGAGAAGGTGCTAGGAGGGACGGGAAAAATGGTCGCGGCCCCGGGTCATGAAGTAGATCAAGATGATGGTGACGCGCGAGGGGCTCCTGTACAGCCACACCAGACGACACCTCCAGGAGATGTTGATCATGGAGCGCCAGAAGTTGTAGCTGCGCGATCCGTAATTTTTGAAGAACAAACGGCAGCACGTGAGGATACTAGTAGAATAAAGCAGGAGGATGCAGCTCCTTCCGCGAAAGGCACCTCGAGCGTGAAAACCACCCGCCGGGTCAGCTTTCGTGACGACGAGGAGGAAGTCCTCGACCTCGTTCAAGCACCTGATCTCGGAGTGCTGGGGGCACAGCCGCCAGCAGAGAACGACGTGGACAAACCGCGAGCAGAAGAAGAGCCCGGCTTCTCCGTCACGACAGAATCGGAAACGAAAGCGTCTAGTACTGCAGCTGCAGGGCAAAATACTGCGAATTATGCGAACGCCGACCTGGAAAAGTCGGAGCCGACAGAGCTTTCCCTGAAAATAACAGCGCAAGATCAGATCGCCACTGAGGAGGAAGAAACAACACATACACAATTGAAACAACAACCGGAAATAAAGGACGAGTTATTTTTCGATGACGACAGCAATAAAGTCGAAGCTGTTACCGCAGGTTTCTGCCCGTCTTCTTCCAGTGGGTATACCACCCCGCGCGATGTCGGAACGGATACGCAGTCCTCCGGGGAGGAGACCAACAAGCAAAACAAACTCGTCGCAGCCGAAGTCGTCGCAGCCAGTTCTGACGTGGCAACAGCGGCGCTGACAGACGACCGGCCTTTGAAAATCAGTTTGGAGGTACTGTAATAAATGTGAATATTACAACAAATCCCCACATTCGCACTTGACTTGTTTAGGCATAGGCTCACCATGCTCGATGATGCGCGTCGATGAATCTTTTGCACCGTGCTGACTATCATGTAACGTTTGGGTTTGTGTCAACAACGTAAAGCTAGCTGATCATGATTGCAAGCATTGCACCACAACGCATGCACATTTTGTTTGCAAAAAAAAACTCAGATCTCCCGTCACGAGCACGGTTCGCGCATTGTCGGCGAGGTTTCCGCTCGCGAACTCACCGACCGAGACAAGCGTGTTTTAAACGAGGCACTGAAACTCACCATCGACCAGTGGCAAAGCACCAGCACGGGAGCTGCAGCAGCGCTTACAAGAACTGGTGGATCATCGACTTCTAGTTCTACTACAGGTGATGGCTCCAGTACAAAAGCGCCGGGTACGGCGCTTGGCGCGACCACTGCGACGACTTCCACGGTTGTGGGACCATTAGTACACGACCACGAGTTCTCCCAGCCGGAGTTTTGGACGCAAAAGTCGCTCGCCTACGATTCCTCCGAGGATCCTGCGACCAGTCTGACGCTGACCTTAAACTGCGAGAGCGGCGAATTGCACGGGCTCAAAATCAGCGCGCGCAGCCAGGCCGAGGACATGGAGAAGTTCGTCATTGAGAGGGCGGCCACGCCGCCCTTCGTGGCGACTTGTTCTGCGGCCGCGGGGGTGCTGGGGGACGAGGTGCAGATGAAAACGAAGAGGCTGGCGCAGGAGGAGTTGCACAAAATGATAGAGGAGGAGGAGAGAAGAAACAGGGCGGAAATGGATAGGTACGGAAGGTTGATGGAATTTCTTTGTGCATTTTGTAGTATGTCACGCGCACCAAGGTAGAGATTGAAGTGGAAATCTTAATCTTCCAATGAAAGCGAACATCAACATTAACATTTACTGTTTCCGTTTCCGTATCAAGAGCAACAATGCGACTGCAAAACGTCGTCCGGGATGAAGAATTTCACGAAAGAATTCAAAATCCGGACAGAATCCTTCACGAGCGCGCGCAACAAGCGATCAAGATCCAGGCTGCCGCGCGCGCCCGACGCGACCGGCGGCGGGCCCAGAGCCTGAAGATGCAGAAAGAGGAAGAGCGCCTCCAGGAGTACGAACGGGTGGCTTTCGCGAAGCGGATGGAGCGGGCGGCCACGAGGATTCAGTCGCTGCATATCCAGGAAAAAACACCCATCCACATCCAATTTGTCATGCAGAACACGTATAAAATCCTGTGTCTGTCATGCAAAAAATGGATGGGGATGGGTTTTTTTCTGTGGATACTGCACCGGGGGAGGCGGGCACGGAGCTTGACGGACGAAATGCGCGAGATGAGGAAGAACGGTATAATCACTATCATCTCGTCAATCTTTTGTGAAGGTGACCACTAGAAGATGGGTCCGCAACCATGATTATATCGCGCACAGTTATTCTTGGCAAAAGAATTCTAGGGAAACCCTCTTGCCACAAGATGAACTCAGTCTTTATCATTTTTGCTTGTTATACGCTTGTGCACGGAGATCGTGCGGTTGTTGCAGCTTTTGCAAGGTCCGGATGACTTGTGAGACTGACGTACAAACAATGCGGATAGTGCACTAATTCTAATACAAATACAATACTTTTATCGCAGCCGCCTCCGAAGCGATTCAGTCCCGTTGGCGGGGAGCGGAAGCTCGGGACTTGGTGAAAAACCTGAAAGAGTACAAGCAGAACCACGACCCGCGGACCATTCGAACGACAATGGCCAAGGAGAACCAGGCGCACAAGATCATGTCAAACTCTACAAGGTATCATGGGCATTCCTCCTCGCAGAAGAGAAAAGCGAAGAAGAAGCTTATCTTGCTGGACCTGCACCACGTGCACCACCACCACCATTTCCATCAGGTCAAGGCCGGCACTTCTAACCAGAGCGGGGCAGCTGTAGGTGGTGCGAGAACGTCTGATGCTGCTCCTCGTGGTAGAGAACAGCAATTAGATGCCACGTTGAAGGAAAAGCACCAGGCAGCAGTGGAGCACCAAGCCACACAGTTGACGACCAAGACGTATGTCGAAAATAGAGCGGAATCTCTCTACCAGGGGAACTACAAAAAATTCATGCTGGACAATGTACGCGTTGTTCTGTTTCCTACGATCATGGAGCTTCATAATAATCTATCACTATCAGATACTGATAGCTTATAGATATTTCTGTGTAATAACAGCTGGCTGCGACACAGTTGTCTTGGAAAAATCAACAAAAGCATGATCATGAATTGAAAACTCCACCAACATCGCAGCCTCCCTTCGAGTCCGCGGAGGAGTACTACAGTTACGCCTCGAAGCTGCCCGGTGACAAGCGCCTCGACTACCTTTCCCCGTACCAGTACACTGCGAAACAGCGCGGAAATTACTATGGAGCACCAGCCGCGGCGCACCACAACGTAGCGTCGACCTCCTCATTGAATGGAGGAGGCCATCATGCGGCCGGTAACGCAATTGGCGGCCCTCGTCCCCCCGTGCACTCGAACCCGCACAGCAAGAGTAGTACGAAAGAGCGGTGGTTTGTGGACGGGAAACACAACATGACAGCGCCGAGCTCCAAAAGCAGCATGCGCAGCAATAACAAAACCTCCAGCCACTTAATTCGCAGTGTCGACGGGAGCAGCAGCGGCGCGGCGGGTGGTGCAGCTGGTGGAATGAGCCTCAGCAAGAGTTCATTTTACGGCAAGAAGGTGGACAAAACGCTTCAAAAACAGGCCGGTGCTGCTTCGAGAGGGTCACCATATGCGGAAAAACGGTTTCTACCCAAGATAGTGTAAAAAGTGCATGGTTTGTCCCTGGAGCTCGCTGTTATTTGTGGTGGAAGACTTTTAGCATCCGGCCACCTCGTACTTGGAAATTTGTTCAAAAGGAGTTCAAAGATGAGCTCAAAGCGAGTTCAGAACGAGTTCAAAGCGAGTTCAATAATTTGGACCAAGTCAGTTGACCTATCGCAAAAATCGCAATGAGCCAGCTACCTTTTGTCGAAAGTCAATTGCCTTTGCGTGGAGTTTGCGAGAAGTCAATTGTCTTTGTTCGGAATTTGCATAAAGTCAAGTGCCTTGATCCAAATTTCAAGAAAAGTCAACTGACTTCTCCTGAAGTCGGCTCATTTCGCAAACGGGCAGCAAAGCTTTGAAGTATGTGCGCGTTTTTTTTTGCTAGGGCTCCGAAACGACCAGAGGCGCGCGCCGTTGGTTTGCGTTTTCCCGTGCCGCCCTGCGATTTCGGGAACGGCCCGAAGACACGGGGACGACAAGACGCAAAAAGGGGCGCAAAGCCGCACAGCAGAGGCTCCCGTCTGCCTTCTCCACCCTCAGATCTGTTCTCGGCGACTTCGCGACGGGATTCAAGGGTGGGGAAACGGGGCGGGCGCCACTGCATCTGCAGGAGAAGCAGAAACTGAGCGGCTGGGGCCCAAGTCGGACAGGCATGGTAGTCCGTTGGCTTCCCCGCGATTGAGTAGGTGCAGGGGCGTTGCTTGCAAAAAAGTCAATTGTCTTTTTCAAAAATTCGCAAAGAGTCAATTGTCTTTTTCAAAAATTTCCAATAAGTCAAGTGCCTTCTTGCGGAATTGGTAGGTCTTCTTGGTTGACTTTTATTGCGAAAGACAGAAGCCAGTTGACTTTTCTGGAAAAGGCTCGCAGAAGTCAATTTACTTCTCATTGACTTTGCTCAGAAACGAGAACGCCACTGACGTCGCTCGGAATCACACGAAAGCGAGGGGTCATTTGACCTTGCTCGGAAATCGCCAAAAGTCTTTTGACCTTTGCAATTTTTTAGGTCAACTGATAATGGGCAAATTATTGAACTCGTAATGAACTCGGAATGAACTCGCTTTTGAACTCGTGCGCCAGTCTTTTTGTGTAAGAAGTGCATGGTTTGTCCCTGGAGCTCGCTGTTATTTGTGGTGGACGAGTTAAGCGCGCGCGTCACTGCGGTCGAGAAAGTAAAACTTGTGGCTGCGTACCCATTGATGCGTGTGGGAAGGAGGTTGCACGACGAGGAGTTGAGCCAAGTGGTCGCACACGCCGCGCATCAAAAGGAGCAGGAAGCGTAGCCACAGTGCTGATGCTGAAGACTATACTCGTCACACACATGCTTACAGTTACACTTAATACACGGCGCAGCTTCAACAACATGCTATGGTAGTACACCTTCCACCGATCCCGTTCCCGAATGAGCAACCTTTACTAGTAGTACTTTGCCCTGGTGGAGAAATAAATGAGAAATTAATAGATGAGTACTGTATCTGTATGATGTTTGAATTTGATTCAATTGGCTCCGACTCGTTTAAGTTTATGTTTCGCAACAAGAACAACTTCAGCTTCATCATGATCTCTCTTTCTTGTTTCGGTTTCACCAGCGCTAGCGCTATACTTTAGTTAGTAATAAAGGCAGCAGCTTAAAACAGCACTGTTCACTGTGGGCTTTTCTTGTGCTGAGATCATCTGAATTGGGTCTACTTTGCTGGTGAGGAGCAGGAAGCGGACCCACGAGCAGTCAAGTGCTCGACACCTTGTACAATTATGTTGTGAAGACCCTGACGAACAAGAAGAAAATGAACGCGGAGGCAATCAATTTGAAAGATGAAGATCAGGGTGGAAGGACCGAACACGCGGCAGCAAAAATCGCGACGAGCCTTTCCGCACTGATTGGGAGCGAGTGGCCGACCGCCGCGCGCTTGTGATAGGCGTGAGACGAGGTTTTATATTCATCGCTGGGCCCGCGCCCGTTATTTTGTTTGACACGCCGCCCCTCGCCTCGGCCGCCCTGATGTCATGCATTGACTGGGCTGGAGGTTCAGTTCCGGTTAGATGCAACGGCCCGGGGCCAGGACCCCACCGGCCCATGAGACTGATTTCTGTACAGAAATGAGGCCAAGGAGCGCACGCCACGCGGCGTTCTTCTCAGACATTGTTCGCGGTGATTCTACGCGACTGTCTCACCGGTGTGCCTTGGCCAGGTACCAGAAGAGGACAGGCACGAGCTGTGGCGGCCCCTCAAGAAGTGCCTGTCGCCACAGTGTAGTTCGGAGCCAAGCTGGAGATCATGTTGGCGAGCCCTAATATGCCCTTCGCCTGGTTTTCGTTTTTCGGTGCAGTCGCTGTCGCTGACCTCAACCTGTGTTGATCTTCGTTCAGATAATTCAGTCAGTCCGTAATACGAACCGCATGCATGCGGCCGCGCTGTGTTTGATGTTGGCTGTCTGCTCGAGCAGGCATGATTTTCTTTCTTTCAGACTTTTCCGTCCACATTTCTAAAACTTTTTTCGCATCTCGTTCTTCTTTTGTGACTGGCGCTCGCAAGGGAAAGAAGCCGCGGAGTTGTGACTTTCATTTTTTTTTCGCCAGAACTACCAGCCTTAGATTTACTCAGCACAAGAGCCAGAAGAGGAAGAGAAGCGAAGTATCATGGCGACGTACCAGATCCTCGCCTGCCATGCAGGCGAGCAGTCCAAGGACAGCATCCTTTCAGTGCTCAAGTCCCGCGTCACGAACACCTGTGACGAGGTATAAAATATGCATGCTCTGGATACACAATCAATTTTTTTTTTTCCTTACAGCTCCTGTGCATAATTTTTACGGTCCTTGATGCAGGTGTGCAAGAATTATGCAGTATCAATTGTTTTCTGTATATTCAGGTGTGCAAGTTCGACGTTCCGGACACCCTGAAGTTCGGGAGTTTCGACTCCCTGGTGAAGATGATGGACGACCTTTCCAAGTACGACAGTCAAGTGGAGGGCATCCTGCGACGGATCGAGCGACAAATGACCGACTTGGATGCTAACGCGGACTTCAAAGTGTTGTTCCGGCAGAAAACCATGACGGTGGAGAGCTACGTCCGCAGCTTCCAGTGGGACGACACCAAGTGGCCCAGGAACAGAAATGTATAATCATAATCATGCACATGCGCTTGACTCTGTTGTAATCTTTGTGATGTTCTTCTTGCCGGTTTGGAATGAATTTCGAGGATGAAAAGATGAATTAGAATGATTTCATCTACTCCACTTCTCGTGGTAACATGTTGACCAAGACCAACATGATGTAGTGCATATCACAAAATACAACTTTACCCAGGTTTCTGACAACATGACATCGCTTATGAACACAGTGTCGAGGATTGACGACGACGTAAAAAACAAAGCCTACGCGTACGCAGACGTGAAGTCAGTACTGAGTTCTTTTGTAGTTCATTTACAACTTATGATGCTGGACGTAGTACCTACTAGGCTGTGGTAGTACTTTGAAACTTTAACTTTTTTCACTTTTCTTTGGTTCTTGACCTTGGCGCTCCTCACCAGTTTGAGTTTGAAACCTAAGGAATAAGAAGTAGAAGTAAAGCAAATAAAAGTACCTGATCCACACCACGACTACAACCAGAGCCTCGCTTCCCTGAACAAGTCGAAGGGACCGGGTACCACGCTGATGAATGCGGAGCTTACCGAAATACTGACTCCGGACGTGGTGGCCGCGGACGACTTTATCGCGAAAGAGCACTTGACCACCGTGCTCGTGATCGTGCCAAGGGGCGGCGAAAAGGAGTTTCTGGAGTCCTACGAGCGCGTGGATCCCTTCGTCGTGCCACGATCAGCGAAGCAGTATCCTGAGTAAAAACGTACCCACACCAGAGTTGTAATGCAGATTTGCAAAGACAGGAAGACGAAGACTTGTAATGCGCATCCCCATGAGAGCCATTTCCAATCGTGTTTTGGAATTTGTGATGCTGTGAACAGGATGAGCAGATGAATCTGTGACGCGGCTGCACTTGCTAACCTGCACTACACTGCCGAGTGCAACTTGTCATGCGTGACTCACAAAACTCCTAGGTTTGTGTTGCAAAATCCCCATCCTGACTCTGGTGTGGGTACGTTTTTACTCAGGATAAGCAGTTCCAAAAACTCACGGACGGGAAATTGCTCCCGATCGAGGACAAGGTAATATGTCAAAATGGTGCTGAGGAAATTCAATCTTTATCGTGCATCAACAACAACATTTACATTTACATTCGCATTCCGGGTGTGCTGGGTGTTGCTGTTGCTACTGCAATAATTGCTCCTGCTGCTTTTGGTAAACAAGAATTCTGCTCTCGTCGTCTATAGTCCGCAGACCGCAGGGACCTCCCATCATGCCCGACGACAAATGAAACTGAGTACGCCTATTTTTACTTGAATGAGAAAGTCGAAGTCTGGCGAAAATAAATAAACGACTCGTCTTGCTTGATTGTCTCTACTACAGGACGGCAACAGTCTTTGGCGTGTGGTTTGCTTCAAGAAGTCCGTCGAGACGGTGCGAAAGGGTCTATGCATTGCAAATATGTCTGGGTCTGGAAGGTTGTAACTACTTGTAATGCTAGCTTTCCATACCTAGGAAATCTGTGTTGCATATCCAACAAAAGTCGCGGCCTCTTCTGTTCATGCAAAAACGCAGTTTCTCATGCGGATTGCCTATGAGGAAGCGTTCTGGAAAGTTGTCATGCTGGGTTGCATTCGGGACTGTTTCTATCATCCACATTTTAGCATCACAAGTTTCCAGACCCAGACATTTTTACATTTGATAGGGTCTGAAGGAGTGCAAGTGCTCCATCCGGGAATTCAGTTACAGTGTCGACGCCTACAAGGAATTTGTGTTGAACGCAGAAACCTTGCAGTTTGAGTTCACCAAGAACGAGATGGGGCTCAAGAGACACTGCGCAGCCGCCTTCTCCGATACGTTGGTAGCGTGGATGCATTTGAAGGTACTTGTTGTCCCCCCGTTGATGTGTTGATTCGATAGGGATAGTGTGGTCAGTGTCACAGTCATCATCATGTCATAAGAACCATGCTCGTCATCCTCATGACGTATTTTCATGGTAGATTCTATCACACACTTCATCTTCACGAGCAATGGAAAAATTGAAAAAGAAAAACACGAACCAGATCCGATTTTATGTAAAATCGTGAAAGTATCTTCAACGATATCATACTCATCAAAGGCTATGCGTGTGTTTGTCGAAGCTATTCTGCGGTATGGTGTGCCGCCAAACTTCGCGAGCTTCATCGTCCGACCGACATCCGCAAAGAACATTACCAAGCTGAGGACCGTCTTAAACGATGTGTTTTCTGCAAGCGGACTGTTCGGCCAGAACTACCTGGGTGGGAGTGGTAGGATTTGAGAACTACGATGCTTTTTTGACATGACACTGTTGTATTAAGTACTGATATGTTTTCTCCATCAAGTATTAATAGTATGCGTTCGCATATCTCTGCCGAGTCATGTCTTTCTTGTCGACACGAAAACGAGGTTCCCCAAAGAACCTAAAAAAAATTTCTATCCTCAGGTGCCACCGCCGAGGGTGCGGAAGAGGATATCAAATGTAAAAATGTCTGGGTCTGGAAGAATGCAACTTGTGATGCTGCATGTGGATTCCAGAAAAATCTGTATTGCATGAGTACCAAAAGGAATGCAATTTTTGCTACGTGGAGAGGGCATTTGTCATGCGGAATAGGCATCAAGAAGCTCTAAAAAAATCTGTGATGCTAGGGCATGCATCACTGACATCAGGGCTCATGCAAAACGTGCATGGCAATTGTTAGAATCTTCCAGACCCAGACATTTTTACAGTTGATAGAGGAGGCGTATTACCCATATGTCAGCCTAAGCTTCTCCCCTCTCTCCGTGAAGGAGGTATAATTCGCGGAGCCAAAGAACACCGAAGCCAGAACATCAAGTCTGCGTCTGGTAAAGAAAACAACACCATTACCATCGTTCCCATATGTTTTCTTGAAGTTGAGTGATAATTATAGCGAATTAGTAGATTGAATTTGAATTTGTTCTTCGAAATTAATACTTGAGCTCTATAGAAGCACCAGCACGACCATAGGTCCAATATGAATACTCAAAATTCATCGTAAACACGCATCGGGGCAAGAGCGTCTTCTTGAAGCCATGTCTCTTTACTTTGTTCGGCCGATCAAATTTCTTTGCAATTGAGAAAATCGGGTTGTAACAAACTCGATGCGTGAAAACAAGCTCTGGTGCCCCGTAAGTACTACTTTTTGAAGCTGTTGATACTGATAGGTACAAACAAGCTGCGCACGATAAAAGGCTTGTCCACAACATGCAACAGCACAAGAAATACAGGTGGACTCTTCAAAAAGTAGAAGGAACTACTATCAAAACCACACTATCACACGCGATGGCTTCCAACTGAAGTAGAAGTATTACTAGACTGCACGACTTTGCGTCACGGTGGCTCGTTCTTCGAGCGAAGGACCGCCACTTCTACTATTATGCAACATAGACTTAGACATCATTCAAAGATGAACTACCGCTATACTTCTCATCAACAAAAGATCAAGAGATGAAACGCGTACTACACACGCACCGCAAGTAACTGTTGAGCAGTTGGGGCAAAGTCGCTGTGATTTGGAGTTTTTGCCATGGTAGGTCTGAATAAACTTGCGGCGATCTTGAAGGTGGACGAACAGAGTCAGAGACAGTACCTAGCAGCATAGGAAGTACAAACTGGTGCGCCGTCTCACGCTTTAGCTTTTCATGAACTTCTTGAAGGCACTGTAAGAGTAGGCACTAGACTACTGCTGTTCACTTTCTTTTGCTGGCAACTGTTGTATTCTTGCGCACGGTATTTTTAATATTGAGCAGTTCTAATAATTTTAATTTCTGCGGTTTTTTCACGACGAAAAGGATCACGAAAAATTTGTTGTATGAATATGAGAACTGCCCACACGACGTCGTCCGTTGTATCCATACGTACATCACGGCCGCAAGAAGATCTCGCTAGTAGTTTTGGTTACTACAGCCCGCAAGGGGAAAGCGGAGGTAGCGAAAAGTTGATCCGCCGGAGATCACGCTTGTTGTGTAGTTTGTCATATTTATCTTCATCAGCCTATTAAGTAATGGGCAACAACTCCTCAGCACGGTGCGATGTGCTGTTAGTTTTTTCATTTTTGAAGGCACTCTTGCTACGGCAGTATTCTTCACGGCACTGACATCAAAGTGTACTTTTTGAGCACTAAATCTGGTGTGCTCCATCGGAATACTGGTAAACTTCATCGGATCTTCATCGATCTACGGCTACGTTTCTCCAGCGTACTTCCACACTCCTGGTCCTGCGGTAGTTGAGACTGTAAGTTTCAACGGACCACGATATCAACCCACCTCTAGGCTCTTTAGTCTCTTGACTTCATTTTCAGAAGCCCGTAAGCCCTTCGCCAGGGTTTGAGTAGTTTGTGAAACTACAACTTTAACTTTTCTCTCGTCGGTGCAACACTTAGATTCTGCTTCACTAGAAGTACTTCTAAATTGAGAACATCAAAGATAATGTCGATGCAGATTTTTCTGCGTGGCGCCGACGGCACCTCCCAGGTGCGCTGCGTCGATGAATGCGCAACCGTTGGGGAGCTGGTTTCCACCCTGGATGCTGCTGTTTTGAAAGAGGGCGTCCATCTATCCTACGCGGGAAAGGACGTGCCGGAGGAGGCGGTTGTGGGAAACGTTTTACAGGATGAGTGCACGGTTGACGTCCATGTCGACTTGCTCGGCGCGGGTAAGAAGCGCAAGAAGAAGCAGTACACCAAGCCGAAGAAAATCAAGCACAAGCACAAGAAGGTCAAGCTCGCGGTGCTGAAGTACTACAAGGTAAGCAGACAGACAGCCCGAGTAGACCGAAACATTTGTTTCATTTTGAGTTAGTTGCTTTTCCTGAACCAATTTCGTAACTTCCGATTTGTTGAATGTTTCGGCCAATTACCCATGAGTATGTGTATGATCTATTTCATGGTGGTTTAGGTTGGTGGTGACGGAAAGGTGACCCGTTTGCGCAAGGAAAGCCCGATCTGCGGTGCGGGGGTGTTTATGGCCATGCATCACAACCGCTACCATTGTGGGAAGTCCGGGCTGACCTTCATGTTTAACAAAGAGGACGAGAAGTAGACGTTCGTTTCACACACAGACACACACAGACTACACGAAGACCCGATATTGAATGGAACCGATCGGGAGGTCGCGCTGGCGACGTCGACGTGCAGTAGAAACGCAAACCGCTCACTCCCGATGCAGCAGAGCGCAATACAAATGAAGAAATTTTCACAACGGTGATTTATTTTGCAGCAAGATGAATAAACTTAAAGCTACACTTACAGCACGAGAGCAGATCGTAGCTTATGCAACACGTGCATGCGCAAGCGCATCGAATTCCTCGAATCGCTGAAACAAAAATGAAAGGAGCTTTTCAGCATCGACACAGCTCTGGACCGGTTACGTGCGAGCAGACCAATGCTATCAAATCCGTTGTTGATTGTGCTATTGTAGTGTTGTTCTTGGCAGATGAAATCATAGAAGAGAAACAGGTAGAAGAGGAGCTGGGCAGCGTCAGATTCCTGCAGAAGCATTTTTTGCGTAGTGAATGTAGTTCATGATTCGGCCGTCAAGATCTGCGACAGAGATGCGGTTCCGGTTCTCCCGGTCTTGCGTATTTAGACTATGGTAGTTGTAGTGCTAAACTTGCTGGATGAAGAAGGAGCTCAAGCACTAGTGATGCCAAGCCTCGAGAAAGATGATGATCTCACATTACTGCAATCCTATCGCGCGATGGAGATGGTTCTCTTTTATCGTTTGCCGAAGCAGGATCATGTTGTAGTCGCCGGATGTTGAATGTTTTTTGCGCGTTGATGTAGTACAGAAGATCTGAGAGCTGCGTCTTCTAGGTTTGAACGATAGAACGTGGCCGGCCCCGATGTCCTGCTCCATATCGACTGGTAAGTATAAATAAAGACGGCGCTGATATAAAAATCGGGGGTTCGCGGTTTTGTTAGTTATGCAGCAGCAGCACGATCTCACTTTACTAACCTTACGGAAACAAGAGCTGGATGCTGGGATCGACATAGTAGAACACAAGAACGCGATACAAGAAGTACGGACAAGATGAATTATTTTTTTGTGCTAGTACCTCAGGATGCACTCGTCCTCCCTATCCTGTGACACGAATCAAAACCAGGGCGCCACGTCAAAGTACGTGACAAGAATCTCAAAAAAGGACTGGACCGCATCCGCAAGAAGTCTACTTGATAGGAAATGTCATAGTCTTTTCATCTTCTACCACTAAACTTTCTTACGATACTCTTCACTAGAAGAAGACGAACACCGAGATTGACTTGAAACTCAAGTAGAAAATCTTACTGACAAAATACTTTCGCTTTCGCAAAACGATCACTTCTATATTAATGTAGGTCTCTGTAGTAGACACCAAATCGAATCGTATTCGTAACCCTCAGGACAAAGACGAACAAAAAAAGCCGTCGACAGTTTCTTCTTCGAGCGAGGCACTACTGGTACTTACAATATCAATCTGGAAGTGGAACCTTCACGCGGGCGATGAATTCTCAGGACGTTCAGGATCCATCTTCTCGAGAATATCAATATTCCACTCGACCTCTCCAGTCCATAAGGACGCAAGACCAAATAGCGAAAAAAAGAAACTTTAGAAAACCCTTTCCACACGATCGCGGTGGCGTCTCCAACGATTCAAGGATCCTTATTTTTGTGTTGTTGGAAGATAAGCCCAAATCCAAAAGTCATTGCGTTCAACGAGCTGCGGACCGCACTGAAAGAGACGCAGAACACAAGATAGAAATGTTTACCACATTAGCGAGAATAAATTTTCATCAATACTAGACTACCACCATTGTAAACTAAGTCCGTTCGTGTCCAGAATTGTTCTGGTGCCAGCAAAGTCTAAAGTCTCGTATTTCATCCAACACAAGCAAGAATGAGTTGGCATATATACCGTTTGATTTCGACTCGGTAGCAGCGTGAATCTGAATTGGTCTTCTTGTTCACCTTCATGCTGTTGTAGTCCTTTTAAATACCGAAAGCTTTTTAATTACACGAACATCATCTGATTTGCTACTTTATGTTATCTTCATTGATGTCTTTAATCGCTTGCTCTAGGTAGTATAGGGCACAACATTTATTTCGACGGGAGACAACTGCTGCTGGATAATGAATTTATTTGCGTTTTTTCCGCACTGACTCCCTCGGAGATATATAGTAAATATAGCCACTGACTTACCGCCCCACGACCGGGAAATTACTTCTGGTAGTCCTAAGTACTGTAGTGGAAGGCTGCAGCTTCAACAGAGTTGGAACTGAAACGATGCTTCAGTCGGATGACTCTACAACAGAATTTTTTTAAGATTTTTACCCTCAAGAACACGATAACCTCCAGAAACTGGAACAACTTCTACGAACATTTTTTTCAATATCTACAAACAAGAAATAGACCTGCGATTACCACGATTAGGATTTGTACTTAACGAAGTTCAAGTTTCAGACAGCGAACAAACTTTGTTGGACTTGCCTCGCCCTCGTCGTAATGGACAAGCTGACGGCGACAAACCAAGTAAGTTTTCCATCGTGGAGGTTGTTTTTCTTTTTTCTCCCTTGATGATTTTCAGATTGCTGGTTGAAAGCCTACCTCTGAAAAGTTAGAAGCGGCAAATCATCATCCTCTTAGACGAGGGCTGTTGTACTATTCTCACCTGCTCCGTATAATTTATGTGACCAAAGTAGAAAGGCATCATGAATGGATGGTGACGATCCAGTAGCACGAGCAGATTTCATCCGATACTTTTTGTTTTTGTGAATCAATTGCGCGGCAAAATGGAGAATAAAATAAAGTAGTGCCGCGAAGACACACACGTAGTGCTGCGTCAAGGGATAAAATAGTTGAAGCTCAAGGGAGTTTCGTTTCTTATCACAGAAACGCCCATGACCTTGACTGCCGTCACGAGCGTTACTCGTCTCTCGTGTTGGTGGTCGTGATTGGTCGCGCTCGCCGCATCGTGCTTGTAGTTAGACAAAAAAAGTAGAAATATATCACTTTCACTATCAGAAAAATATACCTAAGAGTAAAACTAGAAATCTTCTTCAGAGCTCGCTTCTGCAGGGAGCTACTGCTTGCGCTCTGCTTCACCATAACTTCGACGCCGACGTGAATGACAAAGAACCCACTTATATAATAGATTTTGGGTTGGAAGATATTTTTTTATTTCCGTGTTTCGTACTTATTTATTTTCGCTTTCAGTTTCGCTGTCTCTTTGACCTACCTAGCGCTCTTTCTTGTACTACGGAAGTACATTTTTCTTTTTGTGAATATTAAGAGTATTGAAGTACTTTAATAAATTCTGTATTTTTATTTCTAGTACTACGATGTTGCGGCGCGCGAACTTTTTGGTTTTTTCCAAGCGCGAGGTAGTACCTGGTCGTGGTGGGCTTGTAGAGCCGTTGGGTGCTGCCAGCAGGACCAGAAGTTCCTCCGCTTGTACTAGGTCCAAAAGCCCCTGCTCGTGTAGCAGAATAAGTAAAAGAAGAAGCTTCATCTGTCCTCTCGCGGCGACTATGATGGCGGTGTACACCAGCTTCTTTTTGCTGCACCTGCTTACTGCAGTCTCAAACTTCGAGCAAAATTTTTTCTTCGTGTCCAGCCTCCGTGTCGGGAGGACGAAGATGCTCGCTGCGGGCAGTAGACGGAATCAATGGTGGAGTACTACTAGCACCAAGGGCCGCGGCAAAGGCAACGACCAAGGAGACCCTGCAGCTCCGTCCGCGAGCTCTTCAAGAAGTACAAACACTTCCACTAGAAGGAGTTCATGGACCAGCACAGACGTGGCACAACCTCCATCTCCGTCAGGCGCCGGAGGATCGCCTTCAACAGCCGGATCTAGTACTGCACTGGGCACAGCAGGACGGGCAGGCAGCGCGCAGGTACACGTTGTGAGGGGGCGACAAGATCCTGCCAGCACAGTCATGACAACACTCGCGGAAAGAACTCAAGACGCTGAGCCTGCTGCGCAGGGTGCCAGAAGAGGCACCCGCCGGGGCCGACGCGGCCGGCGGGGGACGGCGCGAGGAAGAGGAACTAAATTTGACCCAAACGGGGACGAGGGTGGCGACTGGCCCGAAAAACCGGCAGGTCTGGCCGTAGCTGCGGCCCCGGGTTGTGCTCAGGACAAAGATCATGCGGACCACCACAACATAGGCGGAACTGGCCTGACCGTTGTCCGCGATGCCGACATTGCCATTGCACGTGCACCGTCGAGAAATTGGTACAACATGCTTCACGAGGAGGAACAAGTCCAGGGAGATTATCGTCGTGTCGCCGAAGCCGATCTTCATGTGCAGAGTCGGCATCAAGAACAGCATCAATTTGTTGCTCCTAGTACGTCGAGCGCGCACCAGCAACATCAAAACCAAGAGGACCACCGCGAGCACGAACAGATGTTGCCTGATCTGCGACGCGAAGTAGAGAAAATTCGCAGCGAATTCGTCTTTTCGGCCTCGGATTTCGAGACAGATGAGATTGAGGAGGAGATTCTGTCTCGCGTCGAGCATCAGGCTGAGAGGGTGCTGGCCGGGAAAATGCTGGACCAACGTCAGATGGAACCAGGGAAAACTGAAGAAGAAGAGACTTCTGAAGATCTTGTAGGAAATGCAGTGAAAGCTCAACAAGAAGGAGAAGGTGAAGGCACATCAAGCTCAAGTTCGGGGTTCTGGTATGCACGCGGCGGGGGCCAAGAAATAGAACAGCAACAGGAAAACAAAGAACACTGCAAGATCGTCCACGACCGCGCAGCTTCAGCTCAACAAAAAGAGGACCCGCATCTGCATCAGGCTGACCACCATGATCAAGAGACCACAACCCAAGAACGCAATAATTCTTGTTTTACCTTCGGCGCCGCTGCCCACGCTCCTGTTCCGATGATCGCAAGTGCCTGTGGCATCCCCATGCAGATGGTGGTTGTTGGTATGGTACCAGTGTACCAGTACGCCTACGCTCAAGCCATGCTGCCCCCGCGGCTACCTGAGGAAACGCGGCTAGAGTACCACACGCTAATGCACGGCACTCCTCGCTGCGACCTGACGAGTGCAGCCGCGTCTTCGAACGGCGCCAACGTGAACGCTCCATGTTCGCTTTGCCTGCAGCCTACCGCGGGTTGTATTACGCCAGGTGGTCCGCCAGCAGTAGTTGTGCCTTGTTCTATTTTTGTCAATGCCACGAATCGGAATCATGATGCCGCCTCTGCATTTTCCTGTGCAGCGTCGAACAGCAGCTTCGTCTACCACACGAGCTGTAATAGTGCTGGAGGGCCGGGTTGTTCGTCTGCTTCAAATGCAACTATGTTCTTGGAGGACATTAAACCGTCGACAACCGTATCTTCGGACGAGTGGAAGGACGAGCCTGGTCCTAGCATGGAAGAAGTCGTAGAAGATGCAGTCGCTCCAGCGGAACAGGAGATGAACGTGGACAACCGCCGCGGCGCGTCGACGCCCGATGCTGCGGCTTCGCCAAGCGTGAGAACTGTGAAGACCGTGACTGAGGGAACATTCCAAAGCCCTGACCTTGCAGATGCAAAGACAGTACCACGACCACCTTTCAATGCGTTCCCTCCGCGCAATCCTGGCTCGTGTGGGCACCCCCATGCGTGTGCAGAGGCGTGCAAGTATGTTCGCAAGCAGCGCGGGTGCAAGGACGGAGATAATTGCGACCGCTGTCACGTGTGCATTTGGCGGCCCCCGCCGCGCCTCGCGGAACTGCGCAAACAAGCGAGACTGAAGCACCGCGGTTTGGTAAAAACTGCATGCGTGTCCTCGTCGTGCTCTCAGGCCGCGGACAATGAAAAGCAAGCACCAGCAGTGGATGAGCAAGAATCAGCCAAAGATGCCACTTCCAGTACAATTACAACTCCAGCCTCCTGCTCTGCGCAACAAGTGCGAGCAGATGGTCCTTGTGTGCGAGCCGAACCAGAGCACTATATTAGTGCTCCTGCACCTGCTTCTGCAGGACGAGAGGACGAGCTACTTCCACCAGAACAAGATGAGAGGCTGACAACTGGGTACGGAGACGAGGGCAAGAAACAGAAAAACGCTGCCAACGAGAACGAGGTTGTAGTACCGTCGCACAGTGCTTCTATACTTCACGACAGCTATCGCGCTACAGTGAAAGTTGTAGATGAAGCAGCTGCAGGAGGAGGAGCTGCTCCATCTTCATCTGCATCTGCTAGTACGCAGCCAGGCATCATCGTCCAAGGTGGTCATCCTGGGGTGAAAAGTGTTGGCAACAAGTACGTCGACGAGGACCCCGACCTGTTCGTGGACGAGAACCTAGCGGCGCGCTCCATGTGGTCAAGACAGCTGTCGGACGAAGTAAGCGCGGCCAGTACACGACTGCCGGAGGACGTGGACCACCACCAGATGGCGGAAAAAGACGTATCAGCTACTGAAACTACCGACTGCACCGGTGCAGTGCCGGGCGGGGGCGAAGTAGATCCTCATCTAAGCATTGTGGAAGATGACGCCGATCCGCGGGTTGGGCTGGGAAAGTTGCATGTGCTTCCACAGTGCGTGGAGTTTCGTCGGGAGTTTTCCCTGTCTAGTATCTCAGAACTGGGTGGTGCTGGCTGCGACGATGAAGAAGACGAAGACGAAGGCCTGACGAGACGAAGGCCTGACGAGGACGGGTTAGAAATAACATCCCAGAATAGACGGCCTCGTGTACGAACATCGTCAGAACAATGGGCCGCGGGAAGGAACATCACAAGTGTTGATGTAGTTCCTGACCAAACTGGTGCAGAAGCAGGGTGGCGCAGTGCAGCAGCTGCTCCTGGTATTGCGCCGCAGCTGCCAGAAGAACAGAAAACGGTGGAGCACGAGCAGCCGGGATGTCACGCGGACGGCTCTTCCTGCAGTTTGGGCGGGCAGCAAGCAGATGCAAATTGCTATCTCTCCTCGACGTCGTCTTGTCCTGTGTACTACAGCTGCTTTGCTGGCTACAAGAACCACCCCGGTGACGTCGCCTGGTCAGGTTGTACGCCAGCGGAGCGGTGGGAGTGGCAAACGCGGCTGCTAGACGCAGCGACGGGCAGGTCGACGGGGCCCCCGCACCGCGTGTGCAGTACGTGGTCGCTGCAGCCCGCGACGCCACTGTCGAACGCCACCGGCTCGGCCTCAGCGTCTTCCACGTTCCACTGCCACAACGCCACAACGTTCCATCTAGCGGATGAGCTTTTACCCTCGTCGAGTGCAGCAGCTCGTGGTCCAACGTTAGAGCCAACAGCGCCCGTTCTTGATGCAGCAGGAGCTGCGTCTCCGCCGAGAAACGGAAAGCTTTACGGCGGCACTAGTGAGCAAGAGAGGATGCAAGAGCATCTTCACGAAAGCGCGAACTGTTCTCTGGTTCATGGCAGCAGCCGGGGCGGGGCTTGTGTGCAAGAACCTCAGCCGCCGTGCTTCGGCTGCAGCGAGGGCGGGCCGGCCTCGCCGCAGCCGACGGAGCGACGAGCTAGCACCAGCCAACCGGAAGATACGATTTCATCTTCAAAACCGCAGGTCCGGGCCTCGCCGCCCACGTGCAAAAGTGGCGGCATGCTGCACCGCGTGAAAGGCACGATGTGCATGCGGGCACTGGTCGATGCAAACGGTTGCAGTTGCGCGAAGGCCTCGACGAAGTCAAAAGCTGCCAGCAAGCTGCGGGCCCGGCGGTTTTACAAGAGAACTGCGGGGGGAGGTGCCGCGTCGTCGTCACCTCCTGACGTCGGATGCGATAGCGACACGACCAGCAATTGTACAAATACAACGTCACAGTCGTTCGGCGGAGCAGAGGCCGATGTCAGTTCTAGTGGCCGCGCAAGCGGCCCTAGCGGGGACGAGGAGGAGCTGGTGCCGCAGGAGGTGCGTGCTGCTCTTCAGCATGTTCAAAATTCTGTCGATGACGGTCGTGAAGAGAAACAACATCGAGACTTTCCCGCTGGCCAACAGGTTCAGGAACAGGAGTCTCAACCTTGTTCACAGCCAGGAGCGACTGCCGACTCATCTCGAAGAGCCCCGTACCTGGGGGACCAAAACCACGATGGAGCTCCCGTCGAGTCTCCACAACCGCGTCCGCTGAATCATGCCTTGCTGGCAGGTCTGAACCTCGAACCACCTCGCTCCCGCGGCGAATCTTTTATTTCGCAGGGGACGTCGAAGGCGAACGCAAACCCTCGAGATGTTGAACGCGGCCCTCGCTTGGTGACGCGGACTTCTTCATCTGCGACAAAAATCAAGGACGCGACCACATCACCTTTTGCAGAGGCAGGTCATGCTGATCCTGATCTTCAAGTTCATCCTAACCCAATTAGGTGCAAGCCAAATGGTGCAGCAACAACTCCGAGCCCGAGTTTGCAAGCGTCCTCTTCGCGGTGGTCAGGAATGTTCTCAAAAGTAGACTCTTCGTCGAAGTTGACCAGCGCCGGCGCCAGCTTTCTCGAAGAGGACAATCGGCCCTTCACCGTCATCTCACCCCCACCGCTTCTTGCGGGACAGAGCTTCTGCGGCAGTACCCCCGCGACACCCGGAGGGGGGTCGTGCTGGGCTGGCACGCCGGGACGGAGCTTCTGCCAAGAAGATCCAAGCCGGAGCCCGGGTGGCGGAGGCGGGCCGGGCTCGGGTAGCACACCAGACGCTGCACGACGCAGCCCCACGTTGCATCATCATTTCGAAGGACGGGCGGGACTACGACCACGCGGAGGACCTCTAGTCCTTTCGACGCCCGCGTCTCGTCGGGGAAGCAAGGCTGATACAACTTCAACTTGTGGCTCTGGTGCCGGAGTACTCGGAGCCAGCACACCTTTAGCAGATCATGAAGTTGCTGACAGTGACAGCTGCTGGCGTGCGGAAACGGAAAGGGGGAAACAAGAAAAACAGAATGAACTTCTGCAACAAGAAGTGAATAAGAAAGGAGGAACATCATCACCAACAACAATTAGGAATCCGATGCCGCAGCGACGTTATTCTTATTTCGACGCCGGTGTGCCTGCGCGCAGTCCGTTTTTGTCCACGAGCGGCCGAGTTGAAGCAACAAGTCCGAATCTGGATACCGCCGTCGAAGATCCTCTAAGTCTCGGGCTCCTTCCACTTCCTCCAGCTGCCTGCGATGATCTAGGTTTAGGTTTTGATCTAGCATCAGCGTGTGAAAATGGACATTTTAGGCAGGGGGAGGAAAACCAGGATGGGCAACGTCCTCATGATCCAAGGCCGCGACGTGGTCTTGGCGAACAGGTGCTGGGCCATGGTCTTCATCTTCCTGCAGGGTTTGGAGTGAGCCAGAAACCACCACCGCCAGAAGGACCTCCAAGGACGAGATCCAAAAGTAGTAGTTCTCGCACGGTGAGCGACGCGTTGCTTTCCCTGGTCCTCTCGACGTCCACGTCTCGTTCCTCGGAAAAGCGAGAAACGGCGCAACCGCCGCAAGCAGATCCAACACGAGCGCCGGGGTCGTGCACCGGGGCTGCAGCTTGTCCTGCTCCTCCAGAGGATCATCGCGCTAAACCCCCAGATGTCTTTGTGGAGTACTCATCTCCTTCGTGCCAGCGCTGCGAGGCGGAGGACCATGCGACCTCCAAATGCGTCTGTGGTGCAAGAGCGTCGAGTAGCTTACCGATACAAACATCCGGGGGCTGCGCGGCGCCGTCCTCGGAAGAGCCAGAAGACAATCAATCGTGGAGGCGCGTCCGCACCTTCAGTGACTTCGACACCATGTTGACAAATCCTGAGAAGGTGATTGTGACGGGCGATGTGAACGACCTACGTGGAAGGGAAGAAAATGTAAATGAAAACCGCAACCAGAGCGAAGAAGATCTGGGCGCCCGGCCAGGTGCAGACGATCGCTTGCTGGAAGTAGACCAGAGGCTCGCACGGGCCCCCTTCACTTTCGCCGCCCCAGCAGATGACACCACCTTGTCGCACGAGCAGGGTGCTGTTGAGCGGGCGGGTCTGGGTCCACATCGTCCTGGTGGTCAAGATGATTTTGTTCTTGACGAGCATCAACATTTTTTGGGCAGCACTGACAACTACATCAGTGACATCTACAGCATTTCTCCTGCCGATCAGCACCATCGAGCCGCCGGTGCTCCTGCTGCGTCGGCGGCAGCTCCTGCTGTGTGCTCTACTTCGGCATCAGCGGACCAGGACGATATTCTTCAGCCCGATTACGCGGGTCGGCGCGATTCGGGCAGCAGCAGCGATCAGGGGTCGATGCACACCGTGGCCACGAACTGCTCGTCTTTGCGAACCGTTACGACGGTGGAAAACGAAGGCTGGCGCTGGGCGTGCACCACAGATAGAACTAAGCCCCAAGATGAGCATCCTGTTCCGCAGCAAGAAGCCGCACGAGCACCACCTGCTTTAGCAGCTACATGCTCAACAAATGGATACGCACATACTCATACGCCGACTCGGGACGATTTTGACAACCTGTTTTGCGATCATACCCGCGACTATCCAATTTCACTCTCATGATCTACCTCAATTTGCATTTGCATAAAAAAGAAAACATTACTGACGAAGAAAGTAGAGCCCTCATCGTGATCTGCATATCAACATGATGTGGAAGTGCGCCTGCGCGACTAGTACGAGCAAATGAAAATGAGCTTGATAGATCATACCAATTTTATTCACTATAGAGACTACTCTAGGTACCGACCCCCAATACCAGCTGAAGAAACACAGTCAAGGCCTTCTTGTCTGCTAACACAGGGGCACGAAGACAGACGAGAGCGCCGGCCACACGAACAATCTACCGCGCCAGGAGGTTTTTTCCCCGGTGCAGCTGGTGGTGGACGAGAGGACACAGCAGGGGATGGCGGTGGATCTTCCACCTCCTCATCTAGTGAGGATACTGCTTCCGGCGCATCGTCCAATGAAGATACTGACGTGATGCATTATGAAGTCGATGAAGATGCGACGAGGACGAACGCAGCGGATCATCAACATTCACCTGAAGATCATGAACATCACATGGACGACCACGACGAGGATCTTTATGGAGTTTCTGGGCCTGGAATAGGAATGGAGGTCGAACAGGACGAGCCCGGTAGTTCATCTCGGGGAACAAGTTCGCCTTTTCTCTACACAGATTCAGAGGGCAAACTGGCGATGAATTGGGGTGGTGGAGGGCAGAGAGGGCAACGCATGCGCGGGAATAAAGTCGCGTCTTCCTCTTCTTCTGGGGACCATTCAACATATATACAGCAGCAAGGCTTGTTTTATCATCAGACCACGGAGAACTATGCCGCCAACAGTAGCTCCCTCCCGGCCTCACCGCCGACCGCGAGCAGCCCAGATGAGCGGGATATGATGATGGCTTTAGTGTCTGCAGCATCATCAATGAAGAAGAAGAACAAGAAAACAAGGCGACTGTTGCGGCGAAGCCCGAATCTCCGGGCTGAGGAATTTTTCACGGAAAAGCAAGATCGCCAAGGACGTAGAGCTAGTAGAGGCACTGGATATAATCGAGGCCGAGGGCAAGGAAAAACCTCTATGGGAAGCGCAGCCGGCGCGTCGCCAAGCGCAGCTGAGTGTGAAGATGTAGTTGCAGGGACATCAAGACGACCAGCTCTAGCACGACCTCCCCCCGTCCAGCCGCACACCACGATTAGCCTTAACGGAGATTCGCATGATCTTGGTCATGTTCATCCGCATGACTCCGCTTCCGAAAGTGAGCCGGCGCTGGTGAAGAATCTTCACCCGTCGAGCAGGACCAACCGAGAAGCCGCGTCGGCTGCATCAAGTTCAAGTGCGCCGGTGGATCAACATCTTCTGGGACGAGGAGGTGGTGCGCACCTTCTAGACGGCGATGATTCTTTACCTTTCCTGCCGCACCAGGGGCTGGTCAGTCTGGATCAGCGGGCACCTTCTCAACAACAAGAACATGATCTCTCTTGTTCTAACAACATGCCACTTTTACTACCGCAGTCTCACCTATTGCTGGCCAGCTGTTTTCAAAACCGATCCACCGCGTGCTGGCGTCTGCTCGCCACAGCCAGTGCAGGCTGTCTGCCAGTTCCGGCTGCGTGCGCCACAGCTAATGGGGGACCACGTCGAGGACGGGATAGTAGTACTGGTCCAGCAGGAGCAGCCTCGGCCGCGTCTCCCAGACCTCACCGAAGAAGCGTGCGATGTCCGCAGGACGATCGAGAACGTCGCACCTCCGAAGGCTGCAGCAAACAAGGTGCAAAGATGATGAATTCACAATCTGAGCCTGGCGACGCAAATTACAGCAGCGATATTGATATTGACTAAGACGAAGGGCGGCTCATGGTTTGCGACCGAAACCTAATAATCGCACTTCTACAACCTCGAGTGCTTCTTTCGAAGTCTACTTTGTCTTTCTATGTAAAAAGCACCCATAATTGGCATTGGACGTGCAGCGATTTTTCCGAATTTCCCTCGGATATTTTTTCATGCATTCTTTTACATTAGGTTATAGGTCTAGTTTCGACTATTTCTACCGTTGGCGACAGCCTTTGTTTTAATACCTTATTCTCATCCTTTTCCTTTTACGAGTAACTAACTCGCTTGCCCTAAAAAGCTGCGAGCACACAATTGAATTTCTACGAAGACAAGCAATTTGTAGTTTCGTCGAGAATCGCGATGAGTTTCTTTGCGGAGAAGTGAGGAAAAAACTCGTCACGTCGGAGCTCACAGCTTTACTGCTCTTGCGAAGAAGCAATAGAAGTTCCCGTCGTGGTGTCGCGGTCAGTGGTCGATCGAGATTGCCGCGCCGGTTGGACGCGTTGCGCAGGAGCTGCTTCTGCCTTTCGGAGAACGCTTGCTCGCCAAAGGAACGCAATGCTTCTCCTGAGGTACAGGTCCATCAATTTTTGTCACTGTAGCCTCCACCGTGTAAAGTTTCTTGACAAAATCGAAGCACGGTTCCTCTTCTTGGAAGATAACGAGAACGAGTTTTTTACCAAAGATTTTTTTCCCGCAACTACTTGATTATGATTGTATGAAATAGATCTAACGAGAAACATGACAAGGAAGTTGATGTTGCTCGATCAGCGTACGACCTAGCCATGCTCTTATTTTTCTACTTGGTAAGTATGACAAAATAAATTACGTGTGCCTCCTGTACGTGTACGTCAGTGCAGGCTTTGATTCCAAAATCGGGATCCTCTTGTTGAATGATCTACCTTGGTGAGACACGCCACATAAGAAAAAAAACTAAGCCTAAAGCTGTACAATATGACTATCGGCACACCAAGCAAAAAATAGAATGCGAATGGAAATGATACACAGCGTACGACAGTCACGAGGAACCTATAACCAAGAACAGAACTAAAACTCAAACTATGTATTAATATCACTGTAACGGATCATATGGTGTCAATCAAGAATTTTTTTTTGAAGGAACGTGCAGGGTCCTAGCAGTAAACATGTCTGACATTGACCGTGTTTCTTTGGTTCTGCAGCTAGTGCTAACATTGTCGATACCACCAAGAACTACTAGCAGAAAACGAAGCGCCGCGCCGCTCTTTATATACTCAGTGTAACACAAGATCAAAAGTACTAAGGGTTATGGTTCTAGCATTCCGAATAGGAATGCCATAGATTGATACATGATAGGTAGTTCTGGCTTTTTTTTGGCCTCTAATGCTAGAAGGTAGAGACCCTAAAAGATCGAGTTTTCCACTTCCTCTCGTATAGCTATATAATCTTTCCGGAATGTTGTGAATACACATGTGAAGTTGTAAAGCTCGCCTCACGCTCAGTCGCACGCACGGTGCTGGTAGGGAGTCAGAGTTTAGTTTTGTTGGAGGAAGTACCGATTATAAGACGGAGACGGACCACCAGTGGTGCTAATTTTACGCAGTAACAAGGTTAGAAGGAGGGTGGGCGGTGAAAGCAATCACCTACACCTCTTAACTCAACCTCGTCTTTCCTTTACCAGTCCGCTGCACAAAGAGAAAATATTTGATGGAGAAGTCGACTCTTTCCTTTTCCAACAACATGCGTTTTCCAATGCTGATTCGTCTTCTTCCATAACTCTATCATGAATGTCGTGAATCAATCTTACTAGCTGCCACCGTGTGTATCATGATTGTATTCAAAGCTTAACAAGCACGAGGAAGTCACCACCATTTCCAGCAGCAATATGCGTGAATGTGGTTGTGTATGATAAAAAGAAACGGCCGGGCCACTTGAGCTTGATGTGGGCTTACTTGTCACGAGGAGGTCACAAGCTTGGGAACAAGACTTGTTCCATATTTATTCGCAAATGCGAAGGGAAGGCGAGGCGCATTGGGCACCTCAGACTATTTGGAAAATAGATATTTATATAGTATATTTAGTGCGCGACAGTAAGCGATGTGCGACGCTGCAGTGAGAAACCCTCGAGATGCAGCTTGAACGAACTCGAGCCCAAACCTCCGCACGCCCCCCCCTAGTGCAGGATAAATGATGATGATGATACACATACATTTAGCGACTCAGGAAGATGATGAAATGAAGGAAGAAATTTCTTCAAAACCATGCTTTCATGACGTAATCTTGGTTGAAGAAAAAAGCTAAAGCACGTCGAGATGGACCGGTCGCTCCTGAAGGCACTCGCGTGCGCTTGTCGTTGCGCTGATCACGTGTGTTCGTAATTGATCTGCCATTGCATTTCCTCGGCGAACTTCGTCGTGGTCATCTTGTGTTCTATCTCATCTTTGTAGTTTTGTGTTGCAATAGTTCTGGAGGAGAAGATCAACACCTACACCTTCGAGTTGGAGAACCAGGACCAGCATGATAGTACCTACCTAGCAATAGAAGATACACGACAAGCACCCAGTACATGATGTAGTGGATCAGGATCGATGCAAGCAGAACTTTAAGAATGATCTTGCTCGATCGATGCTGGCGACTTGAATGTAGAAGTCCCTAGAAGCCAGGAGTTTTTTGCCGATTTTACTGCTTGGAAGCAAATAGCTATGATTGTGCAGGTAAGAGAATCTGTTCGTCGTGTAGTTGGAAGAGCATCACTGTACTACGCCATTTTTTTTCTTGTGTGGTTGTGGATCATCTTCCGTGATATCCACCATATCCATCAAATTCGAATTGGATGAAAGTTATGAATCACCATGAAAGGTAGAAAACGGAGACGGACCCCCAAAGAAACTGAATCACACAATAAAACAGAAAGGAAAGATTTCGGCTTCATCAGGTACTATTTGGAGTCTACTGTTTTTCGGGTAATTATTCAAGATTTCATCTTATTCGGATAAAGTTCTTGTTTTCAGAAGAGTCATCAAGAATTTCGGTGAACAACATGTCTGGCTACAGGGTTGGAGGACGTCCGCTCGCGCTGCGTGGATTGGTCGCATGCAGCATGCGTTTGCTGGCTGTTGGTACTAGTTCCACCACGACCCTTGTGCCAGGGGTTCTCGGTCTCGGCCTGAGGACGGGTTCGGGCACGACCGCGACCGGTGGAGGTGGTGGTGATCCTCCGAAAAACATCAAGACGAGTAGTTTTCTGCCCCCGCCACAGTTGGACCTGTCGGCCGGCACGATGGATGATCCTAAAGAAGTAGAGGAGTTTGATCGCCGTGCTCCGGGAGTGGATGAGCAAGAAGAGCCGGTCTCCCCGGAAGATCAAACGCGGTTCCTCCAAGCTGCCAAGATGGGAGACTGGGATACCGTGCGCAACATGGTGCGGGAAAGCAACTCGCCCTGCGCCCTGGCGAATGTGCAGTCGCCGAAGAGCAGCTCCTGCACGACTTCTACCGTCAAAGGAGGTTTGATGTGTTCCTCCTCGTCGTCGTCGCAGCACGAGCAGGTGGAGAACAAGCTGGTTGAAGACAAGCAAGTTCAAGATCAAGTACAACATGATGGGACGACGTCGACGAAGATGATGAACCAGAACAACATGATCCTCGAAGAACGCGAACCGCAGACCGCCTTAGAGGCTGCGGCGGCCAGTGGCAACTTCCACCTGGTGTATTTTCTTGTCGAGAACGGGGCAGACCCGCTGCTGGGTGGAAAGGAGGGCAACGCCGAACAGGCTCTGATCCACAGCCCGAAGAATAAAAACCTCCACCCGGACACGCGCGAGGCCATCCAATCCACGCTGCGGCGGGCGCGTCGGGGGGCCGGGGAGCACGGCGGATTGTTCTCCGCTCGCACGCGAAAGCTGAAGCTGTGCTCGCGGTTTGGTGTGGGCGGTTCGTCCACCTGTAGTTTTGTGGACGGCGGGGGGTTCATTTGCAACAAAGAGCACCACGACCACGATCACCACGGTAGTTGTAAAAATAAGGATGCGCCGCCGCCTGCGGAAGCGCAAGCTGACAAATGCGAAACTATTTTCGCTGATCAACATCTACTTTCTAACGCCCATGAGGAAAAAGACGCTGGTAAAAATTCCATTCTGCAGCAGGAACAGCATCATCAAGGAAAACAACAGGAGGACAAACATCAGCTCTCCTCTTGCTCTATCAACTGTAAAAATGTCTGGGACTGGGTCTGGAAGAATCCAACTTGTCATGCTGATTTTGGATCCTAAAAAAATCTGTATTGCATGAGCAGCAAAGAGAGTCCAAGTTTTGCTACACGGAAAGAGCATTTGTCAAGCGGTATAGGCATCAGGAAGCCCTCACAAAATCTGTGATGGTAGGGCATGCATCACAGACATCAGGAGTCATGCAAAATGTGCATAATAAGCCTGGCAATCTTCCAGACCCAGACATTTTTACATTTGATATGCTCCAGTTCGTTTTTCTGTCCGCCGCCTGCCCCGAAACGGGCCCGCACTACCTCTGCGGCCTCGACGTCCGCGACTGCTGGTACGAATGCGATTGCACTTTTAAAGGGGATGGATGTGCTGGATCTGCAGCACATGAACACGGAACATGTCGTGCCAAAAACGTCGAAATGCAGCAAGGCTTTTGCTTTCCCGCAGGCGTCGGGGGAGATCAAAGTCCGCGTTTTCCTAAGAAATTGCAATAAGAGCATCGCGCGGCTACCTTGATGATGTATAATAGTTTCTTTAACAAAACGACAACGAGGTGGAGGTGTGCATATTGTATAAATTTGGATGCTGTTGATAATTAAGTACTAGGATTTTCGACGTAAAAAAAACGCTACGAGAAGATGGAGATCTCTGGTGCTGCTGCTGCAGTAAAAATTTATTTGATCCTTGCAATCACTACCCCAGATGAACCACGAGTAGCACGGGAGTCTCTGTTTTTAACAGCATATTTGGATAGTGACAATAACTCGCTGCAGCTGTGTCTCTCGACGTCGCACACCGCGAATCACGACACGGAATTCGCGAAATTGAATAAGCAGATCGCTGACTGGCTGGGAACGGAAAAATTCACCATTTTCTGTCCTGGCGGGCGGGTTACTTCTCGCAGCGGCTCGACCAGCGCGTTGTCTTCCCCTGTTGTCGCTGGAGTTGGAGGTGGAAAGGGAAACGGGGTGGCCGTGCAAAACTTTGGGGATCTGCTGAAGCAGCACATGACGCAGAAGAAGGGCGTGGTGGAGGTGCACGAGCTACTACACGAGCATGATCAGAAAGCGAAGGACTATAAAGTCTCAAAGAGGACCTCAGACTGCACATCGGCACAGCAGGAGCAAGACGAACTGTGCTTGCGCGTGGTGTTGCAGGATCAGGCGTGAGGATCCGAGACAATGGCTATGGTTGTAGTGAGGAAGAAAGTCTAGTGGTTTGTAGTTCTTGCAGACATCAAGAAACTCAAACTGATACTGATAGAACCGAAAGAACAGCGATACTCAACAATGGAGCGGAGGTTATATCAGTCTCGACATTTTGCATTTTAAGCACGGAATGAAACAGCGTGACCACTTCACGATATTATTCATTGCGTCACCACAACTTGCTGATCTGAATCTGATTATTGATTGGAAGCACGACTCCGCTGTGTTTTGCAACTGAATACGAGAATATAGATCTCTTTGTTTATTACCCAACACGACAAGGTATGACTCCTAAGGCCGAGATACATATGGTGAGTGGTGTTGCTAGTAGGGAATAAAATCAGTAGGATTGTCACTATGCGGTGGATGTCATGAGAAAACAAGATGGCACGGAGCTAGCAGCTGGTACACCATGGCCTGGTTTAATACTTCCACCAACAGGATCGAAAAATGTGTTCAAATACGGTGCTCCCCGTCTCGAGCGATCCCATCCGATTTGTTCGCGACACTCGGGTGGTGCGAGCACACAGGCACGGGATCGCAAAGTCACGATGAGCACTCTAATCCTAATCCTTGTTCACTAAAATATTGCGAGTCGAGCAACGCTTGCACTTTCCGATGCTGCAGTGATCAAATACTATAGTACGTGTACGTAGTCCGTTTTATAGGTTGCGAGGTAAAGTTGTTCTGTGTAAGAATTCATATTCGCTGATTGTGATTCATCGATCATCAAGTCAAGGTCAACAACAAAGTCGTCCTCGCTCTTTTAGAAGATGGCGCTGGGCTCGCTCTGGCGGATCGCGATGCCGATGTATGTCGTCGGGCATGGCATTACTTAGATCTGCAGTGATCTAAGTATTTTGGGGGCGAAGTAGTGTCCCTGTCCGCTGTGTGATCTATCACCATAAGTAGTATTTCGATCTCGTCCTGTACTAAACTAGTCATAACGCACTTAGTGTAGAGAAGAAAGAACACCGAGCAAGACCACAGGCACGGACATCAAAATAAAGATCAAGCTATACACGGGCTAGAAAAGATCCTCCAGTTGATAGGTGTAGAGTGTATACACATGTCGACAGCCGCAGATAATTAGCCTGTAGAATTTTTTGCTGAACCAGACAAAATCAAGCTGCAGGCGAAATTTATGAAAAACTAAGAACTCATACTCACAACCGGAGACGCATTATACGCCCGAAACATATTCAAAAGCTGCACGAGGAGTTTTTTTCAAACTGCATCGAGAAACCGCGCAGACAAAGGGAAAGGCAGTTGGAACCTAGTTTGTTTAGTATCTTGTTGTGCACGACGAGGACAAGCACTTGTAGCATTAGCAGTACACTTCGGAATCTCTTTGTGAAGCCTGCGGTCCTCCAATAGTGATAAGTGGTTACAGCCGGAAGAGCCGTTTAGAAAACGGGCTGTGTGATTGCTGCGGTTTTACACACTAGCAACGTGAACAAAGCACAAACATAAGGCGGGCGCGTGGGATCGATTTCGCCGCACGGAGGCGCCTACTTTTGCAAGATCGCCTTGGCAACCAAAAGGGCGCGGGCTCTGGGCGCGATTTTATTGATAGATGGGCCACAGGAATTGACTTCCAAACGAGCCAAATGGTTTGAACCAGAAAAATAGTCCCAGGCAAGGGGGTTGATGCGGTGTGGCTATAATCCACCCTAATCGCAGGGCTTCCGCCTACGGAGAACCAACCTGGCTGAAGACGGCGGCTGCTTCGTCCCTGATCTGGGGAAAGCTGGCCGATCGTGGGGTTGGTGACAATAGGGCGGGCCAGGTGGCTGGTCGGGTTGGTTGGCCGTAGGACTACTCCCCGCCCCGCGCGGCGCACTCGGAGGCCTGTCTCCCACCGTGCTTCCGGGGCTTTTTCTTGCCCCGTTCATGCGCCATCCCAAAGGCAAACCGGGGACCCGGGAACGGCCTTCGCGGGATTATTCCAGCAAACGAAAAAATCGACCAAAAAAAAAGCCAAAAAAACCCAGCGCTAGCCCCGCGCCGTTTTTTCCTTGCTGGCGCCTTTTTGTAAAAACGCAGCAAACACGCAGACGCCAAAAAAATGCCGGAATCTGCGGATACAGTTGCGGCGTTTTTGGGCAAATTGCCCAAATTCACAAAACCGCTGCGCGGTTTTACAAATGACGCGCAAAAAAGTGCTTTTTTTTGCGGAGTGATTGTGGTAATTTGGACCGCAAAAAAAACGACCGCGGGCCCGATACAGTTGCGGCGCATTTACGTTTTGGGACCCGGAAAACGCAAACTTGCAGACAAAGTCGCAGAATCAGCTGCGCGGTTTTAGGTTTTCGGCGGAAAAACATGTGAAGTGTTGCGGGTTCCGCCCCTGTGGCCTGCCAAAAGCCGACAAAATCGAAACGCGAAACGGCGCACATAGCCCCTGCGGTTTTACAGATGAGGGGCCCCAACCCCGTGAGTGGTAGCAAAGACATGCACCTGTTGAAAGCATCGCAGTCCAGGACTTGGCGGGAACAATGAAAAAGGGGCCGGCTCACGTCTGTAGAACCGCAGCAATCACGCTGGCGTTATTCTTAACGGCCCTTTCGGCTCTAAATAAGTGGTTTGTATTGGTTTATTGCACAAGTGCTACTTAGACTCTAGATTTAATTTTTGAAAAACGAGTGTAAAGCAAGACTAAAAGCTGTATCCAGAAGTTAAGGTATTCGAGCAGCTCTACTGCTTCATCAGCACGAGGAAAAAAAAAGGTAAGGGAACGATAGAAGTTGAAACTCGTCGTCCATGCGTTGATTCATTCTCGTCAAGCGTCGAGCTAGCGTAAAAATCCTGCGAGTACTACTACTAGAAGTTTCAGAAAAGTAGAGTGGCTTATAAATTACATATCGTAGGAAGGTACTGCAGCGAACAGCGTGCGGATACATTATTATTTTGATTGGTCCCGATCGCAAGATAGAAGCAAACCGATCCACATCGCGGACGAGGTTTCTTCATGTGAAGTAGAATCCCATTAAGGGAAGCAAGTTTTTTTTTTTTGCAGCTGACAAGTTCTCGCACAGCCGCTGGTGGCGGATGATCTTTTTTCCTTTCATTCTCGAGCACGACACGTACTTATTGCGAGGAGTCAATTGATCTCCTTGTCTTGTGCGTTAAGACGGAAATAAGTAGTTGGTGGGCAGAAACCGCAGAAATTTCTTGTTCTGGCCGAATTCAAAAAAAGCATAAGCAAGAACACGATCTCATTTTCGCGTAGAGGTGAGCACGGTGGCGACCACTCTGGTCGTGACGCTGACGACTCTATTACATCATTATTTTCGTGAAAAGGAAAAAGTCGTCCTAGTCCGAAGCAAAAATCTGAAAAGGAATATGAAATTCGAAAGAAATACGATACCGATTTAGTTTGTTCATTTGAATTGTGCCGCTCCACTTTGTGGGAAGGACGATGAGCGCATGAACGTAATTTGAAATTGTAAAGAAACCCCTTGAAGAGGAAATTTTAATTTTACAACTCTGGACGTCTGCAAAACTACAACTGCGTGTTCACTTGCACATAGAAAAGAACCTGGCAAAAACCCAAACCATGGCGCGTTTATTTTTCAACTCAAAAACTGCAGCGGCCTGCAAAAGAAATAAGGCTCGGTGTGCCGCGGGCCGCGCGGCCGGCGGTGGAACAACAAAGCCGATCATGCGAAACAGGGTTTTGTTTTTGACGAACCTGGGCCTGGCAGCTGCAGCAGGGACTCTACTGCTGTTTGGAGAAATGCCCTTCATCTCGCAACGTTACAGCTCCACCAGTACTAGTATTGTGACAGCGGTGTCAGGCGCAAGATTCATTCCTCCTGGTGTGGCACGTGCACCCAACCAGCGCGGAGCCGGAGCTGCCTCAAGAACAGGAGGAGCTGAAGGGAACGACGAGTCGGTGCGGAGTGTTGTTCTTCCTGACGCATCTACTTCTACTTCGTCGAACAAAATAACGCGACGCGGGCGGCGGGGGAAACGCAGCCACAACTTCACAAGACCCGAACTTCGAGTAGATGAGGAGTTGCACCACACAGCAGAGACAGATGAAGACGATGAACAGTACCACCACGACTCTCCTTGCACGGATGTTGATCTAGATGTGGAGCAGCTGCCAATCGCAGGAGACCAGGTCGCCGCGGGCGCCGCTGCCGGGCACTTCTACGACCAGCCGCAGAACGGCCACCAGGAACTGCAGTATCGCAATTATGTACAACATGACGGGGCCGCGTACCACACGTCGTCGGCGCAAGTTCTAGATGAGCACGTCGCCCATCAAAACTTCATGACGAGCGCCCCTGCGGCCTGTGGTTTCTCCGTGTTCGCTGGCTGTCCTGCTCCGCCGGCTGGTGGATCTTCAGGTTGCATAAGTTATGGCGTTCCTGTAGTCAACGGTATGATTCCAGTCACGCTTCTGTGTTGCAGTCCTACACGGGGTCCAATGGCAATGGACCTCCCAAATAAAATGGAAGATCCGTCCTCGCCGACCGCGAAGAGCAACAGCACGGCAGTGGGCAGCTCGCATGGTAGTGGTAGTTCGAGCGCCACGAGTCCGTTTGCGGGTCCTGTGATGTCCCATGGTGGCAACTCTGCTTTTGGTGCCTTCGGAAGTTGTAACGGCTACGGCACTCGCACTGCTAGTGGGTGGAATAATTCTACGGCTCCTGGTGAAGATGCTGCAGCAGCAGGGGTGAACTATTATGTTGACAACGAAACGACCGCGAACAACAAGACCGGCATGAGTACTGGCGATCATGTTGCCACCTATGCAGGAGGCAGCTGCAGCTCCTTTCCAGGAGCCTGGACAAGTCCTGGTAGTTCTTGTGGTCCTTCTTCAAGCACCCTGCCTTGCGGAGGGTTCAATATGATTCCGTGTCCTGCTACCTACAACGCGACTCAATACATGAACGGCTACGGTGGAGGTTCCGGTTCCTGTATTCGGGGAATTATCCACAATGAAGAGCAACACCAACAGGTACAACAAACTCAAACGAAGATGAACTCATGCGGCACGGCGGGGCCACGGCCACCAGCGTGTCCCTCTACTCCGATGCTTGTCCCGGTGCACATGCCTGTTATGGTTCCGACTGGTGTAGTTGCCACATCTACCAGTGTGGGAGGTGCAGCGGCGACTACTCCTCCAGACGAGACCTATACCAGTACGGGCGGACCGGCACAAGTTCAAATACCCCTGACCTCAACAAGCAAAGTTAATTCGAATGCTCTACCTTGTAGTGCACGTGCAGCAGGAGGAGCTCACGCTCAGGAGCACGATCGGGGGCAATTGAAAATGTCCCAAAGTTCGCTACCACCAGCAGCACCCGCGCCGCCGAACCACCACGACGCTTTGAATTATACTACCTTTGGTTGTGATCCTCTGTCTGCGCTACGGGCGAGGTTCCACGGAGACGGGCTGCCCAGCATGCCGGCGCACCCCGACCAGGAAACCGTGTCGGAACGTTTTCTGGCCGATTACTGTGCCTCTTTGCAAGCGCAGTATGCGGACCTGGTGGCGGAAAACGCGCACCTGTGCGACCTTGCGGATTTGCGCTTCGAAGTTTCCGATTTGATGGCGCGGGCAGAGCGAGAGGAGAAGGATCGGGAGGATCTACTCCTACGCAGGCGAGTGGTGCAAGACCTGGCAGCGCGCCGGGGAGTTGTAGAAAACGAGGCTGAGGCGGATGAAGGAGATCAGCAGCGCGACCCGCCAACTGCTCTAGCGAGCACATCCTCGAAAGCTAGTGGTGGAGCGCCAGGAGCAAGTAGACAAAAAATGAAACTCTCGAACCGCAGCCTGAAGCCCAACGAGTTGGACCATGCAAAGAAAAAGCAACTGCAAGCAGTGGAAGCCCGCGTCTTTTTGGCCAAAGGGAGGCCAGGCTCGTCTCTTGATGAAGACCTTGATGATGCGAGCAACGAGATGGAACAAACAAAAAACCGAACATGTGCGCTGCCAGCTGCACAGCAAGAAGCTGTTGACCTTGACAGCAATATCTCGTCTGAATTACACAAAACGGATGCTAATGCGACATCACCGACTGCATCATCAGCAGGAGCAACCGCCGATCGGGAGCAAGTACAGGATCTCGCAGAGGTTTTCGCTCGAAAAAAACTGCCATTTCCCAGGAACCCGGGATCCGCGGGGCACCCCTACGCCTGCTTCGGGGATGGCTGCAAGTATTTCCAGCGCGGGCTGCAACAGGGGAGTCTCCACGCGGGCTGCAAGGACGGCGACCGTTGCACGCGATGCCACATTTGTTGCTGGAAGAACACCACGGGAAGGAACAGGAAGGGGAAACAAAAAAGAAGCAGCAGCAGGGGGCAGCAGGGTTTTGATAAAGTTATTCATGATGCTGAAGGTTTTAATTCCAACTACACCAACAATAATGAAAGCAAAAGCGAAAAAGCTGGCACTGCTTACCAGGAGCCCGACCAAGAGGGCTGCAGGAGCTACGGCAGCTATCTTCAAGCCCAACATGGTGTCCCGCCTCCTCCTCCTCCTGCCCCCGTGATCCTCGATCTTGCTTCCAGTCTGGATTTGGATGCCGTTGATGCGCCGCAGCCGCGGGACGAGGACGACAGTGCCACTGGTGTTGATTATCCGGCACCTCCACCTCCTCCTCCACGACCCCTCCTCTTCGACACCGGCCGCATTCTAACTCGCAGCAATACTGGCGCGCCTTCGCCGCCACCCCCGGACGACGTGAAGCGCGCTTTCATGCGGGGAGGTCCGGCGGCGGCAATAGAAGGAGGTGTCCGGCCTGGTTGTAGTTCTTCGGATGATCTCGAAGCATCCCGCGCGGGAGGAACAACAAAAGCGAACACCACGAAGGTGTTGCAACGTCGAGCCTCCGAGCGTTGGGCGGACATTCCGGTGGGAACAGGAGAGGATCAGCAAGACGATGAGGACGTCGAGCTGATGTGTGGTCTTTTCTCTACGGGAGATAGAACCCCGCCGCCGCCACCGGAGACCCCGCCGCCTGCGCTTGTCTACAGCAATAAAAAGCAGGATGATCTCGTCGTCGTCCCGCTGTCGCTGCGCCAGCACTCCTCTCGCACACTGCAGGCCTTGAACCTACACCTGGCGGAACCCCTCATGAAAAAAGCGAAGGCGCGACAAGACAAGCTTTTACTATGAACTGCAAAAGTATCGTACTAGTATAAATCGCATGACAAATGGAATTTGTCATGCTGTTTCACCTTGGGATGAAGATTTGGAATGCATGACTGCGATTACTACGAGTGCGATACTTTTGCACAGGATATTTACTTGACACCAGCAATCCTGCAGCGAATCGGCCATTGGGTCCGGCGATGGTGGTATCAAGAGCAAAAATCCCCCCGCCCCATATCAAAGCGGAAATCTGTGATGCAGATTTGTGGCCACAAATCAGCTTTGTGATGCTAGAAGGCAAAAGATGCGGACTGTAGTGCTATCTAGCGTGGGAAAGTGTTGCATCTCCAGCATGTTGACACGAGGCAACTGGAAGTGGGAAACAGCATGACAAATTGCCTGCAATTCAGGCCACAGCTGCGTCTCTTGGCCTTCTAGCAATACAAGTCGATTTGTGTACTCAAATACAGCATCACAAATTTCGTTTCCGATATGGGGAGGGGGGATTTTTCTTCTTGATAGGTGGACGTGGACGTGGGCATAAAGAAGACTTCTGACCTCCGGATGGAACAACATCAGCAAGTTGCCTTGGCCGATAGAAGTGGTCTTCAGGAAGTGGAAGGAGAAAATTTATCCGAGGTGGACGACGGTGCAGCATCAACATCATCTGGTGAACCGGGTTGGTTTCCCCTCGATTTCGACTGGAGAAAAGGGAAGACATCGAATTGGAAATCGCCACTGCGTTTGGGCTTGCTTGCGGATGATGAACGTACACGTCGTAGCTCCTTGTTGACTCAGATTCACGGCGAATTGGTAGAGGGTCCTTCATCCGTCCGTGATTCCCCCACAGCAACATTTTCCCCATCGTTCCCCATTCTCCGCCGCGAGGATCGGCAGTATACACCGCTGCGGCTCGGCGTCGGCAGCAAAGTACTGTCCGCTCTGGGCGTTGGGACAGTAGTCGCTGATAGAAAAAGTAGCCCATCAGCTTCTAGTACATCGAGTTCTTCGGGCGGCGCAATGAAGGAGGTGGAGCAGGGTGTAGAAGATGTTCAAAGTCAGCGTCAGCGAGGCAAACACGCAGAAAGGTTCGCAACTAGTACAACTGGTGCTGGTTGCACTACAACCGTGGCAGGCGTGTTGGAGGACGGCTGCAAGAACTCTAGCGCAGCTGCGCCTTCTTCTCCATCAACTACACAACGTGATCGTGAGGATGCGAAACAACTACAACATCACCTAGGAACGATATCAAAGATCAAGAAGCAGAAACGCCGAGCCCAGGAAATCAAGCCCGATGATCCCGAGGGCACGCCGAAGCTGACGCCCAAAGGCATGCTGCGGCAGCTGAGCGAAGCGTGGATGCCCTCCGCCGGTTCCTCCGGTGCGGGAACGGAGTTGCATGATTTGGCGCAAGTACTATCGCACGAAAGTTTTCTCTCAGGCGACAAAGACAACTCTTCAGCGGACCACCTCCGGCAAAATTCATCAACGAAAGCGAAAGCAAACGGGACAAGTACTGGGCCGGGGCAGGATCAGCGAGTTGCACATCAGCAGGTTATTTCGCGTGACCCTGGTCATATTCCTGCCTACCACAAAACAAGAGGCGCCGGCTCTCGACATTTCCATCCCGAAGACTTGGATGTTGAGCTGCCTGAGGATGCAGAAGCAATGACTCCGGGTTTCAATGCTACGAAAATCACGGCTCGCATGAATTCTGTCGGAAAAACTGATGTTGACCTGCTTAACGACGGTTTTATGCTACCCGAACAGGCAACCCCTCCACCAACAGCAGCGACGATCGAAGCAGGCCGCTCTATCTTCGATCCGCTGCCGCTCAGGGCAAGGACACCCTCGGGCGAAACGATTGTTCTTTCTGCCGCTTTGGAAAGTGTTGTCTCCTCGTCTTTCATCGGTGGTCCAGGATCTTCAGCATCTGCTTCTGAGCAGGTGCAGCTTGAAAGGAAAAAGGATGGCCAGATGCAAACAAGAACCAATAGCAAGAAAGCGAAATCCACATGGTCCAAAAACAAAAGGGAAAGGTTTCTGTCAAGTGCGTCATCTTCTGGCGCTGGAGGTGCACCCACCATGGGAGCAGCTGGCAGTACAACGACGAATGGCGCGCATCAACATCGCGAACAACGAGATGAGGAGGCAGGTGGCGCAAAGACTCCAACTTCCAATTACACGACGTCCACGGAACGCGTGCGGAGGCCGCTGATGCCCCAACGTCGCAAGGGGTTCTGGGCCGATTCCTTGGCGCATGAGACTGGCAGCGGCGATGGGGGAAGCGACACGGACTGCTGTCCAAACGGGTTTGAGGAACTTTCCGGGTACACGTGCGTAGCTGCGGGCGGGTCGAACGCAGCTGATCCACGGTACTACAGCCAAACAAATCTAGATTGACGCACCAGAATTTGTTTTAACGCGCTTCAGTGCCTGGCTGTTGCTTGTTCTTGCGCGGCCGTTCTTCATTCTCCCCGATGGCGATGGTCGGAAACGAGAGCTGCGAGCAGCAGGCCTAGCCTAGCATTTTCATTTTGATTTTCGTGTGGCCACTTGAAATTGGCATACTATGTATTTCGACGAAGTCCCTGCGCCTGCTTGTCCTTCTTGTTCGGAAAATGTGATCCGTTTCCCCCCCGAGATTGATAATGATTATTTAGGCATTTCAACATTTTCTGAAAATGAAGCAACCCGCCTTTGACAGGTTTGAATTTGAGTTTCTATTTCAATTTCACAATCAAACAGCGCTCCTGCTTCGAGTCACCAGATTGGGGATCGTGGTGTGTGCACCGAGCAGCAGGCTGGCGGTGACCTTGTGGGCTCGGATTCCAGACAGTATCTCATTGATTTACATCTAGCACCGGTTCGTGGAAATATTTACTCGCTCTGTGCGTAGTTGTATGCAATAGATTTTCGTTTATCTTCTATTTACCATGAAATCGTGATTATCATTATCGTCCTCAACGCACACTCACTGCAGGGCGACCCCTCTCCTATTTACCCGGCGGGAGTATACCCCTGTGGGCCCCTCTACGTTCAGCGTGGCTCCTCGCAGCGATCAAGAACCGCAAGATCAACTCCAGTGGCCGGAGGAAAAAAAGCAGCAATCTGTCGAAAACTTGCCCTACTCCACGGAAGACGACGTCAGAACGGAGCCGGAAGTGGTGGAGCTGCTAGTACCTGCTGGTGCTGACGACCAGGCGACAGACTTTTTGAGCCCAGCGGCGTTTGAAAGTTTTAATTTCCCGGGAGCAGAGGCGGTAAATGCAATCGGTATCCACAGTAGGTCAGAACTCGTTTATTGGACCTTCACCGCATGGGACGGACTAGAAACGCAGAGGCTGGCTCTGCATGATATAAAGAAAGTGATGCCTAGTACTTACCGTCCCCATCAAGCACGACCAGGACTACAGCGATGCGCGACAACTTCCTGGATTTTTGATTTGCATTCTTTTGCTATTTTGTACTACGTCGTGTCCTCGTCCTGGTGTAGTGGTCCAGGAACTAGAACTATTTGTGTTCTACTTGCATAATCGCCCGCGCCACTGCTGAGGCCGCATCCGACGTGGAGGACGTGCGTGACTTCGAGCAAGACGTTCTTGCGACGGACGTCCTCAGTGAGGAGTTCCAGAAAAAGTTGCATCTGAAGGGAAGGAGTTCTTCCTTTTCCTCCTCCGGCGCTTCTCCACGTGCTGACGATTCAAGTGAGCCCCGTCTTGGTACACAGCAAGCAGTACAACTAGAAGATCCTGCTGCTCGCCCAGTAGATCATGTTCTTGACCGATCCCAACCAGCGGATCACCGCGGTGCTGCTCCTGTTGCTACTTCTAATACTATTCCAATTGCGGCCTCGCACCCCTTCAAGACGAGACACCAGCACATAAGTTCTTCTCAGCAGCCAAGTAGGAGCCGCACTTCCAGCTTCGGGACAGCAACCAGTAACACAGACCCGACGTTTTTATTGAGTAGCAGCAGCCCCATGAAACACGTGGCCACCTGGGACTCGTTCAACCCCGAATTGAGCGAGGACGACATGTTTGCAACACACTCGCAGTCGCAACCGCAAGTAGAATCGCGTCATCATGAACATCATCTTCCAAGCAGTAGCAGCGCCACAAGAACTACTAGCGTGCTAAAAACGTCGGCTAGAAGTAGCGCTAGTAGCAACATGCCTGGTGAGTTACTAGTGTCCTCGGAAGCAATGCAAGGTCGTGTCAGTTTCCATCCGACTTACGACAGCTTGGGCCATATCTAAAAACGCATCACCGCGCACAGAAATAACCTGCGATTTCGATTTTGTTTTCGCAGTCGCGAGGTATGAAAAAATTTGAATGAGTGAGAAGCTCACGCACTTACCTTTCATAGTTCCCGATCTTCTTCTTCATGTCCAGCAGGTCAGCATCTTGCTTCGTACTTCATTGCTCAGCTCTTTCATCCTTTGAAGATGAAACAAGGTCGGGGGCGAGCCCAAATAAAAAACAACTTTCCTATGCAACCCACGAACATGATCAAGAAAGACAAATACAAACGTAAAAAAAAAAAGGCGAAAAATATCTTTCGCCTAGAGATTCAGAACAAGAAGAATAACCTCCAACACGGCCGCGCTGTGCAAATTTCACTTTCAGTACTAGTCTTCACAAAGCACCGTGACTGCCTCTGCCGTTGTTTTGCTAATCGTCATTGCAGCGTCAGGAGTCATGGTGCTACTCGTCGTAAATCATCATCTCGTCATACTTCTATAACAGATACAGAACTTCTCGGACGACCGAGGAGGATTTGCATCAAGAACAACAGCCTTTCAAACGGTTCCATGTGACCAACCTCAACAAACAAACACAAGAGCTGCTGGCTACAACTACAACATACGAGAACTAACAGGACATCAAGCGTAAATATCTATGTATGAGGAGGACCTACTAATTGCACTACTACTGGACGGGGCGGGCTCTGTTGTAACGCCGTTGCTTGCAGCAGCTCCGCCAGCCGCAAATTGGTTGGCGACGCAATGGAACTACCAACGAACCTATGGTGATGGCCGCGATCGTTGTTTGGCTAGTACGATTACAGTAGTCAAGATCCCCCATCAGACCTTGATGCTCGACGTGTATGATTTATCATCTCGAAATATTTTTTAGGAATATTAAGCGTAACCACCGTTCACCGCGGTGCAGCATCTTTCTTCTTCGCATCCTACCAGCAGGCACCTCTAAAACTTGATGGTGCTCACCTTATTTTTAAGCTCTATTCTTGATTTTTGATTTTGAGCCGCTACCAGAGCTCCGGCTCAGGTGGCGCAGGCAGGAAGGGCAAGAAGAGGAGTCTTGCTTAGGACCTGGCATTTCTATGGCGCCTGTTCTGACGCAAGGAAGGGCAAGCAGAGGCGGCTTGTTTTGGACCTTGTGGCTATGCGGAGGTTGGCCGAAGCACTACGGAGGCGGTAGTAGTGCCTCGCTCTGAAGCCAGGGGTGATTGAGGGTCTCGGCCCGCTTTCCCTCGGGCAACTCCCCGGGTCTGTTGGTTCACCACTAAAACGGGCGGCGTTTCTTCAGATCTTGGTGGCGACCGGTTGAAACACTGGTCGCCAGCTACTTACAAGCAGGAACATAGAAAGTACGTTAGACAGTTACTCGCTCGCCTAAAGAAGCGAGCACCCGATTGATTTTTGATTTTGACAGGAAGGGAGAGCAGAGGAGACAGGAAGGGAGACGGTGATGTTGACAGGAAGGGAGAGCAGAGCAGAGGAGACGGTGATGTTGACAGGAAGGGAGAGCAGAGGAGGCTCTCTTAGGACCTGCCAGATTTGTGGATCCTGTTGGACACGAGGAAGGGCAAGCAGAGGCGGCTTGTTTTGGACCTCGTGGCTGCGCGGAGGTTGGTAGGACTAGCACGGAAGAGGAGGTAGTGCTAGTCCCGCCTGAAGCCAAGGACTAAGAGCATCCCGGTGCAATTTTTCTGAGGCAACTCCACAGTCTTGGCTGTTCGACATCAAAGCGGGTGTTTTTTAGTCAAGTTCTGGTGGCAAATAATTGTTGAAACACAGCTTGCCTGCCACTTACTCTCAGGAACTCAATTAGCACGTACAACAGTCACTCGCTCGCCTAAAGAAGCGAGCACACAGTTGATTTTTGATTTTGAAGGAGCGTTTGCGTTTGCGTACCACTACCAGAGCCTCGGCTCAGGTAGTGTAGGCAGGAAGGGCTAGAAGAGGAGTCTAGCTTAGGACCTGCCATTTCTATGGCGCCTGTTCTGACGCAAGGAAGGACAAGCAGAGGCGGCTTGTTTTGGACCTTGTGGTTGGGCGGAGGCTGACGGGAGCATTACGGATGAGGTGGTAGTTTTGCTCCAGTCTGAAACCAGGGCTGAGGAAAGGCTTCGGCAGTTCTTCTCCCAGGCAACTCCCCGAGCTTGGCCGTTCACTACTAAAACGGGCGGTGTTTCGTCAGGCTCCGGTGGCGACTGGTTGAGACACTAGTTGCCAGCTATTTACAAACAGGAACATAGTTAGTACTGCAGACAGTTACTCGCTCGCCTGAAGAAGCGAGCACACAATTGATTTTGAAGGAGCAGTAGTTGCTGCAGGACCTATTTAGTAGCTTCTCGTTCTTGTCCACGGAGCTTGCTAGTTCCTAGTAGGTCTCTGAAGGTGGAACCCAAAGACAACATAAATGTGTGTGAAGTGAAATACTTAGATTTAGAAAAGAAAAAGCACGCATGACAGAGCAGCAGAAAGAAAATATATATTTGTATACTTCCCTCACGGTGAAGATTTTCTCAACTCAAACGCTTCGACTCTTGAAAGAGTCACAACTTTATTTCCTGCGAATTGCGCTGCTGTATTTTCATTTACATTGGTTTAGATGATCTCTCTGCACGGTCACCTGAAAGAAGATATTCTGGACAACAAAAGCTTTATTTATTTATCGGAAGTAGAAGACTTAGACATCTTTCTCGTCGACATCGTTCACGTTCATCTCGCCAAGCGGTACCCGTACCTCATCGTCCGTGAATAAATTTGCCTGCTGCAGTTGCACGCCAATATTTTATTCAATTTTTGCTTTTCTTCTACACGCTATTTACCAGCTGCGGATTCTACTGGTAGCATGTAGATGCTGATGTGCCGCACAGGGAGCATGTAAGTAACTGCCACCAAAACTTGCCATACAGAATAAATCTTCGTACGGCGCATAGTAAAAAAGAACGGTGTTTGTTTCATCTGTGAAAAGTGTAATCTAAGTAAAGATTTGTTTCCGTCCCTCGACGTCACGCACTGGGATATCTTTACAGCAAGCAACGCCGGCGAACGTCCTTTCTGATTTTTTAAATTCGGCTGCATCGTCTTCGTCGTCCGTCGCACCATTGAAGTGCTGTCGTGGCGCTGGCTGCACGACGACCAGATGACGTTGTAAGTAGTTGTAGTTTTCCTCATTTCCGTCCCACAAGCGGCGCTGGATAAAAAATACAAGCATCGTTCTTTCTTATTTGCTGAGATGCAGGTGCTGTGATGATCAACAAGTAGTATTCGCTACATCACACCTATTTTCAAAAAGTCATCAATATTCAATATTGAGAACTGCAGCAAGGACATGTGCAAATTTTTATCGGACGCAAATTTCAACAAAAATTGAAAAAAAATAAAATTGCTCATAACTAAAAACCAGGATCGTTATTTTTTTATAAAATCTGGCATTGTCATTGTGTGTCATGGGTCATCGTAATTTTCAGGGCTCGTCCCGTATTTACCCGCCCACACCGGACGGTGGCCCGCTTGATTGATATTCTCTGCAAATAAATTACTGCGAATTATAAATTGCTTGATATAACTCCTGTTAATGTATGAGTAGAAGCACGGGCCAACTCAATGACCATGAATTCGAGAACATTTGAAGCAGAAGCTCGTTGTGACACGAAAAAAAAAAGTTGGGAATCAGATGAACCTCCAGGCTTTCTACTTATTGAGTAGAGTGCTAGTCTACTCACTTTTGAGCTGCAGTTGGTATCTCGCCGTGTTGTGCCTGTGCCCCTGCCCGCTTTCTGTTTTTGCTGCTGTTCTTCATCAGGATTTTCCTTTTTGATCAGGGTGAAGATCTTGCCAAAAGCAAATCTGTAGTGCGATGATGTGGTCAACCCCATCAACCTCGAAAAATGTTCCAGATCCGGTATTTGTTGATGATGTTCTTGCAGCAGCGTTTTTGCAGTTTACTCTTTGGCAGCAGTGTTTTCGCTGTTTGGAACAGTTTTCGCAGATCGAGATCATGAAGATCACACCTCCTGCTATTCGGACCAGTCTGTGATTTGATTGCACAGTAAAGCAGAAGGACATGTCTGCCGTAGTACAACGGCGCTCTTCTTGGTGATGCCATATTAATCGTTGAGACAGATGCATAGCACATGCCGTGTTTCGACGAAGCGTCGAAGTCGAAGATAAGAAAGTAAGTGATGCACCACAATTTTCTTTTTCCCCGCAGCTGGGTACTGGTAGCGGTACGTAAATCGACATCTTCATCATTTTTGTCCACGACCACCAGATAGCTCTTGCGAGGTGACAAATTCCAATAAAAAAAGCAGCGGCGATGAATGTTAGAGTTACTAGAGTTGTTCTTCTTTCTGCAAAGACAAGACGACTTTTCTAATACTTCAATCGCACTGTAGTAAATTCTTTCTGGGATTATGCTGTCGTAAAAGACATGTAACGCCAGAAGAACGAAAAGCGTTTTCTTATTCACCGAATATTGCTCCTGTATTTTAGCGTTGATCGTTGGTCCGTTGTATCTATTATATGCGAGATCAGGATCACAACTTTCGCTTATGAAAATTCTGTTATGGCATGTTCGATTCGTGCGTTCATAGTGTGCCTTATGTGACCCGTGGTCTATGTACACTTATTTGATGCGAAACTCGTTCTAACTTAACGCTAGCACCAATATCGATTGGATTGTCATGTTGGATGAGAACGAGAACACATCCCAATATCATTTCGTAGCCTGACGCTCTTTTCTCACTCGACTAAGAACTTATTGCATCGACGTACTCAAGCTCAATGCTTTTGACGCCGAGCTTCCATCAACGTCCCCATCTTCAAGAAAAATACTTACTTACCTACTTTGCAATTCAGATATTCAAGAAACAGAACGGTACGCGCTGAGGCCTAGAATTATTCGTAGTAGCATCGTGATTGGGGTCAAACCTTGCGCATATACCCGGGCGCGGTACCCTCGTGAAGCGCCTTTTTTTACGCTGGTCAAACATAGCGAATTCATTGGCATACGCGCGTCACACCATGTGGGTTCGCAGTTTGGGCGAGACGGGTTTTCTTGCTCTCTCTTTGTTGTTCTTCTCCTTTTTCCAGGATCCCGGAACTTTCGCCGTCCGAGATTTCCCGGGAACTTGTGCAACTCGTGCAACTTTTGCACGTTTTTGCTGCGAATCACGATGGTGCGGCCGAGTTGCGCGGCGAGTTGCACGGTGCAACTCGCCGCGCAACTTTCACAACATTCCGCGCCGAACCAGGACGGTATGGGCCTTCCGAGATGTCCCGGAAACCTGTGCAACTCGTGCAACTTTTGCACGTTTTGCCTTGCGAATCACGATGGTATGGCCCGAGTTGCACGGCAAGTTGCACGGTGCAACTCGCCGCGCAACTATCCCAACACTTTGTGCCGAACCAGGGTGGTATGGGCCGTGTTTCGATTCGATTTGTGCTACTCGCGCAACTTCGGCAGTTTTGTATGTTGTGCGAACCATGGCGCGCCCGGTTTGCCAACTTCCACGCGGGACCACGCTGGCGCATGTGGGCAGTATTTCCGGCGTGCCCACGCTGCTGCGCGTTGGCGCATGTGCGGGCGGTGTCCATGTTGGCGCGCGGCGGCGCATTTTGGCGCCTTGTCGCGCCGACGCTGGTCGTGTGCTTGGCAGTGTCTTCCCTTCCCGCCTTCGCTGGTGGTTTTGTGGTTGGGCTGGTTTGGTTGTGGTTGTCAATACGCGGCTAGGTGGGTTTGTTTGTGTGGTTGTCAATACGCCAGAACGACAACCTCCTACGCCAAGCTCTTCACGTGGCGTCAACAACAGGCGCGGGTCAAATCCAAACCCCACCCGAAACAAGCAAATCCAAACCCCACCCGAAACAAGACAAACCCTGTACTTGAAATCGTATGGCGTATTGACAACCAACGAACAGTATATGCCGTATTCCACGAACACAAAAGTCAAGCGGTCTTCCTAACCAACACGCACACTGACTAGTCACAGCCCATTGCGGCTGTTGCCCCTAATTCTTGCAGAGGCACCCCGCTCGCGCAGGCCGCCCCTGCCGATCACCTCGGCACGCCCGGGCAGCACTTCCACGTCGGCGGCCGCACACAGCGCGTCAGCGTGCCCAACTCTGTGCCCGCCGTCCCACGTCACCGTCGCCCTGTGTTCAGGCGTTATTCGCGGGCCTGTGCGTACGTCTGCCCTGCTCCAGCCGCTTACTTGTGGTTGACCCCGCGCAGAAGCCTACGCGGCACTACTGGCTCACTTCGGCCGCGTCTTTGCGGTTGACCCCACGCAGAGGCCTAGACGGCGCTACTGGTTCACTTCAGCCGCACGGGCCCCATGAATGTGTTGCCGCTTGGGACGGAAGGACACCAGGGCGAGCTCCCTGCCTGCGGCAGCGGGGCCGACTGCGCGGCGGGCCCCCGCTGCGTTTCCCCTGTTGCGGGCGCGGAGCGATGTACGCGACAGGAGCCCTCCTTGCATGCGAGTGGGAAAGGAAGGCGGGGGACCCCGAACAAGACGGGGGCCCCCCGCGAGCAGGTGAAAAAGGTGGGGGGGCCCCCTTGGGCACCGCTGGTACAGGCCGGGGGCCCCCCGCGAGCAGTTGAAAAATGTGGGGGGGCCCCTTGGGTGCCCCCGGCCTCCAAAGGTGGAGGCCGGGGGCCCCCTGCGGGCGGGAGGGATCTACCGCGGAGAAGGACGGGGCCCCCCCCGGCCTCCGGCGGGCGGCCCGGCCGGGAGAAGGGCGGGGGTCCCCTGCGGAGGCGGACGCGCGGGGGCCCCCTGCGGGCGCGGGATGCCCAGCGGGTGGTAAGGCGGGAGGCGGGGGCCCCCTGTTTCACCAGGCAGGCGGCCCGGGAGAAGGGCGGGGGCCCCCTGTGGAGGCGGAAGGGCGGGGGCCCCCTGCGGACGCGGGATACGCAGCGGGTGAGGTGGAGGCGGAAGCGCGGGGGCCCCCTGCGGAGGCGGGATGCCCAGCGGGCGAGAGGGCGGGAGGCGGGGGCCCCCTGCTTTCCCCGATGGTATGCGCGACACAAAAATAATAACCCTCATCGTAGCATCGTGATTAATAATCTAGGCCTCAGCACGTGCCGGTCTCTCAAGAAATTATTATTATTACTAATTGCAGATACAGATAATTCTTACTCATGAATAAAATTGCAAGCTCAACATAAATTTTCTCATCATGTGCAGCTAGCATACACACAGAGTGCCAGTGCGCCAGATTCTATCCAAGAAGAAACACGAACACTACATCTTCTATCTTCATCACCCAGATCTTCATCGTGGCGATTGTCGAAGAACAGGACGGGAGCCACATGGGGAGGATGATGGCGATCCGTGGTAGTACAACCATGTGCACGACCTCCCACCAACGAGTAGCACGACGAGGAGGAGCTTGGCCTTGGGGAACGACTTGGTGTTGGAGAGCCGGGCAGCTACAGCGATCTTATTTCCTTACCCTCATCTTTGTTCTCTACTTGTGCGATTTGGTGGTGCCGCCTGCAGCAGGTGCAGCGCAAGGACGGAAATTGTTTTCACGAAGAGGAAGACGAGCAGATCAAGCGCCGCGGTCGCCGCCCTCGTCGTCTATCTTAAACGCAACAACATCGTCCTCGCCGCGAGGACATCAAAAAATCTCGGCTGCAATAAACAGTGAACAGCAAGAACTTCTACCATCGTCAAACTGCGCACCGCCTGGTGCAGCTGCCAGTGGTGTCAAAATCCTCGACGAAGCCTCTCAGGGCGGCGCTTGCGTCGAGACAGACGAGCCCGACGAGATATCAAATCAAAATCGTGCAGCTTGCTCAACTTCGCCACCACTTTCACCGGGAGCTGCAGAACCCACGGTGTGCGAAGCAACGGCCTTGCAGTGCCACAGCGTGGGCACGGTAGGGCATCCCCACACGTGTGCTCCGCCTTGCAAGTACGTGGCCAAAGCCAGGGGGTGCAAGGACGGGCTGGCTTGCCAGCGCTGCCATTTGTGCCGGTGGAGTGCCGCACAACCGCGAAGAGACAGGCGAGGAGCCGCGCGCGGGGGCCAGCATGCAGGAGCACGCGCGGAAGCCGAAGCACAAACGTCTGGCGGAAGTGTTGCCGACCCTGTAGTTCGCAAACACGCCGAGGAAGTTGTTGTACCAGCAGGAAATTCTTTCCAGTTTCGCGACGAAACCAAATCTAGGCTTGCGGAGCAACTACTGCTGGCCGCACGCAATATCGCACAAAACCACGACTTGGGGAAAGAGCAGGATGGTGATCTTTGTCCAGACACTTATACAACTGGAGCACCAGAACAGGCAGACTCACATTTCTTGGTACCACGACCACCGAGCCGTGCGACTTCTACCTCCACAACAAATACAAAACAGGAGATAAAAGACGGACCAATAAAAAAAGTGGACAGTGGTGCCGCTAGCGCGAGCAGTAACACCACCCGTGAAGTAGAGTACCAGAACAGCAAAATTTCAGCTTCATCTGCAAGAAGTTGCGCCTCTTCTAGTGCTCCTTGTGCATCTTCTTCAAAAGACGGCCGTGCGAGCGGCATCGCCGCACCACTTGGATGGAATAATATGTCTCGGAGTCCAGCGTCAGACGAGTCATCAACGGCCGCCTCAGCGTCGTCGTTTGAGGTTCTTGAGCACCAACAACCTGGCGAAAAGGCCGCACTGGTGGATGTTGAACTCACCTCCAGGGGTGGGAAGACCGAGGCACAAGATGACACCAGCACAAAAAAGCCGAAAGACGTAAAGAAGAGACCTACTTCATCTTCGCCACTGCTCCTGCCAAGTGCCCCACGAAAGCGAGACAACCTAGAAGCAGGTGAACCCCTGCGCTACGAGCGTGGTGTGTTGCAGCCTGGCACCGCGTCCTCAAGTTCTTCGTTGGCTCCGTTCCAACATGCTCCAACGGAGCAGGTGAAGATGACACACGCGCTGCGGGCAGAGGAAAAGGCGGTGGAGCTCCTGCAGCTTCGTCCTTGAGTGCTGCAGGAAGCTGGCGCAGAAGTTCCTGTTCCGCCTTCTGCAGTAGCGGTCGTTCGTGTACACTCATCTTGCTGTGGGCCCCGGGCGGGCGGGGAGGGTCGAGCAGGAGGAGTCCCCGGTGTCGTAATAGCTGACATTACTAGTGTCCCCGACAGCAGATGGGTCGCGAATCGGGAATGTTGGCAAGAAGAGTGCGGTCGCGGTCCAGAACAAGCACCTTCAGAGCAGGATGATGAAGACATGTTGGACGAGCGCCGCAGCTATCAAAGTTCCAGGAGCCGCGCCAGCGTGATGACCACATCGTCGCCATCCTTCAATCGGCCGACAGTCACAGAACTGATGCACTTGCGAGAACAAGAGCTGCTGCGCAGAAAACAAGCAAGTCGCGCGAAAAGAACGAGAGAAGATGAGGACAAAATGAACGGCACTACGTCCTCCGAACACCAGCAAGAAGAGGCGCATGATAAAGAAGAACCCTGGTGCCCACCTCCGTCCTCGCCCTACTTCGACGGTCCAAACCCAGAAGAGGAGTTTGTTGCCTTTTGCTCCGCTCTGGAAGCGGCAAAGGACGCCGAAACTCCGGTGAAGGTGAACGCCGCCCTGAGGAAAGACGGGAAGAACCTCGGTAGCTGTGCAGCTAGCGGTAAAATACTTTCGCCGCAAGACCGCGCACTGTCGCCGTTGGCCGCCGAGACGCTTGCTTCGCTTTCCTCTAGATTGTCGCTTTGCTCGCAGGGAACGAGCTTGGAAGAAGGAGAAGTCGACCGCGGCTCGCAAAGATGCGCATCTCCTGTCGTGCCAGCGGGCGCCAGAAGTACTATTTCCCATGGCGGGAGCAGCGGTGGCGGTCATGGTTATAGTTTTGTTCTTTCTGCTCCCGCCGAGGCCGACACTGTTGCTGGTCCGGGTGGAGGTGGTCCTCCGAAGCAAGAAGCACTCGCGGGGGCGGAGTGGAGGGGGACTGCGTCATCTTCAACTTCGGTGCGATCCGGACCGACGGAAATTGAATTTGCAAATCTTGCAAACAGCTTGCAGATGAAATGCGCGCAACTTCTCTCTGAGAACGTATGCTTGTTGCAACTTATCTACGTGTCGTCCATGCCGCGCCGATTCCGATCGAGTCATGTGTCTGTAGTATTACTGCTTCTCGCAAACCGAAGTTCAATTAGATTTTTTACCGCCTCCTGTGACCATGTTCATGAGTATATTAATTTGTACTTCGTAAATGTAATTCCACACTTCAGTCCTCAATTTGCGCAACGAGGCAGGGCACACTGCAGCTGCTCATGATCAGCGTAGCCATACATTTGATGACTTGCCAGGGCGAAGCAAACAACACGATAACGCTTTTTTGTCTGCATAGCGCGATCGCCTCCGTGACGAAGCAGTTTCAATCCCGGCGCCTCCAAAGGTCAGAGCGTTCCTTGAAGCTACGCTGGAACGGCCCTTCCAAGAGGTGGAAGACGAAGACCTGGAGCTCTGCAAATCAAAGCTTGAGGCATTTTTAGCGTCCACCGAGCTGCCAAGCAAGTTGTCTGAAGGTAGTTCTACGCAAGGAAGGCCAGGTGGACGTGGAGCAGGCGTTGGAGGTGGAGGTTATCTTCTGCGTCCTCACATGGGCGCAACGACGCCGACGTCACCCGTACGCGTACCCGAAAACTTTTACAATGATAACGAGGATGGCTCTGGAAAAGGAAAAGTCCTTCTCGCTGCCCGGTATAACTTTAACTAGTTCAAAATCAAAATGAAGTCATGACACAACTGCAGGTCGAGATATAACAAGTACAAGTAGTAGAACTACTAGCATCAGCTGAATCTGTATCCAGAAAAAAACACCCATCCCCATCCATTTTGCTATTTTTTCAACAAACAAAAACAAGTTTTTTTTCAAAAAATTTTAAGGGTTTTCATCAATCGGCATCGGAAGCAATCACTTTAGTGCTGACATAGCTAAAGTGGCGTCATAGCTAAGAACTTTTGACATGAATTAAAGTAGCTAGGTCCATCGCAGGTCATCGCAGCAGGCGACGACTTCCAGATCCTGCAGAAGCCTCTTTTCGCCGCCGCGCATCGACTCTGGCCCCATCGCTTGGCCCATTTTGTAGTGGCCATATCGCCATGCCACCGCGTCGCCACATGGGATGAACGCGACGGACCTGGGATGGATTTTGACATGTGCTCTCCTTTCGGTTCGAGTGGATAATACAAATTCCGGACGGGGAGACTTTTGCTGTTCGGCAAGGCTGCCGAAGCAAAAACTTTTTTGATTTTGTTTTTTTCCAAAAAAATTTCGTTTTTGAAATTGACCTTGTTTTTGATGGATGATGTTTTTTCGCACGACGGTACCACAAATATTGGGTCGACCCATCCAGTCCATTTTCTTTTAGAAGTGGCTGGATGGGTCGAAGCAATATTTGTGGTACCGTCGTGCGAAAAAACATCATCCACAAATTCTAGTGTCATTTTGAAAATTGCAACAATTCCTACTTTTTTGTGGATGATGTTTTTTCGCACGACGGTACCACAAATATTGCCTCGACCCATCCAGCCATTTCTAAAAGAAAATGGACTGGATGGGTCGATCCAATATTTGTGGTACCGTCGTGCGAAAAAACATCATCCATCAAAAAAGTGAGCATTTTCAAAAACGTGGCATTTTTTTGCAAAAAAAAAAAATGTTTTTTTTTCGTGAGCTGGAACGCAAGATCTGCTCTGCAATTATCGATGATAATTGCGCAGCTGGTGCTGCTCCCGCTAATTCCAATGGTGCAGCCGCGGCGTTCTTGGCGGGTTGTCCTCTACCTCTGGGTATCTGTGCGTGACTGCGCCAAAAGTTCAAAACCTCCATGGGGCCAGAGGTGCCCAACGACGAGAACGGGCTTCGGCGAGTTGTATTTCTCGGTCGTGGTTCGGATCTCGGTTTCAGCTAGCTACCTCAAAATCACTTAGCGAAAGTATGTGCCACTGACGCCACTAGCTAGCTCCATCAATTAGTACTTCTCGCAAATGCCATGCAAAAAATATTTCGGAGTTTTTTATTTCTTTATTTATTTTTCATGATTTTTTTGCATTGAAAAAATGGCAAAATGGATGGGGATGGGTGTTTTTTTCTGGATAATCTGTACATTCTTTTAGCTTGATTTTCGACCTGCATCATTATAATGTAACATCTTTACCAGGGCGCTTGCCGTGGACGTAGATTTTCTCGAGGACGATTTTCCGGAAAATTGCGGGAACCAGATGCAGCACGCTGTGGAAATAAAGCACGACATCCAGCGACCTTTTTTGCGAACAAGACCAGATCAACATGTACCAGCCGAGGATCACGGCCACAGCGGGGGAGTGGGTCGCGCCAAGGAGAAACCAGCGGAGGGGGCTCCATCCCAGCGCATGCAGAAAAAGCTGGCGGCAAAGCAGCTCCTTCCCAGGACTCGCTCACTTCCCGACGCAGTGGGTGCAGAACACGACAGCATTGCTGGAGGAGGGCCACGAGGTCGAGTAAGGTATGGCAGCTCATATATAATAAAGCGAGTGATTTGATGATTTGTATAGGTGCAGTATATTACACGAAGTTCATGATTGTGGTGGACAAAATTTGGAATTTGAGCTGCAGGCTTTCGTGGCCATTTTCATTTTCAACAAAAACGTGAAGAACTGCAAGAAAAAGAAACACGAAAAAGAAATCAAAAAATCTTATGTTCGTATATCAAACAGTTCCGCGAGCAGCTCTGTTTATTCCCTGGCGTCTTCTTCGCTGCCACACGAAAGACAACACCTGCAGACCTGTCCAGCTACACCTTCCCCAGAGGGGGCACGCGAATTTTTCCAAACGCATGGGGGTCCTCCAGCTTCAAGAACTGCAACGCCCTCCGACGAGCGTGTCATCTTGAACTCCCCGCCTGGAACGGGAACTGATGCAGGAGCAGCAGGACCGCGTGCTCCTGCTGTGCAGCACTCCATCGATTTAGAGATTCAATTGCTGCAACAACGCCTCACTGAGCTGCACCTGCAGAAACTGCAGCAAGCGCCAATGGGTCAAGATTGTACTTCGTCTCCGACGGCGCAGAATGACCCAATGGGGGCGGGGGGTACTTGTTTGTCGCGTAGTGCGACGAGTGCCTCGGGGTTGCGAAGGAGATTCTCCTCGGAGCCTGTGCTGGGGCAGTCGAAGAACTACGCCAGCAACCCACCGGGTTCCTCTTCATCTCCAGAAGGAAGTTTGATGAGCAGCGTCGCCCCGGTGCAGCTCCTGCAGCGCTCGGCTTCTTTCTCTTTTCCCCCGGGTTTGGGAGGGTTCTTATGTTCGGAAGGAGACCGCGACGCTCAACATGGTCATGGAGATCGGGGCATCAAAGGCCGGTTTCACAGCGGAGCAGATGATCTACTAGATCAGCAACATGATATGGCGCATCGCAATCCAGCAAGAGATGGCATGCACTCAGCTCCACCAGGACTGGCCCAGCACGAGCATTTTTCAGCACCACCAGGATCCTCCGCGACACCGACGGGGAGTCCGGTTTTTTCAGCTGGAGTTGACGATGCCGCCTTGGCAGCAAGAATAAAGCGTAATCCCAATTTGAGGGCGTGGCACGATCGCGCAGCCTTTCACACAGCGCCTGCCTGTCCGTCGAGACGCAGTGAATCCGTTTCGTCGACGCAAAGCAGACGGTCAGTGACAAGCACAGTAAGCCAGTTGATCGCTCCAGGAGCAGGTCAAGGTCGTCATATGGTAGAATCGCAACCTCTGCGAGTGCAGCTGCAGTGCGGAGCAGCATTAGACTCCGCACACGTGGAGCAGCACAAGAACGCTGCAATACAGCTGCCCATGATGGGCAGAGCAACATCAAGTGCACCTCCGGGTCTCGTCTCGCCTCCTGGTCTTGTCTCGTCCCCATCACCAAGCCGTTCTTCGTCTCGAGGAGCTCTTTCGAACGCATCCGCACCCGCCGTACAACAGCTGCAGCCGCAACACCTGACTGCGCAGCTACTCCGGTCGTGGGGAAGCGCGAGCTCCATGTCGAGCTTGATGAAGGCAGGACTGCCCCCAGCGGCCACGAGCTCCAGGTCAATGAAACGCGGTGCGCACGGCGGGTCCTCCTATCCTGCTAGTCCGTGTAGCCTCTCGGCCTTCGGCAGTATGAACTCCATGGTCGACTTTGCTGTGGACGAAGACAAGCCTTGCGACTTTCCCTACGCTCCCACGCCCGAGAGCGTGCTCTGCGGGTGGTCCCCCCGAAGCGCCGCCAGCGGCGGGGGCGGGGCGGCGAGGACCAGCAGCGGAGGTGGTGGCACAACAACAACTGCTGTCGGATTCGGAATGGGGCCGCCGGGCGGCAGTAGAGCTGCGCCTGCCGGGCCGTCGTCGGGGTGGAGCTTTTGTGGTGCGTCCCACGACGACCAGATGCTTGCCGGATTAAACACGACCGGAAAAGAACCAGGAGGCGACGGAGGTGGTTCTTCTTCTTTCGGGCAGCAGCCGGCGCAATATCAAGACAGTGGTCAAGACACCTACGTAGTTCAGGATCATTTCATGACCTGGGACGATCTGGAGAACGACTTGTTTCCCGGGCCTGACGGCTCCGTGACGGTACAGAATGTTGCTGGTGCAGCTCCTCCTACTACTTCGTGCTCGTCCTGTAGTAGAGCGGGGATGAGCCAATCGCCCGCTTCTCCAAATGGTGGTGGCGCGCTTCCTAGTACTGCACACCCACAAGGTCTAATTTCCCCGATGTTGATCCAGGGACCCACGCCTCCGCGACATGAAGTAGAAGTTGTGCAGAACCGCGCGGCGGGAGCTTTTCATCCTGAGCAGGTGCCAGCAATGGCTGCAGCAGAGGGGTACAACTATAGTGGTCAACATCAATTTCACTATGCTCCTTTTGTTCCGGAAAATCAACAACAAGGGGGACAACATTTTGCTCCTTTGCAGGAGCCGCAGCTAATCCAGTCGCCCGGCAGCTCCTTCAATTACACGACAGCTCTCCAGCCGCCGCCAGGCTTAGCTGCACTGGGTCCAAATGAAAATAATGCAGGGTGCAACTGCTGGATCTGATTCTTGTCCTGGGCGCCGGGGGCCGGCTCCTACGACCAAGGGGAATGGCAACGCAACGGCGACCACTGCGCGACAGCAAAGAAGAACCTCTGGGTCCTCCTGCGAGGACACGACCGGTGCAGCTGGGGCGCACAAGAATCGTCCCAGCCGCGCCAGTGGTGCTGGAAGCGATGAGCGCCCCGGAGCTGCACCAGAAGATCAGCATGATTTTCAACAATCGCCAGACGAACTAGCCAAGCCACACATCTTCTGCTGGAACGCGTTGCGGATGCCCTACTACTCGCTCCGGGGGTACAGACACGAAGTCGGCGAAAGCGTGTGGTCGGTGCGTGGTAGTGCTCTGCGTAGTTTCTCCAGCCGCGCCCCGCGAGGAGGATCATCAGGGCTCATCAACAAAACTACAAAGACAAAAACTACTACTACGATCCATCGTTCTCATAGTTTCGCGGCCCACGAACACGATGCTGGTAGAAGGAAAAGTTGGCAGCTCTCTACCTCGCACGCTTCGACGGTACAACAGCCGCACTCGCAGTCGCGCCCGCAAAGTCGAATCGCGGACTGGAACTGCCGTCCTCATCTCGGGGCTCAAGGTCATTCCAGTTCTACTGCAGCGCCGCCACCGCCAATGTCATCTTCAATTTCCGCTTCTGGTCTCGGTGCTGGCACCGCGGCTCGAGGGTCACATCATCAAGATCAGGCTCAGCATGTTGACACACCCCTCCTGCAACAACGTGGGGACAGCGACCCTGCTGTGCTCCTGAATGCCGACGCAACTGCAGTGGATGCTGACTCGGCTCATCATCAGGGATATTCTGACACGGGTCGTGTTTCCCTCGAACAATTATCGGATGCTGGCGTACATCATTCACAATCGGTCCCGGGGGTTGAAGCACAAGGGCGTCACATTTTGACCGATGAAAGTGAAGAAAGTAGAGATCCGGAAGAAGATGATCTGCATAAGAGCGATGATGAGTACCAGCTGCAAGAGGGAGAGACTCTTCAACCAGCAGATGAAAGATCACCCCGACGACGAGGCGGTCGTGGTGGTGGCACGACAAACAGCACAGCTTCGAAAAAAAGTCGTCGGGGAGTGCGCGGAAAAAGACGCGGGCAGCCGGGACGAGGCGCGGCACAACAGGATGAAAACTACGAACAGGAAGTACCCGACGCAACTCGAGATCCGCGCTTTGTGGATTGAGAAGTGGTGCACCGAGACCGAACAAAACGAGTGTTGAGGTTTGTGCTCTATTGGATCTTATTCAGAGCACCTTTTGCTTCAAAATACTAAAATGTAAATGTTTTTGTAGGCATCACCAAAGACGAAAATGATATATGAATCCGGTACATTATTACTAAAACACAACGACGCAAACATAGCACGACGGTATTCGTATTGAAGATTTTCATTTTCCAGCTCGACCTGTGCAGCTCTAAACTTTTGAAACATCGAGATTATGAGGCTATCCTTACTATCGGCATTGACAGGAGACGACTACTAGTTCTTGGGAATGATTGATTTTCATTTCCTGCACGCATTGTTATAGTACACCCACACCATCGCACTGCGGACCTCGAGGCTCGACTCCGATACCTTGTTACCGATAACTTCACCGTCGTCACCACGACCGAAGGAACACTTGTCCAGAAGACAATACACACTTTTATGCGATGTTCTGCTTTTGACTAGTAAAGTACAGCAAGCCAATTTATTTTATTTGTCGGTGCACCTGCGGCGCACGTTCACATTCACAGCCATGAGCATGAGTCATGTTTCTGCAGCTTTAGTGCCCGATATTACCGCTAGTTCCTTCTACCGCAGATATTCCTCTACTAACATCCACATCTATTCGTTTCAACCTTGTGATTGTGTGAAGAACGTTAGATCAGCAGAAGAAGCATTTTATTCTCTTGAGACCGATAAAAAGGGATACAACACGAAATGAAGGACCATCGAGCAAACTGCAAGACGCACACGCATTCCTAAATATAGAGACAGACGCAGAAGTGCCGCGCATCTACTTATGACGTTCCTACGCCTTCAAATCGATTTTGCTTGGAAAGATTTAGTGACGACTACGCCCAAGCTAGTGAGTCCCGCTATTTGTCGTCCCTGTTAGGCTTGGTGGACACTCGGAACGTCTGATAGGAGCGGCAGGACGATGAAGCGATATTCTAAGTATCCCCGATGAAGCGCATGTAGCGTTGCCATTGCGCTTGCCTCGACAAGAAATGTAAATGCATGCGCTCCAGAGCGCAGAACTCCAACTCTATCTCTATGTTCCCGAGCGTCTTCGGCCTCCACATGTCTACCAGGATAGATTTTTTCCTGTTCTTTTTGTTTGTCGCCGCGAAGCGGCGGATTCACATCAACGAACAAGATTATATCGAGATCGACATATAACGATTATTGCTCGTTTTCTTGTTGAAACACCCGAGGGAAAGGAGTGAAACTACAAGCTTGATTTTTTTTGTCCTCTTGACCGGCGTCGCCCAATAATGTACAGAATTTTCGTCGTTGAGGGTGTGATATAGATTATGGCGCGACACAAAATAAGGCATTGACGAGACGGCTCGGTATCAAGCGGAAGTACATATCACGACCTAAATTGATTTTCTCTACTTTGGCTTGTTCGAGCAGGACCACCACACGGAATAACACTCATCAGAAAAGAACATAGAAATGGATGGACCCTAGTTCTGATCTCTTACTTGATTTTTTGCTTGCATTTACTTACTTTGCGTCCTCTCGGTGAACAAGTGCTTCATAGCAATTTTTACTCCGGGTCTTGTCGACAAGAATTTCCAGGCAAAGACCAAAACCGAAGAAAGATGCAGCAGCTTCAGGAACGCCGCCTCTCCTTCGGACGAGTTGTCACGAGGTGGATCTCCTCCGTGTGGTGTGGCTTCCTGGGCGTGTTCTTTTACTTTCACCTGCACCAACTCCCCGTTGCTAGTGCCATCGACTGCACTACGCTGAGCTCCTGTCAGCAGTGCTACAATGCGTCTTCCTGGTGCCACTGGTGCAGCGATACTGGGTTAGAGGAAAACGCGGACCGAAAGGCGAGAATGTTGGACATGATATCGGGAAGGAAAACGGCGAGACGAGGGGACGAAATGAACGTCGTATCAGACGAAATAGGCACTGCAGCTGCCACTCGGATTATACCTGGCCCGAAAGAACGATCCGGCCCAGGAGCAGGCGGGCAATGCAGAACGCGCGGGACCGGCTGTCTCTCTGGGGCTTCGTGCGGCGATGATCACACAAACAGCACCTGCGCAGCGTATAGATTGTTAACAACCATGAGGTGGCTCTTGACAAGAGTGATTCGACATCGTCCTTCATCGTGATTGGCCTTATTTTTTAAGTGTAGTTGTTGAAATATTGTGTGTGATTTAGTAGATTGAGACTTAGACTTACATCGTTTTTCTTCGTTCTACTTTGACCCTCTTCCGTTCTACAGCTACTTGTAATTAAGTAAGTAGAATGATTGACGCGACGACATCGCGACCACACAGGAGTTTATTTCTCGTCTGCAGCTATATACAACGAACATCTTCAACAGGCAACACGATTGTCAATCCTGTACGAACGTTTCCAGTCTGTGCCACTGGTGCGGTGATAGCTGCCACGTGCTCGGCAGCATGTACGGCTGCACGGTTGGCGTGTCCTGCATGGCGAACACGGAGTGCAAACGGAAACAACCGGAATACGTTATCCTGTGTAAAAACGTCCCCACCCCATAGTCAAGATGGGGAATCTGCTAGACAAATCGGCCAGCTTTGGTTGCTGTGCATGAGAAGCCTGGCCTCGTAGTGTAATCCTCTTCAGCTTGTTCAGCAGCATCACAGACCTAGTGCGTATATGGTGACTCGAGCATCACAAATTCCGAAACGCGGCTAGTGATTGCTTCATCTCATGGGGATCCGCATGGGAAACATTTTGAGCATGCTCATGCAGATTTGCATGACAACTATGTTGTAAGTTGTATGCGGCCCCCGGGACGTTTTTACATAGGATATACGTCGGGTTCGGTTCGGCGCCCGATTTCGTTTACTTCCTCACGTTCGGCATCCTCCTCCTTTTTGCCTTGATGGCGTTGTGTACGCAGTGCATCTGCTACCGGGTCTACAAATCCGTGCAGCAGGCCCGGGAAGAGATCGAGCAGTCGTACGAGTTACAAAATCACGCCAGTACGGAGGAGGAGGAAAGTCTCAACTACGCGGAGGCCGCACGGCGCGCTGCGGAGAGAAGGCCGGCGCTGTGGGCAAGGATTGTGGACCGATTTGTCTCCGGCTGCTTCAAGAACTCATGTAGTGCGATATTATAGCACTTTTTAATTTATCAAGAACTTTTTTCGAGACAATTCATATCCTTATTCTGACTTTGTACGTAGCTCCTGCCCCCATGGGCGGCCTACTGTCTAGGCAAAAACAAAATTTGTAACGTGCAGTTTTTGTTTTGCGAGCGGCAAGTGAACAGGAGCGCGTCCACTCTCCCGAACAAAAATACGTTCATCTCTTCAACTCCAGGTTTCTGCTGCGCCCTCCTGTTCCCCGTTCTGTTCCTGACCGGCACAGTTTTCGTTCTCCACTACCCGCAAATGCCGATCATCAACTATTGCAGCAAGGAGCTCGAGTGGGGAAAGTTGATCGAGAATGTGGAAACGGTAATAACCGAGCAGGTGTACGCGGACTTCGAGTTTCTGCTTTCGGTCTACAACCCGAACAAAGTGGAGGTGACGATCGAGGAGATGAAGGGCTCACTCTACTACCCGCCCACGAGCAGCTCCTCGAACAACCTGATCGGGACGGTAAATTTGAAAAACTTCACCGCCTCCGCGGGCAGCGTCTCCGACGGCCTGGCGGTGGTGTCCCTGGCGGTGGAGCGGTGGAGCGCCCTCAACCTTGCCAAAGAGTACGCCCTGGGGAACCTGAAGATCCTGGCCAAGGGCGAGATCGTGTTCAGTTTGAAAATCTACGGCTTCCAGATGGTGCAAACCATGACGGCGGCAGTGCCCGACCAAGTAATCGACACGGCGGCGCCCTTAGACATGACGTACTGCAATTGCCGAGACGGACCGCCGCACCATCTTGTTCGCCCCCTGGTGCAGCAGCTTCCGATCAAGCAAATAACTACTGCGGTGGAGAACGATCGCATCGAAGTGACGACGTCGAAGGAAAGTGCAGCACAGAAGCCAGAGGCGGGGCAGCAGAAGAGTGACATGCAGCAGCCGAAAGAGCATGAGGACCAAAAGCTGCAAGTAGTGGACATGAAGAGGTCCGCGTCCTCACAGCGATATCACACACCGGCCGAAAGCACAGGCAGCAGTGACAAGAACGGCGAGGAAAAAAAGGGAGGCGATCCCTCAGGAGCAACCGCAAGGCCACAGCCACCCGCAGTTGATGTTGGCTCCTCTACAAGTACCAGTAGCGCAGCTAAAGCTATTAAAAATGGGGACAGCGACAATCACAATGCAGCTGAAGATGATGTGCACTATGCGTAAGGAGAAACGCAGTCACTACTCGTCTATGATATGGATCTCAATCACGAGTCGTACGTGTATCAAAAATAAAAAATCGAAACATGACTCCACTCGTAAATCTAATGACCACCCCCTCTGGAAAAAAGCCAACATCAAGGAACAAGTGAGCTTCGTTTGCTTCCTACACATCATGGCATTCAGGTCCGAAAAGAACAAAAACCCGATGCAATCTCAGTACAAGCAACACGCCTGGCAGCCTTCATTTTTCGAAAGCTTGTCCTATACGATTTTTTTTGCCGCTGGAAAAGGGCAACGCTATAAATTCAGAAAAAACAAGTAAAGGTAAGCCTCAAAGACTCGCCGGCTTGTCGCGGTGCTCAACAGCTGCTAAAAGTCTCAGGTTATTCACTGGTGAGACTGTTGTTCGCTGGTTTTTCAGGGAAGTGCAACTGTCAAACAATGGCGCGTCGTCTACTCCTCGTGACCTCTTATTCTCTGTAGAGGACAGACAAGCACTACACCTGGTTCCTTATTCTTCGTGTTTTCCTTCGGTGAGCAAGAACATGCTTATTTTTTTTCCTGCAGATGTATATGTAAAGATAAAGCAGTTGCAGTTTGTTCATGTTTGATGAGAAATTGGTCCTCGGGAGGGGTCTATCCATGCATCGTCTTTTCAAACACAGATTAGGTTGTATTTCCTGCAGTAGATGAAAGCGAAAGGTAAAATCGCGAGGTCTCGGTTTCTTGCTGAAAAAACAGATGCAGATGCAAAGAGGATCAAGAACAGAACATGTACATCAACATTTTTTGATACAACCCGCTGGCTCGTCGGTCGTCTATAGAGACAGTCTAGTAACGACCACTGGTGAACTTGCAGACGATACGGTAGGGAAAACTGTCCCCACTACCCCGGTTTTCCCCAAAGACAGTTTTTTTCTTTCGATCCAATTGTAAGCAGGGCGGGCCCTTCGCAAGCGACCTGCGCCGCGAATGGCCAGACCGAAGCCCGCTCCCCCAGGTGTGTTGCTGGACTCAAAGACACTGCACGCCTTGCCCGGCTTTTTGGGGCGCAAGCAGCTCGGGGCCCGCGAGGCAGCGCCCTGGGCAAGGCGCCCATGCCAGACCCGCCCCCCGGCCACCTAAGGCTGAACGCAATGCCCCTTGCCGCGGACCTGTCTTCTCCGCTTGAGGCTGGCCGGCACCGTTTCCCTGAGTGCATGTTCGGACACGCTGGCGAGAAAAAAAACGTATGCTGGGGATTTCGGCCCTAAGCAGCTATCTACGCACTTTCGGCCACCAAAACGAGCACCAGAAACCTCCCGAAAAGGTACGCATGCACGACCCCCAGGGAAACGGTGAGGCCGGAGCCTCAGAAGTTGGGCGCGGCCAGTGTGGCGGGGCCGCGTTGCAGTAGCCCACGCGCGGATGGGGCCGAAGTAGCTACACACATCCACAAAGCTTGCTGCCCCGTCAGCTCATGCGCCGACTTTTGCGCGCCGCTGTCCCGCTTGCTCCATTGCATACGTAACAGCCTCAGAAAGTATCCGTGAAGAAGATCCACTAGCGGACACTATCCGGGCGGGCTGCGCGGCCGGTGGCCGTGTTGTTGCATCAGTTCATAAAAAAATTTTTGATTTGGGGAAAACCGGGGTAGTGGGGACAGTTTTCTCTAACGTAGACGAGAAGGAGAACATGATCAGACTTTATCTTTTTGGTATCTATTTCGTAAATATACTTCTCCTTTTTTTTGGATCTCCACTTCGCTGGCCGCACTGCTGGCAAGAAGATAATTAGTGCGACTCGTTACTCCCTCCAGCGAGCAGCTGCGACGACTTTTTTGAAGGTAGAAGATTCAGATTCATTCGGTCTGGACCTGAACCAAAGAAACCTCGAACGTACGCGAACAAGGTGGACTCCCCCTGTAATGTACTAGTATCAATCCGCTACCCATTATACGCCAAGCCCAAGAAAGCTATACTTCACGACCCTACCACGTACCTAGATTGAACAAGCTCCGTCCTTTCTTTGTCCCAAAAAGTTGCGCACGGTCTCTTTCAAAATGAGTATAAACCTTCAATAAGCTAAGTGCATGCTTCGAAACTTGTTTTCATCCAAAGTGCTGCTTTAGAACCTCGAAGTCGATTGTCGGTCCCGATTGCACTTAGTATCAAGTCTTCCTTACCTGTAGCAAAACAAGTAGCAGTATTTAAACGACTTCCTCTGCGATCGCATTTATAAATCATGATAATTGCAGCTTTGCTGCGACACGGAGGCTCACACGATTCTGCACGTCGACGTCAAGAACAAGATACCTGCCTTTAAGTACCTCAAGTAGAGTGAGTCTAGTGCAAGCCGGGCCTAGTCGTCCACCACGACGACGTACTATGAGATTTTTCATCCAGAAGTCTCAAGTGCCAGACAGCTAGTGTGGAGGTGCCAGAGCCAAACGCGCCGCCAAAGCCAAGCACAATAAAGTGGAGTTGATGTCGGTGGAGGTGGGTTGACGATAATGATTCTCGCACAAACCAGCACTGGTTGCTGATGCGTTAGAAATACCGTCTAAAAAAGCCCTGGAGCCGCGGTGCCGTCCTACGCCTACGAGGGACCAGCTTTTAAGCCAGGATCAACGTAGGAGAAAATCAAAATGGAGGTTCTGCTCCACCACGTGTCTTACGCGGATGTTTACTTCCACCTCGAAAACGGGGAGACCAAGCAGACGCTGCGGCTGCGCGCCCACCGAGAGCGGCTGGAGCGGGTTTGCAAAAAGGTGTGTGCCTTTCTGGACCAGGATTTGGTCAACGAGAACGAGGGGGACGACATCCGGGCGAAGAACTGCACGACCAAACTATGGCGCGGGGACACGGGGGAGCAGGACAAGCAGCGGTCGCCAAAATCCATGGCCAGTCCACGCCCGGGGTTCGCGCAACATCGTGACTCGAAGAACAACGCGAGCAAAGACTCCAATCGAGTTTCCCCGACCAGCGAGCAAGGAGGAACATTAGCGGTCGTCGGCCTCGGCGGGGGTGGCGTAGACAATAACAACAGGCAGTTTTCGGCCGACAGCAGCGCAGACAGTAGCGCAGACGAACAGGAAGTTTTCCAGGATGTAGCACCTGAAGATGCTGCGGACCACGTCGAACAACAGAATGATCCCACGAGGCCGCCGTCCAGCTACCCCTCGGAACGGGAGAGCAGCACCCGGGAATTGGGCGCTTCTTTGGTGAGACCCTCGCTAGAGGATGTTGCGGGATGGAGCAGGAGCACTGGGAACAAGATGAACAATTCCAACCCGCCGGACGGGAGTGGCTCTACTTTGGGGTCCTTTCAGCTGGCCAGCCTACCGACCAGCCCGCTAGACGAGCAGGTACACTCCGGTGCGCCGGCGTCCTTCGTGCAGCGCTCTAGCAGTACCAGCACGCAAGTGCAGGTTGGGCAGGCGAATCCCGACAATACCAGCGATATCTGCATCGGGTTCGACCTGCAAGGTATGGACCAACCATTTTACAATCATGCCTCGACGCAGGACAGTATGACCATAAATTTAGATGGTGGAAATACTACGAATTCTAATGGCGCAGTTCTTACGTCGGCGTTGAGCGGTGCGGGTGTCACTTCTTCTCTCCCGCAACTGAGTAAAAACTCCGCATCATCTCCAACGCCCGCACCTGCTTGCGCTGCAACCAACATGCCAATGGCCGCCACAGCTTCTTCAACCACCACAAAAACTACCATTTCGCTGCAGCTTCTCGCTGAGGCCTTTTTTGACGGTGACGCGGAGCACGCGAAAAAGTTCAAGCTGAATGCCATTGTGTTCCCCGTTTTCGCCTTGGCCGTCGAATCCTGGCTGGAGTCCATCCTGGTTCGGCGGGGCGGGTGCGACTTTCTGAAGATCTACTTCCTTTCCGGCTCGCACCAACGAACAAAAAGGAGCGAAACCTTCACCACCGAGTCCGCGGCCCGGTGCCTGGTGCGGTTTGCGGAGCGCGTGCTGAAGACCCGGTTTTTCGCTGCGGCAACTCATTCGAACGCCAGCAGTGTCAGGAACTCCGCCCATTCAACAACGACAGAAAATACCAAGGTAGTGCCTCCGAAGTGGCTCCGGGATTCCACCAGCAGTCGTTTGGACGCGTTAAACATCTGTCTGCGCTGTATCAGAATGAAAAATCCCCCCTCCCCATATCAAAACGAAGTTTCTGATGCTGGATTTTCGTACACAAATCAGATTCGTCTTGCTGGCGAGGACTGCAGGCCCATACTAAGCCTGAGCAGACAGATTTTAGCCAAGGCGCTTTGCATGACAGACGTCTACGCTGTAGGTGCAACAGCATGACAAACTGCCTGTAGAGTGCGGCGGAGCTTGTGGAGTTGCTTTCATGCAACACAGAGATGATTTGTGGTCACAAATCAGCAGCGCAAATTTTCGAAGGCGTGCCTTGTCGATATGGGGAGGGGGGATTTTTCCTTTTCATACGCTGCATTCACAGCGGCCCCGGGGTGTTTCTGTACGACGAGAATGTGCGGTTTATGAACAACGAGTGTCTACCCTATTTGGATTCGGATCGCCAGCAGTGCGTTCAGTACTTTCAGAAGCACTTCCCGCACAGGGACTGGGCACAGGTATAAAGGCCACGAATTTGATGGTCTTATCGAGTGTATTAACGTTGTAGCCATGTTTTTCGGAAGATTCACACCTTTTATTGATTTATATAATGACGAGACGAGCTCATTAACGATGTATGACCACCTGTGCTGGTCCTCGACTGGTGCCAAAGCCAAAAGTGACTCAATTACAACTCAGGAATTCGCTGTCTCCTTCATTCTCGCCGAGGGTGCGCCCGCCCGCGTTTCGGCGATCACGCAGTCCCTGCACCAGTTTCGGCCCAATTACGTGCATATCCTGCGCCCCAAATCCTACCGCGACGAGCCCTTCCTCCGCGCCGACGGGGTCCAAGCATTACCCTTTGACAAAGCCTCGGTCGCCCCTGCCATCCCCATCAATGGCCACTTTGTCAGTAGTTTGAATTTGTTTTTCCAGCAAGGAGCTGGAACATCAGGCAACATGGTGATGAGCCCAGGAGGCGGAATGCACAACCGGAGCCTGCTGCAGCAGCGGGAGCGCACCTACACGGGCGTGGCCGAGCTGGACAACCGCATCAGGCTCGTTTTGAAGGAGATGCTGGCCCACAAGAAGGCGGTGGAGCAGCTAGGATCCTCCAGGGACGCGGAGCTAGCCGGGTTTTGGCTTCGGAAGACGCGGAAGCCGGTTTTGTGCGTGTTGATGGTGGAGAAGGAGGAGGAGGTGCAAGTGGTCAACAGTTCCCAGCAGAAACTCGCGAAGGTCCGCAAGTTTTACCGCGGCCTGAACCTCGAGGTCAGCATGCCGACCGGGTCGCTGTGTGCGGAGCGGAATTGCATCGGCCAGGCCGTCGCCGCGGATCCGACCTTGCGGCGGGAGCACATAAAACTCGTCGCGGTCCTCTCGCTGCCGCAAATTGGCAGTGGGGCGTCCTCGAGCAGTGCGGCGAATGTGAACAAGATGAGCAATCCTCATTTTGCAGGAGCTGCGACTACATCGATACTGAGTGACGCGCTTTTGTCGCCCACTTTTCAACCGATGAACAGCGGTGGAGTAAGTGGGGCGATGAATGGATATGGTATTCCTGGAATGCAAGCCTTGTCCTCGGACACCACTGGGAACGCCGCGGCCAGTCGTGTGGTGGGTAGCTACAACAACCACGACAGTGAACTAGCAAAATTAGCGCCGGAAACGCCACCGCACCCACCTGCTCGCACACAGCACTCGTCACGAACGGCGACGCTGCTGAGTTCGGAAAACGAGACTGATGTGCAGTTGCGAGGACTGGACACAACTTCTGCAGAAGAGGAGCAGGACGAGCAGGGGGAAGCAAAAGTAAAAATAGCACCACTTGCTGCACCAACAAACGACACGGCGACTGCAACGGCTGGCACAAGAACAATAGAAAACACCCAACTGCTCGAGCAGGCGAAGGGTCTTATCGAGAAGCAGAACGAAACATCGTCGAGGCTAGTAACCATGAAGCCACCTCCCGGTGGAGATCATGGAGGGCCACCGTCTTATGCTGCTCCGGTGAAACTTGCTGAAACTTCTACCCCAGCTGGTGGTGCACATCTTCAGGAGCAAACAGCAACAACACTCCAAATGTCCACGTCCATATTGTCGACTTCCTCAACGACCTCAAACAATAAAAGCCCTCAACTACGAGGACTAGATCAGAACGATTCCTCGCAGACGCAGTCGCCACGACAGATGGAACAAGCACAACAGCACCATGTAGTACAACTTCCGCAGCAACACCTCGTCCCCTCGCACCTTGTGCTCCATCCCGAACTAGAAGATCTTGGTCGGGTAGGAGATGTTGGAGTAGGCACTTTTGGTGGCTCAAGTGGCCAAAACAACAGGGCCGCGGAGGATCTCGGCTCGGTGCCGGTCGAAGACCTCGACTCGCCGATGTCAAACAGCTACTCCACCTCGGTGAACCTGAATGGAGGCGGTTTTAGTATTCATCCAGAAGATAACCACTACAACACGACGCCGCATCAACTACCACTACAGGAACAGGGGGTTTTGTCGCCGGTATCTGCCGCAGCCACAGGAGCTTCGGCAAATTTCATGATGATGAATACCACGGTACTAAATAAAATTGGTGCCACGAGTACAACGCCATTGAGTGGCGGGCCACCGACGTCATCAATAAATCAACCGACAAGCACAACAAGTCGGTACCGTATGAGCAGCGCTAACATGATGTCGCCATCGCAGCTGCAGTCCAGTACCTTTCTTCTCGACGACGTTGACGAGACGAAGCAAACCAGTGCTGGTGCAACCACGAGCACCTTCACGCCAGGTCCGCGCTCCTCGGCGGGGCAGGCCAGCCTGCAGGACTCCGCAGTAGAACAAATGGCGCCGTCTGCTGGTGGCGTCACCTCCTCGTCATCCAAGCTCGTGCCCGCTCGCAGCTCCTTTGCCTCCACCTCCACAACGAGTCGCGGTGGGTATAATTCCGCCGCGTCTCCATCGCTCTGGGGAAGTGGGGCAAACCAACCCTGCAACCACCGCAAAATGTCCGGCGACCTCAACCCCATAAACCCGTGTGGTGCCTGCATGGAGTGGCTCCGGAAAATCTCGGAGAAAGAGCCCAGTTTTCGCGTGATTACCTTTGACAGCTACGAATGCGAAGCCATCTACGTGAAACGGATCGATCAGCTTTCGTAGAAGACAAGAGCTCGAAGACGAGCAGGAATGGCGCCCTGCCTCGTTCTACTGCTCTTGTCGACGAGGTACTACGGTCCTAGAAAGCGTAAGAGATCAAAAAAACGCCAAGACCGGAAACGACAACAAGCAGCCTCTAGATATCACTCAGCTCACTGTTCATAGTAAAATTTAACACTTGTTTCTGATTTTTTGATTTTTTGAGTTGGAAAATGAATTGATATACTATTTCAATGTACAACGACGGCGCAGCCGCATCTTCACATGGCGATGTCATAAATCAGTTTTTTAAGCATCAGGTCACGACACAAGAACGAGGAATCCTGCCGTGGTTGGAAAAAAAAGGTACCAGAAGACCATACAGTTGACTCCTTGTTCTCAGAAGTGTGATCCGTTTTATTGCTCCTTTTGGTTTTGCTGTAAATGTAAAATTGTTTGGATGTGGTGTTCTGGTCGTAAGTGGCTTTCTGTTGCGAGGTAACTCCCTACATCATGCGTTAGTTGAGATTCCCTACATCAAGCTGTCCTTACTCTTTACGTTTACCATGTGCGTGTTGTTAGGTTGCCATCCGGCTACAACAAAGTCGTCCTCTTCCCTCGGTCAGTTTTTTCTTTTTTTTGTTTTCCATCAGCGTATATATCGTTTTGCGCACATATCGCCAACAATGTGGGAGCTATAATTCATTCGCTCACTCCCCCACCCATTCTTTGATGTGTATCCGGTGGCTTTCAGTTTCAGTCGTTGTCTTCTTCGTGGGAGCTATAATTCAATATCGATGGAAAAAAGTAGGCGCTTTTAAATCAATGCGAAACGACTATTACGACGCGAACGGCCGCAACCTGCAACGGGTTAAAGAGTCAGGAGCGTTTAGATTTAAACTCATGCTGAAAATAATTGCGACCTGCAGCAGGAGTCAGTCTTTTTAAAATATAGATAGATCATTTTGTTGTTGTTTATTATAGTTTTCAGCTTTAGTGCAATTCTATAGTCTACCAACTGAGAAACCAACCGTCTGGGCCGGAGCCCCTGTCTCTAAAGAAACAAAGACTCTCACTCGCAGCTTGCTCGTAAGATTTAATTTTCATAAGAAGAAACGACTACACTAGAAAAAATATCAGCTACGGTCGAAACTTGAAATAGCGCATGACAAACTCACTCGGATCAAAGTTAAAGGGTGAGAGCGTACCCTTCCTCCGCCGTAGTGTCCAGGATCAGCGTGAGGAACGACATCATGACGAACGTCGCGGCGCAAACACCGTGCTTGCTGACCAACGAAAAGATCGTCTTCAGGGAGAACGTATCCTGTGCAAAAGTATCGCACTCGTAGTAATCCTCGCAATTATGCATTACAGATTTTCTTCTTAACCTAAAGCCGCATTACAAATTCTATTTTTCATGCTGAGCAGGAAATTTGTCATGCGATTTCCACTAAGTAGTTGTGCGATGCTTCTGCATTTCATAGAAGGCATCCAGTTGGATGCTCGTCTTCGCGGCCTGATAGGCGATTCGTTTTGCGCATATCAGTCAGTTGTCAGTCGGTGCGTCTATGCATATTTCTATCAGACCAAGGAGGACAGCTTGATGTAGTGACTCTTCGGTTGCAGAGGTGCCGGATATTTCCATTCTCGATGGCGTCGTCCATCCTCTGTCGCAGCACTGGTTCAAAGTCTTGAATGACGATTTCACTGCAGACGAGGTTGCCGCCGCTGTTCGCAACAGGAAGAATAGCGGCCAAACTGACGACTTTGATCAACTGATGCATTTGTACAAGGCGCTGGAGATGATCAACTGATGCATTTTTTTTTTTTTTGACTTTGATCAACTGCTGCCCCAGGTGCAGTTGTAGAGAGTGGACTCCATCTTGTGCTCCAGCATGAAGCTGTTTGTCCTGGCCGGTCCCGTGCGAGTAACTCGTTTCTTTGTGGTGGGCTCGAGGACGGAGATGCGATTCGATCGGAGATCTACGGCCAAGTTGCTGCCTTGAAGGCCATTCCCGATCGCCCAGTCACGCGCGACTTCTCTGAAGCAGTGCGAAGCGCGAAGCCTAAGCCGAAGCTCTGTGCTGACGCGAAGGGGCGGCAGGAGAAGACCAGAGGACCAGATGATCTGAACCTCGCCGCAGTTAAGGGGGTCACCTGGTGGAAAACCGGGTCGGGGGCTACAAGCAAGTTTGGTGGCTGTTTTCGTGTTCAGGTCATTGTGCGAAACAGCGCAGGAGATAAAGTCCCTGTTTCTCGCACGGTCTTTGTTGAGGAGCACAGCGACGACATCGACCAAGCTTTTGCCGCTGCAGTTGCTCTCCGCGCCCGTATCAAAGCGGACCCCCGGACCTACCTTGCCAACCGCATTCAGAGGACCGCGAAGAAGAAAGATGCTGCTGGCGGCGCATCCGCACTACCGGTTATCAAAAGTTCGATCAAGTCCAACCGTGCTGGACCTAGTGCGCGACCGGGTTCTGTGTTTGCTGTGCGGAGGTTTTGGAAGCCGTGATATTCTCTGCGCGGACACGGTTGTCAGAGCCGGCGGTTATTGGGATACAGGGGTCTGAGCATCGACCACGTGGGGCGGGACAAAAAAAATGGAGTTCTGTGGATGTAGATACTTTTCTCCTCCACCAATGTGCGAATGCTCCTGCGGCTATGATGCATTTTGAGTCTCGCCTTTTGTCCTGCTGTGTATCGTCTATGTGAGGATCTAAAATTCAACAAATTGACTCTACAACTTTCAGGCTATCTTGTCCAGGAGGCTACCAGGAGCTGTTGCTCCATTTTTCTGGATCTTTGTTAGACCGTACGTAACGCCTGGCTCGCATGCTATGATGGATTTTTTAACTTGAAGAGGGTATGAAATTTGTCTCAGAACTGCCATTTTTCTGCTACTTTAACAGCTCGCCTTGTCCCCACCTAAACGTAGATTCTTGATTTGAATTATTTTACTTGCTAGTCGAAGTGCTTTTAAGTTTAACTTACTTTGTTTACAGTTGCTTCATGAGATCTTTTTTCCTAGGTTTACTACAGGTACTTTGGTTCTTAGCGCGTATAGTTATTGTTATGCCTGCTCTACAGTTTAGTTCTAACCGGTAGGTTTTTTTTTTGCTATTTATTAAGCTTTTTCCCTTCTTTTCCATTGCCATTGCTATCTCGCCACTGCCATTGCTGACTTCGCGGCCATACCTTCGCAGGTGGTTCGCAGGTGGTTCGCACATGCATTCGACCAAGGAGGACAGCTTGATGTAGTGACTCTTGGCACAAACGCGCATGGCCTTACAGGATCAGCATGGTTAGGCTGAGAGCTCTCGCCTTCTGTCTTTCGATGCGGACGCACCGCATTAGCGTCCCTCCATTCAGCAAGCAACACGAGCAGCAGTCCGGCCTCTTCCGGGGCTACGTGCAACAACCAAAAGCGACATATGTCCGAAAATATATCTGGGGACGCTTCTGGCGGGTGGCAGCTCTGGGGATATCCGCGTCGCTGCCGCTGCTACCGAGCTGCCGAAGGTGACAAGGGTGACCCTGGACGAGCATTGTTGCGCCTTCAAGTGGCGGCAGTGCGTGAACTGCTGCAAAAAGGAACGCGACGCCAGGAGCGTTCGCGAAGCAGACGCGCCGGAGGAGACCCCGCCCCCCTTAGCGGAGGTTCTGCGGAAGGAAAAAAAAGTCGTATAAGCAGACCTAGAAGACATATTTGCAGCGCATAATCAGACAGTAACGATTTTCGTCTCCTGCTGCAAACGCTACAGCACAAGCGGGGACTGACTCTGGAGCAGGCTTTGGACGCAGTAACGTCGGCAATGATAAGCCGCCACGTCGAACGGGTCCGAATAGAAGCATCACGGCAGTGGACGAGATATCTGACCTTTCTGGCGAAGGCGAAGACGTTTTATCACCCCGCTGGACTCTTCGGAGACCGGGCCTGGCCCGAAGTAGAGCGGTCCCGTTTCTCACCTATTCTCGATGTGATTGGTCCCGTTTACACTCACCTATTTTACGTCCCCTCTACAATCACACTTCCTATTTTGATTACAAGCCAAAGAAGCTTGCTACGTACACTTAGTTTTTTCGCTGCAGTATATGCATTGCAAATATGTCGGGGCCAGGGAATTTCTGATGCTAGTTTATGTATTCTCGGCGGCGAGGACACGGCAATAGGCAGCCACGCGCGGCGAGCTTCTGGGCTCCTTGTCCTCTGTGATCGTGTTTCGCTTTCTGCGTGATAAATTACTTACATTCTTGTGCGACAGGCAGGAGGCTCTCTCCTGCTCACGCACTACAGGCTCAGGAGCCACGCGTGACAAGCATGACAAACTTCGAGACCCAGACATATTTGCATTGGATAGCTTATTCTCACGAAGAAAGCGAGAGCACCCATAGATAGTCAAGGTTTTTTTCAAGCACGTGACGCGCAGATCTATACTCCTCAGCACCACACCACTATAGCTGAGTCCCCGTAGATACAGCGTTGATCAAGTTGTATTGCAATAACAGTTCCAATGATCAGCGCCCACGGGCTGGCCTCGCCGGCAGTGAGGTGGATAGATCCGCTTTTTACTTTTTCTATGTTTTTTCGACTTTTTCAATGATTTTCGCGCTTTTTAGTGAAAAAGTCGCGCTTCAGCGAGCGACTCAAGTAGAATTATTATAAAACTACTGATATTACTTTTATTCTATTTTCTTCTCTTTATTTTCTCCTTTTCTCTGTTTTTTTTTACTTTTTCTGTAGAATATTGTTATGTAGGTCAGTTTACCACAGCCGCTTGATGCTTTAAATACGTTGACAAAGTGAAAACTTACATTTGATTTTGCATGGCTAACCACATTCCAGTGACGCAAGACTATTCTAGTCTGGCTCACATGGGGAACAAAGATGGTGGGGCACGCGCGCGCGTCGGTTCGTTCTTTCGGATTCGCAAAATGGCATGAGAGCGAGATAGAAGAAAATCGCGCTCGTTTTTTCAAATTAATGTGTAGCAGCAAAAAAAAAAATTGTCGCGCACGCGAAGCCGTCGCGCAGCCGTCCGGGCCGCTCGGCCGCCCCCGCGCCGGGGCGCAGGGCGGTGCCGCTCGCGCCCCTGGAAGCCTTCCGCTCCACCGAGCGCACCGTGGCGCCGCGAACGCAGCGAAGAGGCGCGAGCGGCCCGGGCGGTCCGAGCGGCGCAGCCGCCCGGGCCGCTCGCTGCGCCGCTCGAGCCCGTCCCGCTCCCGGCAGCGGCCCGGAGCGCCGGCAAGGGCCCGAGCGGCCGGAAGCGCCCCGAGCGGCGCGGGCGGCGCCAGGCCGGAATTCCGACCGGCGCGAGCGGTCGTGGGCGCGCGGCGGCCGGAAGTCTCGGGGCCTGGCCGCTGGTGGTCCAGGTGTTCGGGCCACATGGTAGGGGCCCCAGGCTAAGAGTGCAGTCGCATTTTCGAAAAAAGTGCGGATTTCTCGGTGTTAAATTTGAAAAGCGGCAAGACCCTGGCTCAGATCATGGCGGCGCGCTGTGCGGCCAACGTGGCGACCCCGGTCGGAGGCGCGGCGCTTTGGACGGATCCCATACATGACAAAAAATATTTAAAATCCTGAACACATTTAAAGACCCTAACGGTTGTGGTAGAACTGACCTACTTGAATATTGACTTTTTCAATAATTCTTGAGTTTTTCTCTGTTTTTCTTGTGTTCGATGATTCTCACCTCTAACCCTGCTCGACCAAGGAGGACAGCTTGATGTAGTGACTCTTGTAAGCTTGCGCAGGCCACTAGCAAAGATCCTGTCCCGGAGGGCCGCCGATTTTTTCTATTTTTTTTTCAAATTTTAAATTTTTTTGCATCCACTTCCTGAACGTGGTGCTCGACTTTGTTGCTCTGGGAAACGACGCTACGCCTTTTTGCTGCAGTCGGATGACGGGGACGGCCTCGAACTATAGAGCTTGGGCGTGTCCGCCACACAGAAGGTCCACAGCAGTCCTCAAGCTGGTATGAAAAAGCGCAAAGCTTTATCAGTGTTCGCCCCCGTGCCGCGACGAATTGGCAGACTTTTTCGTCGCCTGTGTAGTGACGCTCTGGCACTACTCCGCCGCATTCGTTAAAAGCGCATGCCGAGCTTGGCTCTCGAGCGTTTGCGACGTCCCGCCCTGTGGGGGCCACGAGAAAATGCCGGCCTTTTGTCTTTGCTCTGCGCTATCTCGTAGCGCGCAAATCCTTTTTGCTCTTAGTGTTTCCTTTTCGAGGCGCCTGCGCCGGGCCTTCCGGGAAGATGATTCTTCAGGGGCGGGATGTTGCGAGCAAAGCCACCCTCCCTGCCGCGGGGGCCGGGGAGTTGTTCCAAGACGAAAAAAATGAAGCCCACCGAAGGACGGGGGGCGGCACCAGTCCAGGCGCGTTGGGCTCTTCAAAGATTGAAACTTCGAGGATCTGAGGGGGGAAATGCTATCGAGCTCGGCACCTCTAGGCCTTTGCGCCTTATAATAAATAGACACGGCCCCACGGCGCGCGTGTCCTTGCGTTTTCGCTCTTTTGCCCGATGTCGATATTTCTAACCCGCAACGCACCGCCGGGGCCTGATCCGGGAAGCATGAACGAACAAAGATCCCGCGATGGCCGATCTCTGCTCATGGGCATAACCCAAGTAGCCAAGAGGGCGGGCGCGAAGGAGGGGGCGAGGGCTTTGGGACGCGGCCATAGCCATGGCGAGAAACGAAAGAAGGGGCTGCCTCGCAGGCGGTGAGATGTTGAGCGTGCGATAGTGCCTCCAGCCCCGACTCGCTGGCTTAGAATTTGTCTCTGGAAAATCCGTGCACGCCGCCAAGCGGCAGGAGCCATCTCCACAGGAAGGGCCATCTCCACAGGAAGGACCAAGGAGGACAGCTTGATGTAGTGACTCTTGGCACGAAGTTGTTACAAACGGCGACGCACGTTACCGTCCTTGTGCGATAACGAGACCAGGACGAAACCAAAACGAAGCCAGGCGGACAGCTTTCACAAGCGCCCGCCTGTGTTGAAATTTGTGCCTGCGATAATGATCCTCCGAAAAGCTTCCCGGGCCCCCAGCCTTTGGGCGCCTGTTGCCTGTAAGCCGGGGCGCCCTTTATGTTGTGCGCCCGGTGGCCCCGGGCGCGTCGTGTTGTGCATGTGGATGATGTTGTGGCGCGGCGTGCCGCCGGGCTCAATTTTTGAGCCGCACGGCACCACAAACATGAAAAAGCGCTGGCCCTCGCAAGGCTTTGCATTTCTCGCATGCCCAGGGGGTGCCGCCTTCGTTTTGCCTGGCCGGTGCTGGCTTCCCTGGTGAGCCCCAGCGCCCCGCGCAATCATGCTTGCAGGGAAGCACCGAGTGGGAGTGCTTCAGGAAGGCGGGGCCCCCCCGGCCCCGCGTGGCTCATGCCGGGCTTCGGGTGGGCTTGCGCATGGGGTTGCGCGCCGCCGGGCGAAACGACGTCGCGGCCCCCTCTTCTAAAAAGGAAAAGCGGGAAGGCGGTGTGTCCCAGGCTGGCATGCAGCGCGCACGCCCCCCGCTTGTGTTGTGGTGCCGCGCGTGGGCGTGCTCCCTGAAAAACGAAACTGGCGAAAGTATGGCGGCCGCGAGAGAGACCAGCTGCCCGCTTGCTCACTTTAGGGCCCCCCCATTGCCCCTTGTCTTTACCCTCCTTCGGCCCCCCAGCCCGGGCCCCTCGGCGAAACTAGCAGCCCGGGCCAGGCCCTCCCGCTGTTTTGCCTTATGCAGGACACACCGCCGCGCGGCAGCAGGCGCCGGCCCGGCCGCCCGCGCGCCAGGGCGGGGCCGGGGGAATTTTTGTGGGCGGCCGGCTGTGAACGGCACGCCCGGACCCCATGGACCTGCGCGGCCTTGCTATGCTTGAATGTATGATTGCCGGCCGGCACCGCTTTGTTGGGCTGCTCGCGGCGGCCCCAGGTCCCGGCGGCCATCAGCAGCCGCCCCGGCCGAGGTGGACTGCTTGATGTAGTGACTCTTGGCACGAAGTTCAACATCAGATGTGGCTTTCTTGTTTTGTGCTCCTGGGAAAAACCGCAGTGCAAACTGATTGGTCAACAGGACGAAGAAGAAGCGCGTGTTGGTGTTCATCTTCATCGTATATCCCTGGTTTAACCGGACTGAGTCTGAGTGCCAGCCATAATTTGAAGGGAAACAAAGAGTCTCGCAAACAGACTTGCTTCTGCTCCTGGTTGAATGCTCGGAAGATTCGTCTGCGAGGAAGATCTTCTTGCACTACTGGTTGATGGAAGCTAGTAAAGGCGAATCCGCAACCGCAAACGAACCCTATGCTATCTTTTCCTGGACCGAGAGGTTGAAGTTCGTTGATACACGGTGCATGGCCGTAGAACTAGAAGTAGAAAAAGAAATAGTTTTTAGCGTCGGGGTCGGTTTCAGTATGAGTTTCACCATCATCTCTTTCCTTGCTCGATACAACTGAGAAAACCGTTTTTCTCAACAGGAGATCGGATTTCATTTATGTACAGTCGTCTTTCGGAAACAGAACGAAACAACCACGTATGCCGGTTCTATTCGTTGACGCGTCGTATATGTTTTCCTCCGAAGGAGGCAGTGTGGGAAAACAAGAAGAGGAACCAAACGCACGATTTCTCGGGTCATGTCCAGATTCCACTGTTCGCCCTTCACGCGGCCCCTTGTACGACGCAAAACTGCTCGAGAAAATTTGTCGTGGCTTCCTGCGAACAAAGGTATCAAGCTCGACCGCGCACCGGCGCAGCTCAGCAGCTGGAGCTGATTCATCTCGTGGCACAGCTGCTTTTTCATCTGGAAAAAACGAAATTGGTGCCGCGCCTTCGGGTAGCGCGCTTGAAGATGATGTTGAAGAAGATAGTAGAACTACAAATGAGAAAGTCCTGGCAGAACAGCGGCCGGACGAAAAGCTATTCCGCATTCCAGGCTCAAGTACAGCCGCAGCCATCCCGATTCCCGGTTTGATTTACGCCGACGATGACGTCGAGGAGGAACAAGGACAAGGAGTTCTGAAGCACGCTTCTGAGCAGCACCAGCATGCCTCCCCTTGTTCCTCGGCTCATGGTCCTCCTAGGATGGTTCACCTTCTCAGCGGAAATCGCTCGGCTAACCTTGCCTCGCCTGAGAAGATATCAGACCAACAGCAGCTCCGGCAACTTGCCGCCTCCGTGCCGAATATTCTCGGCGTGATTTTTTTGCTGGACGCAACAAACCGGAAAGAATTGCACAGAGCGCATGTACGAAATGTTGGAAATTTTCTAGGCGAGAAGTTGATGGTCCTGCTGTTTCCCGCTGGTGTGGCTGTTTGTGCAAGGATGTTGACTAGGTATGAATGTATCATCCTCGTCAAAGAACTGCCGCGAAGTCGCTCTTTGTGTTTTCCTTTGCTGGCCTCCTGGCCACTTTTCATCTTCGTTGAGGTGTGAGATGAAATGCTGTCGGTGCACAGAGCCAGCAGGCAGCGCGACAACGAACAGCACTAAGATCTCTCTCTTTCACTCCGCTTCACTGTGGGAATACTAACTAACTAACTTTGCGCCAGTGCGTGGTAAGCAGTTGCTCGCCACAGCTTGGATAATTTCTTAGCTTGCAATACGGGCTTTGTTCACCGAACTTTTTTCGACTCTGGAGCAGAAATTTCTCGCCCAAGTCGGCGGGGCCGCAGACGCTGAGGACGACGTGGGAGACCACGAGCAAGACGAGCACAAGCGTCGTGTCGGAGCACGACCAGCCTCAAGCAGTAGAGGAAAGGGTAACCGCGAGCAGAAGAATCTGAATGACTATGACAGCGGCGACAGCCTCGCTGCAGCGACAAGCGCCGACGCCGAGACATTTATGGCAGCTTTGCCATCAATGCCCTCCGCAGCTCCGCAAGTAGCGAATGAACGAGATGAATGGACAGAAAGCCAGCAGGAGGAGCATCTTCACGCGCTGTTACACACGCTGGATGCGTCGGATTCGCAGAATGTTTTTTCCGCAAACGAAATTGTGGGGGGAACGACGGACCTTACTTCAGAAGTGCTGGGACTGACGTCCGAGGACCTGCGTCGAGCCGATCTGGGAGGAACAAACGGCAGGACCACGGACACAACGATTTTGAACACTGCAGGAGCAGTGCCCGGCGCTGCTAATGTCGGTCTTCGCGAGAATAATGGAAAAATTCATGGCGCCAGGAGCAGCAGGAGCCCAACAAACCATGATCCAGAGGACTTACTCCTGTTCCCGGAGCTCGGCTCTCCCACGGCAAAGCAGCGAGACGCCACGCAGCGGGAATTTCACGAACTATACCTGACCGGCAAGACCTTGGTTCAAGAAGCGCAGCTTGCTGTCGGGCGTCATAGTGATAATCCTCATCATGACGGCGGCGGCGATCAATACAGGGTTCCTCGTCCTCCTGGGGGCATGAATGCTGGCGAAAATAATGTTCCTTCGGCACAACGGCAAAAGACATACCACAAGAAAAACATTTTCAAAATTTCTTGGCTGTTTCTGGCAAACGAGCCACAGGGGAGCGACATGAATTTCTCGGGTACTAACAAGTCCGTTGCCAGAAAATCTCTGCCGCTGTCCCCCCTGCAAATTGCGCAGGAATTTCGCCTACACGAGGTTTTTTCATCTTCGGAGACACCAGTTTTTAGCCTCGCACGCAACGGAAAAGCCGACTACAGCTCTTTCGAGCCTTCGTTTCTCGTGCAGCCCTGCGCCCTTTCTGTTTTCGAAGAGGTGAGCGAGGAGCTGCAGGAAGGTGGTGGTCCAGGAGGTGCTACAACTCGTCGTGGTCCCTCTGTTGATCCTAGAATTCTAGGTGGCACCTCTGATGTGCAACTACATCGTCGGAATCTCTTGACCAGTTTGGAGCGAGACTACGGACTGAAACAGGGAATCGATTGGCTTGTGCAAAGACTGGTGTTCGCCGGGCAATGTCGAAGGGTTGTTCATGGAGGACAGAAAGAAAAACTTTCTGATTTTCAGTCCACCTCCCAGGCGAAGAGTGTAGTAACTGGGCAGCAAGAGGAGTGAGACTGCATCTACTTCGGAGGTACTAACGCTCTCTTGTAGTTCTTCATCTAAGCATGACGAAGGCTTCACAGCTATCGCCTAAATTCTCGAAGCAGTATCTGGACAAAAATAAATTCGCATTCGGCGCCGCACCAGGATAGACCCTAGACAAGTACTGTGTCTGTTCATAACTGCGACCGTTGATCCATATCTGTATCTGGTGTTGCGGAAAAACGCAATTGTGTGAAAGAAAGAGAAATATAATAAAGTTGCAATTGTTGTAACCGGCAGAACGTCGTGCGCCACTAAAATCGTCAACACGTGTTCGACGAGACACAAAAAGATATCAAAATCATCCATAGATATCGGTGAAGGTACTTACTCATACTGAAAATTTCGAATTCGTTCACAAAAGTAACAATTCCGTTCGCAACAAAAAACTCCATACGTACAAACCACATTGCCACGACTCGAACTCGTGATGGTGCATAGAAGATACTCTCCTGACACTAAACTTCAGTCCTCGTACGAAGCAAAAACGCAGCTTCTCGTACAACGAAGCAAAAATGTTAATATGTACCCGTACATGAGTAGAGTCACGAACAAACGTGCAATTATGGTGCTTCGACATCATGGCAGTGCTCGATCCACCTCGCAATAGGATACTGTGACTCAGCAACAGCTCGACATACCATCCTTAGTTGTGTGAGCGACACACCAATAGATCGGAGGTGAGTTTTCAAACTCAAAGAACACCAGGAGCGAGGACGAGAATAGACGTTCGCTTGTCGGCCTCGACTTCGAATTTGGAATCTTCGGACCACCACAAATTCTATTGCATACAATTTGCAAACTCTAATACAGGGACCCGAGGTGTAGCAGCGGTTACAAACCGCTTTCGAACACGGAAGGTTCACCAAGGAAGCGCACTACAGAAAAGCCCCGTAATAAATAAGTACAGCCCTTGTAGCGGACTTAAAGACTCTACTATAGCCCTCGACAGAGCACTCTTCTATTTGATCGTAACTCAAACAACTATTGACAGCTTAGCTTCGATATTGTTACACATCAATAAAAGTGGAGTTTTCTTCATCATAAGTACCCACCACGCTATCAGTGCAGAACCTTTTAGTCCTCATCCTCAAGTTGTGCTCGTATTTGTTTTAGGAACGCCAAAATAGTATACACTTGTGTGCTGTGAGCGACTTCGCGCTACTTCATCCAAATTTTGTACCGCACCTGAGCTGCAGACTGACTCCATCAACATTGTTGTCCGAAAACAACTCTACTTTCAATCAAAATCAAATCGAAATTCCATTGTACATTAGTTGAGCAGCAATCCAGGTGATTGTCAACAAAATCCTAAAAGAACGCAGATCAACAAAGTAAATCCTCCAACACAAAAAAAGAAAATCCACACACGACATTTCATTTAAGTGAGCTATTTCTTTTGCTACCCGCCCAGTAGTATTTTTTCATCCTCCACGAACCAAATTTCGAAACCCCCGGGTAGACGACAACCTCCACGACGAATTTCTCCAGCGTCGCTCTATTCTGACAGCATCATCATCTAACTATTCTGATTGCGACAAGAACCAAACTTTTGCAGGGACGAGGACGAGAAATCAGAAAGAAAAAAAACAAAAATAATAGCAACAACATCAGCTGCTTTTTTTTGATCATTCAGAGTCATCCTCTGTCGCGACCTGCGTCTCCTTTGTGCGCCACAGTGTCGCACGGAGCAGGTCCGCGACACCTAGAGTTTGATTTCTTGATATTAGACTATTTTTGTTTTTCTGATTCAAGGATCATTATAGGCTAAAGCTTCCATCTGATATCCCTAGGTGTAAGACCACAACTACAGCACCAAGTTCGATAACGAGCTAGAGTTTGAGTTTGAAATTAATAAGTGCTCTTCCTGCACATTGCTAAATTAGAATAACATCCGAACAACCACAACTACCATGGCGACTGTGCAACCAGTAGAAGATCTCCTTTTGTTGGAGCAGGCAGAGGTAGATATGCCTTTGCAGCGCAGCAGCGTGGAGCTCAGCATAGACGAAATGCTTCTCAGCATCGAAGGTAGGGCCTCCACCGGTGGCAACAAAACCAAGTCGCAAAAGAAGCGGGAGAAGCGAAAGGGAAAGCTCGTCCAGGCGAGTACCGCCGTCGAAGCTGCAGCAACAGGAGCAGCAGTGTCTACCACACCGCAAGTCTTCGCCGGTGCTGATATTCCGGGTCCGGGTTGTTCACCCATGAAGAGTACGAAGACCCGACGGAGTAGCCAGCTGCTGACGACTCTAGTCGAGAACAGTTGCTGTGCACCAGGAGGCGGCGCATCGCTCGCAAACCATGGGTCTTCTTGTGTCGCTTCTTCTAGCGCACCAGGAGTTACGGTCACTTCGAAAACTGCGATGGCGCACCCAGCCGTCGCACGGCGCACGGTGACCGAAGAGGATTTGTCCGCGTTGCTGCTCCACCAGAAGACTTCTTCACCGTGCAAAGGTATGAAAAGTCGGGCGCCCGGCGCTCCTGCGCGTACTCCATGCAATAGGATCGCGGCTCAACAACACCTGAAGCAGCAGGACAACCAGCACCAAAACGGCGGAAAATACTTTTCTTCCGAACTTTTCGAGGATCTTCAGGACGGGAACTACAGTGAGGAGTCCCTAACACGAAGCAGCACCGCTGCTGGCGGCGTGAATCATGTTGCTGACGCCTGTACAACTGTCCAGGAACAGCTGCGGAACGTGTCGCAGCTGTCGCTCCTGGAGTTGGCGGAAATTCCAAGGAAGTCGCTGCTGGACAAGGATTGCGACGCTTTGCTGCAGCAATCCAACGATCCGACGCTGGTAGACGACCTGCGGGCGAGTGAGTACGGCGAAGGCGCGGCCACTTGTGTCGTTTTTAGAAAAATTTCCACGCAGGACGACATTCTGGAGCAGGTACGTCGACGACGCGTTCGTTGTTTCTCTTTTATACGATCATTTTTACAGTCCAACTCCCTAAAATCATCAGTGTGTTGTTAGTGCTTGCTTTTTTGAACCACACCAAGATGCAAGATGCACCAAATTATTCCAACACAGATCCTCGCATCCGAGCTGGAACGCCACAGCCAATGCCAGAGCCACGCTCCTCTCTCCGGCGATTCCCCGAGCACCCCCTCCACCCGTGTTCCGGACATCTCCCCGGCCGTGTTAACCGGGGCGCACGACCAGTCCATGTCCTCCGATGTGCCATGTCTCTCCCTGTCCCCAACCCTAAGCGCTGGTGCCTCAGCGATCACCCCCACAGCGACTGCGACGCCAGCGACTAGTAGTAGTACGAGAAACGACCACCCCGAAGAAGTGAAGAGGATAAAGCTGCTTCCAGGCGACGTCGAAGGAGGTAGTTCTCTAGCAGCACTGCCAGCGATATTACACACAAAAACTGCGGTTGATGACGCTACGACCGTCGAAGCGGACACCAGTTCCGCTCCGGTCGAGGAGGAAATAGCGGAAAAGCTCACCAGCAAACAGCCATCTGTGAAGGCGAAGAAAGAGGATGTACTGATTTTTTACAGCTTTCATTTTCATAATTTTTCTTGTGAGTTGTTCATGGCTCGTCGCGTAACGTAATTTAGTTAGTAGTACTTGGCTGCACGACTTGTCGCCGTCCACGTGGTCCTGCAAATAGCTTATAGATAGTTCACCTAGAAGCTAGATTAGGACCCCCGAAAAACAAAATAAAACAGCTGACCTTCCACGTCGATCTGCGGCCGAACAACAGGGAGACGCTGTCGGAGCTGGAGCTGGGCCTGGTTGAGCAGACCAAGCAGCTTTTTAATTCCGAGTTCGAGGAAGACTTCGCGACCCAGTGCAGCAAGAAGGGCGGCTACCGCCTGACGATCATGACGGAGAAGGACACGAACGAGGTCTGCAGCTTCGTCATGTACAAAATCAACCCGAAGGAGAAATGCTTGTCCATCGCCCACGTGGCGGTTCCCGCGTCGAAGCGGCGGCGGGGGTTCGGGAAAATCATGATGCAGTGGGTGATCAAGTACGCCAAGAAGCAGCCGCGCTCCAACGTCGCCTTCCTCGCCCTGTCCAGCATGCCGGGCAGCATCAAGTTCCACCAGAGTCTCGGCTTCAAGAAGGACAAGAAAATGATGAACAAGTCGAAAGACAGTAGTACTTCTACTTCGCCTCTGTCGCCGCGAGGAGGTGGTGGTGGAGTGGAGAATCTTCAGATGAACAATCCGGCGAACGAAGATGAAATTCAGTACGCGGAAGGACAAGTCTACATGACCTACCCCATCAAGGGCGGACGATGAACGACGAGTAGCACTTCTACAATCGGAATCGGACAACTGATGAAAATAAGCAAAAAGATGTTTGGAGAAGATGGAGAAAAATAAAAACACTTCTTCCACATCCTTCTACTCATGTCGTCTCCGAGGAACAGCTCTGCTTGTTGAAAACGTCGTCCAGAAACAATCAACATACTTCTTCAACTTCTACTTCTTACACGAAGTTCCATTGCTTCGCGCGTTTGAAGCACCAGGGAACTGCACTTACAATAACATCAACATCAACTACTCCACGCCAGCGACGGAGCTACGAAAATAAGTCACCTGGTGACTGTAGCAACTTCTGGCGCTCGTCCGTCCTCTCTGGCATTGTTCCGGGAAGATTATGTGTTCGCGAATTTAACAACTCGACAGGAAGCACATCATGATACATTTTGCGCTGCTGGATTCATCAATTTCCGGCTATTTCTGATGCAGAAACTACAGAAATTCGTCGCTCTTCTTCTCTCTCAGCTCCTGTAGTAGATGTCTCACAAGAAGAACAACAATTTACAACAGAACTTCATCGGTCGCCTGCCGGTCTTTAGCTGCGACTAGACCTAATCTATCATCTTCATAATGCTATTAAAATGTAGCTTAGCATTGTGGATTTTCGTTCACCTGAACGTCAAAAAACAACTTCTTCTTCTTCTCTTTCAAAAAACAACTGCATCATGGTGCTTCTTCGCGGTGTGGAGATGGGAACAGTGGCGGGCGAAAGTGAACGAAAGTAAGACGAACGTGTGAAATCTTATGGGCGGCGCAAACAACTTCTTCGCGAGGGTACTAGAAGAAGCAACAAGAAAGACAACACTTAGGAGACTCCAGACTTGAGCGACATCAAGACGACCATTCCTCCGGTCGTTCCCGTTGTACTTCTACCCGACGAGGACGACTCTGTGAGGAATAGAAGTTGTAGGGGAACATGTTTCTTCCGGGCTCTCTTCAGACTAATGCTGATAGATGTGAAGACGGCAGTAAGTAAGTATGTAGACAGGCCGTGCTTGTCGTGGCTGAGGCAATTGCTCTTTTCCAGGTAATGTCGTCCTCCAACAAGCACAAGCACCGAGGGAGATTACAGAATTGTGCCTGATGTAATATAAGAATCGAGCACGCCTCCAGAACCAGAAGAGCTATTCTTTTCTCCATGTTCATTTCCTGCTTCTGTTGCATAGTAGAGGCCATAGACTGTCGCATAGAGGAAGCCGTGCTTTATAGTGCTTGTGCTTGAAGATTTTTAGATTTTTTCGAAAAAATTAAATTATGGCTACGGTGCTTTTTTTTCAAGTTACCGTGAGAAGCCAGCGCTCTTGAGCTGTAGTTGCAAGGACTGCTTGTAGAACAAGTGCTATTTCTTCAGTTTCAATTTTTCACGGAGAACTTGCGTCGGACTTTAGATTCGTTGGTACTTATCGCTTTCAGCAGCAGCCAAAAATTAATCTCGAAAAATAGCGACCTAGAACTTCCATGCATAGCTGGCACACTGTCACTGACAACATGGTCAACATGGTGCATCGGCACTGTATCACCCTGGTGCCCTGCCTACCTTACAACATCGGAGCTGCTCGAGCAGTTCCTCATACATATCGATCCTCGCGCTTTCGCGGTAGTTGCGGTTGTTCTCTTTTTCCATACTGGTATCACTGACACTGACTGTTTTCATCACATCTGGGGAAGGATAGAAGAATTTGAATTTACTGCGATTTTCACTATATTAATATTTGTTCGAACAGTAGTTTTAGTTTTTACTTACAAGCTCTTTTATGCATCTTATCCTATTAACTTTCTTAGTCCGAGTGTCACAGAAAATGTTGACAGCTACATTCCTGCAGCAAACTACACCTTCTTTCAGTATAAACTAAACAACTTGCAATGGCATTTTTATGTTATTCACCAAATATCTTCAGATAAGTTTAACTTTCTTACTTGGGGGGCAATGCGGCCAAAAATTGTACTTTTACTTTTCTTTTTTCGTTTTCCGCCGGTAATAATGCAACTTTTACAGTCGGTAATGATGCAACTAGGATTAGTAGCGGTAGAGGTAGTAGGCTCTAGTACCGAAAATCGCTAAACTATGGACTTGCACCACCTGCTAGTGTGACAATCAGAATTGTATACCTTTACCTGCCACGCCTAACTACTTTTAGTTTTAATTGGATGACCTCTTCGCATTTACCTCTTGGTCTTGACTCAGTGACAGCAGCGGCACAACGACAACGACGACATTTCCTGTCACCGTAAATTATTCCCTTGTTTTCATAGCTACCTTTCTTTGACCACTCAGAGGTTATCTTCTGCTGCTGCTGCTGCTCGGTATTAAAATAGGACTTTTCGTTCCGGTTTTTACCGAAAATAAATGATATCGTCCAACGAGGAAGAACTTCGCTTTGTACAGAATTTCTTTTGGGGAACACTTGAACCACTCGCAGGAGATGTTGTAATGCGATGCTATCACAAAAAGTAACGAACACTGTGAACATTATACTTGATTCCAGCAAAGCAACACACTCGGAGACTGGCCGCCAGCAGCTAGCGCAACGCGATTCGATGTTGTCGTAATATGTGTAGCTCCACGTAGAAGTAGTTGCTTCAATCAATATCAGTTGTGATTCGAGGAGATTATTTCACAGCGTTGCAGCGCCTGCTTTCGACATTTATTTTCATTTTCATGCTGATATAATTTCATTCGGTGGGATCGCGATCTTCGTCCATGGTATGTAAGAATTCATCAACATTTCGACGTACGTCTTCGTTGCACCGCAAATATTTTTTTCTCCGTTGCTAGGCCTTGGCATTTTCAATCATGTTGCTCGTCGTGAGATGAGCATACTTAAACAAATAAGTAAGTACCAAAGTGGTGTCCTTCTGCTTCCACGACAACGAACTAGTGCCTAAAGGTAAAGCCGAATCGTAAATGAAAAAACAATTATCGTGTGTGCTCAACATCGTGCACGCGGGTGCCATTGTTCGACGAGAATGTCGTCTTTCGTCTGTAGCTATCTGGGACAAAATAAATGCAATCGTCGTAAAGCTGCCAAGTGGTCCAAGCTCCCTTGTCGGTCTGCTTTCTTGCTCACGTGGACTGGTTGACGTGACAACGGGGACCGTGGTAATATTATGTCACTGATGTATAGAAAATAAAAATTTTTTTCTTTTTGAAATTGGGCTGGGTCGGGAAGAATATACTTACTAGATACAACGAGCTTGCGGACTACAAGACGAGGTCACCAGCACGATTTATTTTCCCAAGCAGAAACTACATTATTTTCTAGTATTAGAACTAGACACGTAGAAGAGGACAGAAAGCTGCGAAGGTAATTAGTTAGAAGCAAGGCCGAAATCAGTATCAGCAGTGGAGGTGCAACTACAACAACTACAACTGCAGAAAACTTCTCCTGTCTATGCAATGCCAATGATTCCACGTCACTTCTCGTTGTCGTTCTCATTCAACCTCCGGAGGGCAGCCACGTAAAAATCGGCTTAAGTTCTTCGTGGACCGAGACTCTGGGTAAAAACTAATGTAACTCAAGCAGAAGCTGAAGCCGGCCGTGCTCCACCACCACAACTACTCGGCTAAAACTCGCTTGCTTTTTCCGACCATCAATACACTGGACGCTGCTTGGATAGGAGAATTCTCCGAGGACAGGGCCGTCGACGTAAAATGCCGGTCTCGAACACCGATCCCCTTCTACGCACGGATGGGTTCCGCAGGTCAAGATCCTCCACCCCCATGTCGGGACAGGCGCTCGTGGAGAAATTCTCCAAGACTTACTCCGACAGGTATAGATCGATCCCTGCCAACATGTGGCACTTATGTGGTTCTAGTCGTCTATCTGTGCTGCAGCTGAATCAGAAACTATAACTAACAAAATCGACGACAAAAACTCAAATAAAGAAAAATAAGGCAAACGAAGCACGACCTTTGTTCATCATCCCGTATAAGTCACTCTTTCTCCATAAAGATCGATCCTCATGATGAAGCTGGAACACCAACATTTTCTCTTCTATCAGGTTCAATTTCGTGACCCATTCCCCACCCAAGTTCAGCATGCGACCTCGCGTGAATTTTGGCGCGATGCCCGCCTTGTCCGACGGCGGGAAGTACACGATAAAGAGAAAAAAGTCCGCCATAGACCGAACCTTTCGAAAACACGTAAGAAGTTGGTCCGCGACCGATGTCAACGTGTGGTTTAAGGACGCGCTCACGAGAAGAGACCGGACCGAGCTGCTGTCACATATTCCGCCGATCGAAAGCGAACTGGATGGGAAGGAAATATTGACCTGGACGAAGTACTGCTAATTATTTTTCTGATGCATATAAAAAAAAGCACTTGCACTACAATGAATGAACAAGTTCCAGTGCAGCGTGAGAAAGCTGTGCGTGAGAAATTTCAATTGGTTATGTGAATAAAGAACTCAAATTCTATCAGGGCCAAGTTTCGGGACGATGTTTGCCGTGGAGATGGAGAACTGGGAGCTAGTTTGTGGTCAGAATTGCGGTTCAACATAGAGGAATATCTCGCCATATCCATTGCAAATATCATGTCTGAGGCGGCTGGACAAATGAAAAAGTTTTTCATTTTCATCGTCCAGGTTTTTTTCCATCATGCTCGCCGGCGACGGCCAACACGTTGCCTGGAATGCAGCGTCTTGTAGTATTTTTACATACTGATACATCATGATATAGGAGAAGATAGTGATAGAGGTAGTACTTCGAGAGCTTATTTCACGCACCAGAAGGCCTTATTCTTCATGAGGGGTTGCCACCTTTCAGCGTGACGTGGCTACATCTGTCGAGCATCACAAGTTTACTCCTTTCCAGACGCAGGAGACATATTTTCAATGCATACACTACGCACGGCTACGACGATCTGGCGCACGCCGTGAACTTCACAAAGTACTAACTCCTGTTGATGTAGCACTAGTGCGACTGCGAGTGCCTCTCTCTGTTTACAATAACAATCGCCACACATGCACATGGTCGTGCTGATGCACTAGTCATAGCATGTTTGATGTTTCAAAATCAAAAGCAAAACTCTCACGAAGCAGCGACTTTCTTGTCGTTCTTGTTGCGCCACAACTCCTCCAGCGCGCAGGTCACTTCGCTTGTCGGGCGTCGAGTTGTCTGATGAAGTAGAAGTGTAAAAACGATTCTATTTCGAGATGATGAAAATTATCCCACCTCCGCTCCTGCAGGTATTGCGCCCCCCGTTGGTCCTGTCGCGGCATGCTGGACAAGCAGAAGAAGGGCACCGAGCCACCCGGCCCCGGTCGCTACCGCGCCCCGAGCTCCCTGGGCATGTCGGAATCCGGAAAAGGCCACCCAACCATACGGCAACTCGGACGGTTCGCCATGCCGCAAGCAGAGAGGATGGCAAAACCCAACAAGAACCCGGGTCCGGGGGCCTACTTTACGCCGGTCGGGAAAGACCACAGGCTGGTCTGGGCGCCAAAGTGGAGCGTCACAGGAAGGGGGGACTGTACTTATCCTTTGTTATTCTGTTAATATTGTTTCATTGTTAAACGTTTTGGTTTTCCATTCCTTCGGATTCATACTTCTCGTTTTCTCAAGAGCAAGCAGGTTTTTGTACACCACTACTTACATTTGAAAAAATGAACAGCCGTCCTGGTAAACAAAGAGGGCGGCCCGCTCGGTGCTTACGACGTCGACAAGCTGACCCGAAACGGCCCCGTCACCGTCCCGGCCTGGAGTTTGAAGGCCCGCATAGAAGACAAGACTGTCGCGCAGCGCAGCCCTGGACCGGCACGCTACGACCAGTACGGGAGTAAGAAAAAGATGCCCGGCGGTATTGTGAGGAAAAAAATCCCCCCTCCCCATATCGAAAAGGCACACCTCAGAAAATTTGCCATGCTGATTTGCGACCACAAATCGTCTCTGTCTTGCAAGAAGGCAACCGCACAGGTCCCGCGGCATTATGTAGGCGGTTCGTGATGCTATTGGGCCTACAAAGTCGACGCTTTTCATGCTAATCACCTAGGCCAACACCTCTCTACTCGGGCTTGATATGGGCCTGCAGTCCTCTACTGCAAGAGAGATCCGATTTGTGTAAGCAAATCCAGCATTTGAGACCTCGTTTCGATATGGGAAGGGCGGATTTTTCCTTTTGATAGGCGGCGACTTCTGCTACTGGCCCACCCAGGGGGAGGAAACCTCCAAGAACATCACGCGGAAACCCGCCTGGTCCTTCCGCACGGCATGGCGGAAGTAGAATATACAGTAAAACATCCTGTTTGATATATACGTTGTAATTACATCACGGCTTTTTTTCTCCAGAAGTAGAAGCCTGTGTCCGGTGTACAATAAACTCCCGTTTTGCGGGAAGATACAATCAGTTTGACGTAAATTTACCTCGAATAAAGACAATTTGAGCTAGCATTCGACTCATAGTTATGGCCTTAATAATATCGGCATTTTTTGGCTAATCTTTGCTCATCACATTTTTGACTAGCTACTTTTTCGTTTTGATTTATGTACGATACGCATGTGCATTGTTCAACCGGCATAATTCTGAAAAATGTACACTTGGCTTTGAAAATCATGGCAAGCAAAAGGATGGATTGATCCGCCTCTTCTTGAAGATGGTGGCTCTACTTGTATAATTGTTGGCATGCTACTTGGTGCTTGAAAATTATGACAGACTAGCATCGGCTACGCAAAAAAGCTCTCTTTCAGACAGCCTCTTCGCCTGCGATATCCAATGTAGAAGTACACATTGTGAGGCGTCAGAGGAACGTGGTCTGTGAGACCAGCACCCGACATCGTCCCCGTCATCAATCTGCCGGACGAAAGGATCTTCGAGGCGGGACCGGCGGGCGACCGCACGCACACAGATTTTAGTACTGCGTGGGATCCTCCCCGCGAGGACTAATAGTACGTAAATACAAAGATGGAGTAGAGCGTTTTTATTTGCGTCTTTTTTTTTGCCGAGCGCGAGCCGGAATTTTTGGAATTCTGATCTTCGCGAGATTCAGTGCCGGTCGTTCGAAACGTCGCCCTGTGGAGCACTCTACTTCATTCGGTCTTTTTTTTCTTCGTGCAGAGAGCAGCGCATGATCTGCTCTACAAGCCATAATGGATGCTGCGCTTGCAGTTCCGCTGGATCACGATGAAGACGTTGCGATAGCAGCACGAGGTTCTCGGTTCCTTCAATTACCTCAGTACCCCCTTAATATTTGCTTTGGGCACTGGGCACCTCACCATTGATGTTTCACTTGGTGGATGATGACAGGGCTCTGCGAGCTATTACGGGTGTCTATTGTCTTAATATTTGCTTTGAAGATTTTACTTTTAGGAGGTCTCTTCAATGTCTTCATGGTGGTGGTCAGAAAAATAAGTAGTCAATTAGTGACGAGTGTCTCAACATGTGTTTGTAACATGTACAAAGATAGATGTTCAGGAACCATCGTCCGATATTAAAACCGTTTGTTAGAGGCACCAACGCAACATCATGTGGCAGATAACCATCTTTTCCATGTGGCGCACGAGATGAGGATGATTTACTTCGTTTGAATAAACCCATTCTGAGCTGCTCCTCTCCGTGGTCCGTCGCAGAGAAATAGAAATAGCATGGGCCAAGCCGTGTCTGCGCTTTCCCAGAAAGTCAAGCCCAACGCCAGTGCTTCGTCCGTCGTTCCGTCGCCCGCGAGTAAGCGCACTAAGGAGCTGCTGGACCAAGAGAATGAACAGCCGTGGATTACCGCGCCCTCCTTGCAGCACCTACGCTCCATTGTGGAACAGGCGGGGACAAGGATAAACTTGAACAGCTTCGAGGTAAAGGCGACGATCGGAAAGGGAAATTTCGGCCGGGTCCGGATGGTGCGCTTCAAAAACTCGCCCGACACCACCCCGTTCGCGCTCAAGATCCTGCACAAAATGAAAATCGCGAACGAGTGGGGCGGCAGCATTTCCCACGCGGCCCGGGCAGTTTTGCGGGAGACAACAATCTTGCAAGCTGTGGAGAACCCGTTCATTGTGAACGTTTTGAAGGTACTGAGCGATATTGCACTCGTGAAAGAACAAGAGCCGTAAGCTTATGAAAAATTTTCTGTGCGCTATTTCTTCTACTTGTTGGACTCGTTACGTTCGTTCTGACTTCTTCATCAATAATTACGTATTCTGTGCTCCTGGTGGAGGAGAAGGCATTGGTTGATGTTGATCGGTAATCATGTACGTTCGCTGCGCCACCATCTTTTACTAGGTCTTCCATAACGAGAAGAAAGTTTTCATTCTGATGGAGTTCGTCAATGGCGGGGAGATGTTCCGGCTGATACACAAGACCAACGGCCTCACGTTGGACCTGATCCAGTATTTCGGCGCCGAGATCGTGATCACAATGCGGCACCTGCATGACCGTTTCGTTTGCTACCGCGATCTGAAGCCCGAGAACGTGTTGCTCGACTATCCTCTGTAAAAACGCCCTCAGATGACCACAGTCGAGGTCGGAAAGAACCTGCTATACAGTTTCAGTCCAATAAGTTTTGCTTTTGGCTGCTGCCGCGCATGACAAGTTTGAGTCTGTGGTGTAGTACTACGGGGACGGTTTTTCAGAGGATGCTGGTTGCTCCGGCCACATCAAGCTGATTGACTTTGGTTTGGCGAAGATCCTGGAAAAGCAGAACGATTTCAAGACCCGCACCTGCTGTGGCACCCTGTGCTACCAAGCGCCGGAGGTCATTCTCAACAAGGAGTACTCGTTTCAAGTCGACTGGTGGGGCGTTGGCGCCTTCATTTTCGAAATGATGAGCGGAAAAGCGCCCTTTGGCAACGACAACACCTTCGCAATACAGCAACGTACCAACATATTCATTTTCATATCTGATTCACATTTATGGATTTTCGAGTTTTTCCTTGCACAACGCCGCCTTTAGCTTGGTCGTGTGTTTTGTTGGTCATCAAGAAGCAAACAAAAACTTCTCCTCGCGCATCCGTGGTTGATCTCTGTGAGAATCAATTTATGCAGCGGACCCTGCTTTTATTTCTATGAAGAACCATCGCCATGCATGATGCAAAAAGAAAAACAATCAAAATTTGCACCAAAAAAAAGGTATCCTCTCCACCTCCATCCTGTGGCCAAAATCCCGAGACGTTGCCCTGGTGCGCAACAAGCCGCTCTCTTCTATGGCGTTCTCAACTGTTACATTCTCAACTGTTACATGAATTCGCGATGCAAGAATGGCAAAAGTCAAAGGGGTGACCTTGCGCGTCTAGCATGACAGATTTGGCACAGATTCTCAGCCTGTTTGGCTCTTCGAGAATTTGTCATGCGGAGCAGCTTGATCGTATCAGTTCTAATTGTGATTTTGCATGACAAATCGTGTAACAGTTGAGAATGTAACGTCTGAGAACGCCATATCTTCGCTCATTTCCCAGTTTCTGACGCAGAAACCGGAAAAGCGGCTGGGATCCGCCGATCCCATGAAGATCGAGAAGCACCCGTTCTTTCAAACGATCTACTTCGAGTCCATCCGGAAACGCGCCGTCAAGCCACCGTACCGACCGAATCTGTCCTCCGCGGAGGACTTCTCCATGTTTCCAAAATACGCCGAGTCGGTGGAGGACTCTATGCCGGACCTGTATCACGTGAAAAAATGTCTGGGTCTGGAAGAATGGAAGGCTTGTCATGCTTGTCTGGCATGACCCATGATGCTTGTATAATGCATGACCCAGCATCACAGATTTTTGGAAAGCTTCCTGATGCCATTTCCGCATGACAAATGCCCTCCTTGCGTAGCACAAATGTGGCTCCTCTTGCTGGTCAACATGCAATACAGATTCTTTTAGAGTCCAAAGCTAGCATCACAAGTTCCAACTTTCCAGACCCAGACATTTTTACATTTGATAACCTGAGTAAAAAGGACAAACAGGCCTGGATCCACGAGTTGAATATGCCGCTGTGTCATTAGAACCCATGTTGAGGCCGCCGCCGCCTATCGTAGTATACAAACCAAAATCAAAATGAAATATAAGATCAGTGGCAGTATTTCAACGTGTAGTTTTTGGAGGCAAACTCCTTGAACAACAGTAACAAAAACAAATTTTCTGGTAGTGGTAGCTTAGAGTAAAAACCTACAGCACTGGAATGCTGTCAGGGCGTCGTGTTTGAAATGATATATCCATCTTGTGCCAGTTGTAGTGTAGCAGAAACTGAAAAATGGGCTGACTCAAACTCTTGTATGTGTATGATGCGAATAAGATATGTCCATGATTGTAAAATGGCTTCGAAAATCAAAATTCGAATTTCTCAATGTCAACTCCCAAGGTCGCGGCGAAGGAGGGTCCTCTCTTTTCTTCTGTTCATCGATCCGTGTTTCTTCCTTGGTTCTGCTTGAGTTTTGAGGAAGAAGAATTCGTAAAAAAGCTCGTCGTTCTCATCTCGTGAAACAAGGCAACGACCCAGAGAGAAAGTAAATTCATCCATCGCGCTTGAAGGGAACTCTTTGTGCAAGCTCGTTCTGGGAGAAAAATTTGACCACCACCACGACATCAAGACCATTATGACTCGAATTACGTTTAGTTGCGGTAGAGGTCGTCGTCGTGGTGGTCCAAAATCATCTGTCAAGTCGCAAACGTCGTGCCATTTGTTTTTATGCTTTCTTGCAACATTCCGTCGTAGAAGGAGAAGCAGATCACGATCCGGTGGTTTGTACATGATTGTTTCTCCAGTATTCCTTTCTGCTTTGGCCACCGCAGTTGAGGTTTCATTAGTTTTCAATTTCATCATTCAAAGCACCAACATTATAAGATCCGGAAACAGTACGCGGTAAAAATTTGAATTTCGACCCCGGACCTCGAGATTTTTTATCTTGTACGAGCAAAACATGGTAGAATTCGATGACAGCGAGGAAGAGGGCAATAGCCCCGGCGCTGGAGCAGCTGGAAAGAAAGGCGGGAAGGATCCAACACAGGCAGTGAAAGGTACTATTCCATCTACTTGATTGATGTTACGTCAAAGGCTCTGGCACAGTAATAAGACTGAAGACAGCAGTTTGGTATATTAGGAACCAGCAGGCAGCCCCCACCTCCAGGGTTATTTGTGATTGAACGTCTTTCTCATGTTCTTGGTAAAAGTATCCTCCTTCTTGTCCACCAGATCTCATGAAGCTTGCCCGAGGGAAGCTGGATAACACCAAGAAGCAGCTGGACGCGAACAGCGACAAGGTGCAGCTTTTGAAATCCGAGTTCAAAACCTTGAAGAGGCAAAACGTGCACCTTGCGAAGCAGCAGCAGGGCGCCATACAAGAGCTCGAAGCAGGACTGACAACCAAATGATCTTGATTTCGATTTCTTGGAAGAGGATCAACATCATAGGCTTCAATTTTATCAGGAGTAGGTGATGAATGAACAAGGTCGCGGACGAGACTTCTCAGGAATTTAGTTTCCGACCAGCTCCTCGAATAAAGCACCCTTGCTGCGCAGGCGCAGAAAAAAAAGTTAACATGTTGAAAACCGGGCTCGTTGGGGAGAAAGAGAAACGACTCTTCACCCTCGTTGTTTGGACGTTAAGCGAATCCGAATCAAAATTCCGTGTGTGCCTGGGGCTGGGGCTTGAGAGAAGCCGACCGACCAAGTGAGCTGTACTTGTGTTCACTCAGTGCCCAGAAGATCGCTGGTCTATATTAATCCGGCGCTAGATGCAGCAGCTATGAAGGTTTTGACTATCGTGGATCAGTATGAACTCGATGACAATGTATCAGATACAGATTTTATTTCTATCCGTACAATTATAAAATTATCGAGGATGTCGTCAATGAGGTCTGTGATACCCATCAAAGCGGTCGCTCGGTAGTACGTGTGTAGCGAATAAATAGCACTGGCATGGATATTAAGTCGGCAATGTTTTCGGTCGTGGTGGAGTTGGAGCTTTGAATGATTCCGCTGCCAGTCATCTCTGGTGTGTGATGACGCTCTGTCAGTCACACCAAGTGGCTTCCGTGTAGTAGCTTCCAAAGTGGAGTACGAGTAAATCGGTGCTGATATTAAAATAAAAAAATCGGTGGTCGTGAAGATGTTGATGTAGTGTATTCTAAGCCCGCCCGACGTTCGGTCAATATACTCAGCTTTCGTTCATATGGTTTCGGACGGTCATGGCTATGCATATCCAGGAATAAAAAAATCAGTATTCGTAATTGTATTTTTTGAATTGTCTTCTCACAAAGCACCGTACGCCTGATACTAACTCGTACTACTCACAATGAATCAACAAACAGTCCCGTTGTACGACCCCGACGAGTACATCAACATCATCCCACCGAATTAAGTTTTTCTTTATTCGCTACGTAGTATTTATCCTATTCCCCCAACTGTATTCTCACTTATTAAAATTCGTTGATCTTTGAGCGACAAGGAATGTTGCGACACATCATCAACCCACGAACACGACAGCACCATCAATCATCATGACAAAGGCGAAGTTGGAGCGCAGCGGCGAGAAGTCTGCCTCGGTGCAGCCGCTCCTGCGGCTTGCAGGCACTGCAGCGGTTCTTCTTGTAACCGATACCGCATCTTTTATTTCGCGCGCCGGTCCTTGCAGCTTGTTGTTTGCGGAGGTGGCAGCTGCAGGAGCCGTGTCGAACACTACCGCAAAGATCAACGCTGGCTCATCTACCTCGGCGACAATGTCTTCAAAGACCCCGGAAGTTGATGCACCTTCCTCGGCGGGAACTGCCGAAACTGGCGCGGAGTGGCGCCGACAACTGACGTCGAACTCCACCTCCGGCTCCTCGGCCCCGGCGGCGAATTCGAATTCAAATTCTGCATCCTCGACTGGAGGTGGCCAAACAGCAGCTACAACAACAGCTCCGGCCGTGGGAACAAAATCAACCGGATCGGCGGGTGGTGGAACGACGTCCTCACCTGGCCAGACGCAGTGGCAGTCGACCATCGTGACTACGACGACCCCCACTGTGACTACTACTCCGGCACCCCCTATCCTGAGTAAAAATGCCCCCACACCACCAGAGTCAAGATGGGGAATCCGCTAGACAAATCAGCCACCTCTGGTTGTTTCGCATGACAAGTTTATCCTCGTAGTGTAATCCTGCTTAGCTAGTTCTGAAGCATCACAGATGTAGCATATCATGCTGATTCTAGCATCATAAATTCCAAAACAGGACTAGAGCATGGCTGTCATATGGCTCCGCATGAGAAACTTTTTCGGCATGCAGATTTGCATGACAACTCTGGGGTGGGGGCATTTTTCACTGTAATACCCCCCACTTCGTACCCGCACCCCTGCGACGTGCAGTGCACGGACTATGACACGCTGTCGGGCGTGCCGACCAGTGTGACCAACTACCTGCGGTACCACGGCGCGCCCGGCGAGGAAGTGGTCGTGTTTCCAGTCAAGGAGGAAAAGAGTCTGGCACTGAGCGGGTACGAGACGGAGTGGCAGTGCTTCGCAAAGACGACGCAGGCCGACACCAAGGCTATTGCGGTCTGGAAGACGTACAAGCTCGCGTCGCAGGGGGCCACCCAGCGGAGCCGGTGTGTGCGCAAGTTGAACGGCTTTGCGGACAACAACTGGTGTCAGCCGGACGTGTATCTTCCAGGAAAAAACACCCATCCACATCCAATTTGTCATGCAAAACATACATAAAATTCTGCGTTTGTCATCCAAAAAATGGATGTGGATGGGTTTTTTTCTGTGGATAACGTGACCGTGATGCAGCGCGTCTACATGGGAACCGCGGGCGCTTACGAGCCGACGGCGATCAGCATGACCGGTACAACCGGCGCGACCGCCGCGAACGCCCGCATATGCGACATCGTCGGAGCTTTGAATTGCCAGGCGGGGAACACGCTGCCTTCGAGCTTGTCGGGCAAGAAGGTCTGGCGCTACTACGAGAAGAGCGTTTTCGCCCTCACGAGCGGTGACTTGAGCTACAAGCGCCCCTGGCAAGCGTCGTCGGTGTCCTTTCAAAACCTGGACCTCTACGGCTTCCATTTCCCGACCGAAGCCATGCGAAAGGCGGTGATCGCAGACGCGCGAGCGAAACTCGGGACGGACCAGACTGATGCGAGTAACGCGCAGCTCTCGGCTATGGATGTGTCAGGATTGAAAAAGACAAAGTTGAAATAACTTGTAATGCATAAAATGGATGAAAGTTGTGACCCAGTTTCCAAGTGGCGCATGAGAAACTTGGGTAAAGCCGAAATCCAGTCTGTCATGCTGTTTGGGTAAAGACGATGCCTTTTCTCATGCTACTTTAGCAGCTCAGTTTCTCTTTCTACCCCTCAACAGGCTTATAATCTGCCTCACTTGCCTACTCTGCAAGACAGGCACCTTGAGGGCTGCATTTTATGCATGACAAACTATTTCAACTTTGAGGATTTCAAACCTGACACTCCCATATCGGCAGACGCGCAACAACAGGCACGCGCACGCCGGTCGTTGGCGATGGCCCCCTTGTTGTGGAAAGAGCAGTATCCTGTGCAAAAGTATCGTAGTCGTACTAATCGCAATCTTGCATGACAAATTAACCTTTTTACCTGAATTAGCATTACAAATTCCACTTTTCTTTCTGATAAAATTTGTAATGCAATTTATACTAGTACGATACTTTTGCAATGCATAAGCAGGACATTCTGGGGCCGTGCGACATGAATTGGGTCCATCAAATGGCGTTTCCGAGCGGCACGGCGGATTTTAGAGGTGAAATCGAAGTGGACAGTCAAGTCATCGAAAATGCCAGCTTGGAAAGGCTTCGGCAGCAGTTCCCAACGATATGCATTTTTGCAAATATGTCTGGGTCTGGATGAAACTTGTGATGCTAATTCATGCATCTTCACAAACTGACTCTTATTTGCAGCCATGCATGAGAAATTTCATCTGAGCAGTTATGTCAACATGCGTAACCCGCATCACAAATCGCGTTTATTTTGCTGGACATTACCAACATTTGCCCACGCAGAGCCGTCCTCTTGCCGGACACAGCCAACATCTGTCCGAAACAGCCTAGGGCCAAGACGACACCGTGAGGACGACCACAGGGGGTCCGTCTCAATGAAATGAAACGAAATGAAATGACAGAGGGTCGGCCCTATTCCACAACATGCATCACAGAGTTCACGGGCATGCGAGTTCTTTAGCAATACAAATCTCGCAATCTTCCAGACCCAGACATATTTGCATTTGATACACGACGGTTGGGATCGATCTGCCGGCAAGCGAGTACCAGGGCAGCGGTTACCTGACGCACTACATGAACATCGCGTACCGCATTCGCTACGCCCCCTTTACTTCGGCCGACGGGAAAGACCCGGGGAAGTTTCTCGATCGTGCGTATTTTCCCGCGGGCGCGACCGGCGCCGCGTTGGGGCAGCGCTCCTACCTGGATTCGCTGTTCACGGTGAAACTCTCCGACCTGCAGCAGGCCACGATCAACGGGGCCTCCTATTCCACCCTGACCGGCCAGTACGGCTTGGTCCAGACCTACCTTCCCGGGTGGCTGGCCCACGCGGTGGCGCAGGACGGCGGCCAGTCCGTGCTTGCGGTGCGAAAAACGGACAAGCGGGTCTTTCTGTACGAAAAGGACACGCGGCAGGTCACGGACCTGAAAACTTTGATTGGCACCGAGAGGGTGGAGGTCTACCCGGACGGCATGAACGTCATCGACCCGGCCGCGGGCTGGACGGCCTTCCGCGCGGGGACCAACTACAATGTTCCGTTTTTGACCTGTGCGGCCTGGTTCACCTGTGTCTCGAAGGCCAGCGTCGCGGCCGGCGCGCCGGCCCTGATCTACATTTCCGTTGATTTGGGCGCGTTGATCCCCTCCAAGATGGAGAGCCGCACCGAGCGCGCGATGAAGTTCAACTTTCCCGTCAACGATATCCAATCTCTCTGCCAGGACGGGAAGTTTTACTGGGACCCCCAGCTGAGCAACGGCAAGATGGGTGGTGACGCCGCCGAGATGGCGCCGGAAGTGGCGGCCGAGCCCCCAAAACCGCCGCCCGCGATTTCCACATCCGCACCGAAAGCTGCAGCAGGAGGCGCAGGTCCAGGTGCCTCGTCCACGAATACCGGGACTAGTTCAGGATCCTCGTCGTCGGGCGGGGGCGGGTCACCCACCGCCCAAGGGGCGTCCGGTGGAGGAGGAGGAGGAGGAGCGGGGGGCACTTCTACTAGTAATACCAATACGAATACCGGAGCTCCTGGTGGTGCTACTCAAGAAGCAGGAGCCAGTACAACTCCTGGCCGCGCAACAACTCCAACTCCGTCCACTAGCACCCCAAGCCCCACCACGACACTCCCACCCGTCACGCTGGACGCCTCCTACACCGCCACCGAGTCTCTCCCCGCTTCTGCCACGGCAGAGCAGCTTCTCAGTTCGCCCGGATACGTGAGCGCGAAGAAAATGGGTCTGGCGCAGGGAATCCAGGTCCCGCCAGAAAGTATCGAAGTCACAGGCTTCGTCCTGTCGGTCGTCCCCTCCTCTTCGGCGAGCCGGAGAGCTCGTTTGCTGTCAACATCTGGTGCGACCACTACGGACAAGCGCGTGGAGACGAAATTTCGTGTGACTTTTGAAGCAGACCTGCAGAAACAAGTGATCCAAGCGACGGCGACGACGCCGGCCGGTCTCGCCGCGGCGTCGGCCCCGACGGCGGCGGACGTGCAGGCGGCTTTCCAGGCGCGAATGACCAAGCCGCAAGTAACCCAGGCGATCCAGACGCAAACCAACACCGCCCTGCAGCTCACGGATTTCACCGCCGACCCGGTGATTGACACCGCACCCACCGTGCAGACGGTGGTGCCAGACGTGCAAGGCGTGTCCGTGTTGCCCACCACCACCGTGCCGCCGCCGAGCACAACTTCAACGACGACCGCAGAGGACGACGATGATAGCGGACTGGAGATGCTGGCGTTCATCCTCGCGGGAGTTGTGGCAGTCGCTTTTACCTTTTCCGCTGCCGTCTACTGCCGCCCCGCAAACAAAATTCGCCGCCAGCTGGCATTATCCACGAGTAAACTACTATTGCCGGCGCACAATCCAGTTGTAGCTAAATCTAATATCACAAGTCGCACGCTACTCCAGGACTGGACGTGAGCACGCTGGAAACCGGGCACGTTGACAGGTACAAGAAAGATATAAGAACGCGTCTTCTCCTCCACTATCACGAAGGCTTCGGAAAAAATCATTTTTGGTCAACATTTGTTCCTGTTCTTCATTTCTCTTCTGTCACTATCCGATGCGTGTAGCGCTACGGGAGTACAACACCTTGTATGATCGGCTGGAAGTTTGCTTTGCATAGGCAGGAGAGCAGGACGGCGCAACGGGATCAAAACCCACGTCCGGGCAGGGTTTTGACAAGCCCAATGGACGGCAGTCTCTGATAAAGCTGAAACGGGAGGAAGGTGTGGAATACGAAGAAAAAGCTGCTGCTCTGCAGCAAGAAATCATCGATGTTCCTGCAGAGGAGCAAGAACACCTTCAAGTTCTCGACGAGGTTTCGCCAGGTGATGTCGTCGCGGCAATCGAAGATGATGCGGGCGAGAATATGAAAGGAAAAACTTCTGTGGTAGCGGAAGGTCAGGCTGAATTTGTGATACAGATGAACATGCTGAAGCAACTTCTTAGAAGCCCATTGAACTTGATTTATGTTGTGACTGCGCTCCTTTTCATGCCAAGGAATTATGCAGAGACGGGCAATTCCAATTTTTACCGAACAACCTTGTTTTCGCGGATTTACCGCGCACAACAAGTAGTCGCTGGTTTGTTCTTACCTGGTCTTATGCATGCAACCGAATTTTCTATTTCTATTTGGTCGTCGAAAAAAGGTCAAGGTCGCATCACGACTAACGCCTACTACACAATCTTTTTCTTCCATAGAGAAGCGGAAAAGCAGGAAGAGCAAGAAGCGCAGGAGCAGTCGGTCGTCCCCGCTGGACGAGTCCACTGTTCTTGCTGAAGATGCGCAAGATGCTGCTGCTGCGGAAGATGTTACAGGAGAAGGCGGAGGCGAGATCACGACCGTCCTGGTGGACGACGCACCTGCGGAGGTCGCGGATGTTGGGGAAAAACAAGACGATTCCGCGGCACAAACGACGACGCCTTCCTTCACATTCAATTACTAAAAATTTACCATTTCGACCACGAGTCGTCAAAAGCTTCAGCTGCAAGGTGAAGCTCGTTTTATTGGAAATGTACTACTACTGTATGAATGTTTATGATTTTTAAGTATGTTGCTTTATTCCTTTCAATTATTTATTCCCTCGTTCTTGTTCTAATTTCATCGTACTTGCACAAGAAGTATCTCGCACGAGGCCAGGTTTTCATATTCATTCGTTCTTCTCTGTCTCTCTCTTGCTCGCTCGAAAAAACTCCCAGCACATTTTTTTTTCGCGGCCAGTAGGTCTTCTTGCACTGTATGGGATAGCTGCTCCTGAGCCTACTGCGCAACTACAGTATCAAAGGACACTCGTGCGTAGACCTGCTGCAGGGGCGCAAACCAGCCGAAAGAGACAACCGGCTGAAACTACGTGTAAAGTTGAAGCGTTACAAACCACCGGCAGGCAGCGCCTAGTGGTCCCAGCGAAAATCTTTCCTGTGGTTAGCTTACACAGTCACAGAGAGAGTAGCTTGTTAGTAGTTAGAAGCTGCTGACTGTAGAGCTTATTCCTCCTCCTCCTCAGTATCAAATAAACATAAAACACTCCATCGTAGTACAGAAGTAGAGTGCCAGGGCATGGCAGCTGATGAATGTCTTCATAGTCTTCTTTGAGTTCTTTGTGATTTTCATGCATAATTGTAGTTATGATGTCTTTGATGTTTGTACGTTCGTTGTCATTGTTTCACCCACGGATAGAACGTACAAATGAACACTACAAATTAACATCATGAAGGTTGTAGTAGAAAAAAATAAATGCGCAGAAGCAGCCGGCTCAGAACGAAGAAGGTGAACCACCGTCATTCGTTCCTGGAAAAAGATGTTGAGCCTTTCCAGTAGTTGTATGTCCTGTGTGTTCGTACCTTTGTTCATCTCGGCGGTTGGTGTAGAAAGGATTGCAACAGCAGCAAGATGAGACGCATTCACTGATATGCTAGGGGGAATCTAGGAAGATGAAGAGGAGTTCGAGTTGTGACTTAAAGTGAGCAGGTTCTGGTGACGAGTTCTTATTTTCATGGTGATCTCTGTCTGGTTTAATTTTAAAGAGATGTTGACGCACTAGACGTAGACCGCAGCCGAGCAGCTACAACTGTGGTCTTCATTCAATCATAGTATAGGGTTTTTTGATCTGTGTCCTCTGCGTCCGCGCTCGTCGTCTCCATTGACGAGCTACTACGTTCGTGCTATCCGTTGTAGTTCTTTTTCATCACCCCGTTTCGTCACGAAAAGAACCTTCCCAAAAAAAATTTAGCCACCAGTGAGAGTAGTAGATTCTATTCTCTTCTTCGAGCAGGGGCAGTAGAGCAGGACTCGCTTCCAGCTCTTTTGATTCTTCTTGACGCTGCTCGAGTCGTCCTACTTGTGGTTCAGAAGGACAAGGTCGTCTTTCTGCGCGGAGCCGAGCTGTAGGTGCTTGCGCGATTGTGGTTCGTGTCTTGCTCCTTGACAGAATCTACTGATTCGCAATAACCTGGTGCAAGACCAACAGCAACATCCACGATGGAAGTCTTCTTCTACGTCCTCGCGAACGGGTTTTTCCTGCTTGCCGGTCTATTGCTGCTGAGGGACAGCACGAGAAAAAATGAATATGGGAAACCGGTGCAAGTCATGGTGGCCAGGGATACACAGGTAATACGAGATATTTTTGCATCAGTGATTTTCTTTAAGCTTCGCTTCTTGTTGCACGGGAGTCTTGCACCATGATGTCAAGTTCAAGATTTTCATCGTGCTCTGGATGTTGGAAGTGGAGTACGAGTATGATTGTGCAAAAAAATCAGATAATGTTTTTTCTCGGCACGCTCTTGCGTTTCTACTGGAGCGCATCACCACCGGCAGTATGGAGCAACGAGGGCCCGATCGTGCGAACCCTGTGCCAGGCCGACATCTGCATTTCGCCGATAGTATGGGGCTGCGTGCTCGCGTTCGTGGCCATGCAGCAAACCAAATACTGCGAAAGTTTGTCCCTGCCACTGCCGCTCTTCAAGGACAGCACCAATGTTGCGGCGCTTTCCGCATCGGGGATGGCGAAGAACAGAATAAGATTGCCACTCAACTAGGCAAGGCAAAAACTTTTGAAATATATTGTGCTTCTGCATCTGCTCTCCATTTTTTTCGACGATGTAAAAAAGCGTCAGCGTCGCATGCATCGATTTTGGACATGATAATGCTGCAATGAAGAGGTTTGCACGAACACGCCAGGCGAGGCAGAGCCTGTCTCGGGCGGGACAAACACGAAACGCATTAGCATGCTGGAGAATCTGATTTTCCCACCTTAATCTATGTGTCTTTCGTCTCTACTGTGGTCTCGCAACAAATAGTGCATCTACATCTACTTCAATCGAGTCTCGGCATGCGCTGCCGGTGTCAATAAACAAGCAATACTAGACACTGAACACAAATCTGGGACGAGAACAACTGGCAGGGCACAATTTTCGCATTCTATAACACCTGGTTTACTCTCACAGTCGCTACGCTGCTGTTGTCCATCTTCCTCCACCACATGAATCCCCCATCCGTATGAACTGTAATTTCATTCTTGTTACCGTAGTACGGATACTACCTACTTGATGTACTTCTTCTACTTGCATTTTTGCATTAACAAGTTCTTATAGGCAGCTAAATTTCCTATGCAGCTGTCCCAAACTCAAACTTTGTCACGCATGTTGTTCCTGATTTGCGTCGCGTCTGCATGTACGGCTACGGTACTAAAAGCTTGTGATGCATAACCCACTTGGCACATTGACGAGGAGGATGACCAGCCCTGGCCAATGGCAGACGTGTCCGTAGTCTGGAATATGCTCCTGGACTGCGTTGCCATGGTATCGCTTATTTGAAATGTTTCAAGAACACAGTGATGCTCCACCGAATCTTCTTACTCTGAATAAACGCATAGCACAGCACCCGCCTTAATATCATTTTGCTTTTACTGCTGGATCATCAGACAACTCATATCTCATACACTTATGCGGCATCTCATCAAGCAAGAAGATATATGATGCGGCCTTTTGAAATCAATAACAATATCAATTTCAACAGTTTCCGCAACTCTACATCATCTACGTTACCCCCGAACCACCATCAGACGGCGCAGCCAACTTTGTCGGAATCCTCTGCGTTGCACGGGTCCTGCGTATGGTTGCATGGGGCCACATCATCTTCACTGCATGTACTATTCGATTTCGCAGCTGCGGCCGTCATTTTCTTTATTTCATCATGCATCTTCAGGAGCGGTTGGTCCATGCTCCGTACCACAGAGAGAAAGAGCCAGGTGGAGCCAGCACATGCGTACTAACAATTAGGCAAAATATTAATATGCTAATTACGCACGGCAAACATGAAAAATAAACAGGGGTCCGGTCCATTGGTGTTCCGGGGTTTTTGTGGTGCTACGTACTGCCGGACTTCTGCCACAGTTTGCTGATGGGCAAGTACTTGTGGCTGTTTCTGTATGGAAGCGTCAGGTGTGAAATCGACAAAGTTGAAATGATTTGTCATGCATAAAATGGAAATACCAGTTGGAAGACCAATTTCCACGCTGCGCATGACAAATTTTCGGAGCACCGGAATCCAATTTGTCATGCTGTTTGGGCGCAGGCAGAAGACTGCTTTTGTCATGCTCCTTTAGCAGCTCTATCCCAAACCCTAAATAGGCTCACAATCTGCCTCTCTTGCCATCCCGGCAAGACAGGCGCTTTATGTCTTGCATTCTATGCATGACAAATCATTTCAACTTTGACGATTTCAATCCTGACAGATCCATATTCTGGCGCGAATCAAGAAGAACCACCTCGACCTATCCTGTGCAAAAGTATCGTACTCGTATAAATGCAGGTCTTGCATTACAAATTTCTTTGCCAAGGCAAATCAGCATTACAAATTTTATTTCTCATGCTGAGAAAATTTGTAATGCATTTATACGAGTACGATACTTTTGCAGTTCATACGACCGCTGGATGCACAACGTCGACGGAGAGATGGTTTAACCGGACATCAAGAGAAGTCCTTTTTGATTTTGTCGTAGTGGAGGAAGTTGTAGACAGTGGAGGTCAGACTAGTTTTGAGTTTGTAGTCAGGATGAAGAACTTCTTACAATTTATATACAGATCGAATATCAGGTCGTGGTGGAAAAGGAGAGTCTTTCCTTTTACCACTAGCACTTCGGAGGTTATTTCTGCTGATAGATTATCGGGGCGCTTGTTCTGCAGAAAAATTTAGAAAAAAGAAAGCAGCTGTAAAAGGTCGTAGATGAAGTGGTCGTGGCGCTGTGCTTCACTCCAAGAGACCTACGAAGTTACAGCTAGTCGCCACTCAACACTTTGACATGCAGCTTCAACACAGCAATCTGGATGTTGGTGAGAAATCTCCTTGTCCTGACGAAACTTCAACCTTAGCAAAAAAAAATCAAAATAAACTTACATTTTACCATTGTTAATCGCAAAACTGCTCTGCACACACAAGAACTTGTTACCATTTTTTACGAGAATATAGAAATAGAAGCAAGTACTAGATCAACGCTAGCGCCGCTGGAAAGCTTATGGAGGACAACACAGACGACAGGGACGAGCGCACTGGCGAGCAAAACAAACTGGAACCGCAGCGCTTATGTACGGCCGCAAGGACGACAGCTGGAGCTGTATAACTGTACACAAAGAAAACTGTAGGGCGGAAATGAATTGTCTATAAAACACCTGTCCTCACGAATCGCACGACCCCCAGCGGTAGACCTAGTTTTGTTGACTCGAAACTCAAACTTTGTTACCAAATATGACTCTGATTACGATTGCACAGACACTGAAGAGAGAATGAAACACTTAATGCTTTTTTGATGAATGATTTTTTTTAGCTCGAGTATTTTTCTGTGGGGAAAAAAATTAGAAGCGAATGCGAACGCTTTTAATAACGCTATTGTTTCGAAGGACTCGAATGAGTTTACAACTCTTGCAATTTTGAAAAACATATGCTATGTAAAAAAAACCAAAAAAAACTCTTGTTTTATGAAGGTAGCTCACCTCTATTTATTTTTTCTGAGCAAGACGACGAGCAGCTTTAGCTTACGGAAAGCGGCCATCCCGCTCCCATTTCAAATCCAAGGGCGAGTGCCACCTTGTGATTGGGTAGAAGTTTCAGCTGATCCTCAAAGTGGTGTTCGCTCCCTACTGGCAGAATACACGCGTAGCAGATCGTGATGTGGTGTTGTTGTTGGTGAATGTTGATTTGTCGTTTGTGATAGTCGCCAGCCGATGTTCTTGGCCTGTGGGTGTCACTTTCTCGGCGCCGTCTTATGCGGCATCGTGTTTCTGACGGCGGTGGTGTCCTCGAGAGTAGCTGCGCGCAAACTAAGAACATCAGAATCAGATAGAATTCGACGAAGTTAAGTTTGTTATGTCACTGACGACGTCGTTGAAATAGAAATTTGAAGAAATTGCTGTTGGATGTACTGTTAGTTGCTCCCTCTAGAAGCTGCTCTACATACTATTTGGTCGTCGTGTAGCCGGATGTCAGGAGCAGGCCCACCAGGCTTGCAGGGCTGCAAGTAGAAGTGCCGTCCGTCGATCACCTAGCTACAAGTCGCAATGTAAACATAGAGGGCATGTTGATGATCAAGTGGAAGTGGCGACAGCACAGGGCATCGCGAAGGCGAACGCATACTTACTAGAAGCATGGCGTCCTTACTTGATATCAGCACGATCACATTACCACGTTACCAATTATCGAGTTTTTTGCTTCATGGCAGTAGAGCTGACGTAGAATTGTGAAAGTAGTATGTAAGCAGACGCGGCCACCGTAGTTGGTTATCGCCCGAGAAGTGGAAAACTACAGCCCGTCGACAGTACTACAACTACCACTTCCTGTGCAAAATGAGTACCACATCGAAGAAGGCGGTGACGATGTTGAAAGACCTCTTGAAGTCCTCCTGGCTTCCGAACTTTCACAAGCAGGAGTACGACGAGTGCATCGTGGAGATCTCCCGCATGTACGAAAATTATCTGGATTGCACCAACCACCTGGAGCACCTGGAGTCCGAGTACGAGAGTATGACAATTGCAACAGCATGATCATGATACTCGTATAATAATTAAAGAATGCAAGTCTTGCATGATACAAGTACAACATTTTCACCTGATGAATCAGCATGACAAATCCGCCCATTTTTCCTTCTGAACAAATTTGTGATGCGATTTATACGTAGTAAGATAGTTTGTCGCAAACATGCATAGAGAGGAAAAAGGAGCAGTTCGATGCCGACCCAGCGAGCGGGACGATGAGCCAGGAGGAAAAGGACACCCGAACCGCGGACCTGAAAAAGAAGCAGCAGGACGCCGAGACACGGTTCACGATGGGCCAGGTGATTTATGACACTGCACAACTCCCACTCCCCCTCATTTGTCATGCAAAACCTCAAATCCAGTCGCTGCCTTGTGGCACTGTTTGCATGACAAATTCCGGAAGCCCAAACAGTACTACATTACGCGCATGAAGTTGTCATGCACAAGCTCCACATGTGCGGGTGTTTGTATTGCTGCTCATGCAAGACAAATGAGGGGGAGGGGGAGTTGTGCACTGTCATATGATTTGGCAGGAGGACATCTTGCGGACGAAGCGCTGCTATGCATTGCAAAAATGTTTGGGTCTGGAAGAATACAAACTTGTGATGCGCATTTCAGAACACAGAAAAATCTCTCATGCATAGGTAGCAAAAGCTGCCCACTTTCTGTCACCAAAATGCGGGATTTGTCATGCGGAAGCGGCATGGCGGAAGCTTCTCGAAACCTGTGATGCTAGAGCTTCCATGCCAGACCTTCTGTGTCATGCAAAAACGGCATGACTCTGCCAGAGCCAGACCCAGACACTTTTGCACTTGATAGCTGCCTTCTGCAGTACCTGAACAAGCGGCTGCAGGTGATCCGAAGTACCAAGTGGGTGGAGGGCCGAGTCTTATCGGACGAAAAGCTTGCGAAGCTTTCCGCAGAAGAAATCGAGTACTTGAACAAGTACAACGACATTGTGGACGACTACATACAAGATTGGCTTCCGAACGCGCACGCACTAAACCTTCACAACGACTGCGAGCTGCAGCAGGTGGCCTTCAAGTGCATCACCATAGCGGAAAATCTATCCCAGTGCACAAGCAGAGCGAATCAACAACATCCCCACTCCGATCTCGTCCGCGTCATTTTCTTGTCGTGCTACAACTAGACAGGAACCAGGGTCATTCCAGCTCGTGGTCGTGGTGGTCATATTTTTTATCGTTCTCGGCATTAATTACTTAGCATTGTGATTTTGTTTGCATGACATGCCCTTGGCAATGAGAGGGAGCAGGGGGCAAGTCCAAGTTCAGCTTGTGCAATTGAATACAATCAAGATGCCGACCACGAGGTGGTGTTAAGCGACGGAAGAGCAATAAAACTAATCCCGGGGACGACTTACAAGGTATGTCGAGTTGTATTTGAAAGTTCAATTTTCTACGTAGCACTAGCACCCCCGGTATACAATTCGCACTCGCAGGTTGTCCTCGAGGTCCAGATTAGGCGGGTCTTGTTTACTCGATCACAGTCGTGCGCAGTCAAAATCACGCAGAAGAAAGGCGTAACATTGGCTAAGAACAAACCGAAATATAACCGCAGGTGCGCACGGAAGATGCGGAATTGCTGATCAAAGACAAAGTAGCAGTTTTGGCCAAGGGTTATCCAGGTCTGAATTATGAACTCCACCTCCGACTCTTCATTATAATTTGCAACGAGTGAATAGAGTTAGAGGATCTCTCGAGCACCAGCGAGCGTCAGAAACACGTAGCTTAGCCCTCCTTCTGGACATTTATTTTGGTGACTCGATGCATAGAGCCACGGCACGGTACTGGTTCAGGTGCTGGCACTGACTGTAGCTTGTCATGGAGATCAGAAACGGACAGCATGGGCTCCGTCACAACACCAACAGCAAGATAAGCTGTAGTCTGATTTTTTTAGCATGTTGTGGTTGATCTTGATCGTCGTGATCTATAAATCGAATGTGGGGGGCGAGGTGGACTACATCGGGTTGCGCAATGTTATAACCGCGCCGGCGCCAACACGACCGCGAAAAACATCACTCCGTTTGGGAAGTACGGAAATTGAACTTGGTGTCCTGCCGCTTCAAGGTGGAGCAGGACAAAAAATTACAAGTGCAAAATATGCTCGCATTGGTGGACTACTAGGTAGCCTTTGGATTTGTTTGGTTCGCCTGGTTCGTGTGGTCGTGCGCCTTCGCATGGCTGTTCATCTGCTGCTGGGCTGGCGTATAATCGACGATTGTTCCTTCCAACATCCGCGTAGGTGGTCCTCGTGGTGGAATTTTTGACAGGACCAACAAATCACCTCTAATCTCGTGTTCTTGCAGCTTTGGATTTCATCCGTACTAGCAAGGATGGATCTTGCTGCGGCGCACAACAAGACATACACCGAAGCTCCTGTTTACTTGCGCTTGATCCCGGTGCATGTTGGAAGCACGCGGCCAAGAGGAGTACAAACAGGTAAGACGGAGAGGACCAGTAAGAGGATCTACTTAGGTGGAAAAACAAGACGAGACTTCTCAACAAACTTGTTTGCTACAGCTCCTCCAAAGAAGATCGCCTTTGTAGTAGACTCCGACGTCGAGAAGTTCGTCTCCGGGAAGTTTCCCATCCCGGCTCGGCGATTCGCCAAAAGTAGTATCAACAAGAACGCAATAAAGGATACCAGGGAAGTGATGGGGCTCGTGATCTTCTCTGAGAGTCTTCTCTTGTGGCAGGGGTTCTTTCAGAGCGCGTTCGTGTATGCTGTATCACGGAGCGACCTAAAAGTAGCAGTGAGAAAAATAAACCAAGAGCTCCTATGGTAATGTCGAGCAATGGTCCATAATTATTCCAACATTATGCGATTGCAAATCGAGACGGTGACGGAGACCGTCTTCTAGCGCCAGCATCAAGTCGCAGTAGAACGAGAAAAAGAATCACTGAAAATAAAGACCGCAGCTATTTTACACATAAAAACAAGCTTGACGACTCGTTGCCGTTGGACGACCTCCACCATCTACGATGGGCAACGAGCTTTCCAACGGACCTTCGCAGTATGGCGGCTCCGCAACCTCCGGTGTGGTCGATGCAGTTTTGCAGTTTAACGACCTACGGGACTGGCTAAATCCACAGGATGAAGATCTCCAAGTACCGCCTTATCCCGTCGGAGGACGGACTGCCTCTTCGTCCTCAACCGCAGTGGGAGTCACCCCGACAAGTGCGACAGCTAGTATCCCACCGAGCTTCACCGCCTACGTTTCTGTCGACAATTCGCCCGAAGTGCCGCTCCACCGGGGTGCCGACCCTTTGTGGGTCAAGTTGACGCTGAGAAGCATAGTGCAGATACGCATCGTTGCGACAATAACGTCAGGTGGATCTCCACAGATGATAACCCAGCAAAGGACCGTCGGAGTGTGCCATGTGCCCGTTGCAAAAGTGGAGCAGCGGAGACTCGGTATAATGAAGATGAACTAGAATCGATCCTATTTTTTATACAATGAAAGTAGAATCGAGCCAGCACCAGCTGCACACGACCTTTTGTCTTCAAGAGTAGAAGACCCTACAAAATATATGAAGAACTCAAAGCAATTCAACTGTCTCGCCCCTCGCCTTGAAATCAAAAAAAAAGTCGAACTCCAAAGGTATGGTTCTCTATCACACCTGGCTTCTTCTCGAACAGCCGCAGGGAGTCCGTAGTACGATCGAGGACCAATTTGAAAACTCTCTCTACAACATCGGTAAGTTCCTGCAGCAGCCCAAAATCTGCATCACCTTAGCTGCCAAGGAAGAGTACAGCTTGATCGCGAAAAGTGGGGGAATCTACCCGTTGCTTGAGGACGTGGATCATGGAGGTGGAACGAGCGAACTGGACATGATGATCGCCAGCAGTGGAGCTTCTAGCGGAGCAACTGGGACGAGCTCCTTCTACGGTGGGGCTGGCGGTGGAACAAGTATGACGACACCTGCAACCTCTTTGACGTCGTTGACGGCGAAAAAAGCCCGTCGCTACCACTCCGTCCTCCACTCCCACTTTCAGCACCTCCAGCTCTGTCAGGGCTATTACCAGAAATACCTGTCCGAGCGCAAAGCGAATTATAGTGCTAAGGCCGCGGGCGGGAGGGGGTCTTTTGCCAACGAGTATGATAGCCAACTACCTGGTGGAGTACCAAGTGGCGTGGCCGCTGCAACAGCGGAGGCCAGCGCGCTGTTGGACCAGATGATATGTATAATTTTTTTCTCGAAAGGAAAATAAAGAAACATGATGCGCGTACTTACATAGGTCGTTGTCCTGCATGGCAAAAATACCGCTTTTCTTTGCGTCAAGTTACAGTGTTCTTGTGCTCGACTTCTACTAGCAGCGGAACTTCTGGTGCGCGACGACTTGTCACGTAGCTTGTTGTACCCTATCAAATCTACAGGGCAGCAGCAGCAGCAGCAAGGCAGTCAGCCAACAGCGACCACCACAACGGCCACCGCGAACTCAAGCAAGGAACGGGAAATGTTGATATGCAATTATGATTATGAAGTGCCACCACGTACAAAAGTCTTTCTGTATCTGTACTACCACCGACCCCGAGGTTGTTGCTGCATGACGTCAAAACCAAAGAAGGGGAACACAACTGCAAACTGGCGCACGTCGTCAAGTAGATTTGGTTGTACATTCTCTCCAATAGCGGTAGCAAGGTACATCCTGCACCAGAATTGGGAACAATGGGTCAGCGGACGACCTGGGGGACCACATCAAGATGAGAGTAAGTCGTGGTACTCTGGATGTTTCCATTCTATACTTGTTGGGCCAACAGCAATCCTATGAGCAGCAACTTGCGCAGCTGCGCACGACCGTCAGCGAACTCGGAGAGCAGAAACACACCCTGGCACTAGAGCACGACAAGAAAAAATCTGAGTTGTTGGCCGAGATACACACGTTGCGGACTAGTGTGGCTCAGCTGCAGGAGGTCGTTAACGAAAAATCTTCGTCTGACGCCGCCAAAAACGGGGGCGGCGCGACGCAGATTATTAACGGACGCGCTAGCACTTCTACGGGCGGGTCCAATGCGGAGCAAGCACAGAACGCGTTGGATCCGCAGCGACAGCAAGAAACTATTAATCGCCTGCAGCAAGAGACCAGAAACATCACACGACAAGCCACTATTCGCCGTGAACAAGAATTGGCTACTTTCCTTGTTCAACTCGTGCTCTCATGTCAACTTCATCTGGTGCCTCGTCTCTGCCTCCGGTTCTTAGTTGAAATCAGTTTTTTTATGCGTGTATAATGGACACGTCGCATTGTGCCTGTGCGGTAACAAAGAAAGTAGTGCAACTTCAGTTTTTGTCACGCATTCGCGACGAGCGTATCGACAAAGCGAACGATACTATCCGGCTGCTGCGGTCCCAGGCGAAGGGGTTGCAGGAAAAGGTAAAGTTACAAGCAGCCGAAATTGCGACGTTGAAAGGCGGTGGAACAGGTGCGGCAACTTTGACTACACCATCGGGTATGTTCATTTTTCTGCGAGTGGTAGGTCTAGTAGGGTGGCGCTGGCGTCGTGGTTCGTCGAGGTGATGTCGTCGTGTGGCTAGGAGAAAGCAAAAAATTACGAATACAATTACTCATCCTCTCTGACTCTGTCTTCTACGTCGACAAGTTTAGGTTTTCTTCAACTTGAACCCAGAAGTACATACTAATTTTGTCTGCGGCTGAGAAATTCAAAAATTCACTTTTGCGACGCCGTGGAGCCACTTGTGTCTCTGTCAGCTCGCATATAGCGTCACGCCTTCTGTCTTTTCGTGTGATCAATTAGGAGAGGCGCTGAAACATTAGCGCCAGATCGTAACGCGGCGCGCAATACACCCTGAAAGCATGGCCGCTTTTGGCGGTGTTTGACATGCTCCCCAGGTCCACCAAAAGTGGCCAGCGCAAAGCCAGCCGGGGCTCAGGGGAGGGGTCCAAGGGGGGCACCCCTGCCGGAGCCGCAGAAGAATTTGCGCAAATCGTCAAACGCCATTGGTAATTGCCGATTTCGGGCCTTGCGCAAATTCTTCTGCGGCCCCACCCTCCGACCCCCCCGGGGACCCCGTCTCGCACCGGACTGTTCTGCCGGAGTCCCACAACTGGGCCACCCGAAGTACGGGGAGCCGGGCGGGCCGGGGTAGGAAGGTAGAAACGCGAGAACCGGACCACGGCCAGCTACCGCGGGCGAGGTGCTTTCCGCTGGCGGCGTCCCTGCTCAGCACCACTGCAACCTCCGAGGCCACCGGGACTGGGACAGCCCAGCCTACTTTGCCGCTACGCCCAAAAATAAAATTTTTGAATTTTTCAGCCGCAGACAAAATTCACGTTGGTAGTACAAGGACGCGATTCATTTCATTTGATCTCCTGAACAAGATAAGTGGAAACAAAAATTTCACAGCCAGCGCGACGAATCTCCAATTGGCCGAGGAAAATCGGAAACTCCAGGAGGTTTTGGCGCAGGAGCGAACGTATGAACTGCAAAATTATCGTACTAGTATATATAAATTGCATTACAAATTGGCTTAGCATTGCAAATGTAATTTGTGATGCGGATTTCCCTTGATTACTAGATTTGTAATGCATGACTGCGATTAGTACGAGTGCGATACTTTTGCACAGGATAGAACGAAAAAAGAGGAACTGATGACGATCGTTTCTTCACTGTATTCCGAAGTACAGCCCGCACTTAACCCGGTCATGTCCACAACCAGCTCGACCGGTGATATCCAGCTGAATTTTTTTTGCAAAAAATAATAGATACGTCTGGGCCTTCTGGAAATTCAAATAAAGCTGTTGACTTAGTTCTTACTGCCGAAAACTAAATAAACGTGAAAAGTTTGTCAACAAGTGCAAGAAGCATGAGGCGAAGCGCGATCATTATGCCGTTGCAACCTGCAGAAATATTACATTTGGCCTTTTCATCTTCCAGACAACTCAGATACGATACAAAAAAGTATTTGCAATCCGGATAACTGGCGAGCAGGCGCAATTTGAGAAGATGTTGCCGTCTCCAGCCGAAATGGCCAGATCAATTGCAGGGGTGGCCGCGACCTAGCGATCTGAAGCTGAACCAGAATCGCCACTACAGCGGACAATGATTTTTTTGGAGGGGAGGATTCAATTGGAATTGCGCTCATCAGGATTTCCTATCCAGGTAGCTGCATCGACGCAACTACGTTCGTTGAAAGGAGCCTCGTGGGGGTCGTGGTCCCGCCACTGATGTTACTGTACTAGGGCTCGTGATAGACCAGGAAATGGAAAAGGAAAACCCAATTTAAACTCACCTTGTATGATGATGTCAAAAAAAAACCACACACCTAAACTTCTATACGCTTAGAACTACGCAACTGTATCGTGTTTTTCTTCGCTTCATTTTTTAGCCTTGGATTAACGCCTTGCTTTATTCTTCCCTGACTCTGTAAGATGGTGATAAAGGTAGTACCGAGAACATCATATGCCATCAAACCTTGTACTATCTTTCTAAAACTAAAAAATCTATGGTCTTCTTCTGTGTGCCGCCTCTTGCGGTTGTACAACAGATGCAAAAGCGAAATGTACCTCATACTCATGTACAAAACGCAATTTGATGAACTTTCTAAGGCTAAGGAGCATATGTAAGCACAAAAAGTGCTGATAAACCGGCTGAGTCAGGCGGAGGCACTATTTGACAGTGAGAACTTCCCAGCGCTAAAAAAAGTAGCTCGTCGACCTCGTCTTCTGAGTCGGTCATCTCACTGTCTCTCTCGTAGTTTTCGTGCACCTAACGACCACATGCTTTTGTTTGAGTTCCGTCATCATCGCTCGTTCGTCATTTTTTAGCCCGTCGTCCGCTCCAAGTCAGTGAATTCGGTATTGCAGCGTTGTTGCAGTACCAGCAGTTGCGTTTATTCGTACAACTTCGTCGTCCAAAAGGTACAGGGTACAAGTACGACATCGTCATCTTGGTCGCAAGAAAATTTCACTTTGAATGATGCTTCTTGTTCGTGCAATAATTTCTAGTTTCGTGATGTTAAATGATGTCCCATGACGCGTGCCTTTGCTGAGCCCTGAGCCCGAGAACAAGTCTAGTTGTAATTGCTCAAAACGATGAAAAGCAATCAGAAGTCGGTCCTACTTGAAGGCGAGGCGGCAATATAGCACGACGATCTAGTATGGAGCTTAAAATATCATAAAGGTTAAGGTCGTGAATTTGTCGCACGTCGATAGCTTGTTATGTAGATAGAAACAGCACTAAAAAATCCGCTTACTTTTCCTTCCCGACAGCGCAGTTCTACTCCCAAGAAGCCTTCATATCGTTCCCGCACAAGAATAAAAACTTGATTTGAAAAACCACGCATTGCTGGCGACACCCTTGCTCGCTTGTGCGCCTAGTAGCCCCCAGCATCTACTTCATCATCGTCCCCAGTGGAGCAACATCATTTATTTTGCGTTCTTTGCTCCTTGTGTCCTTTGTTTCGTTAACCACGCCACATCAAAAATGAAGGAGGACCGCGGACTGCAGGTCGACACGACCGGGGAGCAGCCCCTTTTCGTGCGCGACTTCCACACCCCCGCGAACGCCCGGCCGGGGATGTTATCCCCATTAAACGCCCGCGGGCCGTATTCCCCGGTGCCCACGCACCTGCGGAAGCAGTACGTGGAGAAGATGTACGAGATTTTTCAACTGGCGGACGAAACCCACAGCGGCGTGGCGGAGCTGAAAAAGTGCCTCCACATCGCGGAGCACCAGTTTGCCAAGGAGGTGGTCACGCTGAACCACGAGCACTACGCGTTCAGCTACGAGAAGCTGTTGACCTTCGACGAGTTCATGATCATCGCGGACGAGGTCATCCCCATGCGGGAGCTGTACTTTTTCGTCATTTCCGGCGACCTGTTTGACGACCGCGACGAAAAGGTGGAGGAAATCACCTCGGGCCTCGCCCACGTGCCGGAGAAGGAGCACGCGGAGCTCGTGAAAAACGCGGCGCCGCTCACGAAAAGCGGCAAGGAGAAGCTCGTGAAAGTAAGCATCGAGGACCTGTCCGCCCTGCCCTTGCACTACGGCGTGGAGAGGTACGACTGCGCAAAGTGTGGAATCACCGCCGAAAACATGATGGCGAACTGTATATTTTTCTTGTGTTTTCCCTTTTCCTTTTCTTTTCTTGACAGTATCATGACGTATCGACTCGCAGCGATGCCGAAGCCGATGCTCTGCACAGTCACTTGTTTTTGTCAGTGAAGTGCTTGCTCGCGTGACCAAGGTGGCACGACATAATTGTTTCCCCAACATGTACAAGATTCAATTTCTTTGATCTAGCGCCCTTCGGCATCAGAGTCAGCCGAGACAAAGATATCATTATCAAAGAAGAAAACTACCTGTATCTCGATCAACATAATTTTCAAAGCAAGGACTACTTCATCTATGTCTATCCGAAACAATAAATCTACTACTTTTCAGATTGCTATGTGGGCATGCAGTCTGGGGAGGTGTTGTGCTCTATTTGCGGTAGCGTGGACCAAGGGAACCGCCTAAACCACAGTATGGCCGTGAAGCAAACGGAGCGTCGGTCCCGACCGGTGAAGCCCACCTTTATGCCGCCCTACTTGGTTGGCTACCTGACGCCGGCCGAGGTGAAGGCCGAGAAGCGAAAGGGGAGGAACAAACCCGCAATGATCTTCACGGCGCAGTCGTGAGCAGGAGTAGCTGCTACTAGTGTCCCACCTCTATCTAATATGCTGTGACTAACTACACTTGCACTTGCACTAGCACCACCACCACGTACAGCATGATAATACAAATTTAACTACGGCTGTGAACAGGATATCCTCCTGGTCGTGTACTAGTGTGAACTTTTCAATGAACTGGTGCTGCAGGTCGACGTTCTTTTGTACAAGTATCTAACCTGTGTGGCATAGAAATTTATCGTACCTCAAGCTGAACAAGTACCTAGTAGAGTGTCATCTTCAATAAAAATGTTTTTGATTCTGCAAACTTCTCCCCCCGTTCCGTTCCGATCCTGAGATGTTGGTACCCCCAGCGTCATCCGATACAGTCGCAAGTTCAAAAAAGTTGACCTGAAAAAGATCCTCAGCAGTGCAGCATGATGAACGCACATCATCATAGTACATCAAACAAACATAGCATTATGACGAAACCTCGCAGAGAATGAGAAACGAGGCACTCAAGAAATAAACTGTCAGCATGTTTGGCAGGTGGCACTGTCCAGAATAAATACCAGAAAGGTCAGTGTGAACTGATTACTTCGAAGCGAAGACCTTCACATTGTCGTTTGTCCGCTCCTTCGTTCCATATGTGTCGACGTTCGTGTCGTTTGTCCGCTTTATTTCGTATTCGTTCCCTCTTTCTTCATACTGCTTCGCAAAGGATAAGGAAGCTAGTCAAAAATAAAATGAACCACGGTAAAAATCGTAGTAGTGCAACTCGTCGTCCAAAATGAATGTCCCCACCAGCTCGTGTTCGGTTCGTTCTTTTTATGAACGTAGATGAAAAGCTGTCGTCGTTCTTACCGTGCCGCCAGATTACTAGACAAAAAAAGAGCACTTTGACTTTTCTTTATCGGTGGTGTTGAAGTGCAAAAGTCGTACTCTAGTCGGTGCAAGCAGACGAGTTGTAAGTACTAATATCGGTGCTGCTCCTCTAGAAGTCGTAGTACGTAGAAGTAGTAGCACCGATAACAAAAATAAATGCATTTGAAGAATTCAGAAAGTCAAAATGACTGATCTTCTTGCTATTTTCATCCACTCTCCACCAGGACTTCACCATGCTTTTGAAATACTCACTGTATACTCCAAAAATAAATGCCAACGAAAATCAAAAACCCGGTAGCATGACTTTACCAAGAGCAGGCACGATGTACCTCTTATTGTGACGAAACTCTAGAAATATACTTCTCTCAACCGTGGCATTCGTCATGCTATGTGAGCAACGGTAGACGAAGGCAGTACCAGAAAGAGCTACGCGGCACATTTTGACCGACGATACATACAATACAAATACTTGTTGGTGCAATAAGTTTTTAAGTTTGTTGGCATTCGTTTCAAATTGTGATCTTCATTCCTCATTGCTTCCGGTGTGCGGCCCCGAGGAAGAAGAAATCCAAAAACTAAATATTTTTGTGTCGCTCGAATAAGTACATGGGGAGCTAAACCTTCATCACCAAATCGATGGACGGCAACAACAATATCCGGCAGCCGCCCCCTGCGGCCGCAGGGGGCAGTGGATCCGGAGCTCCTGCAGGTTCTTCTACTTCCGCCCCGTCCCCTCGCACGACCAATGAGTTGCCGAAGCCGCTGATAAAAACGACCGACCCCGAGTCCGTTTTCTTCACGGACGCCTTCAACGAGTCGAAGCGGTTGTGGGAGATCTTTTTCATGGGCAAGATGGTGCTCGGGATCCAGTCGCTGATCGACAAGGAATTGGAGGGGGACGACCACGGGTTCTTCCTGCTTTTCCTCAAATACGACCTCAACCTGAACGGCACGCTGTCCGTGGACGAGATAGCGGAGATGCTGCACGAGTACGGAATCGACCAAAAAGCAACCGCTAAGGCGCTGGTATGTGACTTGGTTTTATTTGCGATGCAAGTGCAACAAAGTCAAATCTTGTTCAACAGGTTGAGGTTCATACCCGCTAATCATCTACTTCATTATTCTCCATAATAGTAAAAGCAACATTCACTGCATGGCGCATCTGGTATAGCAAGATGAAGCTCCTTCGTGCGCGGGGTTTTATTACTCTCTTCTGTCCCTCCGGATCCTCATTTCTTGTTCCTTTGTGATGAAATAACCTTTAACAAATTTGAATTCCGCAGGCCCGCAGCATCGAGCCAGACGACCCGGAGAATGTGGAATTTGTAGATTTTCTGCGGTGGTTCGAGACCAATGGGAAGAACCACCAGGCCTTCGAGCAGGTCGGGTTTCGGATCACGGACAGCGCCGCGAAATTGCTTGGCACGAGCCTGATAGCTCCGATCACGGATCGGGTAAAGACGAACCTGAGTCGGGAGCAGCTGAAACAGTTATGCATTGCAAATATGTCTGGGTCTGGAACAAACTTGTGTTGCTGAAGCTTGCATTGTAGAGTAGCCGCATGTACGGCATAACAGCATGAGACATTTTGCGACTCATTCGCAGATTCATTCGTAAAACGCATCACAAACTACTGGCCGCCAGCACGACAAAAAAACTGGCCCATCGCATTCACGCTTTACAGATCTCTCTGCCTTTCCAAATTCGCATGACAAATCCAGACCCAGACATATTTGCAATGCATAACAGTCTATCGTGAACTACCGCCAGCTGTACGCCATATGAGAGTGCACAACTCCGTCCCCCGCCCCCTCATTTGTCATGCAAAATATCAAATCCACATCTTGGGTCTATGCACAGTTTGCATGAGAAATTTTGGAGCCTCAAACAGTACTACAGTCCGCGGTGTGCAGATTTGTGATGCAGAAGCCACATTTTTGGCGTTGCTTGTGTTGCTGTTTATGCGATACAAATGAGGGGGAGGGGGGGTTGTGCACTGTGATACGCCAACCTCCGGATCTACAAGGCCAACCAGGCGTTTCGGCACTTGCCCGACGACCCGTTGGAGGAGATCAAAGTACTGTATTCTCTGATCAGCAAGGAGCTCTCCACGGAGAACGAGGCGCTGTTTAACCTGTTCGCGGAGCACGACAACGATCTGGACGGCAAGCTCGATAAGGACGAGCAGCGACAGATGTTCCGAAAGTTCGACAGTTCGGCCAGCGAGAACGAGATTTCCATTTACCTGAAGGAGGTGAACGCTGACCCGGTGCTGCAGTTTTTGGATTTCCTCGACTGGTGGGAGCAGTCCAAGATCGTGCCGCAGTCGCTAGTGAGCAGGAAGAAACTGGCGAAGCAGCTGGCAAACAACCTGTTGACGACAACCTCGACCGCGAGTACCGTGGGGACCAACCTGCTGGCAAAAATCGGCGCGGACAACTTGTTCGGGAACCTGTTCGGGCACGAGTTGCGCAAAAAGTGGGAGGCCCTCGGGGCGGAGGACCTGATAAAACTCTCCGAGGTCTACAAAGTGCTCTACATCGACCTGAGGAATTATTCCATGGAGCACTACGTCGCGGAACTCGAAACCAGCATCTGCGGAAACGCGCTGCTGTAAAATAAGTAAATCCTATAGTCGCTTTGGTTCTGGAAGTTGAAGAGAATTCATCCTTGACGCTCAAGAAATTTCTACATTGTTTCCCAGAACAAGTTTCTCTCGGACTGGTCGCACCACAGTAGTTTCGTGCCACAGGCGTGAGTCATACGAAGACTGCAAGATAGTAGTAGATAAATCCATCGGTGGCACCACTCACATTTTGTTTCTTGCAGCAGCACCATCAGGCTTCTATTGCAGAAATGTATGAACCGACATGCCATTCTTTCTACCCCCTTCACCTTCTCCACAGAGTGTATACATAGATATAGAAGAACAAGCAAGAAGATCCATCTACATGTCTGTATAGTTCTCTCCTACCCCGCCGGCGAGCTTTACCTTTGAAATGAACAAGCTAGAGCTACTATTTAGGCGTAGACGCGCGCGTCGTTTTGAGACCATAGCTTCTTGACATTTGTAGTTTGACGGCTTCTATCATGTGAGAGCGAGGAGGGGTGTTCTGCTTCTGACAAGCTCGTCTGTCAACCAAGATGTTGATGCTGAGAGTGAGAGGAGCTAGCAAATCAACCCAAAACCAAGGGGTGATGAAGATGTCGTGGAGGTGTAAGGTGATTGAGCAGCTTTTGTGGAGCATGGTCTCTCTGATCCTCATGGAGCGAGCCGTTGTGGGACTTCGTCTAGAGATGAATGCTATGTCTATGAGTGTGATGAGCGAAATAAAAGCGATGGCCGAGATCGTGGTCGTGGACGAGAAAGACGAGCTTGAGAGAGAAGAAGCACGAGAGTTGTAGATTGAGAGTAGAAAACAGCAACGGAAATGAGGATGAAAAGAAATCCAGTGCCTTTTTTTCTTCTGTTACTTACTGTCCGCACACCATCCGTCGTCTTGAGTGTTGATGTTGCACGTTATTCGTATATCCTTTTAAGCTATGGAATTCAAATTATTTTTCACGTTCTTTCAGTACCTCTCACATCAAGCAAGCAAGACGTGAACAAAGCCTCAACATCTAACTATCAGTATGCACGGTGGCGCCGCTCAGTCGTTTTACGCCCCGCCGCCGGTGCGCGGGGCGGAGTACGCGTCATGGACAAATTCTTCCCTTGGTCGCTTCCTGCTCTTCTCCACCGCCATGACGCTCTTTATGCTCACCGCCTTCGGGCTGACGATCAACGCGAGTTATGGGGAGAAGTCCGGTGGGGAGGTTCCCAACCCCCGCGGCCCGACGGAGCAGTTTCTCCTTCTGCTGGTCACCCTTTTTTTCCTCGCCGCCTACTACTCAGTGCCGGTGTTCGCGGAGCGCTGCGGGGTGGGCGTCTTCGACGCGAACTGGAAACCGTACGTGCACTTTTTCCGCCTCTCCTTCTTCACCGCCATTATGGGGTTCTCAACTGTTACATTCTCAGCTGTTACATGAATTTGTGATGCAAGAATGGCAAAAGTCAAAGGGGTGACCTTGCGCGTCTAGCATGACAGATTCGGCACAGATTCTCAGCCTGTTTGGCTCTTCGAGAATTTGTCATGCGGAGCAGCTTGATCGTATCGATTCTAATTGTGATTTTGCATGACAAATCATGTAACAGTTGAGAATGTAACAGTTGAGAATGTAACGTTTGAGAACGCCATAGCCATGCCCGCTTTGTTCTGCATCGGCATGGGGTTCGGCCCCAACGTGTCCAACGGCGCGCAGATCGCGGGGACGCTTTTTCAGGACCTGATCGCGAGCACGGCGGACGGCGATTTGAACCGCGTGGTCGGCGACTACTTCGTCGTGGACGACATGTTTGTGGGGCTGAACCTCACCCGGGCCATCATCCAGACGCTCTCCGAGCCGACAAGTCGCGGGTCCACGCGCGCGCAAACCCGGGGCGGGCAGGTGTTTCACATGCCCACCCAGTTCAGCGAAATCAACTACTTCGACCGCAAGGACGCGCTCGCCGGCCCGCCCCCGCCCCTGCCCAAAGACATCATCGGCCACTACGTCTTCGCGCCGATCTTCGAGACCTGGCGGATCTGCATCACGTATCACGAGAAAAAAGTGCTACAGTTACACATTTGTTGGAGTTTCTGCATCACAAATTTTCTCTGTGTGACAGAGAAAACTTGTAATGCGAAGATCATAAGGGAAAACAGGAAGGAAACGAGGCTCCTAAGCATTTCCTGCATGAGAAAGGTTGTCTGTGTTGCCGGTCTTGCAACACAATGTGTAACTGTAGCGCTTTTTTATTCCGATATCACGCGCGGCGCGGTCAGTAGCATCTGCATGCGGGAGAACACGTTGATCGGATTATCACAATGAAAAACGCCCCCACCCCCGAACTTGGGAGCACTTGTATTGCAAACCTTTCCAACAGAAACACTCGCCCTCTTGCATCTAGCAGCATCACAGATTTCCAATCGTGAATAGCGTGCGAAGATTTGTATTACAACAGATCCCAGGAAGAGCAGCACTTGTCATGCAAGCAATGCTATATACGCCTAGACTCTGCATCACAAAGATTCATATTCCTCTCATGCATGACAAAAAGTTTTCATTTGGAAACTTCGCATCACAAATTATTGCAACTTTGGGGGTGGGGGCATTTTTCACGGTAATACGGATTCCAGTACAAGCAGGCGGACAGCACCTGCCGCCGCGCCGGCGCACTGGGCTGCTTAGTCGAGCCGCGGCCGCAGTTGAACCCCAACTACCGGTATCAAATGTAAAAATGTCTGGGTCTGGAAGAGTGCGACTTGTCATGCTAAATCTGAAGCATGCAAAAATCTGTGTTGCATGATTGCCAAAAGTCGTCCAGTTTTGACCAAGTCGGGAGGGAGTTTCTCATGCAGAATAGGCATGAGAGAGATTGCGCAGCATCTGTCATGCTAGGTCCTGCATTCCAGGCTTCATGGGTCATGGAAAAGCTGCATGACAAATCGCGCATTCTTCCAGACCCAGACATTTTTACATTTGATAACCGGTGCCGGCAAACGAACGCGGTCCTCGGCCTCAGCGCGAAGGGCCAGATCACGGGGCTGTGCGGACGGATTGCCATCCCACCACACCCAAATCTCTTGGACGAGATCGTGCAGAGGCACACACAGGACGGGTGGATGCTAGGTAATATGCCGGTTTTGTGTTTGTACTTCAGAGATTTAGATGGTATTTAGACCTGATCCTGGAGGTAGTGTAGTGCGACTTTTGTCCAGGAACTAAGGTCTTGCTCGTGGTTCTACTTGTTGTTTGCCTTTGCAGTATGCTCAAAAGATAAATTCACTTTGACGTCGAAGATGTGTAGTAAAGAACCGAACGTAAAGCTAGAGAAGCCTGCTATTTACTATTTCTCTTTGTTCATCGAAATGTAGTTTCTTCTGCAGTAAATAGATACCCTGGCTGTAGCTAATCGGAAGAAAACGGTAACCATGAATCTGAATCGTTGAGCATCAACATCAACCAGGTGAAACGATGGCATGCCACTGTCCCACAGACGGTTCAAGTGGCACGGACGTCGCCTGCCCGCCGGGCTTGCGGGACACGAGCTGCAAAAACCTGGCACCCCTGTTCTTCGTAAACGCCGACGCCGACGACCGGATAAGCAAAACCAAAGAGGCGGAATCTCTCTGGTTCAAGTACGAGCTAGCGGGAGGGGTGTTTGGTGGGCTGACAGTCTTCCTTATACTCCTGACGATGTTAGGCGACTGCTACGTAGACCGATATCTACGGGCTGCGGCCAAGTACGCGACATGAGGACGATGGGTGGACTTTTGTGGTGGCGACGAAGGTCAAGGATGTGAGGTCTGCTGTTGCTGTTACTTGTTCCTGGCAGTCGCAGTTGCCGCGATGGATAAGGAATCGTAGTCGAATGCTGGTTGTACTTGTTCTACATCAACCTACTCGCTACTTCTCCTGCTTCGCCTGCTGTCAAGGGCAAATCTGAGGTCGACCTTCCGGAAGACCCGAACACCTACAACACCCAATAGACCGCTGGTGCGGGTGGATAAGTAGTTTCGTGCCGGTTTTGAAGCCTGAGATATCACTCAGCTTCGCGACGCAAAATTAATGACATTGTTCTTGAACCATCAATCTCAATCTAGTTACCTTGTCCAGGATTTAGTGCCCTGGCTTGAACTCGTAGCTATCGATATATGAAAGTAGACGAGCAAATGAATATATGAAGGTGATTTTCCCTGTTGGATTGAAACGCAATGATGCAGGTGTTCGAAGTTTAGTTTTGGAATTATCCGCGCGACACGAATATCGACGAGTTTTTCTTGCGTCTGTTCTTGGTTCAAATCTCGGCTTCCGGAGATGATATTTCCGGACTATTGTTTGCGTGTGAAGGGACTGCTGGGAGTCCTCGGATACTCCAAAAAAAGTTGATTTCACCTGTAGCTGTAGGTGTCGGGTGCGCGAGTTTGGGTACGTGGCTTCTGTTGATTTGTAGGCGGATAACCAAGTGACGGTGGCCGCGTCATAATTCAAAAAAAGTCTACACGCCAGCGCAACGTGAGGAACCGTCAGCGCAACGCGAGGAGAGTGAGCGACAAAAAATCGAACAAAAAAAATGGCGTCCCGTATTTCCGCCGCGGACCTGCTCCGCGACACCAAGGAGTTCCAGAACCTGGTGGAAAACACGGTGGATGGCTTTTGCGGGCGCGAGGACGTCCAGACCCCCGACGCCGTGCGGGATGCGCGGGCCATGCACCTGGACGTCAGCCAAAACTTCGACGAAATCGCCTACCACTGCGCCCTCAAGTCCCGCGAACTGGCGGAATTGCGGAACTCGCTCCGCTTGCTGGATCTCGAGCACAAGTGGCTCCTGGACTTGAAGGGGCCCGGGCTGTACATCGGAGCGATTGCAAGTGACAAGGCCGGCGGCGCAATTACATCGGCCAGTACCACAGTTGCAGTGGGGGGGGGAGGGCCTGCTGGCGCTGGAACTGGTACCGCTGCTAGTACAACTACCACCCACCAACTATCCGGGCCGGAGGTGGGTGCAGCCGGTTCTTTGCACCAAAGGGAGCCTGCGTTCGTGGATTACCAGGCTGGAGGAGGAGCAACAGCAGATGATTCCATCGCGAACCTGCCAGGTTGGGCAGCAGGAGCTCCGGGCGACCCGGGGGAGTTGCGCACGACCAGTGATAAAATCGCCTACTTGAGGTCCGAAATCGACACCACGAAGGACCAGCAAAAAGTGTACTTGCACATGATTGAACGCCTGGGCAAGGAGCTCCACCTGCTCACAGAGAAGAACGGCGTACTAGAAAAGCACCTGGTGCGCAAAAAAACGGAATGTGACAAGAAAAAGGATCAAGTACAGCTGATAAAGCAGTTTTTTGTTTTTGGCTCACAGAGGACACCAAGAACGAACTTACACGACTTTTGACTGATGGAATCTTCTTGCTAGTAGACAAAGACAACTTGTTGCATGAGCATGTAGTTCTTGAACATGAACGGTAAACGGCAGGACTTAAAAGCACTATTGCTAGTGCAATCTTGTCGATTGGAAGCACGAGAGTCTATATGCGATTCAATTTGCATAGAAATATCGACGACAGTATTAGACCACGACATGATCACAATCTTCCTACATCAACGAACCAGGTTCGCAAGCTAGAGGCGTACCGCGAGTCAGAGGTGATGTCTTTGTTCGAGAAGACGAAGACGGAGGCGCAGAAAGAGTTTCTGCTGAAGCAGAATGCTGTGCAAAAAATGTTCCAGAAGCTGCAGGAAAAGAAAACCACCCTGAAACGCAGGCTGGATTTTGCGCGCTGGCGGAAAGTATCAAATGTAAAAATGTCTGGGTCTGGAAACTTGTGATGCAAAAAGTGGATGATAGCCGGACTGCAATACGCAGCTATACATCACAAAGTTTTTGGCTGCCATGTCTGACGTATTCCGCATTGCAAACTGCGTTTTTGCATGACAGGTAAGAGGGTCTTTTCGTGCCTATGCAACACGGATTCTCGAATCATGCCAGACAAGCATGACAAAGTTGCGTTCTTCCAGACCCAGAGAGACATTTTTACATTTGATAAAAAGAGGTCGCCATGGAGGCCGCCAACGAGTCCTTTCACCAACGGGCCGGCAGGTTGCGAAAAATGTGGGCAATCGAAAAACTGCAGGCAAATTATCTGCAAAAGGTACAAGAACTATGCATGGAGAATTGGCTTTGTCTTTGATGATTAATACTTACTGTTACTTTTGTGTCCTCTGTCACCAGTGAGTCTTGTCGTGAACGGAACCAAAAACAAGGAAGAAGCCCCGTCGAGCTTCGGGAACACGGCAGTGGTCGGCCGCGACTCGGCAACTTCTATGACCTCCAAAAAACCCAACGGGCACTTTGCATATAAAAAATGGTGAGACAACAATCTCAATCACAATTCCTTGGTCTTGGACCAGGTAGCGAGAGCGATATAAAGTGCGATATGATCATCAACAACAAGGTAATTTTTTCGCAAGTGGAAAAGTCGCAGGCCACTGAGGAGGGCTTCCAGAAAATTCGCGAGCTGACCGGTCTGACAGACGTGATGGAGATTGTCCACCGCCTGCTGGATCGGGATTTGGATCAGGTCCAGCTGAAGTCCGCCGTGCAAGAAGCGGAGGCGAAGCTGGAGGCCAAAAACGAGGAGAACATCCGCTTCAAAACCGACGCCGCAGAAGACAACCTGAACGTGTTTTCGTCCTCCGGTGGGGGAACATCTATGCCGGGAGCAAGTACTACCCACAGCGCCGCGAGCGCGGGAGGAGGGCAGGGGAGTGGTACTTCCTCGGAAAATGGGAATGCTACTGGTGCAGGAGCTGGTGCTTCGGGGAATTCTAGTACCGCCGTCGTAAAAAGCGCCTCCAATTCATCGGCGTCCAATAACGCGGCTCGGGTAGTGTACGAAGACCTGTTGCAGAAAGGTATTTCAGTTTCTCTTCTGTGCCTGTACTTAGGCATCTCGATCTTGGGTTGTCTTTTTACTAGTTCGCTCACCGTAATAGCCCTTCCTCGAAACAAAAAGAAAACTGCGTCTGATCGACAATAACGCGAACACCAGAAGTTGATGCTGATGAACAGTTCAAGGCGCGGGCATTATGATCCATTTCCATTTGTTCCATACACGAAGAAACAATTCCGCTGATGAAGAACAAAAACCCCCAAAAAATATATTTTTTGTTCTTTGTCTATTTCATTCAGACGCAACCCTACACCAGTGGTTCAAACGGCACGAGCAGGCCCGGAAGCGGCTCGCGGAGGTCCACCGCACCGTGGAGCACTTACGACAGTTTATGCTGAAAGTTATCAAATCTCTTCCGCAGCACTTCCCTGGGATAACCCTGCCCGACGGCAGCTTGAAATTGAACTTCGCTTCGAACCAGCATGCATCAAGCGCAATGAGTACCAATATGGTACCCGGTGGTGGTGATCTTTATCCTGAGTAAAAACGTCCCCACACCAGAGTCAAGATGGGGATTTTGCAACACAAACCTAAGAGCCTTGGACGTCACGCATGACAAGTTGCGTTCCATAGTGTAGCGCAGGTTAGCAAGTGCAGCCGCATCACAGATTCATCTGCTCATCCTGTTCACAGCATCACAAATTCCAAAACACGGTTGGAAATGGCTACCATGGGTATGCCCATCACAAATGTCCTCGTCAATGCAAATCTGCATGACAACTCTGGGGTGGGGACGTTTTTCCTTCTGATAATCTTCACCACGCCCTTACCGGCGGTTCTTCTCAACATGCCGCAACTTCCACCCAGCAACCCTTTGCCTCCGACGCGGAGCTGCTGAAATGCTACCGGGTCCTGCACGCAACGGTGGAAGACTTCTTGCGAACTAAAGTGCTCGGAGCCGCAGCTGCCAGCAACGGTGTCAATGGTCCCCCACCTTCTAGTTCTTCGGGAGAACAGCTACATCAAGACGCCAATCGGGTGCCGCGGATCATGTACGCGAAGGCCCGCGCGTACCATGAACAGCTGAAGCTGTTGAACGATAAGGACTTTTTGCGGCACAACGTGCGGACCGGCAGTGGCGCTGGCGGCACCAATTACTCCATGTCTGCTGGCATCGCTGGCGGTGGCAACATGATGGCACAACACCTTCACGAAGGAGCCGGTGGGGCACTGGGTGGTGGTGGTGGTGGGGGAAAAAACGCGAGCGCTGGAGGTGGAGGGTCGCATCAACATCAAAGTAACGCTAGTGCAAGCAATAACGCGAGTAGCCAGCGCAATGAACGCGAGGACGTTGAGGCAGATGCAGACTTTCTCACGCAGGACAGGGAAGCCAGGAAGAGGGCTGGGAGACAGATAGTGGACCAAATGACGCAGATGAGTCACAATCGTATTTATTTTTTGCTTCGGACGTTTTTTAGGAAGCTCTTAAGTTGTTTATCTTCTAACTATGAGTACAACTAAGAGTATGATTTATTACCGCATAGCAGGCAGCGTCTTGAGTGATGTATCTGCGAGATACATTCAATGCGCTGCCGCTCCTGCTCGCCAACGAGGTTGCACACCAGGGCATCAGCATTCAAAGATTCTGTCACTGCAAGGAGAGCAAATGAACGCGAAGGGAAACCCGAACCACCACGCACGTACCGCATACTTAAAGATCAGAAACGCAAAAAAAGGTACCCGGCGGCGCACCATCCGCGATGGGGGCGGTGCAGGAGAGGGTGGCACTTCTTCGGGCGCTGGGGGCGCGAGTGCAAGCGGTACCAGCAACATGAAGCGACTGCAGACCATGCCTACAAATCACCTCGGGACAACAGGCGGAGCAGGAACAACAGCCCCGCCAAGCGGTGGAGGCGAACCTGGCACAGATTCCTCTTCGACAATGCAGAACGGCGACGGATATGTACAAAGCAGCTCCCTTGGCGCACCAAATTCAGCGTCGCGGCGAACCGCAGCCGGCGGTGGCGCCGCCGCGACCGGTAGCCGTCCGAGCCGGAAGACGGTCACGAATCTGGCTTCCTCAGCAGGAGGAACAAACGCCGTCGGAAGCAGCAGCAGACCTGCAGGTCCCGGTGGGGGTACTTCTACTAGTGCAGCTGGAGGGGGGCCGCAGTTTCAATTGTCAACGAGCTTGCGAGCAGGAGGCGGTGGCCTGGGAACTACAGCGGGCTCGTCTTCGTCAACGCGCGGAGGAGGGGGTGTAACCATCGGACCCGGAGCTGTATCCTGTGCAAAAACGTATGTACTTACCGCAAAGGCATCGTGATCTGGTATGTTGTGGCGCGACCGGTATCGCATGAAGAGAGGCGTTTATTCATTGTAGTTGCGTATCTATAGAGTCTAAGCTCCGCACGGTGGGGCACTACAAGTACTACAGGTGGGTCGTACGTTTTCACATATGTTGATAAACTAACTTACTTCACCCTCACCACTCGAGCCTCGGACCTGGAGGCAGCGCATCCTCGGCGGGCGGCACCAACCGCCTCATAAGTGGCGCAGGTGCTGCTGGGAGCAACGCAACATCGAGCAGAGGTGGAGGTAAAAGCCAAAAACATCCTTCCAGAAAGTCGAATTATCGCGAAGAGGTGGTGAGAAGAGACGTGGCGAAATACTTGCTCGATTCCTCGTGTTCGCTGCAGCCGCTCAGCACCATGACAATGGACCACGGGAAGAAAGCACGCGCCGGGGGAGCAGCTGCGTCGCATGCTTCGCACCACCACATGATGGGTGGTGGGGGAGCGGGAGCAGGAGGCACAGCCGCTGCCCTCCTGGCAGGGCAATTGCAGTCATCTGGAGCCTCGAACGGTGGCGGACTCCTTGGAGGAGCTGTTGGTGCAACACCTTCTTCTGCCACAACCAGCAATGGCACCAATGCTAAACCGAACGCCGGTGGCTTGGGAGCTTGGTTGAACCGGGTCGCGACTACTACGACCCCCGGTGATATGACGGATGTGCAGCAGCAACAACCTGGAGCACCGGTCCTGCCAACAGCAGTGCCAGTGGCAACGCATAGTACCGGTGCTGGCAACAGCAGTGGCAACTCAGGGGTCCTCAACAGCGGGGGTGTAGTGAAGAAGGCCAGTAGTATTTCGCCGAACAAAACAAGAAGACCCCTGGTGATGTCCTCCAAAGCGAAGTAGTTTTGACTGCAATTAAGTACCGTACAGGGATTTGACGAGTGGTGGTGGAACGGTGACCAGTATACCGTGGTCGACGGAAAGGTGAACAAAAGTTTCAATTTTTTTCAGTTCCGACATCCTGATCCTATTAGATCACAAAGTGAAAATCTTCCACAGAAGGTTACAGAGTCAAAGACAACGTCAGAATGTTGGTATTAATAAATACACCTACTGGAGGCTCGACGCCACCGCAGTAGTAAGTTGTAGTTCGTGTTTCAGTTTCGTACTACAGTGTAGTTGTTTCGTTTTTGTCAAAACTAAATACAGAAGTAGAAACTTCTCTTGAAAAACAGGCTGCAAAAGCTTGATACTCGTGAAGTGAATGAGGTAAGCAGAACGAAAGTGATACAAACAATATTTTCAAAAACATGAAACACATATGTGATTTCAGATAGAAAAATCCAAAAGCACTACGACACCTTGCGAATTTCTCCGCGACGACAAATAATATCAACTTCGCAGTCACAATCTCGTGAAAGCATACGTTTCGCTAGCCAGTAACTGCACGGGAGGAAAGGGCATTGGCATAAGAACGGAGGACAGCACGCCGAGAGACGTACTGATTTCCGGATGTGCGCCTTGAGTCCGCCGAGGAAGAGGAAGATGAGCCTGCCTCGCAATTCATGGTCGTGTGCCGCAGCCGCCCTGTCCCGCGACATCAAAAGGAAAAACTGCTACCGTATCGATCAACAACTACGACGAGAAACCATTGCTCAAAACTGTGTTTCCCTATGATATGCTCGATCGGTTTCAACATGTCAGTGCCCATGCATGGAGGTAATGCTCTAGATTAAGTGAAGAACGGTCGGTCGCATGATCTACCACGAGTAAGATCGGTTATAAGGCGGGCGGCGCATGTTTATTTCGAATATGTTGGAGTTCTTGAACAAAGAGTTAGGTTGTCTCTACTTACGCGTTGTTCACGACAATGACAATGTAAGTTTTCCATCATGAATGTCGTCCTGGGCGTCTCCTAGAGGAACCGACCTCCATCTCACACCGACGCAGATCCCAAAGAACAGACACGGAGAAGTGTCGGTGAAAAACTTGAAAAAATGTTATTGAGTGTATTCAAAACGCCGGAAGCCTACGATAATTGCTGAACAATGAATTAAGATCTCATTTTTTTCGCCGCTCCCTCTCGTATCATTTTGATCGTTTTCCTAACGCCTATCGCACCAGGCGCCAGCAGCGATCCCCTCCCACACCCGCCTGTAAGTTTTTCTACAGTAGAAGGAGCTAGTTAGTCTTCATTTCTCTCGTCGCCAAGAGACTTAATTCGTGAACTTTAACTTTTGTGCCTCTTCTTCCATTCATACATAACTACAACCCCACGACAAAGTAGAAACCAATCATCATGCCCCCACCCCCCGGTCGGGCGGGCGCGAACCAGCGCGACCGAGTTTTGGAGCAGGAGGACGCGGACTTGATCCAGATCCCCAAATGGCTCCGTGAGCACGAGTTGGTCTCCCGAGATTTTGTGCTTCTATTCCACAACCGCTACACCCACCGACAGGTCCGCAAAGTGCTGCTCTCCCTCCTCTGGCTCGCCGGCGCGGCCTATTTCCGGTCCCAGATCTACATCATCTTCTCCGGCATCGGGTTCATTTTTCTCTTATGAAATGTAACAGTGTCTGGGTCTGGAAGAATTCACGTTTGTCATGCTTGTCTGGCATGACTCTTAAATCTGTCACGCACGTTACCCAAGACCTCCGTTTTTCTGTGATGCAGAAGCGCAGTTTGTCATGCAGAATAGGCAACACCTAGGAGCTCAGAAACTTGTCATGCTGAGCCAGCACTTGTGGCCGCTTCATGATACGCCAACCAGCATCACAAGTTCCCAGACCCAGACACTTTTACATTTGATATCTCTCCCTCGGCGCCCGGGCAGAGGACGACGACGGGGTGTCCGCCTACAGCGTCTTCAACCGCGGGGCTCGGCATATGGATGTGTCAGGTTTGAAATCATCAGAGTTGAAATAGTTTGTCATGCATAAAATGGATGCCAGTTGGAGCCCAGTTTTCAAGTGGCGCATGACAAGTTTTGTTGGTGCCTAAATCCAGTTTGTAATGCTGTTTGGGTAAGGAAGACACGTTTTGTCATGCTACTTTGGCGGCTCTATTTGATTTCTACCCCTCAACAGGCTTGCAATCTGCCTCCCTTGCCTACTCTGCAAGACAGGCACTTTGTGGGTTGCATTTTATGCATCGCAAATTATTTCAACTTTGACGATTTCAATCCTGACGCTTCCATACGGCACCTCCTCGGCGACCTGCGGCCGGACCAGATAGACCGGGAAAACCGTGGGGTCGCGCACATGGGCGGTGGTGGGGGAAATGGTGGCGGAGGCTTGGGGGGAGACTTTGCTATGAACTGCAAAAGTATCGTATTCGTAGTATTGCAATGCAAATTAGCTCAGCATGACAAATGGAATTTCTCATGCTGATTTAGCTTGAAACAGAAATTTGTCTTGCATGATTGCGATTAGTACGACGAGTACGATACTTTTGCACAGCATATGTGCCGGCGCGGAGCAAATGAAGTCCAAGGACGCGAACAAACCTTGCGCGTGTGGCTCAGGAAAGAAAACGAAAAAGTGCTGCGGCGCGGTTAGGTAGCGACTGCCTGCTTCGTCGTGTTGCGTCAGGATCAAGAACAGAGATCCTAGCCGCGTACTCGAGTGGACGACCAAGCCGGAGCGATCGCTGCGCTAACGCCGACGACAGCCTGTGCTGCAAAAATAAAACACACGAATAGAAATAGAATGTACGTACAGAAGTAGAACGCTAACCATCTAGCGCATGGACATAAATACGTTCGCGATATGCTCCAAATCGAAATCCAATCCAGCACAAGCATAAGCATAAGCAAGAAGAGACTGAATGCCTGCCACACTTCCGGTGCACAAGTGTAAAGTTGCTGTGAGTCAGACGAGATGCTTTTTTTCGTGTTCCTTCAGGAGTACTTACAGATAATACTTCACGCCATTGGATCGGTAATTGTATTGTTATTTGACCGAATAAAAGCAAACCAGTATGCGAAGCACGAGCGTGCGTCGCGCGGGCGTATGGTGCGTCTTTGCCTTTGATGTTACGCAATCTTCATGACGCCTGAATGACCAAGACAAGTGATACAATCGTAGGGGAATTATTCAGGGAAAGCTCGTTTCGCGTTCTCACGTATTGCTCGTTAATCTGGAATCTCGATCTTTCTTCCTACAGCATGCATTATGTTGACGGCAATTGACGATGACCTTCCTTAGGGGCAAAAAGCACGAACACTAAAAGAAAAGAAAGAAAGGTACAAGCACGCAAGAAACAGTAGCACAACTACAAATCTATCATTCAAGCGGTGGTTTCTGCTCGTGAGCGTGAACATAATTTTGACGTGACGAGAGTAAGTTCGTTGTGTGACACGGAAGCCATAACTAAATACTCTCTGTTAAACAGAGAGGTAGTTCGTACGAAAAAAAATCGTCGAGGCGGGAATGAAAATCGTCGTCCGTTCTCCGTTGTAGATCGCGTTGTTGTAAAAGTCATGACGCGACTCAAATAGAAAAGTGTAATTTTCGATTTGCCGTAAAGAACTAAAAGTAATAACTTCTTTTTCTTTTGTGCCACTGTTGCGCAATTCTTCCATTGTGTTCGGTGCAACGCTGTTGAGCAGTAGGCGGAAACTGTCAAGATGACGCGTATCAAGTCGAAGTACGGGAAGCGCCTGAGCATCTCTGCGCAGTTGCTGGCTCTGCCGCTAACCTTTCCGGGGGAGGATCATTTAAGTACTTCTTTTCGATTTTTTCAACATGGAAATGCAAATGGATAAAATTAAAAGTTCTATGCATAATGATGTGTCGCATTTTTCCTTTCGTACACGCCAACACTGATGTAGGGGGACGGTGATGTAAGCCAAGAAGCCAAAAACGCGCTCGGGGACAAGATATTAATATACAAGCAGGTTGGTGCGTCAATGCGTACGAGAACTTGCGGGGTACGCAGAACATCCCCCCGCCGGACGATGAGTACGACCGTGCGGCGGGCGTTTCGCTGAGCGATGTGGTGCACGCGGACGGCTCGGTATTGAACTGATTTGCTTACTTTTTTTCGTTATGCGGATGTTGGATGTAGCTCTGCAGGTGCGTATGGTCATACACCCTTATGGACGATTGGTAGTAAGAGTGGGTGGCCGAGAATCGAATTAGCATAGAAGTTCGCGCCTCCGGTTGGGAGAGCGATGGGCTACCGAGGTACGTCCGGGGGCGTATCTACATCAATCAATATCAATCGAAATAGAATAATAACCAAAATAAACGCAACAACAAACAGGCCTCTGTTTTGGAGAAGGAGCTGGTGAAGAAGACGGGGAAGGATAAGATGGTTGAACAGGAGGAAGCACAAGCGGGCGGCGTGAGCTCTAGCACTAGCGTGCCGACTGGAGAAATGTTGGAAGCCCGCATCAGACAACTCGCAAAAAAAACGCCTGCGTTGGATGAAGAAGACGACCTACCTTTCATCGACGCGTTAAAACGACTTGCTGATCAACTCGAAGAAGTGCAAAAGGCGGGAACAAGGAAACTGAGCCCGGAAGAACACGATATCATCGTCGCGAGCACAAGAGCCCAGCGAGCGGCCGTGATTTACCGCGGCGACCGCTCCGCGACGGACAATGGTTGGTACTAATGGCGCCACTGCCGGTGAGGTGACGCAAGGTCGCTCGAGATTTTTAATCATTTTTTGCAAGAGTAAAGAGCAAAGCTGTGCCAAGCTGATTTACAAAAAATTAAGTTACGTGAGATTGACTCAGCCAGGAATTTACACCCTAAACCTAATATATTAAATTAATTTTTTTATAAATATATTGCTATTTTCGGACAGTGCCCGAGCCGAATTCTGAAAGTTTTCCCATCTGTTTAACGAGTGTGATATTTTTTCTGTGCAGAATTTAGAATTGTGAATGCCAACGATGTTAATATTTAATTATGTATGCGATTTCGCTTTTCATTCTTGAGGAGCTGACTAGGTCTAGAAAAATGGATGTGGTTTAGGTCCTCGTGCAATAGCTTTCATGTCCATGATTGTACAACCGAATCGGTTATTCAGCTAGGAGCGCGCACCAGGAGTTCCTGGAATTACAATACATAGAGTGAGATGCATGCAGACAGCGGGCGCAGTACTATACAGAGGCTTACTTACTCCGCCAACACTTTCTTCTCGAAATCAAGACCAAAACCAATGTGATCGCTCTTCGTCTTCGTCTTCGAAACTATAATTAAGATATCAGACCCTTCTACTCGTGTTTTTAGCAAGCCAGTTCCTATTAATAACTCTTCGCTCGTAGAATTGTTTATCTCCTCCTATTTGGCTCTTCCAAAAAACAAAAAGTAGATGCGACGTATGTATAGATTTGGCTATGATCATCTATCATGTTGATGTTAATGAATAAGAAAAATGACTCCATTGTGTTTTGGTTCTAGACCAGTGCCATCGCACGCATCAGCCGTAGCTCAGAGCGTTCATTCTTGCTTGTTCTGTGGCTTCTCTCGGGCGTATTAATTCCAAGATTTTGTTTTGGTGTGGTGGTGGATTGTTGTGCTGCGGTATGTTTTGCTTCTTGATTGGGGGAGGATGTGGCTCTCACAGCTGCTCACTGAAAAAATATATCAAAATTCATATCGCATATTTGCGGATTCATATGTGGTCATCTTCTTCCACACAGAGCAAAAAGCGTAGCCTCGCGCCAGAGTTAGTTTTAGTCAGTTTCCTCAGTGCTAAGTGCGTGAGCAGGTCCGTGAGAAATAAAGAGGAAAAGAACAACCAAGACGAACAAGCCGCTGCTCGACTCCCTGGAGTTTGAGCGCGCACTACGAGCTAGCCGGAGCGATCGCCGCACTATTAACGCCGGCGACCGCCTGTGCTGCAAAAACAAAACAGCACGCAGCCACAAGAACAACATCAAAATAGATTTAAATAGATTCTACCGAGTAACGCTAATTGTGCAAGACTCTTGTTGGAATGCACCATCTACTTACGCAATCTTCATGACGCCTGAAAAATGAGCAAGACAACCGTGGGGGAATTCTTCCGGTGAGGCTCGTTTCGTGTTCTCGCGTTCTGCTTGTTGGAATTGTTCCGCTCAAACCTTGCTTTTTACTCAGGTCCGTGACCTTTTTACTTCGGAATGCATTCTGCTACGTGTATGAATGTGATGGCGCGTTTTACTAGTAAGCGCTAAAAAATGAGATCTCTGCAGTCTTAGTCTTAGTAGATCAACACTTAATCAACATAATAAAACTTCTGCAGTTTTTCGATTTCGAAGAAAGACGAAAACCACCACGAAAGGAGGTGTTTAATATTGCTTGACCGTTTTTCTACATTGCACTTGCACCTGTCACACGAAGATCCTGCGAGTTTGAAGATCCGTGCCCGTTGCTCCGTCTAGGTCTAATCGTGGTTTCGTTAAACTTAAAGAAGGAGAAGCACGTATACGTCTCTCGTTTTATTTTCAAGTGCGCGGCATGCCTTTCAGTTTCATCCAGTCTACCGTTACACTTTCTTCATCAGTTTCGCTTTTTTCTGTACTTCGAAAAGCTAAACATCTATCACTGTGTTTAATTTTTGTCTATGACGTTGTACAACATTTACATCATAAGCCCGAATAATCTGCAGCGCATCCATGGACCATGACACAGACACGGGTCCGTGTTGTCATGGAGGTTTGATTGTGTGGCCTACTCTTCATTCATCAGATCCATGATAGAAATGTGGCAACCGACTTCGGGTGCCATCGTTTCTTTTTTGCTGGTAGTTGCGGATGCGCATCGATGATCCTTCAGTAGAAGATAATGAAGAACACATCCCGAGGGGGGGCTCCTGCCGTAAATACAACTGCGGATGTTGTTGAGCCAAGTTCGGCATCGGCCGGCGCTGATCCCGGTGAGGACGCGGCAAAAAGCAAGCAGGCAAAGGCGAATCGCAAAGAGAACAAAGAGACTGCAGGTCTGGCAGCTCCATCCTCGCAAGAACCGCGAGGGCGTAAACCGAAAGCAAAGACGGCCCCGAAGAGAACATCATCTTCAAGCAGCGCCATTGCGCCAAAAGCGGCTGCGGCCGGCGCAGCTGCAGCAGTTCATGATCCTGTGAGTGTGCCATCAGCTGCTTCGATGAAGACGAGCAACAGAAGTCGTGCAGCTAAAAGCAAAAACAATGGCTCGTCAACTAGTACCGGCGCGTCAGCCACGAGCAGCTCGTCCACGGCTAGAAAGAAGAAGGATGGATCGCTCCTGGCTGCAAATAATGCCAATCCGTATTCGAAAGGGCAAACGCAGGATGAGGAAAGCAAATCGGCTCCACCTCGCAGGAGAGGTGGTAAAGTTGATGCAAATAGCACCTCTGGACAACCCCACCCGTCGTCCTCGTCGCATGGTGGCAAAGCGAAAGTCAAAGCCAACGCCAGCCGCGTCGAGAATCGCAACCCATCTTCAACTCCGGCGGAAGTGCCAGAAGTGGTGGAGAGCAGCTCGTCAAATTTCTCGGCTCAACGAGAAGAGGAATTTGAAGCAGCCGAAAATGCTGTTGTTGACGCCCCCGCTGCCTCGCCCTCGTCCTCGGTGGAAGAGGAAGAGGATGGTCGACCTTCACCCCTTGCCGACGCATCACCTGATGTCCTTGGCGTCCCACCAGCGGCTTCTCCACGTCGAGAGCACGAGGAGAATGAAGCCGAAGATGCTCGTGAGCACGAGGACATGGATTCATCTCAAGACCAAGACTACGTCCGAGATGAGGACTCCTCATCTGACGACGCTAATTCCCTTTCCCTCGATTCCGAAACTTTGTCCTCCTCTTCCGAACCGCAAGAGGAAGTAGATCATGATTCATATATGGACGCTGGCGCTTCGAATAGCGACAGCGAAGAAGAAGATGGAGATACAAAGAACAAGCTCAGTCCCAGTGTGTGGGAGGAGTTCGATCGCCATGGCCAGGGGAGCACTGTGGAAGAGAATGGGTCGGACGAAGTTGAGCAACTACAAGGGGATATGGACAAAAGCTGCACTGAGCAGGGCCAAGGCCAACAAGCAAGAAGTTCGGATGGTGGAGCAAAGAAGCGTCGCCCTCGATCATCTCCTGAGGAGCTGCAAACGAGCAGAAGAACCACACGAGAAGAGAAGATGTCGGTGACCAGCAGTTCAAGAAATGTTGGCAAAAGTTCTTCCAGTTCTAAGCAGGTGCGGAAAGTAGAGAACAAAGCAGGACGAGCCGGCTCTGGTGGTAGTTCCTCAAGAAACCACGAGGAAAAAAAGCTGTTGAAACTCAAAAGCAGCACCGCCACCTCTTCCAGTCGTCGCGTTGAGATTCCGCTGCAACTCCCAACCACCACGACGGACAAAGATATCCGCACCTTGACGAAAAAAAGCCAGAACAAAACCGGGATCTGCGAGCTCGGCGGAGGAGGTCGCGCGGGCGGCCGTTTCTTGCGAGGCGTGGATGGGAACACGAAGACGGCGGCCATCAAGCCCTCGTGGCGCGTTTCGCTGAACGTTGTGAAGCGGAGAAACGAGCCCGCGTTTGTGAACTTCGGCCCGCAGATCCAGAAAGTCACGACCGAACTTCTCTCTCGCACGGACGCGGTGAACACTGTCGGAGGTGGAGGTGGAGGACCCATGCGTAGCGGGTATAATTTTTACGGCTCGGCGGGTACAACTAGAAGCGCTCACGGAGCACCAGGGTCCTCAAAGAACGCAAGCAAACTGTTCAACAGCCTATCCTCCCTGGTCGGTGCTGGAATGAACCGGCAGACCGCGACCCGCAGTGCTGGCGTGTGCGCGCGGTCGATTGTGGAGCGTCTCATGAAGACGGGGCAGTTGACGGATGCGGCGGACTCCCGGTCGCTCGTGCGAGAGCGGCACGGAGACAAGGAGAACCTCAGGGACGACCTCTGGCGGCAGGACATGTGGCTGATGCCCGGCGAAGGGGACGACTGCTACGAGGCAGGCGACATGATCGACGACGAAGGGGTTGTCGTACCGCACCGACAAGGTGATATCGCTGTAAAGACACGGGTCGAGGAAAACAAGAATCAAAGCAACGGCAAGCAAAAGGAAAATAGGAGCTTGAAGTTCTCATCCGAGTGTTCTTCCTCCAAGCGGTTCTTGCGCGACAGCGATGCCGAGGCCGAGCGTACTGAGAAAAAACCAGGGGTGGCTAAGAGAAGAGATGCTGACAGCAGCAAAAAGAATACCAACGGACTTACAGGTACTGCATCCATGGTGGAAGAGGCAGGAGTAGAGGACCTCAATGACGTCGGAAACAACAGCTGCGATGCTGGTACTGCGACAGCAGCGACTTTAGACGACACTTCTACGACTGCCGTTGCACTACAAAAGGATATGCTGCAGATTGATGGAGCGGCCTCCAGCCAGGGGGACACAGCCGGGAGGTCAAGGGCATTGGGGAAAGCAGCATCGATTTCCTCCAGGCACAGTCGACGCGGCTATTACATGATGTCGCCAGAAAAATGCGGCAGCAGGTCTATTCGCCCAAGTCAAACTCAAACTCCAGACAGTGCAGAAGAAGCAAAAAAGTTGAAACATCTAGCTGGTGCAGGGGCTGGAGGACCACCGCCCAGACAAAATCAAAACGAGGCGCAACGACGTGAGTGCGAGTCTATGAACCGCGGTACTAGCGCCGCCAGCGCCAGGAGCTCGTCGCTCTTACAAGAAAACTCCGCTAAAAACGAGGTGACGGTACTCCCCCCATACCAGGACCATCTCATTTACGATGACACGTACTGGGAAAATCTGGATTCGCTCATTACGGACCCAAACCAGCTAGCCCAGTTCCAGGACAAACGAGCCCAGTTGCTGAAGCAGTTGAGACGAAAGCGGGGGCGCGAATTGATGTTGTTGCCACCTTCCAGTGCGGCAGATGAGCGGGTCGTGAACTACAACGTCTGCGAACAAGTAGATCATCACTCCCTCCGCGTTTTGACCTCACCGGAGCAGGCTAATAACGAAGCTGAGATGGGTCGCAGAGTTCCAAGTCTAAGCGCGAGCTCTTTTCAAACACGACGCTCGGAACGGGTGCGCGCAAACCAGCACTCGGATGATCATGATGTTCATCATGAATGCAGAAGGGGGGTCGGCGAAGATACCATGTGGATGAAGAACAACACCGATCTGTCCACAACAAGTGCCAGCGCCGCACAGCAACTACAGGCGCTGCAACAAAAGACATTTTCGACTCTTCTCGAAGAGCAAGATGAAGTACTAGAGAGTCCTCGCGCACCAGACCGCGACTGCTGTGACCGCGAGGACGACGGCTTGGGCTTCGTGGTATACCGCAAAAAGGGTCCGCTCTCATTCGTTTTTGAAGAAGAGCGGCTGGGAAAGAACGACCAAAGTTATGGCTACACTTGCGCGGTGGATCACGAGCATGAGCAAAGGGACGAAGCAGCCTGCCGACAGGAAGAAGATCTGTCTTCGTCACTACCAGCGCAAGAAGATTTTGAAAGCGACCGAAAACAAGAACACGGCGTAACAGCCCGCGCAGAGGACAACAACGTCGAGAGGTCGGCCACCTCACTACAAGACGTCGATCATCTTCATCGCGGCGAAAAGGAAATGAACGAAGCTGAAATGAACGAGGCCACGGTCGATCATGTTGCCGCTGACGACCACGTCGAGCAGGACTACAGCAAGCCGTGCGCAACTGTGGAGGAAGTCGAAGTTGTAGATGACTTTCAGGTAGAACAAGAAGAGCAACATGCTGAGGTTTTTATCGAGTCAATCGCCGACGTGAACAAGCGACGCCTGCATCTTGTCGGCAACCGGCTACAGTCGGTGAAAGCGAAGCTCGACCGAGGGGGGACGAACCTGGAGACGCTCGCGAAAACGAAATTAGCTGCGGTGAAAGACAAATTGTCCAAGGATCGAGATGATAGAAGTTGTAAAGGAACCGCAAATGTTGGGGCGGAAGACGTCGTGAGCAACAACTCGACAACAACACCTGCTCCGTCAAACTGCGCATCGTCACCGTCATCCACTGTTGGCCCGGCAGGTATTAAAAACAAGACGGCAAACAGAGGAGCCCCCTCGTCCAAAATGTTGAGCAAGGGCGATGCAGAGAGAACAAATGCAGCCGATTTTCAGGGGTTAACCGCCGAGGTCGATGGCATTGTGGAGGAGGTCGAAAAGCAGATCAAGACGATTAAGACGCAGCTAAAAGAGTACGAGGAGGAGAATTCCCACCGCGACCGGCTCTGGCAGGACGCTTTGAACCACGAGAAACTCATCCTGGCGGAGGAATCCGAAGCGGCCGTGGCCTCGGAAAAAGCGAAGCTGGAGCTCGAGACGAAGGCAAAGGTGAAATTTTGGGAAAAGCAGTACCAGAAGGAGTGCGAAGACTACTTGCGCCAATTGAAGTTCGATTGTGACAGCTTGTTTCAGAAACGAATGCAGGAATTGGAAGAGGTACAGTGGGTGTAAAAAATGATTTGCCGTGTTAGTTTTATGCAGTTCTAGTTTCGTTTTTGGTCTTCGATCGTCACCAGCTTGTTCAAATGATCTTTGTTCGTTCTCATACTTTTGCCTCAACACAGAGACCACAGAAAAACAAAAACAGGAATACAAGGGCAAGATTGAGCAGCAGATCGCCGCGACGCACGAGTTGTTGCAGCAGACGGCCGCGCTGAAGCAGGCGCGCGATGAGTTGGAGCAAACGAAGGAGCAGTGGAACGTGGACGCGGACCACTTGTATGAAAACATGCAGAAGGAGGTCGCGGAATACGTGTACCACGACGTGTACCCGAAGGCATACGAGTTGTTTGACAACTATGCGGAGAAAAAGGTCAAGGAAACGCTCGACGACATGGACCAGCTGAAAAAAAACCACGAATGGATCCGGAAGGACCGCGAAAGACACATCCAGTCGCTGCGGGCGGACCTGCAAAAATTCGCAAGAGGATCATCTAATTCCGGGGACGGAGCAGGTGGCAGTTCGTTCAGCCGCCCATCCACTTCTGCTACAACTTGGGGCAAACCGCGGGGACGGTCACGCGTAGGATCTACCTTCTCGCAACATCATGCGGACAGGGGGGCCGCGCGGAATGTTAATGTTGAAGCGCGGCCTACCTCTGAAATAGAACAGGGGACGACGAACAACCACGAAGGTATTGTTCTTGAAAGCGAGGGTGTAGATCAAAGCGCGGCCGGTGCAGAGTTCTTGCAGACGAATCCTTTGGCCATCCAGCTGGAAAAGGACCAAGCTATGCTGGACGAGATTGAAATCAACATGCTGAGAATTATGGCCGAAAGGGGCACTACAACTGGGGTTGCCTGGGATGTTCCACCATTCGCCCAAACAAGAGAAGCAGTTCCACACCCAAATATGGCTCGACGGCTCTCGGGCGGCTCTTCAGATGAAGCAGTGGTTGATGAACACGACGATGATGATGACCTTAAGGAAGATAACGACCAGCAGCACAATAATAATAAAAGGCTCGGACTTCCTCAGCATTCTCAACATCTGCCCCGGAAAGATAGCGACAGGGCAGGAGCCTTAATGTTGGACGCAGCAACTCTACTCACGCAGGAGAAGTTGCAAGAGCTGGAGCAAAGACCGCACGACAGTTGTACTAGCGGCGAAGTTTTCTATGATGCTGGTAGAAAGACAAAGAAGAAGGACAATTTCGGGGCTGCTCTCGAGGAGAAAATCAGTGACATGCAGAAGAAGCACGAAGAAGAGACGAAGAGATTGAAAGCGGCGCTCGACAGTGAAGCGAGTGCGCTCCGGACGTTACGCTTGGCACACGAGGAGGTCAAGGACTCAAATCAGCTCTTCCGACGAGTGAACGCCGAGCAGAAACAACTGCTCGATTCGCAGCGGCAGGAATTGGACAAGCTGAAGTATGAGAATGTGAATGTGCAAGACAAAACCGAGCTGATCCGCAATCTGCAAGAGAAGGAAAGGGAAATCAAAGAGGAGTTGCTGAGGAGCAAGGAGGAGTGCGATTTCCTGAGCCAGGAGCTCAACGTCGCGGAGAAAAAGATCGAGAACTACTTCGCCAGCGACCTGGCGGGCCAGGAAGTCACGCTGTACAAGAAGCAAGCGCTGCAGTTGCACACGCTGTTGTACTTAACCAACGTGCTGCACTGGTGCAAAGCCGAGTTGCAAAACGCGCGGTTCTATGCAGGAAAAGACACCCATCCACGTCCAATTTGTAATGCAAAGCGCGTATCAAGTTCTATGTTTGTCATGCAAAAAATGGACGGGGACGGGGTTTTTTCTGTGGATAGGTTCTCGTCGGAGAAGTACGTCTTGGAGCAGCGGAATTTCGGCTACGAGTTGGAAAAAACGAACGAAAAGGTCAAGCAGCTGAAGCTGGATCAGCACGCGTGGCTCCTGGATTTCGAGCAAAACACGAGGAACTGCCGCCGTCGAGGTGATGAGCAGGCCGGGGTGGACCGAGGGCAAGTAGCAGGTGGGGCCGGCGCGTCGTGGTGCTCTGGTTGTAAATGCGCCCTTTGTTACTGCCTCGAGATCGATTGGGTCGGAATGCAAGGCACTGCTGGCGAATTGCTGGACCGCGAGCTGTGTGAAGGTCGTGTGGAAGACGACATGAAGATCCTGAAGAACGAGGCAGCACTAGAAGACAACACCAAAGCGTCGAGTCAAACGGCTGATCTGAAGCAGCAGGCTCGTACTGCAGTGCGCAAGAACGGCGAGAACAAGGCCGCTGAGAACAATCGTGACAACGAACAAAACGAACTACAACCTCAGAAGCGAAAAAGAAAAAGTGCGGCAGATGAAATGAAGTCGCAGGAGGGTAGAGTAAAGGACGGCGACATTTCAGCTGCTCGCCGGGATAGGAGCGGCCGAAGGCCCGGAGCAAAGGAGGGCAGCACGTCGTCGAGGCCGCAAGAAAGGAATTACTATACTAGAGACGTGGAGTCGGCGGGCGGATCTACTGAAACTGCTCGAAGAGGGACGGTCGGCGAACGAAACGCGCGAACAAACAAGCCACGGCCTTCCGGAGAGCGAAGCAGTAGAGAGAGCATCATGCGTCCTCGCGACAACGCCAAAGATAAACAAGATCAAGAAAGACATCACTCCAGAACAACGACGAAGCCCGGAGAAAGAACGAGAAGTCGCGAAAAGGAGAATCCAGCTGGCTCCAAAAGTTGCAAAAACAAGCGCGGACGGAGTAGGGCAAATGCGACAGCAGTGGCAGCGGATGACGATGAGAAAAATCACAGCAAACGCCGAGAACTAGAGCTAGCTGCTGCAGACCGTAATTCCAGGTACGCACGGGAAATCCAGGACGCCGCGGCTAAATATAAAGCAGCTGGTGGGGCAGCCACGAGCACGACTCAACATGAAGGCAACCATACTACGCGGAACAAGACCGCGCGAGGTGCCAGCTTCGATGCTGCATCTTCTACTTCCGCCGGTTATCGAGGAGCGGCACATGAAAAAAGCGGTCGCGGCTCCTCACACGCCCGAGAAAGCGGAGTAGAAACCAGGTCGGGGAACTACACGCGGAACAACGCCTCGTCCCGTGCAGTTCTTGGCCGAAGCCGATACGACATTCCAGAATTGGAGAACGAAGCCGGTATTGACACGCACCGTCGAACTTTCAGAACCGCGGGTGTAGAAGCTGCGAGGTCGCCGAAGCGCCGCAGGATCGATCATGTTGATAAAAATTCGAGGGACACGGCGACCAGCGCTTCTGCGGTCCTCGTGCAAGAAGCAAAGGGAAGCGGTACAACTGTGCCTTCTTCGAACACTGTGAGCGCCTCTTCACGTTCATCTCGGGCTGCGAACGTGGTAAGTAAGCACCAAGATCGTGAAGGTCATCTACCACCTGCCGACGATGACGATCCGCCCCTTTTCCCGACAGAAGCTTCCATCTTTTGCAGTTACCTCAACCTATGCATTGCAAAAGTATCGTAGTACAAGTTGTACTCGTATAAATGCAATACAAATAATTTCCTCAGCATGAGAAATCAAATAATTTTTCATGCGGATTTACCTATAGGAAAAAAATGACTGCAGCTACTACGAGTGCGATACTTTTGCACAGGATACAACCCGGACGCGGGCGATTTTCGAGAGGAAGTCGACCGTAGGATTGAAAAGACAAAGTCTATGGATTGTGATTATGTCTGGGTCTGGGAGATTGCGAGATTTGTCATGCTAGTCCGGCATGACTGTGAACTCTGTATTGCGTGCCCACAAAAAGGTCCTCCTGTCTGTCATGCAAAAACGCAGTTTATCATTTTATCATGCGGAGTATGCAAGCAAGTCTGAACCATGGAAAAACTTGTCATGCTCGGGAGCGCATTCCAGTGTACTCACTAGTCCCTTCCTTGCGTCACAAGTTTCCAGACCCAGACATGTTTGCAATCCATAAAGTCCCGCGCGGTGCGAAATGTCTATCGCCAGTTGAAGTATAGTGCTGACGAAGGGCTGAACAAGGAGAAGAGGGAGGAGAGCTGCGACCCTGCTGAAACAGCAACATCAAGAGACCACAAGCACAGAACAAAAGCCGAGGCAATAAAGCAGGGCGAGGAGCTTTTGAAAAGCGTGAGCTCCATGTTTACCGATGAGCACGTAGCAGGCTGGATGCAGGACACACTCGTGCGGATTGTGAACAACTTGATAGCTTGTAAAGACGACAGGTCTGCTGGTGCTCGTGCCGTTGTGGGCGGCTCCACTACATCATCAACATCCAGAGCGAAGCTACTTACGTGTAGTTCTCCCGGGTATGAACGGACAACATACAATTTGACCCCAAAACGAGCATATAGTGCCACGAGAATGAAACTAGCGACCTACGAGAATGAGGAAGCAAATGGGGCTCCACCCGCTTACAACTTTTCCCGGTCCGGACGGGGTAGACGCTGCGCTTTTCATAGGGCTTGTGCCCGTTTTTTCGCGCAACGCTCCTTGTTTTGCGCGCGGTTTTTCTATTTCTTTACAAAATTGGAAAACCGGCCGGATGCGGATGCAGCTTTTCTCCCCGCAGGAGAAAAGCCGCATCACAAATTCGCAAACTTTGCTTCCTCCGGTTGGAGAAAGACCTTCTCCGCATTACAAATCTCCTCCGGTTGGAGAAAGACCTTCTCCGCGTATCTATACAAATTTCCTCCGGTTGGAGAAAGACCTTCTCCGCATTACAAATTTTGAAAGGTGCCCATTGCCATTGCGTTTGTAATGCGGAGAGCCCGACCTTTCAAAGGTCGGGCTCTCCGCATTACAAATTTTGAAAGGTGCCCATTGCCAACTGAAAAGGTACCTTTTTTCCGAAAATCCCCCTTGGTAACTGAAAAGTGTTTCAGTTACCAAGGGGGATTTTCATCACTCGGTGAGTGGCGAAAGCGCTTTCGCCACTCACGGTCGGGCTCTCCGCATTACAAATGCAATGGGAAAATGCGGAGCCCGGAGCCTCGGGTTCTCCGCGAATCTTCAGGGGAAGATTCGCATTCGCAACCCGGGCTCTTCTCCGCATTACAAACCCCACAAGCGGCTGCCGCAGCCGCTGCACACCGTCGTGCGTAACCTTTTGCGCGATGCTATCCCCAAGCAGCAATATTCGTACTCCCGATAGCATCGGGCGTGAGGTTATGCTGCATGGTATCGCTGCGTGCGAATTTCCCTCGCAGCCATAGCATTAGGTTACGCACGACCTGTGGGTTGTCTCTTTTCTGCCCCCCCCCTTGGCCGTTGTGCAGCTTCTTTTTACCTTTTTACCCTCAAACACGACCGGATTCCGGGAAAAGTTGTGGTTTTGGGTGGAGCCCCAACTTTTCGCAATTTCCGCCCCAGCAACCGGGGCAACCTCAATGAACCCATCGGGATGCACCGCCCGGAACGAAATGGGCCCGATGACGCCGCGAGCCTGGCTGCGATGACGCAGACAGGCCGCGAGCCTGGCTGCGGTGTCGGTGGCTCCACTACATCATCAACATCCATAGCGAAGCTACTTCCGTGTAGTTCTCCTGCTCCCGGCGAACAACGAGAACAACAAACTCGCCCGACACGACAGCTCGTTCACCTTCCAGGAGGTGGACCCAAAGAGAAGGACAAAGCTCAAGATGGTCGTCCTCGTCCTGTGACCCCCCGCCATGGGGACGACAGCAGCACGACAGCACCCGATGGAGTGAACCAAAACCGGCTTGAAGATGTGCACCAAAACAAGAATCTGGAGTTTCTGTACATTTTGGAGAGCCTGCTGTCCCGCATGGGCTATTTGGAATCTCTGATCAAGCAGGTGGAATCGCTGAAACAGTCGCTGGCACCGCAAGAAAGCAAATTCCTGCACTTGAGCCAGGAACTGGAGCACCGGATTAAGGACTACGAGAAAAAAATCGGAGGCCTCTACTTTCTAGGAACAAATTGGCCTAGCAAAGAAAAAGGCTCCTAAACGCCGACCAAATGAAAACAAAACGGCAACTAACGGGGCAGAAAAGCACGAAAGGGCGGCCCAAGAGCGCCCCGGCCTTTTCAGGTTGTGCCCCTTCTACCCTGACGCGCGCGCCCTCGTTCCGTGTGCCAATTGGCGGCCTTCGGTGGCACCAGCGGGAGCAGCGCGAATTTCTATGCGCGGCTGTGCGCGCATGCCTTCTGGGCTGTCCGGCCACCGGCGTGCTGCTTAGCGACTATCGCGAGGACTATTTTGCGACAAGCACCCTCAAAGCAGACGCGCCGCTTTTTGACAGACGCGCAGGCTCCGTAGCGGTGCCGAGGGGAAGTCGTGCGAATGTCGGACCAAGCATTGCGGCCCTCTGTGTGGGGTAAAGCTAGTAGAGGGCCAAACGAGGACTCCTCCGCCCTTGTCTGCCCCAAGGTCGCGAGATGTTGAGTCAGGTCGGAAGAGGGGCGGGGGAATGAACCGACCTGAAGGCCACAGAAAATGCGAAGGGAAGGGCGAAAAAAGAACAGCAACAGGCGCCACGGGAAGGCCTCGACGGCCCGTCGGGAAGCCGCCGGCCCGTCCTCAGACACGGTGGGATTCTCGATTTTTTCCGGTTGGGAGGGGCCCCCAACCGGAGAAAATGGAGCGCCCCACCGTGTCTGAGGACAAACCGGCGGCTTCCTGGCGGGCCGCGAGGCCTTCCCGGCCGGTGCGCCTGCACGTAGCTGTATGGCCTGCCACATAGCGGCCCCTTCCCCTTGTCCCTTTCCTTGAGCCTTTCCTTCGGATTTTGGTAGATTTTCGGCAAATTTTTGGGAGCTTTCAAAAACGCAGAGTGATACGCACTCCGCCTTTTTTTTGACACGCAAAGTGACACGCAGAGTGACACGCACACTGATACGCACTCGTCAAACACGACCTGTTTCTCGTTTTTGACGAGTGTGTACTGTCAAACCGCTCTGTAAATTGACACGCAGTGAGTGCGTGTCAGTGCGTGTCACTTTTACAGACCGGAGAGAGGTTTTGGAAAGTTTTGGAAATATCCTTCACCGACGGTATTGTGTGACACGCACTCACTGCGTGTCAAGTGCGTGTCACTCTTCACGCCTGTATTCTCGCCACCAGCGATTCGGTCGTGCGTGTCACTGCGTGTCACCAGAATATAGGTGCAAAAAGTGACACGCACTGACACGCACTAGATGCGTGTCACTACCATACCGTGCAGGAGAGAGACAACGCCTGTCGTCTTTTGGTCTTCCCCGATGGTATACGGTGACACGCACTGAGTGCGTGTCACTTTTTGCACCTATATTCTGGTGACACGCAGTGACACGCATTGCGGTACGCAAGTGACACGCAGTGTGACACGCACTGCGTGTCACTTGCGTATCACTTTGCGTGTCAACTGCGTGTCACTTTTTGGACTCAACTGCGTGTCAACTGCGTGTCACTTTTTGGACGTTTTGCTTGTCTGAGCGTGTTCATTTTTTTGCGCCTTTTCTTCCCGAATTCGACTGCCTTTTTTTGCGCCACATTCTGCTTTTTTGAACAACAGAAAATACGGCTTTTTTCTGTACTTTGGCAGCTCCAAGTTGAAGAAAAAGGCCGCGCTGTATGTTTTGCTGCAGAAAGTACTCAAGACCGGCGCCCCCGCCCTGCTGGCGGGGGTCGGTTGGCCGGCATGGGAGAGAGCACGAAGCGCCCGGAAAAGGGAAAAGAGGCCTTTTCCTGAAACTTGGCGGCCCGAAGTTGCAGAAAAAGGCCTCCAAATGATTGCCGCGAGCAAGTGCGCGCGCTTGGTCTGGCTTGGCTTCTTTGGCTCGGGCGATGCTTCCTCGCTATTGTTGGGCGCGCAGCTGGGCGCGCGGTTGGGTGCAAGCCGGCTTCTTGGCTGCGATAGCTGCGAAGAAACGAAAAGACGAGCTTTTTCTGCAACTTGGCGGCCCCAACTTGTCGAAAAAGCCTGTCAGCCGAGACCTGTTGAACAAGACCGCTGCGCCTTTTGCTGCTGCCTGGCCGGAGGGGCCCGGTGACCTTCCGCCCTAGGCCCTCGCATTTGTGCCTGGCCGCTAACTGAGGCCTTTTCTGGCAACTTGCAGCTGGGAACTTGTCCAATTTGCGCGTCTTCTTTTTGTGTTTCTTGTGTTGGGCTCTGGGGCCAAAAGAAACACTTCGACAGCGCCACTCCCTATCGCCGCCTGGCGTCCCATGGCCATGGTAGTGGACATTTTGAGCGCGTTTCAGAAGCCACCCAGTTGCTAGGCCGATTTCACTCCGATACTTTGCCGGACAGCAGCAAGTGGTGGCGTCCTCCTCGGCCTTGCTTAGAAGCAGCTCAACAGGTGGGACCGCTGTCGGTGGTGAACAAGACAAAACAGGCAATCTGAAGAACAAAATGAATGCTAGCGGGAGTGGGGAACAAAGCTACAGCTCCGCCAGCGCTGGCGCTGGAGGAGGGGCTCATGCTACTAGAAGTGCTACCGGCGCAGGAGCCGCTGGTGCTGATTCACATGCAGCTAGTGCCACAACTCCATCACTAGAACAACTACAGAAGGCTTTTGATCTACAGCAAGTCAATCCTGGCGCGACACAATTGCTGGACACAATCGTGTGCAACAGCAAATTGCTCGACACATCCGCCTCGCTAGACTTCGCCGCGAGCTCTCGATTTGAAGAAATGCTCGTGCACCAGCAGGCCAACCTGAATTGTGATGTCCAGGAGCACAGCAAGTGTGGAACTACCAGCAGAAGTAGGAGTTGCCACTTTAAAGATCTCGAAACGCCCTTCCTGTCCTGCGTGCCGTATCACCTAAATTTGAGCTACCACCAGGACTGCGCCGTTCCGAATTGGATTGAAGCCGAATTTCAGCGAAAGTTCCAGCACCTTGAGACTACAGCTGCTGGAGGATACTGTAACTTCGGCGAAACCGATGAACAACGTCATGACCCGGTAGCTGTACCGGCAGCAGGTACTGTACTAGGTGCTGCCTCCTCTTGGTCGACGACGTCTCTTCAGCAAAACCAAAACTGTGGACGAGCATTGTTTCCACTGCGAGGACAGCAGGACCCCGCAGCCAAGCCCTCGGCCGAGCTTCGGAGTCGATTTTTCCTGGATCGCCATGCGGTGCCTATGGATATCGAAGATCCACTTCAAGCTCGTTCTACTTGCTCTGAACAAAGAACAACGCAGCCGCCTAAAAGCCACGAGATGATGATGATGAATAAAGCGGTGGATGAACACGATCACGAAGTAGAAGTGCTACAAGGTTCTTCCGGATCACCAACCAAGAGACGGATGCAAAATCGGGAGAAGGCGCAGAAGCTGCAACCGGAGCAGGCACACGAAGAAGAACTACCATCGGGCCGAACAAGCATAAGTGCCGACGGCGTGATAGTGGAATCAAGAAATGGTAAAAATGCAGCTCCACAAGGCGACGACGATAGTACAAGACAAGACTGTTCTGGCGCGGCGCCAAGCTCGTCTCGGGTGGACGACCCGGATGCAGGTGCGGCGGGGACGACACATCATCAGCCGCAGCTGATTTCAGAGTCGCTCCCCGCTTCTTCGCTGCCGGCCTCGGCGACGAGAAAGAACAACTCGCTTTTGAAACCGCAGTACCAATCCATAATGGACCACCTGGCGCTCTCTTTGAATTGCACCTACCGTGACCAGAGCTTCGAAAAAGCGCACCAAGTGCGCGACGTTCACAAAATTTTGAAGCAGTGGAGCGGCGACGCGCAAGCGAGATTTCTCTTCCGCGAGGTCGCGCGCTTTGGCGGCATTTTGGAAGAAGCTGGCGTGTTGTCCTGCGCGGGGGAGGAGTTTGTGCGCGAGGTGGAGCAACGGAGCGGGGGTTGTGCCAGAACTGGTTTTCATGAAGATCATGCTTCTGATGGAACTCGTACTGGTGAACCTTTCGCTACAGTTGGTAATAATAGTCGTGCTCGCGAAGGTGGCGTAGGCGTACCAACTCGCGACTCGACTTCGGCCACCAGTGTAGAAGTAGGTCGTCCAGCTCAACAACAACACGGCGGGCCCACTCCACCTGCTGTGATGTCCTCGTGCCCTGCTCTGGGCAACAGCTACAGCAGCAACCGGAATCAACCTGGTGCGGCCTCCTTGTTCCACAGTTTGAACTTAAACCGAACGGCCTTCAGCCGCAGAAACATCGGCTGGTCAAAATTCTTGGCGCACAGGAAAAAAGCTGCAAAAAGTAACGACGAGAACAATAAACAGGGAAATAATGATGAACTTAATTGTGGTGCAAAAATTGAATCAGATAGCGCAGAAAATAAAGCTGCGCCAGAGTTTCAGTTCACGGATGACGAGGACCACGATGGGCACGACGATTCTTCGAGTTCGGCTGCGCAGCAAGAAGACCACTACCCGACGATGCCCCGGCGTCCGCCCTTCATTGTGAAAGTGAACACGAATACACTCTCGGCAAAATCGGCGGAATCCGTGCGGATGCAGGCGTATTTCGACGAGTATGAGGCGGAGTTTGAGAAATACTGTGCCGAGGTCGTGGAAATCGGACGGACGGTGTACGGCCACAAACCGGAGCCGAGCTTCGTCCTCACAAAGTTCTTTCCCGAAGCAAAAAAGCCAACAGGGGAAAGATCAACGGCGGAAACACGAGGGGGTGATAAACGAGGTGAAGAACAGGGCGGTAAATCACCGGGCGGCCCACCAGGGGGTGGAGCGGCAGGTGCAGAGCCACGTAATCATGAAGATAAGACCAAATCCAATCCTGACGGACGAGGTCGCACAGCACAACAACAATCTCCAAGCTCGCGAGCAAGAGCTGGCACAGCAGTCGGCGTCAAAAAAAATCCTGTAAGTGACGGACGACCAGGACCACTCGGTGCGGGCGCAGGACGAGATACAACAACGGGTACTAGTACTGCTTCTGTCCTCCATCTACAACGCGGGTCTTCAACCACAAGCAGAGGAGCTCCTGTGCCCCCTGCTCTCGAGTCCTCGCGCACTCCAGCAAATACGGACTGCACGGCCCGTGAGGATGACAGCAAAAAGAAAAATCAAAATGTCTCCTCGTCCACTGTTCATCCCGCCGGTGCTGGCGCACCAACAGCTGCTCAAAGCCTGGACGAGATTACGGCCGACGACTGTGACTTGCTGTATGACGATTTGTTAACTGATCAGGACAAGAAACAAGCCACCGCGGCCCGGGCGGCCAAAGTGAACGCGGCCGCCGCTGCAGCGTCGTCGAAGTCGAAGACGAAAAAAATCGTAGTGCCGGGATCGAAAGCCGCACGGGCGCAGCCGCCAAACGAGGAAGGGGCGGTAAATTATAGTAGAACAACGGGCGGCGGTTCTGGCATTGGTGGTGGTGAAGGAACGACGACATCAATCTGGGACCAGCAAGCCGCGCCAGCAGCTTCCCAAGAAATAAATAAACCCCTCTTCGAAGGGTTGTTGAGCGGACATCAGTCAACGACGACGTGCTTCGGATCTACTTCTTCGACTTCTCTGCAGCCAAGCTCTTCCTTGGTCATTTCGGCATCCACTTCAACTTGGTCCTCCTCTCCCACAAGTAGAGCCGCGGCTCTTCGAAAGGAAAACCGAATCATGCCACCGCCTCCGCCCGCGTTCGCCCGCGGGGGAGGAGGTGGACGGTTTTATCAAGAATCGGCCAGAAGAACTTCCAGATCACGAGCTTTCGCACCCCCGCCCTTACCCGGAACTACGACTATGGGAGGATCATCTTCATCAACACGCGATAGGAGTGGTAGCAATTATGCCTTTGGACGAACGGCGAGTAGGACGACACCCACAGCGGTGGCCTCGACGCTCCCCGCGGATCGGGCCCGGGGAGGAGGAACAAATATAGCACAACATCCATGGGATAACCTCAAAGATCATTCGACGTCGAGCCGGACTGGAGGTGCTCTTCGTCTTCCCCATCCCACCGCACCGTCTGGTTCAAGCAGCAGTGGCTGGGCCAATCTCGGGCGCAGCACGTCTACCACGGCTGCAGCGGCATCTTCAACAACATCAAGAAGTGTAGTTGCGCAGCCAGGGTCGAGCTCGAGGACAACATTTCTACCCATGCCTGCAGACCTGGAGATCCTCGCGGGGGCAGCACCGCCGGTACTTCATAGAGATCATGCTGCAGATCATCAAGCAGTGAATGTTGCCCCTCTATCATCTGGTGTAGTGGGGCGAGGACGTCCAGAGGTCAGTGCTGTGGCAGTTGTTCCAGCTGCACAGCCAGCTAGTACTGGAGGTGGAACAAGTGGAATGATAACGAGGAACAATCCGACAACTAAGGGAAAGGGCAAGAAACAGGGCAAGAACGCCACTGCAGCGACCTCCGCGAGGACGGGAAGGATCGGACTCGACGAATGGTTCAATAATGGCGAGAAAACCGAGTCCGAACCAGACACAGAGTGCTCCGAACTTCCGGATCCGGAGTGAGTAGAAAAAGTACAAGTCGACGAACAGACGTCAAGTTCTTCATCTCGTAAAAAAAAAGTGATGAACATGTCGCACTATCATACTTACAGCAAAAAATCATGTTAACAATACAGAAGACATTTTATTTGGCAGCGAAGGCATTTTTATGCCATTCAGAAAAACACAGGAGCACGAGAGAACCAACTACAAGGCAACAAGAACCACAAGCACAAGAAAGGAACCCAAATAAGGCGAAGGCGATCAGTAGCCTCAGCCGCCACCAGCAGCGAGGTGAAGGCACAGACCTCGCAACAAGCGGCTGCTTGCGAGGCACTTCCGGTCGCTCTAGAAACAAGGAATCAGGAGTCGTGTTTCTTCACGCTATCCTTTCATAGGCCTTGGACCCTGACTTGAACCCACCTTCTCGTTGGTTCTTCCATGCTTGATCTTGACCTTTGCTTAATTGCGAGAGTGAGACTTGAAGTAACAGTTGTCGGAGTAGTAAGCCCTGGTAACAACTAAGTAAGTGTTGACCTTAGCCGCGTGGTGCACAAACCGAAATGGTAATCCCTACGACTAGCTCAAGAAGTTAAAGACAAGTTGTTCAAGTGGCCATGTGCTACAAGATGGTCCGTCATAGAGGTATCATGAACGCCTGGTCTGCCAACTGCAGAGAGCACTTCGGCGTTGTGAGGGAGCGAACGTGAAAGCAAGATTTAGTAGATGATCATGATTTACAACATATTTGGCTATTCGTATCTATTTCGTGGATATTAAAAGACGCAACGCGATTACTTAATACCATGGCAGCTGCGACCTCGGGAATTGATCTCCAATTCGTTGCGGCTGCAGGTGGCTCGGCACCTCCCCCGGGAGGTCCTCGGGCCGAGGAGTCATCGTCGCTCGAAAAGCAGACGCTGGAGACTTTCTACAACGCTAATCACAATCATGTAGACACCGACACGGAGAAGGCTTCCACTGATACTATGCAGCCGCGGGGGGTGTCACATGGCGGACGTCGACCCGAGGACGGTGGCGGAGCAGCTGCTCCTGCACTTATACAACCAGAGGGCACGACCTCGACGTTCATCCCCGCCACGTCTAGTTCCTCGGTTTTCTTCCAGTTCCGTCCGCGCGCGGGGCGGATCAATTGGCGGTATTTGCAGCACTATCAAATGCAAAAGTGTCTGGGTCTGGAAAGTTGCAAGGTTTGTCATGCATCTCGTGGACCACACACATGTTCTGTAATGCAGACAGAAGCATCACAGATTTTTTGAGACCTTACTCATGCCTTTTCCGCATGAGAAAGTCGCCTTTTGCCTAGCGAGAATTGGGTAACTGTTGGAGTTCATGTTCATGCAACACAGATTTTCTCTTGATCCAGATTTTGCATGACAGGCTTCTTTCTTCCAGACGACCCAGACACATTTGCATTTGATAAGCACCTGGACATCGACACGATCAAGCGGGACGGGGATGTGGAAACGCTGGAGAAAATCGCGGACAACCTCACGTTATCAAATGTAAAAATGTCTGGGTCTGGAAACTTGTGATGCTGGGTGGCGTATCATGAGGACGGAGGCCACAAGTGCTGTCTCAGCATGACAAGTTTCTGAGCTTCTAGGTGTTGCCTATTCTGCATGACAAACTGCGTTTCTGCATGACAGAAAAGTGGCGCTCTTGGGTAACGTGCATGACAGCTTTGACAGTCATGCCAGACAAGCATGACAAAGATACACTCTTCCAGACCCAGACACTTTTACACTTGATACACGTTCGCGTGCTTCAACAACGAGGACCTGGAGATCGCGTCGGATGTGGAAGTGAAGCGGTTCGTCCACCTCCTGCAACTGGTCACCGAGTACTACTTCGTAACCGGCATGCAGAAAAACGCGGCGAAAGTGTACGAGTTGAGGAAAGCGGATAGTGCGAAAGGTAGAGAGATCTACAAGTTGGAAACGATGAACCGAAAATTGCTGAAGGAACTGAAGGACAAGCGAAGACAGGTTTCATTGTACGAAAACTTACTGCAAAACTACCGAACTGGACAAGGTGGTAGCGAAAGCGACGTCGACTACAGAATAAAGAATGGTCTTCAACAAACCGGCTTGTTCGAAGTAGATCCAGTCTTGCAAGATTTTGATGTCGACGCGCAAATAAGAGCGACCGGCCGCGCAAGTGCGAAGGAGGACAGAAGAGGAACAAAATTAGTGGCAGATGGGGACGCACAAGATCATGCGACTGCATCTGCATCGAAAAGAAGAAAACAGAGGCTGGAAAAAGACCATCCAGATCCAACCAGCAGCAGTGCGGCTACCGACTTGGAGAACGTCACAGCAGCCGGTGTCGTGGAGTCGGTAAAGAAACCGATCTCTGCGTCCCCGCAGTTTATGCGCGCAGGCGTCTCAGCGGCGACCGCATCGAGTTCTGTTGCAGATGCTGCGACTAGTAGATTATCGCCAGCAAAGGGCAGCTCCTCGTCAGCTGCTGTTCGAACGGCTGGAGCAGCGTCTGCAAAGACCACCACCGCCGTTTCGCACATCCTGAACATCATCTACCAGTGCCCGTGTTGCAGCAAAAGGTTCGAGAGTCAGGAGTTCCTCCAGCGGCACCTGGCCCGACGGCATCCCGAAGTCGACATCGGCAGCATTGACTTCGCAAAGTGCCGCATCAATCGAACGGTCGGGGGTACTAGCGCAACTTCTTCACCCACAAAGCAGAACAAGTTCACCGAGGAGCAGTTCCGGCGAGATGTGATCGCGGAAACCAAAACCTTGATCGACGAGAAGCTAGAGGAGCTCGTCGCGCTGGTGTTCGGTGGTAGTGAGGGAGCAACGGCGCTTGAGGATGGTGGAGCTGCTGGTGAAGATGAACAAGATCCAACTTCTCCAGGACGAGATGCAGCACGACCTGGAGGTCGTCCCACCGGCGAGTTCGCCGTGGCCGCGGCCCTTGCGCGCAGCCAGAGCAATGGAGGTAACGCGGAAGACGTTGCGTCCGACCTGTTGCGTGTGCTGCGGGAACGAAAACTCAACCAGCGGCAGAGTCTGGAGGTGGGCGAGAAGGTAGCAGATTTGCTCAAGACGGAACGAGCGAAAATCATGCGGGGAACAGGAGGTGCAAGAACTGCTGCTGATCTTCAGGGAGCAGCTTCGACATCATCAAGTCGTGCGGCCGGAGCTGCTTCATCTACACCCGGAATGAATCAAGAAGAGATCATGCAGGAGCGGTTGCAGAAGCTGGATGAGATGATGGGCATGGCGCTCACGGAGAACCGGCGGCTGGCCGACACGGTCCAGCAACTACAGTCTCGCAACGAGATCAACGAGCTGCGACTGGAAGAGATCGCAAAGCAGGACCAAGTAAACACAGCAGCACGCGGCCCCAGTCGACAATCTTCGCCGCAGCAAGGAGGTCGCGCTGGAGCGGTTCCTGGCGCCGCCGGTACAACTGGAATAACTGCAGCTAGTACCGACATGCTTTCCACACTCCACCCGCTGCAACGATCGACCTTACTACCCGAGACGACGGCGCCGGGCACAAACTTCGATCTGGACACCAACGCACCGCACTCCACTTCGGGCGCACCGACCGTCCTGACGCAGGGGGTTGGTGGCGGTGGAGGTACAACAGCGGGGCACTTGACGAGCAGCTCTACCTCGACTGCGATCACGCAGGTTCTGTACAGCTCCAACGCGACACTGTTCAACAAAACCAACCAGCAGAACGATCTTCCGCCCAGTGCTGTAGGTCTTCAACGTCATCTCGAGATCTCGTCGCAGAACACGTCCTTTTCCTCGGTGGTGCAGCCATTATACAACAACGAGGACCACTACACGACGACCACGAAGAACGGCGTTAGTGTAATCAAAGAGCGGGAATCCCGTCTCCAGGACCTGTATCAAATGCAAAAATGTCTGGGTCTGGAAGAATGCAACTTGTAATGCGTATTTCAGAACACAGAAAAGTTTCTCATGCATACGTAGCAAAAGCTCCCACTTTTTGTCAGCAAAATAGGGGACTTGTCATGCGGATTCGGCATTGCGGAAGGTTCTCGAAACCTGTGATGCTAGAGCTTCCATGCCAGACCTTCTGTGTCATGCAAAAACAGCATGACTCTTCCAGACCCAGACATTTTTGCAATCCATAACCTGTCTCTGAACGCGACGAAGCTCTCCCAAATCGCAGCCCGGGAGGAGCAGATCGCCCGCGAGCAGGAGCTGGCTACCGCGCGCATCGCGATGGCGCGGGACCAGCGGCTCCGGGCGGAATTCCTACAGGAGTTGGATGACAGCGACGCGCAATACGTGCAAGCGCCGAGGCGGCTCAGTGCCTACTCGTCCTTGGAGCTGCAGCCTGGTGGTGGGGCGTCGTCCTCTTCGCAGTCCCCCGTGAAGATGCGAGGGACGTCGTCGAGAGGGCACCAAAATCAGCAAGGAGCCGCGACGACGAACATCAAGGGGCGTCTGGTGGACTTGGTCGCGAACCGGAGCGGCGACGACAGCGCGAAAAGTGCCGCGTCGTCGAGTCGGGGAGGTAACAAGTGCAAGTACATTTTTTGATGCAATGTCATGTTGAGGTACTTACTACAGGGATACAAGATGCACCGGTGCGCCTTATCGTTATTCATGAGAGCGTAGAAAAATGCATGTCCTTGACGCATTTCGTTTTTCATCATGTTTTCTTATGCAGAAGTCCTCGCTGTCGGTTCTGCTTGATGCGTCTCTTTTCAAGAAGAAGCCCCTCGATCTCGAACTCTCTTTCGTTCCTTGTTCCCTTGTTGTACCTAATAGAAATAGAACGCTACTCCCCAGATTTCGCCCGCATTTTTGCGAACAAGGCGGACTCGTCCTTGGAAATGCAGACCCAGCGGAACCACGCCATATCAAATGCAAAAATGTATGGGTCTGGAAACTTGTAATGCTGATTTGTGAATAGTGAATTTTCTGTATATCTAATGCGCAGCCAACATGAGAGATTTTTGCGCGGCTTAGTGTTGCGCTTTCCGCATGACAAGCTGCGTTTGCATGACAAGCAAGAGGGTCTCTTTTTGGACACGCGTCACAAACTCTTCAGTCATGCCAGACAAGCATGACAAACCTTGCATCCTTCCAGACCCAGACATTTTTACACTTGATACGCCAGCAGCACCAGCGATTTTGGACGAGGAGGAGAGCCTTTTGTTCCTCCCTCAGCCCCGCCAAGCGACAACTTAGCCGCGACGAACTTTAGCATGCAAGACGCCCCGGAAGCGGGGCCGGAAGATCGCGAAGTGACGAAGCTGAACAAGTCCACCATAATATCCTCCCCGCGCTTGACGGCTACGCTTCTGCAGACACAGCCGCAACAGAATTCGGAGGACACCACTGGACGCATCATTCGACCCCCTGCTTCTAGTGGTGCCGCTGACGCGATGACGAAAAGCTCTGCCAGCTCTGTGATCACCAACCCGCGGGCGCACCGGGCCTTCCGAAATTTCTCCGACTCGGAAAGCGGCGCCGCGACGGAGATCATGGTGGATCAAGATCAGCCATCGCGCTCTGCTGTAGGGGCTAGTACAGTTGGCGCAGCTTACGAGGATCGTACTAAAGATCATTCCGGCGCCCAGCTAACTGCGACGAATTTCGAAAGTATAAATCGCTCTGCGTTGGAAACCACGAAGGTCTTCAGAGAATCGTCCGGTGCCGCAACAGATCTTAGGACGTCTTCGGAGTCCCTAAGCAACACGCGACTGCTGGACAACACGAGGCTGCAGAACGAGACGGCTACTGGTCTGGTCTCACGAACAGGACCCGAGCCCAGCTACACAACCAGCGTCAAGGATGACGTGCTGCTTGGAAGTACCAGTAACGCAGCGACGACCGTGATCTACGCAAATAATCCGAACACCATCGATAAAAGCATGAGCAGCAGCAGTGCCACGTCGCTGCAGCAGACGTCTTTCTTGCTGCAAACGCGCTTACCAGAAGATCGCGAGGCAACGTCGAATTTTGCGGGACAAATTGCACCACCAGCACCTCAGGACAGAATACCACCAGACACATCGCCGAAGTACGTGAATGCAGTTACTAGCAGCACCTCGACTTCTCTGCTGGCAAGCGCGCCCGCGCTCGTCCCCACGGTGCTTGTCGCGGAAAAAAACCTAGAAAAACCCTTTGAGCGAGGCTCCATTGCGAGCCTCCCCGGGGTAGTGCTGCACTCTAACTCTTTGGAAACCACGAAAATTTTCGACCGCCCTGGACCAGCCCCGGCGGGAAGTCGTGATGATGTTGCTAGTACCGCCAGCCGCGGGGTCCTCGGCGCGACGAAGCTGGAGTCTCAAGAACCTACTCAGTTAGACGCCACCGTTCTTGTTCAAACGCGCCTGGCTGACGAGGACGCCGAGATTGATGTTGCTGCGACCAATATCACAACGACCAAGCTCGAAGACAATCATGCCCAGGAAGGCACGACGACCTCGACGTCGACACCGCTCCCGGCCACGAACGGACTTGCAGGTCGTGCAGCTGGACTTCGCGACAACGACGCAGCTCTGTCGAGCAGCAGTGCCAGTACGCTGATAAACACGACCGCCACTGTCTTGCTGCACAACAACGACGCTGCGCTTGACACAACCACAATCCTTCCGCGGGGTGGTGCTGGAAGTGAGCGTGAGACTAGTCCTGCTCTAGCAGCTGCAGCTCCCGGCGTTGTGCGAGAATCCATGGGATGGAACGTGTCCACCATCTTTCCCGTGGACGGAACGATTCTGCCTGAGCAAGAAACTACATTAAATCGCAGTGGTACGAACAGCAAAATAGACGACAAGTCTTCATTTTTAGAGGATTTGCAGCCGAAAGATCAGACGAGGATAGAACTTCCATCAGGGGGAGCTCGTGCGGATGTTGGTGACAGAAGTAAAGTAGACATCAGCCTTACATCCGCATCTGACAAGACATCAATCGCTGCGGGGTCGGCCGCGGGGGCCGCAGGGGATCTGAGCAAGACGGTTGATCTCGTCCCAGCGGACTTGACGGTGCTGGAAGTGAGGAGTTCTGCAGAGGTAGCAGGGAATAAAAGCGAAAATGTTATTGCGGGAGAACCATCATCGACTTCTCCACCAGACGCACGGGAAGGTCGTTTTCCAGAAGACAGGAGCAAAACTGTCGCACCACCGTCTGGGTCTGCAGCTCCACCTCCACCACCTCCAGCTCCAGCTGCAACTCAGCAGAACGATCTTTCTGACTACTCCGACGACGATTTCGAGATTGAAGTTGATGATGAAGAGGACGACGAGTCGCCGAAGCCTGTTCTTGCAGGAGCTGCTCCTGCTCGAGGATCATCCCCACCGCCAGCGGCTCCGGTCGATGCAGCTGGTGGAAATGAACAAGATCCGCCAATTATAGCAGGAGGGAGTGCACGAGATGTTGAAGGGGACACGACTAATAGTACAAGTAACACGTCGTCGACCGCAACGAGAGCCCCCGCAGCTCCTCCTGCTCCACCGTCTCCTCCTGCGAAGAGAACAACTTCTCCAGACGACGTTCAAGTAGAACCCGTGGAACGAAAAACGGATAAACTTTTTTCTTTACTTAACGACCAAAGTGAGGACGAAAGCGGGCTGGACGTGAGCGAGGTCGACGAACTATTGTCCAGTAAGGATAAGGACGGAAATGGATCGAAACCAGCTGCCGACGTCAGTGCAGTCGGCGCTGCAGGAGGCCCACTTACTACGACGTCACAAGCAGCGGCCACTGCAGTTTTGGAACAGACGAGGCTGGGAAATACTACCACGGATGCCAGCGTTATAACAAATAACTCAGGGATGAAACAAGATCAAAAGCCACTAGACGCCACCGCCTTGCAGATGAATACGCGGCTAGACGATGTCGATGCGGACGACGAGCAGCAGGTTGACGCTTTGATTTCTGAAGAAATCGCCGTGTTTCAGCTAGATTCCAAAGACACCGTGGGGGGCACAAGTATGTTTCGCTTTTTTCTTTATGTTTCTGCCTGTGCAGTTATTTGATTGAAAATAGGACAGTGCACAGTTTGTTGCAGTTCCAGAATGAAGAAAAACCACAGCTGACTGCGAATGGAGACATAGCGAGTTTATTTTCTACACGTTCGGCTATGCGATTGCGACAACATCAATGGCATTGGATCATTATCCATGAAGAGCAAGTGAGTAGCGCATCACGGTGTTCGGCGTTAGATTTTTCAGTAGGACGAGTAGAAGGATTGAAATTGACGTTCATCATCGTCACCAAAAATAAACAGGCAACAAGAAACCCGGCACCGCGTCGGACTCTCCTTCTTCTCCGGGCGACCAGAGGGCGCAAGAAAACGTTCGAAATTACAACACGGCTGACCTGGACTTCAGCGACATTGATGACGATCTCGAGGACATCTTCAACGAAGGTGGTGGAGAGGCGAAGTAAACCCTTATGAGCACCATCGTCTAGCTCCTCTGGAACTGGATGCGTGCGGACAAATTGGAGGTGCTTGTTGTCGAAGCAGGACAAGATCAAGAGTTCGCGGAGGTGTGAGCGTGATATATGGATTGCAACAAGCGCGAATAACAGTGATCGGCTAGCGCCAGCACGGAAGGCAGAGGAGCGGCGTACACAATCGTGATATGTAGTTAGCGCGTTTGCGTGAAGTTGTTGAAGCTAGGGCTACGAACAGCTACGCGAAGCCGAGGCGCATCAAGTGGCTTTTTCTTGAAGAACGCACGATCCAGTAGAAAGTTAGGAGAAGTCGTGCCTTTTTCCGAGTAGATCTAACTCTAAGTACCTTCACCAGCGCATTATACAAGATTTTCTACTCCCGAATCTCCTTTCTAAGTAGCTGAGCGTGATCTTAGGTTGAACAGCATGATCACGCAGAACCGCTTGGAACTTCTACAGTGGCGATTTTACCACCACGAGGCCCCCGCCAACTGGTGCAGTCGTCCTTTTTCTTGTGCAATGTCGCACTGCTGTGCGTGTGAGGAAAGTTGACGCAAAACAAGAGGACGGAGATGACGATATGGAAAAAAAAAGCATACATAGCTATCAGAAGAAGGTAAGTACGCACTTGCTTGGCGGTGTGATTTTGTTGACTCGCAGGTGGTAGTGCGAGCACGACTCGCAGATCTTCGTGTGACAATCGGTATCGTCAGCTTAAGAATCTGTTTGTTCGCCAAATGAGAGGAGGTCCTTGTTCGCATCCAAAGCCAGCATAGTGTTGCGAAACGGCTTGCAATAACAATTTTCGCGAACACAAAAATCACGAGAACTACATAGCCCGACGTGGACGACTCTTTTTTTCATTTTCCTACAATACCATATACAATTACTTCAACCACGGTACAATTACGAAGTACTATGCTAGTCAATATGAGAGGCTATCAGTTGGTGTTGGAATTATGACAATAGATCCACGTTTGTCTCCGAGGAAGTACTAGTTTGCCTTCAACATAGTCGACAGCAACCGCATTGCGTTCAAAATTAATCTTGTACTTGTTACGGTTACGGATACGGATCCCAGGAGTCCTTCTCCTTTTCATTTTGTTTCTCGAATTACAGCATGATGACATGGTCCTTCAAATTTTTGCATCCCACTTGCTTAGTCGGTTGGAATCCCACTAGAAGTTGTGCACTAGTAGAACTAGATTTTCACAAGTGCAGCTCTTTATTGGGCTCCTCTACTGCCTCGAGAAGAAGTTTACTACGTACATTTTCAGTTGATCCCTTTTCTTTGTCCAGCTGATATTCAAACAATTGACTTGCCGGATCCAAAAATCAATTGACTTGCCGGAATAAGGGACCGCGTTTTTCAGTTCTGATTCTGCTCGTCAATCTGGAGCTGTAGACGACTTCTTCTTCTACAACCACCTTTTCCTATCGATTCCGTCACCACGAGGACATTCTCGACGACGGAAAGAACCTCCCCGACAAGGACTTTTTCGGCCCACGACCACGGCGGTTGCAGGTTGTAGTTTTACCAGATACAACCACGAGGACTGAGAGCAGTGAGTTGTTTCCACGCGCGGCAGGACTTCTGTCAAGCTGTCAACCCAAGAAGGAGCAAGAAGATGGGGGGCGTCGACCAGAAAATGTCGAGCCTCGGCACATCTCCTGACCCGACGGCCAAGAAGATTTCGCTGGAAAACGCAACCAAGCAATTCGTCGACGGCTTTCTGGCCAAAACGCTGAAAACTCACCCCTACGTATCCGATTTCGAAAAACTGGGCCCATACGACCCCTGAGTTACGAGAAGATGGGAACCTTGCAAAACAAATCCAAGACTTATTTTGGAGCTCGTCGCACTCAGGCGTTACAAGTTTATTCAGTTTGGGGATGCAGTGTTGTAGAAGTCGTTCCGACGAGCTAGAGCTTCTTGTGGTCCAGATGCATTACAGGCATACTCTCTCTTTATCCTGGTTAGCGCATGACAGATTTCTAAACATACACATAAGTAGCTAGATGAAAACGATGTCTCGTTCCATGCGGAGCCACGTCAGAGATCCGATATTCACTCTGTCTTCGGCTTTGGCATGCAGATTTGCATGATCATTGTGGGGTCGTCGTGGGGACGTTTTTACTTCGGATGCTACGCGTGCTGCGTGGATGCAAAAACCGGGCGAATCATCGCTGTCACAAAGAAGTGGCAGAAACTCTACCTGTGCAAGGAGGTATGCATTCTTGTAAAAGCATCGCACCGGTCGTGAAATGACAATTTTTTTTCGAAAGCAAAAATGGAGCTTGGCTCTACATCTAATTCGGCCTAGTCAGGACAAGGCCATTTCTTGTCAACAACACGCAGTGAGTTTGCGATTTATTTGCAGTGTGCGGCTGTACTTTTGCAATGCATAGGTGGACCCTACGGGGAAGAAGCTGAAAGAGGTCACCCAGCGCAACAAGTACCACAACAGTGTCTTTAAAGAGAACGGGCTCTCCTCCTTTCTGAAGAACCCGACCAAGCGCGAATGGGTCGGCGAAGAGGTGTGGTGCGACGGCACCAACGAGCTGCTGTTCTTTCTCAAGCGCCCGAAGACAAGCAAGCGCCCGAAGACAAGCATGAGCAACGGGGCGCTGGAATGGGACATGAACTCGGTGAACGAGGCAACGCGCTGCCTCTTTGTCGGGCAAAACGTCTTACCGGCCGCCCCCTTTCGGGAGGCGCACAACAACACCTGTCACATTCCGGGAGAGGCTATCTGCCGCGAAAATATCGTACTCATACTTCTCAAATTGTAGTCATGCCGCGTGACAGATCTTTCTATCTCTTTCGTAAGGTGACTGAGCATAATGCTAATTTCGCGTTTCAGTTAAATTTGCATAAGTATGCACTTCATGGATATTAAATTCATATTGCTTGCTAGTACGATAACGATACTTTTGCAATGCATAAAGGGCAAGACCTGCAGTATCATGATGTCGGTGCTGCTGGCCGAGAATCGCGACGGCTCGAAGCCTATCAACCGCAAATATGTCCGGGGTTTGAAAGAAAAATGCACTTGCCTGTCATGCATCTTCTGGAATACGTAGAAAGATGAGCTGGAATGGACGCAAAGCTTCGGGGGTTTTCCGAAGGCTTCTTGATGCCGCATGGGAAACTCGCTCTTTTCGTAACGCGAAATGGGAAACTGTTGGCACTTCTAATGCAAGACAGATTTTTTTTTTGTCTGCATCTGCTGCAATGAATCAATTCGAGAGTTAGCATGAATTCAAATTCAGACATACTTCCAACGCATAAACACCTTGGTGTATCTGATGGAGCCCATGGTTGAAACGATCATGGCCGATCACGAAGCGGACTGGTTTTTTGACACCAGCCTGCCAGCCACTTACTCTCAGGGACTCGTCAATTAGCACGTACGACATTCACTCGCTCGCCTAAAGAAGCTCCAAGCACGCGACTACTATTTTGACTCCATGTATGTATGTACTAAAAAAAGAATACGCGGAGGCGGTTTGGTATTTTTCAAAACTAACTACACGACCAGCAGAATGAGCTATAATTATAGCAATCCCACTAGTACTTGTGCATTCTGCATCTTATGAAGAACAACGCTGGCGTCAAAAACATTCGTATTGCTCACTACATACGTCAAGAACTGCGTGGCGTGACAGCAGTAAAATCTTCGAGCTCGCCGGCATCATATATTATGAACGCTCTAAATTTGTTAGGCCACCAAGGTGGAGGTTGTTGTAACAAGATTGGAGTTTCTTCTAAATTTTCCGCACGATGGTCCCAGCCTAGTGCTTACACTTACTTGACTGCTTGGTCGAGGGTAATACTTACTTATTGTTAGGCAAGATATGAAATCCACCAGGATCATAAGCCAAGCAAATTCCCTACGACCTAAATTGAATGCCCATTGAAATCAGGCTCTAAGTTTGTCGCTCAAATTTAGATCCAATGTGAAGTCAGCATGTTCATACAAATGAACCAAAATGAAGCTCATTCTAATCCCACACTGTAAGCTAGTGACGATCAACGATGGTTGATCGGATTTCTCATAAATTTAGGGTGATTAGAACAAATTTGAAGTTTCATGGTGTACCCCCACAGGCTTTGACGCTAGTCCAAATTGACTATTGATTGCGATTAAGAAACACTGAATCTCACCTAGATTCTACTTGAGATTCAAGATGGCCAGTGTTCACACCGCCCGCGTTTCTTCGTCGTTGATTGTAGTAACCGCCTAGGTTTCTAACATTCTAGCGCCAAAGCCTTGAGCCAAAACGAAGCTCATTCTAATCCCACGCTGTAAGCTAGTGATGATCAACGATGGTTGATCGGATTTCTCATAAATTTAGGGCGATTAGAACAAATTTGAAGTTTCATGGTGTACCCCCACAGGCTTTGACGCTAGTCCAAATTGACTATTGATTGCGATTAAGAAACACTGAATCTCACCTAGATTCTACTTGAAATCCAAGATGGCCAGTGTTCACACCGCCCGCGTTTCTTCGTCGTTGATTGTAGTAACCGCCTAGGTTTCTAACATTTATCTGCGCCCTCACTGAAAGAGCGACGACCTCCTCTGGAAGTAGATTAGATCTTCTTGGAGCTGGCCGTTGCTAAAGCGATCACTTTATTCTGGACTGCGAGCAAATACTTCTTGCTCCTTTAAAACACCCTAGAACAAAGGAGCTGAGCATTGCCCACACATTGCTGTTACTCTATAATGGTGCGAGCGTATCGCACTAGTTTTGCAGTGCTGGATACCCTACAGTCAACGATGAAAAAAATTGTAGATTAATTATAAATCTTCAACACTACTGAGCTGAAATCACATCTGCGCTGGACGAGCTGACCACTTTCAGGCTGCGATTGAACGCGACAGAGGCAAAAGCACACGGCGGGAAAAATTACTGTAAAGAAAAAGAAAAATTTAAACACTTCTAGTTCTATTGTGATTTTCATCTTCAATTGAATACTTCACATGATGAGTAGTATCAAATATGAAGATCCTACATGGATGCGTACGCATCCGCGTGTGTTGCCGGATGACCATATCTTATTCTCCTAGATAGTAGCGAGAAAAACAAAAAGATGAGAAAGCGACATGTAGTTACATAAACAAACTGCAATTTTTATCTAAAGTTGCCTTCAAAAAAGCTTCTCGACGAACCAAGAGAAACAGACTAGTGTTAGACAAGAGCTATTACCTTTCCCGAGCAAGACAACTGAAATATATAACGTGGAGCGACACCGACACTTTCTTCTTGATACGAATCTCAACAAGACTCTGGGCTAGTTTTACTAGTATGGCCGGACTCGAAGAAACCTTCGCGCATTGCGAAGAACCCTTCGCGCAGAGCAACTGCAGAACGAGTGTTTCCCTGGCGGAGTGTATGCCCTTGAGGACACCAGTAGCACAACGAACTCCGCCATGGCCTCCTCGGAGGGAGTCATTGTCATCTATCGCCATCGCATTAAATTTCTGTAGCAAGCGTTCCGCCAACATCAAAGAACCTCGGTCGTGACAAGAACAAGAAGAACTTCTCGGAACAAGATAAGTCATTGCATAAATACTGGACCCGGAAGATCCATCTGGATCCGTCTGTTGTAAGTGTTTACTCCGTAATCAACAGCTGCCACTGCGCATCAATTTTCTAGACTTCGATCGGTCGACCCACAGTAAGCGGCGCAGCAGTTCATCGTGGCCCACTGCCAGTGCTATTTCTTTGATGTGCCTGGAGTTGTAGAGCGGAATAACTAGTATAGATTGAAATATCATAGACGATTCGTAGCTCGTGCAAGACGACCAATCGGAACACGCATCTCCCTCGTCATCGTTCGTGTTGTCCCTAGTACATCGTTGCTCGTTTTTTTTCTCTTTGGTTCTTTGTTGGAATTGGAAAAAAGAATATTGGTGGACGATCGCAATTTATTGTCTGAAGTTACACCGCGAAGATCAAGATTTTATTGCTGTTGGAGCTGCTTGAAGTATTTATTTCACGACCACTCCCGCATGTCCTCTTGGAACCGTGGTTGACGGTTTCAACCAGCAGTGCGTCGAGTGCTGCTAACTTGGAAATGAGCTTTATTTCGCAGCAAGAGCAAACATCTGCAGCTGCGTCCGCCGCCGCTCCTGAGTTATAGGCGCCCGTTTACCGTCACCACTCCTACCAGCCGTATTATCGACGACCGACACAACAACTGGTGACTGAAGCAGCTGGCTCTTTTAGTACTGCGACAATTATCATCTTCATCACACTCACAAGAAAATCATGTTTGGCAATCTGCATTTGCGGTCGCCGTACAAGCTGCAGGGCAGCACGGACCCCAGGATTCCCTCGCGTCCCCAGCCGGACAATCCGGTTGACATCCGGAGAAAACACATGTTACTGCCGCACAAGATGTATCCCAGTGTGCAATATTAAAACTATCTCACTCGTATTTTTACTAGTAGATGCAATCATGATACATCACAGATGTGTCTTGCTTGTTGTTCATCGATTCAAGCTGCGTCTTGCACGACAAATTATTACACAATCGATCACTGTTAAGTAAGTCTTTCTCTTTGACGCCGTGTTGTCTGTAAGTAGGGCCTTAAATCTTTGACGCCGTGCCCGGGCACGGGAAGAAAGAAAGAAAGTCTTTCTCTAAAATCATTTGTGTTGTCATCGTACGGCCGCCCAGGTCTTACAGTATAGTACGGCGGTGCTTGTTTTGTATTGCACATGGTGCCGGCGAAGTTTTTCTTCACCGACCTCGACCAGCACCAGGCCGCGGAACTGGTGCAGAACGTGCTGGCGGCCTGGAAGTTCGCGACCTTCACCCTCCCCTACGTGCGAAAATTGGAAAAGCGCATCCTCGCGTTCGACAAGTACGGCGACCTGGAGGCGCTGTACTTGAAGACCATGCGCGCGCTGAAGGAGGCCCGCGACCACGTGAAGGACCTGCATATCAAATGTAAAAATGTCTGGGTCTGGAAGATTGCAACTTGTCATGGTAAATCTGAAGCATGCAAAAATCTGTGTTGCATGAGTGCCAAAAGCTGTACACTTTTGACCTCCAAGTTGGAAGGGAGTTTCCCATGCAGGATAGGCATGGCAGAGACCTCGCAGAGTCTGTCATGCTGAGGCCCGCATTCCAGGCCTCGTGGGTCATGGAAAATCTGCATGACAAGTCTACACTTTTCCAGACCCAGACATTTTTACACTTGATACTGCAGCGGCAGTTGCAAAACGAGCGGCACAGCAGCGACTTGCTGCTCGCGCGGACCCGGGCGATCCGCGTCACGGGCCTCCGGTTTCTCGCGGCGCAGCTCCGGAAGTACCGCCGAAAAGCGCTCTTCTGGCAGACCAAGTTCGCACGGTACGAGCGGCACAGCGAGAACGCCAAGGCGGTTTTGGCCGCGAAGGTGGCGGACTTCTTCGAGCAGCTCGACCGGTGGCGCAACGAGGCGCTCGCGCGCGAGGCGATGTATGACCTGCTCAAGCGTTACAATCTCAAACGTTACAATAGCATCTGAGACTTGTCTTGCATGATCAACATGACAGACTCGGACAGCATTCCACATTCTGCAATACAAATTTCGGCAGATTGTAGTGCGGATTGGGACTCCAGAACTTGTCATGCGCAATCCTGTGGGAGTAGGGTAGATCATGCACTTCTTGCAATACAAATTCCAGATTCTATTGTAACGTGTGAGATTGGAACATCTGACCACGTTATACGATGATGGCCTTCTTTCTCGACGTCTACCGCACGTTCCATTACAAGTATCAACTGCAAAAATGTCTGGGTCTGGAAGGATGGAACTTGTGATGGTAACTTTGGACTCTAAAAAAATCTGTATTGCATGACCAGCAAGAGGAGTCTAGTTTGTGCTACGCGGGGAGGGCATTTGTCATGCGGAGTAGGCATGATCAGGAAGACCTCTAAAAATCCGCGATGCTCGGTCGTGCATTACAGACATCCTGAGTTATGCAAAGTATGCATGACAAACCCGGCAACATTCCAGACCCAGACATTTTTGCATTTGATAACAAGTATGACCTAGCGAAAGCGCGCGGGAACAAGCAAACCGAAATGCTGCTGGACCTGCAGTATCCCGTGCAAAACAAAGTCTCGTACTTCTAGTCGAACGATATCAGGCAACATGACAATTATGTTTTTCCACCTGAGGACTCTGCATTTGACAAAATCCAACTTCATCTTTTCGGGAAAACGAACTCAGATCCATGCAACTTTCTTTTCGGAAAAATTTGTCCTCTTGTGGAGGCAAGGTGTACTTACTACTAGTAGTTGTATGAGACTAGTTTTGCAATGCATAGGCAGCAACAGACGGAGGTGTTGGAAAAGGAGCGCGACACCCTGGTGATAGAGCGGGACCGACTGATCACGGAGAAGCTGCAGCTACTTGAGGACAAGAGACAGCTGCTGAGTGAGGAAATCCCGATGAAGAACGAGGAGATTGTCGTGTGGAGGAGCAAGCTCCTGCTTGCCCGGAGCTCGCTGCAGTACGCCTGTCTCCAGGCGTGGCGTAAGCACGCGGTGATCGGCGGGAAGAACCGCGAGATCGCCACGTTGCGGGAGGAGTTAAAGGACTTTAAGAAAGTGCAAAACGAACTGTTTGCGGAGCGCCGGACCAGCGACCTGCTGCGTCAAGTGATTGCGGAGAAAACGGACAAGCTCGACGAGATGGAAACCATCGCGGAAAAGGTGCGGGCGCTGGAGCAAAACCTGAAACAAACACAGTTTGAGCGGAACGAGTTGCAGTCCCTTCTCGACGCCAAAGTGACCCGGCCGACCATACCGGCACGGTTTTTGTGCATGAAGTGCATGAACGACGTGAACGAGATGAAGGAAAAGATGGAGCGAAAGGCACAGAAGCTATGCAGCTGCACAAGAATAACTTTCATTTCCACAACACCAATCGCACTACGCGCACATCAAAAAATAGGGACCATATATGACAGACTCAGAATGATTCATACTTCACCTACTTATCTTGCTTTTTACCACATCAGATCCATTTGGTAGTGTGGTCGTCGTGTCATGCACAATTTTTATTGTGTGCGTGCTGCATCTATAACCAACGGTGCGTGGTCAGAAATGAATTTGTACCTGCATAGCACCAGCTGTTGCAGAAGACGCGAAACCGGCAAAACGCCAGCGAGTTTCTGGTCAACGAGCTGCACATAGTTCCCGACGGAGACTACGTGAAGAAGCTGCTGCGGGGGTCCGGAGTGAGCGGCGGCAGTGGCGGTGGAGGCGGGATAGGACAGAGATGACAAATAATAAATGGCGAGAAGGTGTTGACGAGAGAAGACAATGACGGCATGACTTGATTAAATGGTCGTAAGATCCTGCTTCATCCATCGTGACCTTCGACAAACAAGAAGACTCGTCTCGCTCTTGCAACTACAATGTCTGCACGCTGGCTGGCGCAATGTTGTACTCAACATTCCATGTGTGGTGTTCCTCCTCCGCCTACCTCCGCCATTTCGTCCCCTTTTGTGAACATCCTTACGGTTGACGGTCGTTTGTACGTGGAGAAAATGACTTTTTAAACGGTGGACGCGTTGCTGCGTAGTGTAAGTACGTAGAGAATAAAATGACTTTCCAATTCCAAAGATCTAGAGTTACTTCAGTTCACTGAGTTTGCGCCGGAAAGAAGGAACCTTGCATGGATCTTGATGTCGCAGCTCGCGTCGCACTCGCTATCGTCGTTCGTCGTGTCTGTATCGAAACAAACATCACTGACTAGGTACAACTTTTTAAATCCGGGATGATGAATCAATCGTACTCGTACATACATGAGCTCGACGTGGTCTCGGCAATTCATTCCGAGGCGGTCTTGCTATCGTTGTCGTTAAATGTGGTTCTGTCGATTGGATTAAGATCACAGTGACACATATTTGTTGCTCGACGTGCTCTTACTTACATACAACTATGACCAGAAGTGTACTTGCGTCGCGCCGCCGTGAAGGCACTCCAATTCGAAAACGCCGACGTAGAGGCGTAAGCACTCGGATGACCAAAACCAACACTGTGGAAAGTAGTTGAATCAAGCAGATATTCACATTGATAAAAGAAATTATGAAGCTCTCTTCTGCGTTTTCCGCTGCCACGGGTGAGCACGTGACCAACGCTAGGTGCAGTTCTTCGCAACTTGAGAACGAGGGGGCGTTCAAGCGCTTGAAGAACATGGCGAGAGGGAGCAGAGAAATTCCTTCACCTCCTTCGGCGACGGTTTGTCAGGCCGGTGGGCGCAGCGTTAAAAATAGAAACACGTCATTTTGGGGCACTCTCACTTCTCCCAGCGGCAGCTCCTCCTCCTGGTCCTCCTTCCCCACGGTTTCTACTTCGCCGAGGATTTTCCCAGAAAGCGTGGCTGCGGGGCCGGGCGGCAATCAAATTCAAACCGAAACTGGACTACACATACATTCTACTTCAAAAGATCGCGATTTTTTTCCATTCCTGCCCGACGCGAACGCAAATAAACGCACTGCGAGGAGCGCTACGTCTTTCTACTTTTACGATGAAGCGGACGTAGTGGCTCTCAACAGCGACAACGAACCCGTCCTCGTGAACCTTATGCCAACATGCAATTGGGAAGGGTGTGTCTGCGTCACTATGATCTTCGCACACGCAAAAAACGTATCTGTTTTTGCATTTCTGCGCGTCCAGATTAGGATCTATGTCTGCGAGAAGTTCTTCAGAGAAAAAGCACCAGTCACGCCCAACAAGCACCTTCTCATGCTGATGCTGAATACGATGCAATAGAACGCAGCCGTGTTGTTGTTAAAATTTGAAGCTATGGATGCTGCATGCAAGCACGATGTTGGCTTCATATTTGTTTCGTCCTGATGTAGACACTCACACTGCCTTTTATTTTGCGCACCACCATAGATTTCCGCCAGGAGCAAAACCGCGAGTACGTGATCGCGACGGGGGCAATCACGGGCCTGCTGGCTGGGACGCTCTTATGGATTGCAAAAATGTCTGGGTCTGGGAGATTCTGACACTTGTCATGCACGTTTTGCATGAGCCATGACCGACGTCTGTGATGCATGCCGTAGCATCACAGATTTTTCGAGTGGTTCTTGATGCCTATTTCGCATGACAAATGTCCTATCCGCGTAGCAAAAATTACATTCCCTTTGCCACTCATGCAATACAATTTTTTTTGGAATCCAAATGCAGCATCACAAGTTGCATTCTTCCAGACCCAGACATTTTTGAATTTGATAGCTGTATTTCGTCGGCAAAAGTCTGGGGATTATCACGGAAGACGGAATATCCCACAGAAAAAAGCTGGCAGGTCATATTTGTAAATGCAAAAATGAATAGACAGAAAGATCTGCCATGCTTGGCCGCATAGCATGCTGCTTCAGATATGCAATGCAGATTTTTTTGTGTATTTATTTTTGCATTACAAATATGCCCTGCCAGTTTTTTTCTGTGTGATACGGAAGCACTAGCCGGCCGCGGCGAAGAAGAGGCACATCGACGGCGAAAAAGCGAGCGAAAGACGCGGACAGCACGCCTGAAGCAAGTGACCAGGAAGATATGGAGGACTGATATTAGCCAAGAAGGCTCGAGCCTGCGTATAATGAGCTTCTTTTATTGTTATTTCGCAAACAAAGGTCCGCTGAGAATAGAAGCGAAGGGCCACGAGATCATATGGATGAGCGACTTCCTCTCGGAAAGTAGAGTTAGTACCAAGAATAGCTTTCAGCAACGAAGAACAGTAATTGCGGAAAAAGTGCTTGCTTGCAGCTACTCCTCGAGGTTTCCCTGCTTATTTGAAAAATTTCATGAAAAGAAAACTACAGTGTTGACTGGCTGTGAGCTAGTTTCGTTCCCAACACGTTCAACCTGATCTGTTCTACAGTGAGCAGCTGAGAGCCGAGATCGAGTGGAAGAGCTAGAACAGGTTCAGGCTCATTATCATCTTGACAATTATCTAGCAACAACAAATATCTTTGGGAAGGCAGCACAGGCAGTTGCACTAGTTCTAGTGAATGATGAAGTTGTGGAGGTGATGAATGCACAGGAATGAGGAGCGGATTTTTAGACCAGCTGCTTCACTTCAAGGTCGTGACTTGTAGTTGCGCCGACGTAGATTCTATTTGCGCATATTTCTCTGATTTGAGAATGCGCGCTGCACTTCGTGTCGTGCACAGAGAGTGAGTTGTAGATCCGTCTTCTACTAGCCAACGAAAAAATAACGATTGACGACAGGATGAGTCGCTCCCTGTCTTCGCCCAAAAACGGAGGCGCGGTATCGTCTTGTTCAAAGCTGCAAACGCTAAAGCTTTTGTCCCAGCAGAAAAATTTCACCTACCCGACTGGCGCCCTCCACCTCCCCGCGTGGCTCCGCGTTCTGCTGAGTGCCACGGTCTTCTGCTTTGTGTTGATTCACGCCCAGAGAACGCGGATTTTTCGTGGCTCCGTGGAGAAGGACAAAAAAAGGGCCGCGGAACGTGAAAGGCAGCTGCTCGAGATTAAGGAAAAAGAGGACCAGGAGCTGCAAGCCAGTACATCGAAAACTGATCACAAAGTGGAAGATGATCAACATCATGCGAGTGCTCACGACGCAGCAGGATCTCCTGCTGCTCCGGCCACGACGTCCTCCTCCGCACAAGAGCTTTCTTCCGCACCCGGAGGGACGACCACTGCTGTTGTCGCGGGGCCCCCGCCCGAGTCTGCGATCCGGGTCTTGCCGCCCGTGGAAGAGGGGGACGTCGTGATGAAAGAATCCTCAAAGGAGAAGGACGCAGACTCTTCTGGAGATGACAAAAACTCCAACGCGCCGCCTCCTGCGACCCTCGATGCCGCAGACGCATCTTCAGCGAGCAGTACTATGGAAGCGTAAAAGCGACGACCATGGATGATCCACTTTGCTATCAGTTGGCAGATCTTCGTGAAAATGGATGGAGGAGAAGTAAATTCACCCTACAACGCAAACATGCCGCAGATGACATCTTCAGGCTTAGGAAGCTCTTCATGCGACGCTGCTCTTGATGTTGTATGCATTATACTTTTCGCTGTAATTTGTCAATCATGCGCCAGCTGCAATGAATTTGTTGCGTGGACATGAGATTTTATGGCGGACTTGGACGTTTTGTGGCGTGGTCTCCGCGAGAAGCTAATGCAAGAAGCACAGCTGATACAAGTACGTGAGACATCGGGTTATGATTTTTCGCTTTTATAGAGAGCAGCAACGGAAATGACCGCGCCGGAGAGACAGACACCGCGACACCGTCGGCTCCGCTGGTTCCGACTGCCAAGAACGACAGAGTATCTTCACCACCTGCGGGAGATGCAGACCTCTCTTCTGGCGCGGGGGCCACGAAGGCGGGCGACAATGCAGCCCAAGACTCCAAAAAAGAACCCGTCAACGACGGTGAAGACCTGCTGGACGATGCCAGCAAAAAACTCGACGAGGCGACGGAGCACCTGGACCAAGCGGGCCAGAAGATCACGAGCTTTTTTTACTCACTCTTCGGCAACAGCGAGGAAGAGAAGAACAAAGCTGCGTCGTCGCAAAGCAAGACGAACCCCCTCACCAGCAGTGCGGATCCGCGGGACCTGACGGCCTTCATGGAGTACGCCACGGTGTCGCAGGACGCTCGGCCGCCGAACTTCGCGATCCGCATCGACAACCTGCCGGTGGCGGAAATTACCGTGGCGAAGACGCTGTTGCAGGAGACGCTTTGCCCGCTCGCGCTCGAGTCCCGCGGGGTGATGGAAATTATGAGCACCGCCGCCACGAGCCCAACGGAAGCGCTCGCGCAGGTCGCAGACGGCGGAGACAAAAAGTGCGACGTCGTGCGGGTAGAGGACAGCAAGGAAATTCATTCCTCCGCATCTCTGTCTCGTCAACCACGACACCTGGTAACGCTATACTTCAAGCTGTCCCCGAATAATCTCAACAAGCCCTGGTATCCAGAAATAAAGACCCATCTTCCCCATCCAGTTCCAATTTGTCACTCTTGCAGCCAGGCACAACATGCATAAAATTCTTTTCTGCGTGCCGTGTCTGTCATGCAAAAAAAAGGATGGGGAAGATGTTGCGTGTTTTTTCCTGGATACCTGGCCCGACGAGGTGATTATGACTCAGCTGAACACGAAACTTCGGCTCTTAACCAGCGTGGAAATGCGCACGAACGAGGGCGATTGGTGGGAAATGCCGCCAAATGTTCCGGCGGTCGTGGTACAGCCGTCGTCGACGGGGGCCGCGGCGGGAGTATGCATTGCAAAAGGTCATCCAGTTGTCCCGTCGTCGTTCTAAACCACGTGCTAGAAGAAGGAAATAAGCCTCCTCCCGAGCTGCAAATTTCGTCTGAGAAGATCTGTTTTGCTCTAGGTCTAGATGAAAGTCTTGCTTCTGTCCTTCCAATGAAAAAATATCCAATTTCGGTTTGTATGTAAGTACATTTGTTTGACATGAGATGAAACGGTATCGATTAGTTACAACCGCAGTGCACTTTTGCAAAGGAAAAGAGGCGGACGGTGCCAGCACTTCGCCGAAAGATCTGGTCGAGAAATCCAACGAGGCCCTGACCAACGCGATCCGAGCGCTAGACGCGAAGGTGCGCGGCGGAAAGAGCGACGGCGGCGGTACTGATGCAGCGGACGAGGACGAGCTAGTTGCAATGCAAAGTCCCGCCATCACGTTGGCGGCCTTCAACAGCCTCCGCGAGGGCGACTGCGTTTTGACGCGCAAGCAGCATTTGTACTACGTGCTCGCCAGTCCTTTTGTGCAGGGCAGCAACGGGGTGTCCAGTCGGAATCAGCTCCTGCCGGTCCGCTGCGTGAACGTGGACATGGCGAACAAAAACGGTTACGGTTTCTGCGCCGACCGGCAACCCAACGACCTCCGGTTCGACCCGAACAGCGCGGTCCCGGAGAAGTTTCCGCTACACGCGCGCTGGAAGCAAAACGGCAAAGAGGAGAAGGACCTCGAGGGGATCGCGACAGGATCGCGTCGTCTTACAGATGAACGCGCGCAAGAACGACGACCAGAAACAGAACTACAATCCCGACCAGCAATGAAGCAGAAGAACACGAACAGTCCTGTCGTTGCCATTTGGAACATGTTCCGCCCAATCCAGCTTCGGCGAGAAATGATTCTGAAAAAAGCTGGCTGCGAAACCAACCTCCGAATGGACGCAAACGCCGCAGGTCGTGGTGGGATGAAAAGCACCAGTTCATCCTCTGCGTCATTTGCCCAGCTGGAAGACGGCTATAACAGTGCACAACTCCCCCTCCCCCTCATTTGTGATGCAAAATCCCAACCACGTCCAAGCGCAAGCTTTGCCTCTTGGCACTGTTTGCATGACAAGTTGGTTCTGGCAGTACAATCCTGTGAAAATTTGTCATGCAAAAGCTGCACTCTTGCAGGCCCTTCTACTGCTGTTCATGCAATACAAATGAGGGGGAGGGGGAGTTGTGCAGTCTCATAACGGCGAGCACTCGTCTACGAAGAGCTCGACACAGCAGGACGACGACCTGTGGCAGCAAACGGACCCCGGCGGCCTCGTTTACCAAGCCGCGGTGCTGGTCGGCGATTTCGGCCAGAAGATGGCGGAAGTCGGGAACAAGGTTGCTGAACAAATTCTCGACAATTTTGACATTTACAGCACCTAGCTTTCTCCTCGACGGAAACAGGAGTAGAATTTGACTTCCACCGCAAAGGGCGGCCGCGGAAGTTCAGTACGTACACTTACATGATTGGTCCACTTGGCAGAAAGTTAGGTGGTCAATAACCATGGGCGGGGTTTAGCTGGTTCTGTGCTCCTACGCCGTAAAATAAAGCTACCACAAGAACACGATCGGAACCAGATAGACATAGAGCCACCGCGGTGATAGCGACGTTTTTCCATCACTATTTTGAACTCTTCCTATTAAGAAAATGAAAAAGTGCGAAATTCAATAGAGGATGGTGAAACGGACTCAGATGTGCACCGTGAAACGGGCTCAGAGTTCCTTTTTCCCCGTCCCGTAGTGGCAAGAATTTATTTTTGGACCGCATCATTTTCACCAACTACAAGAAGCAGACGCTGAGGCTGAAGAGAAGAGAGCGCAAATCAAAGTGTTTTCTGAAAAGAAAGCGTGTCCTCCATCGGACGAATCACAGCGATCGACGAAATCAATGATCCAAATTTTTGCCGAAGCCACACCGACACCACGACAGGCCGTGTCGACAAAACAATCGGTATAAAACAGATTCATAGATGTGGCTGCAATGAGAGCAGGAGCAGCATTGCAAACGCTCCCTGTCCCTGCTAGTAAGAAGTAATAAAGAAGGATCTACTTCACTTCTCATGCTCCTTCATCTCATGTGACAATGGAAAAAAGTCGGAAACAAGTAGTGTGTGAGATCACCTTCAACATGCTCATGCAACGTTTTTATGACCATTTTCATTTTGACGAATTCGGTGAAATGTGGTCGGTGCCAAGTAGGATCAAAAAACAGAAATCAACGTCAAAATAATGGTGATTGCGGCGGCTCGAAGAGCTGCGTGTGCAGATCTTCACGACCGTATGATCTAAAGAGTATTTACCCGCCCACAGTGCCCATCAATTTTCCTCGCGAAGTTAAAACGATATAACCACATCAACCCTAGATTTCCCCTAAAGCGCCGTTATAGTTTTATTTACTCGCAGCTTGTAGTACCAGCAGCTTGTCCCTGTCAGATTTTGTTATAACCACGATCAACTACCACGTCATCGTGGTGCACATATAATCTTTTTCTTGTATGAAGGAGCGCGCAATTCGTGCAAATTTGTATTCTTAAGATTTCATGTCTTTACCCACTGCGTCCACCACTGGAAAAATAGAGTTTTCCCTTCGAAGTATCAAACGCCAAATCCCTGCTAGTAGAAACATCCTACAACTCTTTCGAGCCGTAGTGTTGATTTTCTTGCGATCTTTACCGCTTTATTTCACTGCGGATTGCTTTTCAATACCCTCTTCAAACTCCTCAATGACAATGGCCAACAGCACAGCTACGTCCTCTCTCGCCGTGGGGGCCGCGGCCGCGAGTACAACTTCTAAAAAGCTGTACGATGTCGCGGTGGTGGGTGGCGGCCTTGCGGGATTGACCGCCAGCTACCGCATCCTTCAACAGCGACCGGAGGCGAAGATCTTGCTGCTTGAGGCGAATAGTAAGAACCTCGGCGGGCGGGTACTTTCCTCCACCACCCTGGGGAACGTCGACCTCGGCCCCGCCTGGTTTTGGCCCAGGGACCAGCCCTTCATGCGGAACATGGTCCGCGAACTGAAGCTGAACCCCGTGGAGCAAGCAGATGCGTTCTCGGGCGAAATGCGCCTCCGAGGGGGCATCGGAGCTATCGTGGAAAAATTGAAAGAAAGCCTGCATCTTCTCGGAGGGAATAAAGTGGCCGCTAGTGGAGAAACGACTTCTAATCCCGCCGGTGGTGCGCAGATGAAAGCACAAGTAGAGGCTGATCTTCCAGTAGATGTGAAACTGGGGGAGAAACTGGTCAAGATGGAAAAAGCATCTTCTACTTCTGTTGACGGTGAAGGTACAAGCACTAGCACGAAGATCGTACGTCTACACACAACGGCGACGACGCCGATGCTGACCTCCAATGTTGACCAACAAGCAAACAATCGGAGCTACGAGGCCAAGCAAGTGATCCTGGCCGTGCCGCCGAAGATTGCGATGCGCGACGTGAAAATGACGGCGCAGGACTTCCCGTACCTCCTGGGCAACCCGAAGTTGGTAAACGAGATGAAAAGCCAACCCGTCTGGATGGCGGGCATGGGGAAGCTTGTCCTGTTTTACGACACGCGCTGGTGGAACGCGGCCCGGGCCAACCAGACGCCCATGGGTCCGATGCGAAGCAAGTACGGCGCGTTTCAGATTTATGACGCGGGAGAAGTCCAGGCTGACGCAGCAGTTGAAGGCGACAGGTACTACAGGATGAACTTGAATTATATTTATATTACAAAACACTTTATTTCTAGTACCGGAAATATTGAACCAACTGTCTGAGGATCTTCATACAACTTCTAGTATAATTGAAAAAATTCTAATTCAACAGCTCGGCGAAGCGAAAACTGTACGCCTTAGCCTTCTTCGTCGGCGGGGAGCAGGGAGGTCAAGAAATTACGACAGACATGATGGCTGCCAAGGTCGTGGAGCAGCTGCAGGTCGGTGCTGCCAGCCGCGGAGGTCGTGGTCCTTTTGGTGGTTCCCTCCGGATGAACCAGATGATGAGCTTCGGGTCCTCGTCTGACGACGATTCTCACGCCCAGGCAACGACTTCCACCATCGCAAACTATGCGCACGCGGAATTCAAGTTTTGGGCCACTGAGCCGGCCATCAACCCGGACTTTGACGCAATGTCTGCGGGAGGTGTCGGTCGGGGAATGATCTACCCCGCACACCCGCACCCCATTAGAGGCTTGAACGACGAGGTGATGGTGAAAAATAAGTCTTCTTCGTCTTCTGCAGTAGATCATCTTCGACGAGTCTGGTTTGGCAACAGCGAGGCCGCGGAAGAATGGTCGGGCATGCTCGAAGGGGCCGTGCGAGCCGCCGAACGGGCTGCGGATCTGGTAGTGAACGCGCTGGAAGCGGAAGAGGAGGCCGTCGGTCAAAATCTGGAGCTTTAATCATAGAAGTACTAGCCCTCCTACTACATGATAATTAAAGCTGATCTTCACTCATATCTAGGGGATGAAGCCTCTCGTCTCTGTATCTTATTTTGTATGATAACAAACCTCATCCTGATATATGATTATCCGCATTGTTCCTTGTGGTCCATTGAAAAGTAGCATAATGTCGTCGCTACAACATGCGGACACAGGAAACACAAGAGTAATAGCGTACCACACGGGATATATACGAAAAACCTCATTACTTTATTTTAGTCTTGAGCCACGAATGAACATCACGCTGGTCCACCCGTACAATGCTATACGCGCTGAGAAATTTCAAATCTGCACGCCTCTTGCTCGTGTCGGATTGTACGATTAAAATTTGCTTTCGAAATTCGTATTTTTCCAAAAGAATTATTTTTGCGGTAGACGGTGACATGACGTACGACGATTTCTACACGATGATGAAATCCGTCTTCGTATAACCCGTATGCGTTGACCTTGACCATGACCTTATTTACTAATTTTTATTTAACCATGACCCGCATGTGTTAATTTTTATTTAAAGCACGTCCACCCCCGTCCGAGTGCACGTCTACTACCTACGTTGCGATCTTTTCCGGAATTACTAGCGCTGCGGTACACCTTACTACACTAGTATGACGACCATCAGATCATCATCTTCGTGTGATGTTCATGTTGTTGACCAGTTGTGCTAGCACAAAAACCTAAAACCATTCAGGAATTTTACCACTTCTGAAAAAACTGCACTGCAAATCCAAATCCAGTGGGCACCGCCAGTTCAGGTCCCTTTGCGCCGGATATCTCTTCTTCAGTAGATCCTTGTTGTGTCGGGGGCTTTTGTCTTCTTGTTGCCGTGTTGAAAGAGATCGATGGGTGTTGTCTCCTCGGCCAGCCCGCAATAGTTCTTCTATCTGCTCATAGTGACAGTGGAGGACGAGGCCGATCCGGAGAAGTTAGTACAACAAGCATTTTCACCTTGGTGCTGCTTGATCATCTCACTCACAGGATCCAGAAACGAACAAGATCAAGATCCGCCGATCAACAAGCAGCATTTCCATAGTTTTTGGTTTTTCGTGACCCGTGCTTGTTTTTTTTCTGTTTCCTTGTCGATGGTCAAAGTAGCCACAAGTCGTGTCATCTGCGACTCCCGTCAACAAGACGAATTCTCCTCATCGTAATCGTCGAACTTTTCAGTGAAAGTTCCCTGCAGTGAGCTTGCGTATCGGTATCAGGTCGTCACCGCTCTAAAACTTAGATTTACTGTAGTCGACTATATTCATATTCACTCCTTGCTGCCACTCCCACTGTTTTATCTAGTCACTAGTCTTCAATTACGATCTCTAGATCTTGTCTTGTCTTATTTCCCCCGCCGAAGTTCAATTTTCATCAATGTGTTTTGCCTGATGTTGCCAAATATTTTTACCCGAAATAGTACAGCTCAACATGTTTGACTTTTTCTTATTCACCCTGCTCACCCCAGCGGTGATTCGGATTCAGCAGTTTCGAGTGCAACTGGCGAGTCAGACTGTACCACGACATCCGCCACAAGAAGTCTTCACCTGCGTGGAAAAGGACCTTTTCCAAGACGTTGTGGACAAAGAGCCAGAACTTCTCTTTTTTCACCACCAGCATGGAGGTTCTCGTGCACCGGTGGAGGATCATCATTTAGAAATTTCTCGTGCGCCTTCCTCTACTGGCGCGGCTGGAGGAGGTGTAGCAAGAATTTCTACTCGACCACACGGTGGAAGAGAGAAAAACGAGAACCTCATCTACAGTGGTCGCCACATTCCTGGAATGGTGCTTGACTTCGAGATAGACAACTACTCATGGTCAGCGTCATCTTCTTCAAGTAGAGCGCTCGAGGAAGAAGAAGACGCAGGGCGACAGCAGGGCATGTTGATGCACTTCACGTCGCCGGTCCTGAATCTGCGCATTTTCCGACAATCACGACACGGCCCAACCACTAGAACATCTTCCGGAGCGCCGTCTGCAGCAACGCCGGGTCTGACAGGGCAGCACGGGGAGGAACACGAAGAAGATGTTCCTGGCGGGGGATCAAGAAGTACCAAGATGTTGACCGCTGCTGCAGCCACGCCGAGGACTGGTGTGAAGCAGGACAAGAATACGATCAACAACTTCTCTTCTGAGGACGAGGACAAAACGACTTTCGCTTACACGTGGCCGGAGCACGATGAAACCGATCATGATACGACTGGAACATTATCAAAAAACGGCAAGGCGACCCGGCTGGCGCAGGACCGATTGCCAGGTACAGTCCGCACATTGGACAACGTGTTGGGAAAACTAGACCTCGACTGCGCGCATATCCAGTGCAAATATGTCTGGGTCTGGAAACTTGTAATGCTGTAATGGGAATAAGTAGTGAATGCTCTGTAATGTTGCACAGCCAAGCATGAGAAATATCTGCGCTACTTTGTGTTGCGTTTTTCGCGTGACACGCTGCGTTTTTGCATGACACCAGGCAAAAGGGCCTCTTCTTGGACACGCATCACATACTTTTTCGTCATACCAGGCAAGCATGAATCTTCCAGACCCAGACATACTTGCATTTGATCGCGCACCTGAGGAAACAAAGACCGGACCTACACTGCGAGATGGGTGTGATCTCCAAATCTGGCTGGGTAGTTATTGACCACCTGGAACGGGAACGCCGGTATAACTACCTTAAGACCCGCGAACTAAATTTAAATGATGATCCAACGCAGGATGAGAATATGAAGGCAGATCGGCATCGAGCTCCTGCAGATCATCCGGGTGACGATGAAGATCTTCATGGGCCGCCTGAGAAGATGGCACAAGAACTGGGTTCATTCAGTGATCGTGAAGGTCCCAGCAGTGGTCTTGCCTCCGTGAAGGTGGACGACGTGGAGCAAAAAATCTTGTTGCCAGAGGACTTCTATGGTCACCGGAGCAGCGGTACTGCTGGAGAACGGAGAACCCCCTGTCAGCAAAAGCTGGTGGAGAAAATTTCCGATTTGGTAGCTGCAGCAGCAGTTCCACCTCCTACGAGGACTTCTGCGGCGGCGAAGACCTCTAAGAACTCATCGAGTACGACAACTAACAGATCTGCCGCTGCCGAGACGGAACACGTCCCCACCATCTCCCGGGAAATCGACGCTCATTTTTTCGGCCACGGCAGAGATTACCTCACGGCGCTGCAGGATTTTAGAGACCTCTTCGCCACGACCAGGAGGACCGCGATGAGTGGTAGACGTTCTGCTGCTGCGGCACGTACAGGAGATGATGATGAAAAAAGCACCTCCGCGACGCGGCCCTCTCGTCCTGAGGAAGATGGCGACGAAGGCGAGGCTGCTCAAGAAGTAGAAGAGCCACATAGTTCACCGACCGTTCCGCCAGCCTATGTGTTTGGTCTGTGGTACTCGCGGTGGTGGAGCTATCATCAAGACGAACTGCTCGCCGAGGTAGCCGAGATGAAGAAGCTTTTCCAACTATCCTGCTGTGTAAATAACACGTATCCACCAAACCACGTTTGTCATGCGAATATGCATGCATGCCGCGGACTATGTAGTTTCTCAACATGCGAAGCCCCATGTGAAGCACCATCTTCTAGCTGGTGTTTTGGACTCTGTAACACCCTGAACGTTGTACGTAAGTGACCTAATCAGGATAAGACTTCTAAAATAGCATAGCAGACTTTCGTGTTGACGTCGGTAGGTCACAACGACCTCAGCACGACGACATCAGAGACCGATGAAACTACTTGATGTCATACGCTTTTGCCAAACCTTCTTGATTTGTGTACTCATAGCAGGTTTCCCATCCTCACTATGGTGATGTGGGTACTCCGTTTTCAGTTTTACATGTGATACGACTTTCCGCCCTCCGTTCTCGTCCTGGATATGGACTGGCATCACACGTTCTACCGCGACGCCTGGTACGGAGGCGAAAAGGACATTGCAGGCTTCCAGAAGGGTATCGCAAGAAAAAACTGTTTCACTGTGAACTTGTGATGCAGAAAACGAAACACCAAAGTGTTTGTCTTGCTACACTTGCAAGACATCCGATTTGCAAGCGTGTTTTCCCTTGGGAAGCGCGCATGGCAAATTTTCTGTCTCATGTGTAACAAACTTGTGATGCAGATATTGCTAAATCACCACAGTGAAACAGTTTTTTCGTGGGATAAAGGGATGGACGGGCTGGAGCTGGGACCGAAAACTGTTTCCGGACCCGCAGCAGTTCATTTTCCAGGTGCGAAAATTGGGCGTCCAGGCGATTGCGGTGAACATCCACCCCGCGTCCGGAGTTTTGAAGTTTGAAACCTGTTTTGCGGAACTGAAAAAGGCGATCTTTGGCCACGAAAGTATTCAAACGGGTGGTCGTGAAAGCACAAGAAGAACAGCTGGGCGAGAAGAAGAAAAGACAGATAAATTAGATGATCGCGATCTGCAGCTGCTGTTGAACAGCACAAACTACACCGACTTTCTTCCCTTTCCCTTTCTGATGGCGACGGAAAGACGCCAAAAGTTGTTTGGGGAACTCTGCCTGAAGCCTCTGAAAGTGGACGTATTCTGGATCGACTGGCAACAGGGCGAGGATATGCGGCTCGTGTTGGATACGCAAAGGAAGCACGACGGAAGCAGCAAGGACCAGAACGAAGGCCGCGATGGAGAACAGAAGAGCAAGTTGCATTCAACAGCTGCTTTAAAAGAGCCGACGACGAAACCTTCTTCGAAAGTAGCCCAGTCTTATCCCGACTCTACCCCGACCTCTTTCCTATCCGATTACTTTGCGCGGTACGCAACAGATGGCATCACCCTGAACCGCTTCGGCGGCCTACTGCACGCACAGCGCGACCAGCAGGGACGCCGTCCGGTGACAGTTGGCTTCTCGGGCGACGTCGTCCAGGATTGGTCCTCGCTGGCGTTTCAGCCGGAGTTTACCACAGCAGCATCCAACGTTGCGTTCCCCTACTGGAGTCACGACATCGGCTATGCAAAGAAAAATACTGTGCAAGTGAAAGTGTACTTGCAAATAAAACGGAGAAAAACAGACACAGTTACGCTTGCCATGCCAGACAGCCACGAAGTCCTCCCCCTCTGGTATGCGCTTTGTCGTACTGGCCGCTGCGCATGATGCATGGGTTTATTTCTTTGTGATGCAAAAGAACGAATTTATGATGCTACTCCTCCTCCTACAAGGTAATACGCTTTATGCACACTTTTCTTCTTGGATATCGGCGGGTTTCTGCTGCCCGTCGACAACGAATTGCTCACCCGGTGGATCCAGTTTGGGGCCTTGTCCCCGGTGCTGCGGCTGCACAGCTCCAAGCTGTTCGCCGCGGTGGAGAATCATCGGCTCGTGCAAAAACTTCAGCCGGACCCCTTCGGCAACGCAGTGGTGCACGCGGTGCAGTTCCGGAAACTGCTGGAACCGTACCTGCACAAGCTCCTCGCGGCGGAGTTTGCGGAATCGGGTGTCGGGTTGGTGCGCCCCTTGTACTACTACCATCCGGACGATGAGAACGCGTATCAAGAAATGAATCACGACCCTGCAGTTGCTAGTGATACTAGTACATTAAGACAGCTACACCGACGAGACCTTTCCTACGGCTATTACCTCGGTTACCGGCTGTTGTGTTTTCCCGTGACAAAGCCGGGGGTCAACTTAGTCCACGGGTGGATACCGTCGCGGATACCGCAGTGGGTTCAGAACAAACATGAAGTTGCCTCGACGTGGTCGCACAAACAAGCCGAAGCCTCCGAGAAAGACGCAGCCAGCCAAATCCCTGCCTCGCTATTGCGAGGAAAAATCCAAATCCCCCCTCCCCGTATCGAAAAGGTATGTTTCCGAAAATTTGTGTTGCTGATTTGAGGTCACGCATCGCATTTGTCTTGCAAGAACACAACGGCAGAAGCTTCCGCCCCATTATGGAAGCGATTTGTCATGCTGTTGGGCCGAAAGGGGAGCCGTTTGCCATGCTGAACAACTAGACCCATACGCCCCGACCTAGCCTGGGGATCTGGCCGCAGTGCCTCTCTGCAATACAGACCTGATGTGTGTACACAGGTCCAGCATCAGAAATTCCGTTTTGATATGGGGAGGGGGGGTTTTCCTTTCGATACTCGCAGGCTGCAGTTCTTGAGCACGACAACTTCATTGCCCTCCACTCCGGGGAGGAATTCCAACCCAACACGGTTTTCACGGTCTACACGAGTCTGGACGTGAAAGATTCCCTCGGCCCTGTGTTTGGAAGGAAAGGATCCGCGATCCCTTTCGGAAGGGAGACCGTTTTGCTCTTCGGCTTGCGTGGACGGGATTTCGGGCTGGAATGGAACTTCGAGGAAGAGAAGGATACTGGTGAACAAGAAGAAGGGAACAAGGTCTCATCTATAAAAATCTCTACTTCTGCTCCTGCAGGTACAGCTGCTGCACCAGCACGACCAGAATCAGAGCATACCACGACTCAACGTAGGAGTGGTTCTTATCTGCGCTATACCGGCAAACTAGACAAACGAAAGTTACTGCGCAACAGGACCAGATTTGTTCTCATCGGTGGAGACATTTTGCGGTTCAGAGCGCCCGAACTTTTTGTCAGCAATAGACATAGAGCAGATGCAGATGAGGAAAATCAGCAGCATCCCGGCGGGGAACAGCAGCGACAGAAACAGACACAGGATGATGAAAATGAAAATACGAATAAACCGTCGACCTTTGTACAACGACTTCTACCATGCAGCTTTGTCGAGCCAAACAGGAGGGGAATGAGAATGAAGCAAAACGAACAAGATAGAACTAAACCTGGTGCGACTTCAGACATTTCTCATTCATCCCGTCGTGCAGAGGAAGCAGAAGAGCACGCGGACTTTGTTTCGACTTCCGCGAAGATGGAAGCAGAGCATGCGGAAAAATTGTCGTCGGTGTGGATCGACGTTCTTTTTCCAACAGAACTTCTGCAAGAACCGAGCATGGGAAAGAAAAAAGCGGCTTCAAGAACTGCTTTTCGTGAAATTGAAACGTCTTCTGCTTCTTCTTTTACGTGCGACTTCGCGGATGCGACAGCTACAACCTCAACATCAAGTACTGACTTAGTACTCAGTAGTGATACTTCTACCTCCTCGTGCAGGGACGTCGAGACGCAAGAAATAGAAAATCAAAACGATGGTCGACGCACCTCGAATACTCCACTTCTCGCCCTGAAGATTCTGCACCAGGCTACCTACTACCGCAGACAGTTGGAAAAAGCGAAGGGCAAACTGGATAAACTCTTTCCCATAGTCCTGCAAGACGAGTGGGATGCGATTTTGGACATTTGGAACCTAATCCGCGAGAAGAAAGGCCTCTACTACACAAAGAACAGCACCGGTTCTGGTGGTTCTCGTCAAGAGGCTGGAGAACCTACAAGGGGCACCACGAACAAGAGCAAGGCTAAAGACAGGGAAGACACAATGGATCCCACTGCAACGTCCTGCCAGTTGTCGACTTCACTTGCCCGGTTGGAACAGCAGCTCACCTCGATGTCTCGCTTTCAAATTTCGAATCGCTTGCGCTCGGAACTCTTCGCCATGCTGGGCTTTTTCGACAACGCAGCACTCTATGATTTTAATCACAGCCCAGGCGCGGCCGCGTTCTATCCGGTAGCTTTTTTCCGTGCTATGGCGTTCTCAAACGTTACATTCTGAACTGTTACATGAATTGGTGATGCAAGAATGGCAAAACTACAAGGGGGAAGATTGCGCCTTTTGCATTACAGATTTGGCACAGATTTCCAGCCTATTTGGCGGCCCTTCGGGAATTTGTCATGCGAAGCAGGTTGATCGTGTCGAGGCTGATTGGAATTTTGCATGACAAATCATGTAACACTTGAGAATGTAACACTTGAGAACGCCATACGTGCGTTTTTCGACTTCGAGGCGGCGGAAGTGCTCTTCTCGCTCGGCCACAAACTCACCTGGTTTCTTATGGAAGTGTCAGAATCGAAATTGACAAAGTCGAAAAATTTGTGATGCACAAAATCGATGTCAGTAGGAGCCTCAGTCTCCAAGTGGCGCGTGACAAACTTCGGAAGCACCCAAATCCAGTCTGTCTTGCTGTTTGGGCAAAGAAGACTCCTCCTGTCATGCTACTCTGCCAGCACATTTTATACCCCTAAACAGGCTTACGATCGGTCTCATTTGCCTGCTTCCCAGTACAGGCGCTCAGTGCCCTACATGTTATGCATCACGTATTTTTCGATTTTGTCGATTTCGATCCCGACACATCCATATTTCTCTTCGCCGGGCCCTTCGCGCGGACCGTGTTTGAGCCGCTAGTGCGTGCGTTATCCTGAGAAAAAAGTGTTACAGTTACACATTGTGTTGCAGGCCAAGCAAGGCAGACGAGCTCTGTCATGCCGGATATGCATTGGAGCCTCGTTTCATAGGTGTTTTCCCGTAGGATTTCTGCATTACAAGTTTTCTCTCTCATGCTGAGAAATTTGTGTTGCTGAATTGACAACAAATGTGTAACTGTAACACTTTTTTCTTGCGATATGCGTTCAACGAGGGACAGTACGAGGTCTTAGAGGTCAAGAAGTCCGGTTTTTTTCCTTCCTCGTCTGTATGCATTGCAAAGATGTCTGGGTCTGGAAACTTGTGATGCTAAAATGTGGATGATGGAAACACTTTCGAATGCAGCCCAGCGTGACAACTTTCCAGAACGCTTTCTCATAGGCAGCCCGCATGAGAAGCTGCGTTTTTGCATGTGCAAAAGAGGCCGCGACTTTTGTTGGTTATGCAATACAGTATGGCGGCGTCAACAATCTCACCACTATAGTATATCAAAAAAAGTTTCATATCGTATTTATGTATCTGAAAGCACCTATTTTGAGCTACCACTTTAAAATAGATATGCAACAGTAGCGACTTTGAGCTAGCTGCCTTGAGCTAGCTAATTCTTCCTCCTCTTTGCACACACGCAAGCCTCAAAAAGCGCGCTTTTTCTGCTATCCTTCCAAATTTAGCACCGATGCTAGTGAGCTTCGAGCCTAGTTTTTTTCGATAATGTACTCACTTTTTGGAGGACGTCCCCCGAGGTCGTCAATCTCAGTTCAAAAAGTGCTCACTTGAGCACAACAAATCCTGGCCATTTTGGAGAAGCGTGGGAAAACGTGGCGCGCCAAGAGATGAAATAGAAACGATATATTTTTTTTTTGATATAGTATAGTGGTGAGATTGTTGACGCCGCCATATACAGATTTCCTAGGTATGGAAAGCTAGCATTACAAATTCAAACTTTCCAGACCCAGACATATTTGCATTTGATAGTCCGCGATCCTATTTTATTTCATACTTCTCGTTTCAGTTTTAGCTTATCCAAGTCGAGGGTATTGGCGCCCGTGCCTGCTCCGGATTTTGTGGCGCTCTTGTTCCTCAAAAATAAAGCGTGACGCTGTGCTGAAAAAGTATGCGAAAGCTGCAAGGTTTTTTTTTGGCGACAGAGTGACGGAAGACCTGGAGACTGTAGAGCTAGAAATGACGAGGAAGACAAAAGGTAATCAACATGAAAATAAGAGTGCAAGCGTGACTACAAAAAAACCTTCCTCAATAAATACACACAAGGCTTCTAAAGTGATGCGAAGTAGGAATTTCACTCGAAGCAGTGGCCGTGCTACTAGCGCTGATATCAGAAGTACAAGTCCAGCAAGCCGTAAGACTCAGAAAAATAAGCCTATACCAAAAAAGACATCTGTCGTTCCTCGATCTTAAGCTCACCGCGCTGGCGCCCGTGCATTTGGTACTAGTATGTGACTGCTGGCGCTGTTGGCCCGGAAACTGAGCCATGAACAAAGTCTCATCTGACTCTGGAGTTTGACCCTGACGTTGTGGTTACGTTTTGTGTTCCGTGCAAAAAAATAGCTGCTCTTCTCAGGAACGCAACAGTGTGAACCTCTCATTGCGAAAAGCGATGTCGTGCTGCTAGCATGTGCGTCAGAGACTGTCGCGTAAATCTGTAGGCTAATACAGCTAAGAGGAAGAGTTTAGAACTTGATAACTGCATTCTCAAGAATAGAAAAAAAAACTGCGTGCCCGATAGAACACAACGACTTCGACAGAAAATCTTCGAGACGCGACGTTGATGCGTGCTGTTGCTTTTGTCAAAGTTGTTGCGAATGTTGTTGATGTTCGAGGAATGTTGTTGATTTTCAGGAAGACTTTGTTTCAGGATCGACTCGACTTCGCTCGATTATCTCGATCCTTTGTGTCGCGGTTCGAAAGTATTTTTCGATTCGAGTTCGACCCGCGAAAGCGTATACAAGCGTCGCAACGACAACATCAACATAATATGTGGAGTTCGAATGATACATGATTGTGTTTAAGGTCTTAGAAAAAAATACCCTGAAGAAAAAAAATTTCATTATGTTTGTTGGTAATAAGTAATTACTCAACTCTCAATTTACCAGGTGGTAGATCATTTCTTTTAGCTCGCACTACTAGAAAATCATTCCGAAAGTTGTTGCCTTCATTTTCTAACCTTTCTTACTTATCACCATCCTTGTCCCACCCGGGAACGGAAAGTAAGTATTGTTACTTCAACAAGACCGTGGACGTGGACGGCAAAATTAAGTATTAAAAAAGTTGCTGATGAAAAAAAGCATTTGAACGTAAACTCACCTGTGCATGTCGGGACCACTCCGCCCACTGCTCCAGCCTACAGATTTTGATAACTACCCAAGAGTTAACAACAGCGCTGCACTTTTAAGCAAGACCCCCCAGACCGTCAAGAGGGAGAGCAGCTTTCTTCAAAACGGTCGCAAAGAGGAGGAGAACTCGTCCCTATCGCCCCCGCAAACGGATTACAACTATGTAGAAATCGAGGCGGACCTCACGCCCAGCGCAAGAACTTCGCATGACATTGAAACTGCCCCGTTTAATAGTATTCGAAGCCAGCACTCTACTCCTTATCCATCTTTCCAAAGAACTACTAGTACAACTACTGGCGCTACAACGGCTGGACGTGATCCAACTATAACTGAAGGAAGCAGTAGTATATGTATATTTTCCTACCAAAGAACAAGTGTTATCTCGACCATTGCCGAATCTGTGTACGCTATGGTACTCTCTAGCTTCAGTACATCAACGCGCGGAGCTGCTGGTGGCACAAGTCCGACCAGTGCGGCCGCCACTAGGGTGGGTTTGCTCTCTAGCGCGGCCGTTGCCACAGGCGCGGTAAACACTTCTAGTAGCACAGGTAGTTATAATTGTGGCCCTGGTGCAGCCCGTAGTTCATTTTTCTCCTGCTGTAATTTGGCAGGAGGAGTCTCACCGAATTCCCCAAAGCAATTGTTTGTGTCCTTGGTAGCAGTTTCGTTGCTGTTTTTCCTCGTTAGTGTGTATCATCGTAAAGGCTCTACAACCATTGGGAGTTACCTTTCGCAAGTCTCAACCATGACGGCCGAGGTGGCGGTCTCGCTGCTGCTGTCCGTGCCGCCGGTGCTGGGCATCTTCTGGGCCTATGCATTGCAAATAGGTCTTCGTCTGGAAAATGAGTTACGAACATAACCTGTACTGCGAATTTCGAATGAAGCAAAAGTCTGTGATGGACGACGAAGCAGATGTTGAGCACAACAAAGTTTATCATACAATGCGACGGCAAGTTCCGCATTTTTGCGTGCCTTTCTACTTTACTTTGTGAAAGATCTCTGTCATGTCTGGCTAGGTTTTGATAGGTACGTTGGTTTGTTGCTGATATCAGGCGACAGCAGGCATATTAACAAGATTCCAGAGCCAGATCGATATTTGCAGTGGATAGGCCCGTGCTGCAGACCAAATGGGTCCACGACGTGGAGCTAAAGGAGCCGGCAGAGGAGCTCAAGCAGATCACGTCATATGGATTGCAAAAATGTCTGGGTCTGGAAGAATGCAAGATTTGTCATGCATATTTCTCATGACCCATGATGCCTGTAATGCATCCCCTAGCATCGCAGACATTTAAAGGGCTTCCTGATGCACTTTCCGCATGAGAAATGCCCTGTCCGTGTAGCACAAACTGTACCCCTCTTGCTGGTCATGCAATACAAAATTTTTTAGAGTCCAAAAACAGCATGACAAATTGCAATCTTCCAGACCCAGACATTTTTACACTTGATACGTCAGGTGATGCCTCGATTCAGCCAGGTCTCGAACGAGAGAAAGCAAACTCGCGCTATCGATTTCATAGAAACCAAACTAATTTAATGAGAGACAAATACTCACTTATTACAACTTCGTTTTTTTTTCAATGAACTTGAATTTGATGCTTCCCACCTGCTTTTGCTTTTCATTCTTCTGCAACTTCCAGGTGATGCACATAAGTATTAAGTACTACTCCTACATCTCGCATGTTCAAGTTCATCAGCTTATCTGCGCATAAGAACCTCATCTCGTTTCCTGCTGATGACGACGTTCGGCAAAAAGAAAGAAAGAGAAACCAAAAGTCATCCGCCCCACTAAATTTCCACAACAGGCCTGATAAAGAACAGCCAAACGGTGGGGAAGATGCAGGAGATCGCCAATGCCATTGCGAAGGGCGCGGACGCCTTTCTCCGCATCCAGTATGCCTGGATCATGGCCTTTTGCCTCGCGTTTTCCGTGGTCATCTACGAGTTTTTTTCGCACATTTTGTCCAAGCCCAGCCTCGGCGCCGCCACGGTGCTCGCCTTCCTGCTGGGGGCGCTGACCTCCATTCTGTCGGGGTACATTGGAATGAAAGCGGCGGTAATGTGCAATTTGAAAACCGCCCACCAGTGCTGGGCCGAGGGCATCGAGGCGGGGTACGCCGTGGCCGTGCGTGGGGGGTCCATTCTGGGCTTTGCACTGGTCTCGCTCGGGATCGGAGTCATGTTGGTCGTGATAAAAATATTCGAGCTCTGGCAAGTGGACAACGGTATAATTCTGTGAGTGCTACAAGTAGAGGTGGACTATGCTTCTTTTCTTGTTGTTGTTCACAATGATCACAGCAATAAAGCCAGCGACACAAATAATTCATCTCGTGTTTAATATGGTTCGTCTTGCAATTTCTCCTCCAAAAATACAAGACTTCCAAAAGCATGAAAAATAATAATCCACACCTGTTTACTATACAACTAGGCTCCATCCTTTCCCTCTATGAGGCCTTGGCCGGCTTCGGACTCGGAGGCTCTGCGGTCGCACTTTTCGGCCGCGTGGGTGGCGGTATCTACACAAAGGCGGCTGACGTCGGGGCGGATCTTTCTGGTAAGAATACCCGTAAATTGCAATATAAGTTCCTGCTTTTCTGAGTTACTCACAACTTGCTCATGCTTTATGATGTCGTTCTGGAGCATGCATGGCACACGTTCTCCTTCTCTCGCGTCAAATTCTGCATGAAGAGCACGCTTTTACAACAAAAATGAATTCACTAAACACCTAGGCAAAAACGAGTGGGGCATGGACGAGGACGATCCGCGCAACCCGGCCTGCATCGCGGACAACGTGGGGGATAACGTAGGGGACATTGCCGGTATGGGCGCTGATCTGTTCGGTTCCTTCGCTGAGGCTACCTGCGCGGCGATGATTATCGCCGCGAAGTCTTTCGACGCGGCGTACGTCGCCAACGGTCCCAGCCCCCCGGGGCTCGCCAACAGCTACGCGGGTTTGAACTTTCCGATCCTGATATCCAATTGCACAAGAACAACGACTCCCCCTTGTTCCCCTCCTTTGTTCACGCTGGGCATGAGCAGCGGCAGTAGAACCATGCCCATCAGAAGTAACACTAACACTGCAGCCTGCGCATGACAAAGAAATCTAGCTCACTGAACTTGAGGGCTCTTCCGAAATACGACCTTGTTATCATGCAATAAATGATAAATATAGTCCCGGAGGACAGAAAAAAAATGAAATTTTTAATTTTGCATGAGAAATGACTGAGAACAAGGGGGTGGGTCGAGGTCTTGTGCAACTCTGATACCTGATCAGCTCCTTGGGCGTGCTCGTCGGCTTGGCCACCATGGGAATCGTGCTGTACATGCCCTACTTTGCGGTTCGAAACACCGCGCAAATCGAGGGCGCACTGAAGGCGATCTTGATCGTGTCCACGGTGTTGGAGTCCGTCGCGGCCACGGTCGCGGCCTACGTGTTCCTCCCAAGCGAATTCCGCCTGGCCATGGACGACGGGACCATGGTGGTCCGAGGCACGTTGGATTTGCTGATCCCGATCATTCTCGGTTTGTGGGGAGGTCTGATCATCGGCATCGTGACCGAATACTACACGTCGCACTCCTACCGACCGGTGCGCGAAATCTCCGAGACCCAGCAGGTTTCCGCGGCCACGGGCATCATCTACGGGTTGGCACTGGGCTACCTTTCCTGCATCATCCCGATTCTGGTGCTGGTCCTCACCGTACTCGTCTCCCACAACCACGCAGGCATGTACGGAGTGGCCCTGGCAGCCTTAGGCATGCTCTCCACGTTGACACTTGGTAATATTCTCTATTGAATATAGGACTTTTGATTTGATATGAAATTTGCAGTCGAAGATCATCTTTTCCTCTCGACGACACAGAGGAAGAGGATTTTTTTGCTCTTCTCGTCATTTATAAAATGTTTCTCTGCGGCAGATAGAAAAGCAGATCAAGAACCAGTACGTAGCCGTGAACAAGAAGACCATGTTGATGCGTGTCGTGTGAAAACAACATTTTGCAACTAATTCGGAATAGACGAAGAGCATTTTGCTAGTACTGGTGGTTTCCTCTTAGTCTTAACAACATCGTCATCAACGAACAACATATTTTTGTGAAATTATCAGGTCTTACCATCGACGCCTACGGTCCCATCTCTGACAACGCGGGCGGCATCGCGGAAATGAGCGGGCTCGGGGCTTCCACCCGCGAGCTCACCGACGCACTGGATGCGGCGGGCAACACCACCGCGGCGATCGGCAAGGGCTTTGCGATCGGCTCCGCCGCACTGGTGTCTCTAGCACTGTTTGGCGCCTTCAAAGTCCGGGCGGGGGTGCAGACGGTGGATATCAAGTGCAAAAATGTCTGGGTCTGGAAGGTTAGAACTTGTCATGCTAAATCTGAATGATGCAAAAATCTGTGTTGCGTGAGTGCCAAGAGCTGTCCGCTTTTGACTTTTGACCAAAATGAGAGGGACTTTCTCATGCAGGAAAGGCATAAAAGAGACCTCAAAAAATCTGTCATGCTGGGTCTCGCATTCCAGACCTCATGGGTCATGGAAAACCTGCATCACAAATCTTGCATTCTTCCAGACCCAGACACTTTTCATTGTAATAGAGGACGTGTCGGACCCACTCGTGTGGAGCGGGCTGCTGGTCGGCGTATCATTTGTAAAAACGTCCCCACCCCATAGTCAAGATGGGGAATCGGCTAGAAAAGTCCACAAGCTTTGGCTGTTTCGCATGACAAATTTGGACTCGTAGCGTAGTGCTGTTTCTTTGGGGTAGTTCAGCAGCATCACAGATCTAGCACATCGTGCTGACTGGAGCATGACAAATTCCAAAACGGCACTTTTTTTGCTTCTCATGGGGCTCCGCATGACAAACACTTTCAGCATGCAGGTTTGGCGGGGACGTTTTTAAATACGATACGGCGCTATGCTGCCCTACGCGTTTTCGGCAATGACGATGAAGAGCGTTGGCGTGGCGGCACAAGATATGGTATGGATATGATATTATACCCTTGTCTACTTGCGACGTACGATGTTACTTACGAACCTCGCGGCGCTCGCCGTCCTAGCTGCGTGGCGACTATTTGACGGACATCAAGTAGTTATTTCTCCTGCAAGTGTAGAGAAAACAAGCGTTTCCGAACATGAAAATGTCTTGTCCAAGAAGTGATGAAAAAAACCGCTGCCGGAAAACAAAAAAATAAAAAGCCGCTGTGTACTATAAAAAGATCCCTCCTCAGGTAAACGAATGCATGCGTCAATTTCCGCTGATTGTGGACGAGGGGAGAGAACCGGATTACGACACCTGCATCAAGATTTCCACCGAAGTATGAACTGCAAAGACGTCTGGCTCTGTAAAATCGTAACCTGTAATTTTGCCGTCCGTCTCACGCAGGCCCGGGGGCGGGCTAGACACTTGAAGAAGGTGTTGGAAAAATTTGCTATGCTTGGCCGCACTCAAACAAAAGGATGCTTATGCTCAATGACCAGAATGCAGCACCACAGGTTCTTTCCACACCCAGACAGATTTGCAATGCATACGAAGCCAGTCTACGCGAGATGATCCTCCCAGGAGCGCTCGTGATTTTCACCCCAATTTTATCCTGCGTAAAAACGTCCCCACCTCCCTTGTCTAGAACTAGAAGATTGGAAATTTGATTGAATTTTCGATACATGCTACATCAAAATAAAGCAGTCGATAATCTGTGATGCGGCTATGTTACGACTTCTACAGTCCGATGTAGCCGAAGTTGTCATTATAGAAGTCCCAAAACTCGTGAACGTGTCTACCTAGCAAGCTTCCGATCTTGTGTCGACTGCATGATGAGGAGGCGATAAAATTTTTACTCCGGATAAAAATTCACCGGCTTGGTCTTCGGCAAGGAATGCGTGGCCGGGTTGTTGTCCGGAATTCTCGTGTATCAAGTGCAAAAATGTCTGGGTCTGGAAGAATGCAAGTTTGTCGTGCTTATCTCACATGACTCTTAAATTTGTCATGCACATTACCCGAGCGCCCCATTTTTCTGTCATGCAGAAACGCAGTTTCTCATGCAGAATAAGCAACACCTAGAAGCTCAGAAACTTATCATGCTGAGCCACCTTCGTGATACGCCGCCCAGTATCATAACTTTCCAGACCCCGACATTTTTACATTTGATATCGTGTCCGGCGTGCAGCTGGCAATTTCCATGTCAAACACCGGCGGAGCCTGGGACAACGCGAAGAAGTACATTGAAAAGGGCGGCCTGGGACCGGAGAGCTGTATAGAAAATGTTATGTAAATTTACGAACTCGACTTGCAAAAAATAAAAACTGGACTTCAAATTGTCACCTGACACGACCATTCGCCGTGAGCTGCTGTGTGTGATTAACGTTTACGCATCTACATCATCGACGTCTCATGTAAGTATACTTTTATGCAGCATGAAGATGATGTCAAAACTACAAGAAGAGATCTTCTCCGAAATATTAAAACCAACAGCCAAGGGTAGCAAGGCACACCAGAACGCGGTCACCGGGGACACGGTTGGCGACTATGAAAGTGCATAACTCCCCCTCCCCCTCATTTGTCATGTAAGTTCCCAAATCCAGGCTGTGCGGTGCCTCTTGGCACTGTTTGCATGACAAGTTTTGGTAGCCCAAAAAGCATAGTGCATTCCAGTGTGAATCTGTCATGCAAAACCGGCATTCTTGGTGATGCTTGTACTGCCGTCCATGCTATACAAATGAGGGGGAGGGGGAGTTGTGCACTGTTATAGCGACCCGCTGAAGGACACCTCGGGGCCGAGTCTGAACATTTTGGTGAAGTTGTCCGCGATTATCTCACTGGTATTCGCGGAGGTGTTCATCAGCACGGGGTGGCTCGCAACCTCGAATGCCGTGGGCGGCGCGGCTGCCGTGAGCCCCACGTCCCAGCCAGCGGTTCCGAATGCTGCCATGAAGGCCAGCTCTCTGGCCGTCAAATCGCTGTGAGCGCCTCCTCGTGCAGATGAATGGAAGAGGACGAAAAAATAATCACCTATCGCTTCGCTTATTCTACTTCTCTCAAGAGCTTCCTCATCTAGCAATCAATCTCTCTGCGCCGGAGTTAAAGATGATAACAATGACGAAGTTCAGGAGATGATACGGGGGAAGTAGAAGTAGTAGTGGGCGAGAGGAAAATAACAATGACTCCTTGGAAAAAACTAACCGCACGACGGTGCTGGTGCAGTAAGTAGAAGAAGTACTGCTAGTAAAAATGCCGATGATGTTAATGCTGGTGCTGGCAAAAAATAAAAGCCCAGGCCGCTCACCTACACAGGTGCCGCAGAGGAAAGCCGATCAGTACTATCCATCCTGAAAATAGATGAGCGTGGGTGTAGTGGCTTCCGTAGTTCTTCCGAGAAAAAAACGAAACGAGGAACGACCAAAGTTACCCGTCCCAACAATCCTCGGCTGACGAGAGATGAAGAACAATTTTTTCAATTTGAATTTACTGTTTACTGTAGCTTATCGTTTACTGTCAGAAGATTTGAAGAAGATTTTATACGAAGATTCAGCATTGTCAGATCATTGATAGCACCAAGCCAAGGATCTCAATTGGTGACGAAAAGAATAAGAAAAATTGTGACTGTTTTACTCGGGATATGAATTTGTGAGCTCCGCTTTAGCTAAGACTTGCAATGCCTTGTACAAGCTACCTACATCATAGGCTTTCCATTCCGCAGCCAACTCGCTCCAAAGCGTTGTGGTGCGGTGGTGAGCGATTGAGCTAGAGCTACTTTGCAGCTAGAAATACCGCGGACGCAGCGAGGGACCACGCGGCTGTCCTGTAGTACCTTTTTATTCGACCTCTCTAGTGCAACCTAGGTACTTAACCCTGCAGGAGCTGATGGTGCTGATTATAGATATTTGTGGCAAGAGACTTCTAGATTATTTACCCCGTTTCTTCCTAAACTTGTAAATCCGTTTCAGCTCTTCCAAGCAGCATCGCCGCCAATAAACACAGGCGACACGGTATCCCGCGAAAAACCTGCTTTACTAACCCGATGGATTTTGTTTTTGCATGTTTGTATGCATGACTCACATCAAAATAAAGCTGCCATGTGTGCATGAGGATAAGCAAGTTTCGTAGGAGAAAAAATAAACATGGCGGGAAAAATCCCATGTTTTGTAGTTGTTCTAGCTCCTGCAAGGCATGAAACTCTCGAAGACCGCGGCTTTCTCGTCTCCATCACATTGAGGTCACAGTGAAGCAGTTTTTTCTCGCGATAAATGGAAGAACAGGCAGCCCTTTGCTTTTAACCTTATTGAACTTCTAGATTCTTTTTTCTCTTCCAAATAGTAACGCATGTGTTATCTGTGCTTCTAGTGCTGTAATTGCAGCAGGCGGGTGCCGTTGCAGATGTTTCCGTGGTCCCTGCTGAGCCGCGCTCAGACGGGGGACACTACTTTCGAATTCAGAAAATGCTCACGCTAATGCTATACTCGAAGATAAAGAAGATCGTCGACCTCAAAGGAAGGACAGTTATGGATGTGAAATCAAATATTTTGCTTACTGTGCTATTTTGTAACAAGACAAGAATTATTTCTACTATTTGAGCTTTTTTCGAATCTGTATCTTCCGTGTCTGCCCGCGTTTCGTGGCCAGCAGCGCTCGGACGAGCGAAATGATCATAGCTACTATTGTGGAGCTATTGACACGAGCTACGTGCTCTTGGTGGACTTGCTTCATCTTCGGATGTAAGTAGTCTCCCGCCTGCTGTTGTGGGGCTCGTGGCATCATCTTGGGCGTCGTCTACTGGTTTTGTTCCTCATTGTAAGTTGCCCTCGAGCCACCTCCAACTGATCGTTGTTCTGGACAAGAAGGAGGCAGGTTGCATCATCATCTTCGTAAGATTAGACAAGCACTTGTTAGTTTCAGGCATCGTATTTGTTTCATCCTCGACATCGTGGCCAGTCTGGGAGCTGAAGTTGTACGAGAGTGAAGACCATCATCAAGACCGGTTCGCTGGTCCAGGCAGCATTATTTGTGATTCGCTCCTACTTCGTGTGAGAATAAAGAGAAAGCTTGACAGAGAGACTGAGGGAGATATTAGTGCGTTCGCCGAGTTTGTCCTTTCATCAATCTGCAGTCGCTAAATTCGCTGGCGTTGGTCCATTCGCTCGCACAAAGAGATAGACGGAAGTAGAGGGAGAAATTTGAAACTTCATCGCTCTACTTCTGCTAGCCTCTTTGTTCTTTACTTTTCCGAGCAAGTGAAAATTTCTCTGCTCTTACAAGATCCTGATCCAGGGAAAACAGGTGGTACGGTAGGTACGTATCTCTCAGAACTCGTCGTCTGCAAAAAGGTTATTTACCCAACGATGGAGCAGAACGCCTCCGCGGGGTTCGCGAAAAAAATCGAGATGCCGGGCGACTTCCCGGAGATCCTGAAGGACTTCACACGGGAGGTTTTGAGGCATCAACCAGGAAACGTGTACGAATTCGGCGTAAAATATTTCGAAGAGAAACTCCTCGCGTCCGGTTCGGCGGCTTTGGAGTCCGCATTGTCGGGCGATGACTTGTCCCTGGAGAAGATGGAAGAGATCATCCAGCAGCTCTTTATCAAATACGACGAAGACAAGTCCGGCTACCTGGACAGGAGAGAATTCAGAAAATTGCTCTCAGACCTCAGGACACAGTACGCATTTTTTTTTAAAAACCTCGATCTACATCTTCACGTAAGTAGACGTGCGGGTCGTGGAGGTCGCTGTTCATGTTAATGCCATAAATAAGTAGTATCGCAGCACTGCAGGTTCGGACTTTTCGTACAGGAACCTCACGTCGAATGTCATGAACCCACCAGAATATTCCACATAATGTGAAAACGCGAAAATCTGCAATCGCAAACTCATCTTCAGGATTCCTTTTATTTCCGAAGACGATTATCCTGAGTAAAAATAGATGTCCCCACTAGATTTTTGTTTCTTCCAGTACATAGCTTGAACACCCTAAGGTCAAGATAGATCATTTAAGGCTGTTCTTGCGCTCCACCAGCCGAAAACATGTTGAATAAATCCGATTTCAAAAAGTCCCGGAGAGCAATGAATAGAAAATGCTCCCAATGTGCTGGCGCATGAGAGGACACAAGCTAGGCCTAGGGCTAGGCATGCAAAGGAATATGCATGAAAAGTCTGGGGAGGTGGGGATGTTTTTACTCCGGATAGCGACCTGTTCTTCTTTATGTCCGAGGCAGACGGTGACGAAAACAACGTATGCAGTGCAAAAGTGTCTGGGTCCGGAAGATGAACAGGGCAAGCTGTTTTGCATGGAGACCGAAAAGATCGCAGCTTGGTGTGTCCTGCAAAAACGCAGCGCGCTGCAGATAGGTACAGAGGGTCCCACCAGGACGAACTTGAACTTGTCGTGCTAGCTTGGCTGCATTTAGAAGTCAGTGTAGTGCAAGTGCTCCCATCATGCACAAATTCGTATCGCAAATTTCCAGACCCAGTTCGATTTTCTCAATGCATAAAACCAGATCGAATACGACGAGTTTATTCCAGTAGCACTGCAAATCATCCAGACAATGTATCTATACCTAGCTCCTACGAGCAGCGTATCTTCTTCCTCAATTAAGATTAAGAATGACAAAAACATCCTAGCTTTTCGTTTTTTTGATGTGGTCTTTCACTTTTGAACATGACCAAAATAACCACCACACGTCGAAGGGGAAGGAAAGGAGTAAACTCATAATATTGAAAAAAAAATGCAGGTACTCCCGGAAAAAGCACCTCGCGCACAAGCAGGAAGTGCAGGCACAGGCACAAGTATGGAACAAATTCGACAGCCTAGCCGCGGTCAATAGGTAACATCAATCCGGCGTTGTCCTGTTGGGTGCCACTTTTCTTTTAGGAGGTGGAGAAGCACTAGCTGCACCAGAAATGATGTTCATGTTGTTTTAAGTATTTCATTCATTCCACGACGAACTCTACTGCATCATGATCTTCGATGGCAAGAACGTGTTGCACCAGCACCCTCAAGATGACATTACGGCCAGTATGAATCGAAGTTAATACATGTTGATCGTGATCGAATTTCATCCCTTGCATAAACTGCAATCCTGGTGCACGGTATGGATCGAGCAGAGCTTGAGGACGTGCTGCAAAAATTGTTCCGAAACTTCGACACCGACGGGTACTATAGTGCATCTGCATACTTACTGGCTTACTGAAAATGAGCATGACAAGTAGTTGATTTGTCTTTTGATTTCCATGCGCGATTCGTGTAACTCAAGTCTAAAAGTCGCTGTCCTTATTTCTTCAAAACCTAAAATGAACTCTATGATAATGATTGACTGTTGTTTGAGTAGACGCATCGATCTAAGTACCTTCATGCGATGGTAACAACTTGTAGTACGCGCATGTATTAAGACAGAAGAAATAGTGCAAATTTTGCAGTGATCCCTCGTCTTTGACTTTTTATCAGGTCCGGTGCCCTGTCCCGTAGCGAATTCGAGAAGGCACTGTCCTCCATGGAGCTCGGCTTGACAATACCTATTGCAAATATCCCTGGGTTCGTATTTGTGATGGGAACAGATATCTGTCGCATATCATATTCTGCATACGACAAGAATTATGGAATCTGCGAAGATTATAATGGCATGGAGAGAATTCGTGACTTTCTCTATCTTACTGGAAGAACAAGGCCATGCAAAATCATATAAATATGGTGTGGCGCTGGGTGCGGGTGTCCACTACATGATGATGATGATGATGATGATGATGCAGTGGTCGCAAAACTTGTAATGCGTTTATGCCGTAGAGAAGTCCGCGCATGCCCATGTTGAAAGCGTCGGCATGACAACAAGTCGCGTGCTTTCAATAAATATCCGGACCCCGAGGACATATTTGCAGGGGATAGACAAGAAAAGAAATCAATTCCATCCTCTTCCACTACGACGCAGACGAGTATCCTCTGTGAAATAAACGTCTCGACCCTATATCTGCCATGCAATTTTATATGCTCTCATGCGCAGGAGCCCCTTGAGAGGCAGCATTTATTTCCAATGCTATTAGTTTATCATTATCTAGGACGTCGAGTTTGATGTTTGTCTGCTAACAGACTGTCGGTTTCAGCTTCTGACGCGACTGTGTTAGAAGCTGCAGCCCATCGCGACAACTAAAAATGATCTAGAGATCCGAAATTGTCAATCTATGCAAAAACAGCGTTCAACCCTGTACCTGTAGTTGATTCGCGTATTATAGCAACATGCCTATTTTGACGTTGACGAGGATCATCTTCATCATGTATGACTATGCTAGAATGGGGTGGGGACGTTTTCACTCGGGATCACGAGGACGGGAATATCACGTATTCCGAATTCGTCCCCTTCGCTTTCGATCTGCTGTCCAAACTAACTGAGTTGAGGATTTTCGAAACCGAGATGGCAGAGGACGAGCTCGCACAGTTTCTATATCCCAGAGAAAATAAAACCTAGCATGCCACTGTCGACGTAATGCAAGAAGAATGCACAGAGGACCAGGACATTCCAGTTCTGCCATAGAGGGGCCATATTACATGGCACGGGGCCCAGGCTACGCATGACAGATTTGCCTATCTAAGTCGTGCTTATTCATCTTGCACGACAAGTGTGAGAATATCCCAGTTTTTTTCTGTGTGATACCCTCGTGGATTTGTTCAAGGCAAAAGAGGTCGAGCTGGGAGGCAGCGGCGGAGAGAGGCCGCCAGGTATCATGTTTAACAACATGAAACATGATTCTTGGAGTGCGTTTAGCTCGTTTTGCAAGCTAATAACTCTGCGGAAAATATAATTGAAGCAGATCCAAACGCAAGAAGATCATGAAGGTGCATATTTACTTACAGCACTACAGTATTTCTCATGCGATGTTGTGGAGAGCCGCAAGTGGGCAAATAAATAGTTTGAGCAGCTGCAAGAACCGGCAGTGAATAAGTAAAATAGTAGAAATACCAAATAGAACTTCTACCTGACTTCTGTGATCAAGGTATGCTACCGGTGGACGAAATCAAGGACCTCCTACACCAAGCGGCATCTAGGAAAGTGAAAGATGAAGAAAACGCATGCAATATTCAATACGTTCTCGTGCTGCTTGTAACTTCCGCCCTCGTCAAGTCTGTGCTTTTCTATTTCAGGATGAAATTATAATACTTAAAGGCTTATTGGTCATGGCGTTTACAGCATGATGGTGATACATAAAGCGCTGATCCTTGATGGCACGATACGCTGGCATCGAATGAAAAATGATGTTGTGCGGGAGTTGGAAATAAGAGCGTCGCTTTTTCTTTGTTCCTATCCATACCTCTGGGTTTGACAAGATTGCAGGTTATCGCCGTCGTTTCTGCAGCAGAGGCAAATGACGAAGGTAAGTAAGTACCTAAAAGCTGCACCGTACATATTTTTGTAGGGTAGTTTTCAGTTTTCATCACTATTAGCATGCAGGTCGCGATTCGAAGCGATGTACTACTTCTCATTCAGAAGTCCCGAACTCTTCATCCACACAAGTTAAGAGGTAGGGATCGGTGTTGCCGAGGTGCGAAAAACATCACGGTAGATGTGGAGCCGGAATTTTTTGTTGATACGGCACAACTGACATCAATATACTAATCAGGTTACGTGAACTATATGCAGTTCATACCGAAGGCGGTGGACGTTGCAAGAGCCCTGATGTCTTTCGAGGATGACCTGGCCGCGAAGGTGGATACCACACAGAAAAATCAAAATGCTAGCATCATGCTGCCAATTTGTAAAATGCAAAAATAGAAGATCATACTTAGGCTCTACTTACAGAAACAAAAATCCGTCGTCACCATGCGCGAGCCTATTATGAATAGCATGCTGTTCCTTGTTTTTCTTCTTGCGAGATGTTGCAAAAGATGAAAGTTTTCGTTGTATTCATTTTTCCATATGACCACATCAAATAGAAATGTGCTAGCTTTTTTCTTTTTCGTGTGTGATAATGGAGCTCCGCGACTTGACCGTCGTGGTGCACGAGACCCTCAGCGCCATGCCGTGCCCAAGTAAACTTCCTTTTTTTCCATGCAGGATGCTGAATTAAGAGTTCGCCTCCAACTGGTAATGGTATCGTCGATTTCATGCGTGACAAATCGGTTCAACTTTGACGATTTCGATCCTGACACTCACATTATGCTATTATCCAGGCCCCTATGGCGACGTCGAAGCCGGTATCCACGCCCTGGGTGTGGAGGACGGAATATCCTGAGTGAAAACGTCCCCGTCGAATGTTTGTCATGCAAATCTGCATGATGCTCAGGAACAGGATGTCAATGCCTCTCATGGGCATGCGAGGCCCATGATTCGGGGAATCATATACTATATGATGGTGTTTTATGTAATGGCTGACCACGGCTGCAACGACATGTTCATGTGCAAGTCCAAATTCGTCACGCCGAGTTCACAAAGCTTGCTTCTGCACTTCTTGTTTCTGCATTCTCTATCTCTTCATCACGCGGACGAGTTCAGAGAGCTTGCCTCTGTCTCTCACGCGGAGTTCACAAACCTTGCTTGTTAGCAGATCATCTCATGCATCTTCACGTCGTATCACTACGCATTATACCATAGGGCGGGGACTACATTTTCGCTCAGGATATGGGATCGCCCGTAGTTTGCTCACCGCAGCCCGATTCGCGCTCATCGACGGCGGCGTGGACACCGCGACGCTGGCAAAGGATGCGTACGCGAGTGCACAACTGACTCCCCGGGTCCCCGTCATTTTCCACGCAAAAGCGCAACTCCAGTGCCAGTTGATGTTGCGTTTTCGTTTTGGCACGGTTTGCATGATAGGCTCGCTTCAGCTGCTGTCCACCTTGTAGTTGTACAAAAATACTGCGTGCGTCTGTTATGCTTTGTTCTTGTTGATGACGCTTCTGGTCCTGGTGGTGTCGCTAAGTACTCACGTTTGCCCTCCAAGTGGGAGGGGAGTTGTGCACTCTCATAATGCGCCCAGCATTCTCAAAAATTCGATGCGGGGGATGAAGTGAGCGCACCCTAGGAGAAGGCGCCGTCGAACTACACACCGTACCTCATACAGGAAAGCTGGCGCACGTCCTCGAGAAATCGAAAAACTGATAATGTGCTGTAAACAAACAAACACTTCGAAGACAGTAACAGATTTGAGGAAAATATGAAACCATGACCAAGAATAGCTGCAGTATCTAAGACGAGGCGACCCGTCACGTCCTCAACAGAAGACTTTTCCATCATAAACCAAGAATAGCAACCAGATGGAGGACATCAAATAATAGACACTAAAAGACCTAAAACCAATCTAGCAACAGTAAACCGTAAACTTTAGCGACACCCCTAAAAATTTGAATAGCAATGTTGTTCCCGAAGATACCACAAAGAGCAGGAACAAACCGGATTCCTTCGGCGTTCGGCGGCTTCATAGTCCGGTGATGAACTGGATTTATATTGCGATTTGTGTGTAGGGCTTTTTGAATGAAGTAGGACAAATGGTCCGCGGCCGTGGAACCACACTACTAGTTCAGTAGAAACAGAAGTCGAAATGTACCACATTGTACAAAAGAAAAATATACGTGAAAAGTGTAAATCGGTCGTATGAAAAGTAGAGGAACAAATCTTGCACCTCCACAGATGCAGCGACCTCGAAGTGGATGCGTTGGAAAAAGAAGAAATGCTATTGTATCAACAAAAAACCTTATGAAAGGAATATAGCCAACGCATCTGTTTCAGAAACTTGAACTTTTCGTATGATGACGATGCACAACAAGACTGCTTTGTACTTGATAGATTGCCCAGGCTGCAATCTAGAAGATGATGATGAAGTCAGAATGGGATGCTTGGATAAAAATTAAGCGGGGCAGTGCTGGCCGACGTAGAGCTAGATGATCTGCTTGCTTCCAGCCCGCCGCCGTCGCGAGTCACCTCGTTTTTATCGGAAGTGGTCTGGCTTGCGACCAGGGAGAGAGTTTTTTATTTTTTTTTTCTTTGTGTTGCCATCGGGATTGGTACCTTTGTTGCCTTGACGCAGCACTCACTCTTCAGTAGGGGGAACGACTAGAAAGGCAAAGGAAAAAAGATTGGATACTGATGGTTTTAGTTCGCTTTTCGACGGGCGAGGAATAAACGGGATTCTTCTAAAAAGGCATCTTCACGTCCTTGATTAAGTCGCAATGAAACTTCTATACGCGTCGTGCCCAGGGCGAGCACGTAATTGAGAAAATATGAAGAAGCAACTATAAACAGAAGAAACCACTAGATCCCAGACGAGGGCAGACCGCTGCAGGTTCGTTGCAAATCCAAATGCAACTGTAAAAGTAGAAAATGATGGCCGAAGATGAACATAACAACCTGCACCGGACCATCTTCAAGCTCCACTTCTACTGCCGCGCAAAAAGAATGTGTGTCGATCATCTTATCAAATTCGCTTCTGGTTTATAATTTCAAGTGATGAAGTTTAATACTATGTCTGAGTGAAGAAGAAGCCAGCGAAAAATCCAATCAGCATCAGATTGTTGAGAGCCGCACACGCACCAGCGCCGAAAACAGAAAATAAAGTTCCCGAAGCAGGAAAAGATGAATACTTTAAAAGAGCTCGAGGAGAATATCTCCCAGGTCGAGTATGACTCGTTGAAGAAGGTCTTTCAAAATCTTGATTCCCGCAAGGACGGGCGGCTGGACACGCAGGAAATTCTGGACGCCGTCCTGCGGTTGGGGTACCGATCAACTTTGCGCGAGATTGAGCTGATGATCTGGGAAGTGGACGATGACCTGGATCAGCATGTCTCCTGGGAGGAAATATCCATGTGCACAAGATAGAACTTATCCCCCCCGCGGCGCCCGCGGTTCGCTCCCCTCATAAGAAAGTAATTCGGAAGGCGAGGCATGAACTACAGCAACAAAGTTTATTCCGCATTAAGTACGATAGTTCGGATATTTATTTTTCGGAACAGAACAATTATGTGGTCTAGTAAAAATCGGGATCGATTTTATTTGGGTTCCTTCTTCCGAAACTACGTCGATGAGCGCTGCTTCAATCAAGAGGATGTTGTGGAGTGGATCTGCATTCTAATTTGAATGACATCAAATGAGGCGAGGAACTACGAGGCGGGAGAAGGTTCTTGCACTCTCATAGATGTTCCTCGTAATGTACCAGCGCTGCATCAGCGATCGCACGGGTCTGGAGCCGCGGGGTCTCTTCAACCTGGTTCAGTTTCTCATGTACGATAAGGACTATCAAATGTAATGCACGTACGTCTCGGTCTGCAATGGAGCAGGGAATTGATTTCCAATGAAGGTCTTTTTTTGCGTGCTACTACCGGCTCCTTGACAGGACCATGACAACTTTATTTCCCAGAAGGTTTCTTGCGAATTCTAATTAAATCGTGTTCAGCACGACTAAAAACAAAGAAGCTGACCAGTCATGACAATATTCATCCATGCAAGATTGATGAAGATCCCAGGAATTTCGCATTACAAATCCAGCGCCCCACCGACCCAGACTACTATATTTGCAATGCATAAGGACAACCTCGGTTCCATTTCTGTGGAGCAAACCCTACAGATCCTGTTCGTGCGCTACGGCCGGGAGAAACTCGACGCGGAAATCCAAGTACGTATTGCAAATGTAGTGTCTGGGTCTGGTACTAGTGTGCAAACTCGTGAACATGAGTAGGTGTTCACACATCAAAATAGATCTGTCTGGCGTGATCAGGATGAGAGACACGGAATTTCATGCAGCTAGCATGGATATAATGCTGGATGTTGACGTACCTCGCACAATTTCTCCAGACGGCTCAGACATCTTGGTCAATTCGATAGCACGAAATTTTCGGCGACGACGGCGATAAGCAGAGTGGGCGCACGGCTGCTGACGGCCAAGAGAAGCGCATCACCTTCTCCGAGTACCTTCAGCGGGTGAATGCGCGGCTGAAAAAAACCCGGAGCGCCAAACCGGAAGTCACAAAAGTGCAGATCATCACGAAGGAGCAGGCCGCGGCCGCGAAGAAAAAAACACTCTCCAAGCTCTTCACGTGAAGAAGTAGATGAGGTGGTTGAGCCGACAGCGTAAACTCCTGGCCTGGTGCCGTGGCAGCCTTTGTGAAAAAGTAGAGAGGACAGCACATGTACATGAAGAAGAACCGAGTATAAAATAAAATGTACAACAAGTAGATCCAAATCTTTCCGCAACGAGCTTGTTAGTGACAAATAAAAATATAATTGTCGATATTCACAACTCAATAGAAGAGAAATGAAAACAAATGCAGTACGGGTACACCGCCGATACGACGTTTTTAATCATGCAGTGCTGCTGCACGATGAAGTACATAATAAAGTGAGCTTCTCCACATAAAAAAGTACCAGGTCATACTACCTAAGAACAGTTAGAGACGCCACGGTAAATAAGCGAAAGGACTCCGTCTTGTGCTATTCATCGGACAGCTGCCGGGTGCTTTTGCCACATTCAGGTCCACCACCGGGGTTTACCGACAGCGGAGATCGACCTGTGATGGTTCTGACGACACAATAATCCGCGTTGTTCCGAAAGGATAAGGAAAGAAATTGACCTTATTGTCACAGATCATTATTTGAGTGGAGAGACAGAAAAGCAAAAGTTGTTTCGTTAGGGTCGTCGCGAATACATCGCTGCAACAGCAAAAGTGAAGCCGATATAGGCTTTTGAGCAAAAATGGACATGCATTAGAGGGTCGTCTACAAATTAGCGAAAGTATTTCGGAGATCCAGTTCCAATCGCAGGGTAGAATTTCCTCGTTTGATGTCGTCGTGATGTTGGGGACAAAACTCTCGCTACATCGTTTCGCAATCTGCATCATCTTCCGCCACAGTATACTGTAATATTATCCCATGTCGACTCGTGGTATTTATTGTCGAGATTATTGTGTGGGTCCTCTATTCGTGGCTCGGGCTCGTCGCCACGACCTGGATCTCGTTGTCCTCTTGTAAGCTGTACTGTCCCTTGGTGCGCGGAACAAAACTCAGAGGTTCTTCATCGTGAATTCTTCACCCCCTCGATGGGCTCAACATCCATCGGACTAGAAATAGAAAATATAATTCGTTTCTGATGATTTTGTAAACAAACTACAAGCACTTGCAACATCAGCCTCCAGTTGCGTCGTGTTTGTGTGTGCGTGTCTGAGAAGTACTTAGTCTTGCAAAACGTAGTCGTGAAAAACGGATCTGACAAGTACTAGTCGCACGACATGTTTGTCAGTTAGTAGCTCACCGGAATAAAAATAGAAATTGAATATATGAACCGAATATAGATTATTGTGAAAGAATACGAATAGCCAAAAGAAACACGATGGGGCGACGAAGTCGGGCGAAAAGAACCTGGCCTCATTTCTCTTCTTGTTACGCAGTTGCAGGTGGTGCAGCGCTTCTTCTAGTTGCGCAGGAGCTATTCGTCGTTGATGCAGGTTCATCTCCACATGGTAGTCCGGGTGAACAAGATGCCGAGAATGAAGGAGGACCTCAAGCAGCTGCCACTCGGCTTCCGAAAGAGCCCCAGACAACAAGACCACTCAGAAGTACTGCTTCGAAAAGCAAGGGCAAAACCAAGAGCCGGTCACCGTTACCTGCTCTTCGCGAGGTACTGACTATTTTGTTTGTGCTTGTCCTCTAGTCGCGTGGTGGTCCCAGTCGTTCTTGTACGAAGAAGTGTATTGAAAACGTCGATAGCGAACTATCGTGCTCGAGTGAGCATATCCCTTGCTGCAAGTAGCCTGATCGTATGCTTTAACTGTCTTTAGTTCCCAACCTGCCAGCGCCTGCCACGTCCTACTCCTAGTATATGTAAAAGTACAACTCCAACGCGTATATCATTTGTTTGTCTTTCCGACGGAGTACATACTATGAATATCAACACGAACACCATCAACGTCAACATCAGCACGAACTCGCACGGAAGGAGATGAATGATCAGGAGGGCTCCGAAGAATTGGATGAGGATGATGAACTGGAAATAGCGGCGGGTCCCGGCGCCGCTCAAGAAGAAGATGTTCAAAACGGCGACGGCGCCGAAAAGGAAATATTAAACCATGACAATCTACAAAGCGATCGATCGATCGAACAACTACTACAAGCTGTGCCCGCGGCGGCCCCTGCGCAGCAGCAACAGCAGCAGCTCGCTGGGGATTTTCTCGGGCAACTGGAGGGAGCTCTGGGAGGCGCAGCAGGAGGCGGCGCTCTTGGTGGACCTCCAGGTGGCATTCTGGGCGGAATGATGAACCAGCAGCCGCCACAGCCGCAGCCGCTTGCAGATGAAAATAGTAAACTGCGTCCTGGCTCTGAACATCATCTTCAGAAGACCACGCTGGTAGATGAAGAAGATCAAGCTGGTGCAAAAGAAAATGATCAAACCGACGAGGCACGACCGGCTCCGACAAGGAGATCGGTTGGAGAAAATCCAGCTTCACCTTCACCCCCCGCTGGACCAGGAGGACGAGGAGCCGGACCATCTTCAAACAAGAACATGATTGACAATAATATGTTCGCTGCGCCGGGCTTTGCAGGCGCCGCACAGCAACTCGGCGGGCTCGCGGAACAGCTGGTCGAAGACCCGCAGGCGTTGAAAACTGAAGCAGCCCAAGCTCTGGGAGGAGGACCTCCACCACCAGCACAGCCGCCAGCCGCTGCTGCATCATCGACTACATCTCAAGGCGCCGCCGGGCCTGTGCTAAATAATGTGAGTAACGCTATTGAAGATAACAAACTACTGCAGCAGCTGCTGGGTCGCGTTAATGAGGTTTCTGGCTTGGAAGAAGACGAGCTAGAGGCTCAAGCGAAGCCAAGCCGTCAAGCGGTGAAGCTTGGGAGTGCTACTACGTCCGCATTGCTTGCGAGCGAATTTCCGCCGGAGTTGCTTGACCGCGGGGACGCATCGAAGGCGGCGAGGCTTCTGGCCCTGCACGACCACAACAAAACCGCGGCGGGCGACCAGCATCTTGCGCACCAGTTCACGCTGAGCTCCCTGGTTCGATTCTTGCAGCGACCGCCCGATTGCCACGCAATGCCAGAATTCCTCTCCACCCTGGATCACGACGACGAATACGTCTTTCACCAGTTTGACCAGGTCGGCTTGTACCTGGTCGGCCTCTTCGCATTCGCGTCCGTCGCGCTCGTCGTTTGTTTGTTCCTTTGCTGTCACACCCTGCCCGTCGCCGTGCCCAACCCGAAGATGAAGGAGCGCGGGTTCGTGGGTCGGGTGCGACGCGCGGCCGCAATTGTGAAACGCCGGGCGCTTGCCAAAGCCGAGGGCGCACAGAAGCTCGAGAAAATGCTCGGCGGGGCTGCTGCAGCACAAGAAATTTTTGCCGTTCGAGAAAATCGTGAGGATCATGAGCTGCCCGAAGTAGAAGACGCCGAGGGCGAGGACAACAAGAACATGATCGAGTCGCCCGGTGGTTTGGAAGATGCTCTCGTGCCCTTGCCACGCAGCTGGCTTGCGCTGAGGGACGTATCCTTTTCTGTCCGCAACACAGGCACCGAGGGAGGCACGATCGAGCTGCTAAGCCACGTGTCCGCCTGCTTTCGGTCCGGCGAGGTGGCGGCCATCATGGGACCCTCCGGCTCCGGGAAGACCACGCTTCTGAATGCCATTTCCGGTCGCGTCCGCTGGCGGCGAACTTTCGACGCCAACCTGGGCCTGCACGGGTCCGTGGAGCTTAACGGCAACCGGCTCACCGACCGGCAGCTGCAAACCCTGGCGGGCTACGTGTTCCAGGATGACCAATTAATGGCGACGGAGACGGTGCAGGACGCGATAAACTTCACGGCGGCGCTGAAACTTCCCCACCTGACTGTGGCGGAACGGCTGCAGCGCGTGCGCGAGCTGGTGGATGACCTGAAGCTGAACGCCTGCCGCGAGACCCGCATCGGCGAACCGGGGAACCCCGGCATTTCCGGCGGGCAGAAGCGGCGTGTGTCCGCTGCCATCGAGATGGTGGGGAACCCCCTGATTCTATTGATGGATGAACCTACCAGCGGTCTGGACTCGTTCACCGCGATGGTCTTCGTGCAAGAGATGCGCGCGCTGGCCCAGGCGCAGAACATCATCATCATTTGCACCATTCACCAACCGAGCACCGAGGTGTTCAACGAGTTTGACCGGGCTCTGATCATGGTCCGCGGCAGGATCATTTTCCACGGCAGGCTCGACGGAGAACACAGAACGACCGTTCACGAGCTGCTGGAAGGCACAGGAGCACAACAAGGCTCGTCGACTCCTGCCGCAGGAGGAGCTTCTGGAGAAAAGAATGCTAGAAACAGCGTTTCTCTTGAAGATCGCATCTTGGCGCAACAAAAACACCTGGATGAATTGTTAAACAAAAGTTCTGTGGAAGGGGATCATGATGTTGACCTTCCGAGTGGTCCGGCAGAACAACATAAGCTTCATGATGCAAAAAATGGCGAACCGCACATCACGGACCCAACAGCGGGGGAACGTCCAGTTGGAAAGGCCGCAGCACCACCAGGGACGAAGAACGACGATCACCTACATGATCCTGTGGTTCTTGGGGACGACGATGGAGATGATGGTAGAACTACCACGCAGCTGCCGAACAAGAGGGTGAGCTACAGTATGGAGGAACTGGAACAGCTGAGGCAGGAGAAGGATCCGCTGGCCTGGAGCTTGCGGCGGAATCTGGAGAAAGTCGCCCCCACCCACGCCTCCGCCATGCCGGCCAACGAAAATCTGGCCACCCGGGCCCTGTTGATCGTGCAGCTGCTAGGAGACAGGGGCGAGGACGGAAAAAAGGAGTTGCGGCGCATGGCGCTTGAAACGGCCTCCGGGTATGACCAATCCCTGCTCGACTCGTACAATGCGGTCGACGATGTTAACTACATCGGAAAAAATGAAAAAGACGGCCGCCTAGCTTCTTGCTATGCCAAGCGGAGAGTGCAGACCAAGCAGTATATGAAGCAGTGCTTTTTCCAGACCCACCGCGTGCAGGTAATTTCCAGCAAGACCCCCAACCGTCTCACCGGTTTGCAAACCGCGGAGCTACTGCGCCGCGAGATGCGGTCCCGGCTGCACACCCTTTTCACATTGGAGATGTTCTCGTATCTGGTGGTGCTGGCGGTGAACGTCATCTTCGCTCCGCTATTCAGCCCACACTTTCACAGCCAAACTCCCGCGGACTTCTTCGCGGACCTGGGGTCGGGGATTTTGATGAACCCCAACAAGACGGTGCTGGTTTTTGGCGTGAAGATCACGAGCAACGCGCTGCTTTCCCCGGCGATATGGATCTGGCCCCTGGTGGAGGTAGTTCTGATCCTGAAAGAGCGGCCCATCTTCTATCCACAGAAAAAAAACCATCCCCATCCATTTTTGCATGACAAACAAAGGACTTCATACGTGTTTTGCATGGCAAATTGGATGGGGATGGGTTTTTTTCTGTGGATATCTTCCTCCGTGAGTACACGAGTAAAACGTACCAGCTCACCTCCTACTGCCTTACCAAGCTCCTGATGGAGGTCTACCTCTTCCTGGCGCGCGCCCTGTTTCAGGTGCTCGTCTTTTGGCACATCTACGGCCTCTACGGTTGGCAGCTGTACGCCTACTTCTGCGTCTACCTCTGCTGCATTCAGGTCACGTCCCAGTTTTTCGCCATCTGCGCGGCGGTTCCGGACGGCTTCTCGCTGATTTCCTTCGCCAGCTGCGTGGCCCTGCTCTTCGTGCAGTTCTCGATCGGCGGCGTGTTGCGGCTACCCGCACCCTGGGCCTACAACCTGATTAAATACACTTCCGGTTTCTACCACGGGATGAACGGCATCTTTCGCACCCAGATGCGGGGCATCATCGACGGAATGGGGGAGTTCTCGAACTCAACGGCCTCGGACTACCTGCACACGCACAGAGACACCTATCAGAGGGTCCATGAAAAAGCGACCAAGCTGTGTGTTCACGACCACGACCCCGATCTCGTTACCTTCTGCGATTCGCACTACATGAGCGAAACGGCGAAAAGCAGGAATAACACGAGTACACCAACGGCAAACAGCAAGATGAAGATGAACACGGGGCCCTCGACCACGCCAGCAAGTAGCACGAAGGACGACGACGACGTCAACCTTGAAGGGGTCTTGGACCATCTTCATCTGGGCAACAGTGCACCATCTACATCTTCCTTCCTGGCCGACGCAGAACGTCATGACTCGGCCAGCCTTGTCGAGGGTCTGCCGGAGGACAAGGAGCGGGTGGTGCACAATTTCAACATGACGCTGGGCCACTACGATGTCGGGGTGTTCATGGACGATAGGCAGGAGCAGTGCTCCGCCCAAGTGGGCACGCCGGTCAAGCATTTACTCGATCAGCTCCTCACCATGAACTACGACGTCGAAACGAATAGCACGAGCGCGGAAGCTCTGCACCAACGGAGCTTCCATGAGTATCAAATGTAAAAATGTCTGGGTCTGGAAGAATGCAACTTGTGATGCTATTTTTGGAATCCAAAAAAATCTGTATTGCATGAGCAACAAGAGGCGTCCAGTTTTTGCTCCGCGGAGAGGGGATTTCTCATGCGGGATAGGCATCAAGATGCCCGCAAAAGATTTGTGATGCTGGTGCATACATCACAGACATCACGGGTCATGCAAAATGTGCATGACAAACCTTGCAATCTTCCAGACCCAGACATTTTTACATTTGATAATGAGGGCGTCGTGGGCAACTTTTATAACGCCACCTACCACGGGTACGGGGACCTCGCGGCCGTCGTCTATCAACAGGGAATCAATCAAGAAGTGATCTTCCGATCTGCTGCTGCTAGTAGTCCTGAGAAAAAATGATCCAGTTTGAAACTACGTAGTTACGCGGATTTGCCTACGCAGCAGCGACAAAGCACCTTTCAAAAATCACTCGGACTGCAACATCGAAGTTGTACTCAGTGAGTGATTTCTGGTGATCGTGATGGTGCGCCTGGTGCATGTAGTAAAACAGTGCGAATAAATCGCAAATCCGTATGGCAGACTGCAACATTTCTTGGGGCTAGCAGCAGTTGCACTCGAAGTCACTCGCTTCGCCTCGTCTATATCGTCGTGTGCATCCTGGGTTGGCGCCTCGTTGGCATGGTGTTGCTGCACTGGAACAGCCGGTATTATCCACAGGAAAACTGTTCTCTTCCCCAGCACCCACTCGTTCCAATTCCAATTTCTTTGTCATGCAGCATATGCATTGCATAGGCAAAGGCATAGCTTCTACTTGAGTCATGCAAATATGAACGGGGATGAGAGTTTTGTTGTGGATAAGTATGCCGTGAAGAATACTTAAAGCTAAAGATAAACCCCCAGAACCGGAGTGCAGCTGTGAAGAATACTATAAAGTTTGTATAAATAAAACCTTCTCTGTGAAATCGTCGTGCGGACATCATGTCGCAAGGCTTATGTATGCCTACCCCTCGTTCTATGTACAAAGATACCACGCGAAACCTATAAGAAAAATCAAACAATGTTTCGTATTGATTGTCGCTATAGCACTCAGTAAGCTCTGATGTTTACTTGCTTCCAAGAATATACGTTTGTCTATTTAGGTAAATCAAAATAAAGCTGAAAGCCAGGTGGGTGCTGTTTACAAGGGAAAACGGGTAATTGAAACGGGATAGCGACTTTTCCAAAACTTTTACTTTTACTTTTGGCAAAATCGCTATTTTGATCGTCGGCAATCCATGCTTTGCGAAAATTGTTTGGACCGTGCTGCCTGTTGCTGGTAAGTCCGCACTTTGGGAGTGGCAGAGCATGAAAGGGCGGCACCTCTTCGCCGCGGCGTGTGCCCGCCAGCTGCCTGCCATTTTGATCGACGCCTCCAAGCAGGCTGCGGGAAATGCCACCCGCCGCGCATCGGACGGGCAGCGCCTCCGTGGTCGGTTGTTCGCGATTATTCGCGAGCGCTGTGGGGCCCTGTGCGCATTTTGTGCACCTTTTGAAGTGGTGCGCGGGCGCTGGCCTTTGGCCTTTCAGTATTCGCCCGGATGTTGATCGCCGCCTCGCGCTTCGGAAATGCCGGGGCGCGTCGGCCCTCTTCGCCCTGAGCGCCTTTTAAATAAGCAATGGCACTGGCTGCCACTGCCAGGGCCCGAATGCGAATGGGCGCGCCGCCCCGCCGCGGTGTCTTGGATGGCACGCCGGCCGCGCGCTGTCCGACGTACCTTCGGCCCCCTACATTCTGGCCCGCCGCTTGCCCATTCTTACAAAATAGAGGCCGTCGCGCCCCGGCCGTCTGTTTCCTGCCCGCCTTTCCGCGGTTACGCGACGCGGCCGAAGCGTGCGCCAAAGGCGCCCCCCTTTTGCAACCAACGGGCAGAGGCGGCTCCTCCGCTCGTCTCGCTAGCGGTGGCAGAAGTGTCAAGGGCCTGCGGTCGGGGGGCCACCCCGATGGCCGGCGCGTGATGTGGGTCTGTGGCGCGCTGTGGTGGCGCCACCTGTCTATTTCGGTTGCCCGTCTATTCTGCTTCGCCTGCTTGAACGAGAGAAGCAAAGAGGCAGCATACCATGCGGTCCGACGTCGGACCGCATGGTATGGCGCGCGATGGTGGGCCGGCCTCTCGCGCCAGGCCGTCCGTGCGTGCGGCATGCATCGCGATGTGGGGCCGACCCCCCCCGGTTGGGTGGGCTTCCCCGGCGGGGTGTTCTTTGGTTCAGGAAATGGATAACGCAACTCCCCCGGGTGGCCCGCCCCACAAGCGAGCCGGCGGGCGGGGCCCCGTGGCCCCTCTGGTATGTTGCCCTCCAGCACGAGCCTGTGTGCCTGGGTGGTTTGCCTTCTCTTGTAAGATGTACCGCAGCGACCCCGTGAGCCGGCTCTATCTCTGCAGCTTTCCTGACAAGAACCGCCAAAAACGGCCGGGGGCTTGGGGCGTTGGCTCGCATTTTTTCGCATGTTGAAGATGAAAAAAACCCAAGCGCGCCCGCCTGTTTGGTTTTGTCTTCAATGAATGCAGTCGCCGGTGGGCTCAGTCGGCCGCCGGTGGAAAGACTGTCTGAAAAAATGACGTAGGGGGGTCGGCAAACGTGGCACCCTTCTCAGGCGCCGGCCGCGTGGGATTCTGGCGCGCGACTTGGGGCGCCCAAAAGGGCGCCCCAAAAAACCCGCCCGAAGCCAGAACAGCGAAGCCGTAAGTATGGCAGGGCCGCGAAACCGGTCGCGAATCGAAAGCGGCCGCCCTTTTGCCGGGTTCTCAGCGGGGGGGCGCTAGCTTTGCAAAAGGCGCGGGCGCGAAAAATAACACACAACGCAAAAAAGAAGAAACGCGCCAAGCGCGCGAAGCCAGCCCGCATTCTATGGGCCCGCTTTTCCCTCGGTTTTTGGGCGCCCCCCGCGGTGCCCGGGCCGGCCCGATAGCATCGGGGTTGGCTTTCGGGAAGGCGTTTTGGCAAGTTGCCCAACGTCTGCCATTTTCCCCAACCGGCCGCCATACCGTGCGGCATAACCTTACCCACCCCGGCACGGCGGGCCCAGAAAAAGCAAAAAAGTGGTGTGGGCCAAGGTCGGCGGGCAAAGAAGCGGCGCCGGCCTCATTATCTCCGCCCCGGCGGCCATATTTGGCGCATTGAAGTAGGCGCGCAGCACGCCGCGCGGGCGGCCCGGCCTCGCACGTTCGGGCCGCATGGCGTGGCGCGCTACGCTTCGGTGGAGCTGCCCGCGCCTCACGTTTTGGCTCGGCGCCTTTCTTTGGGCGCTAGCTAGAGGCCGTCCGGCCTGCCCCTTTCTCTTTCATATTCGCCGCCCCCCCGCACTTACATACAAAGCGCCGAGACCATGCCGCCGCTCCCGAGTGCTCCGCCTCGGTCGCGGCGGCCTTGCGCGGCCGGCTTTTCGCGAGTAGAAAGGGCGCCGGCGCAGCAGGGGCGCGCGCGGGGCGCCACTCACATGCTGCCCCGCCGGCGCGCGCAATAAGTTCGCCCAGGAGGCTCTGTCCCCATTTTCGGGGAGACCGCCTCAGCCATGTAGAAAAGGGGGGGGGCAGCAGGATTCTTCGCAAGCCTGGCGGATGCGCAAGCCTTCAGGCTTTTCGGCTTTTGAGGGCGCGGCGAAGTCTTCTGCTTGAGTGCCGAAAACTTGCCGAAAACTTTCCCCCGAACTTTCCCGAAACTTTCCCGCTTCGGGATCATTTTCGGACTCGAAAACTTTTGGCTGACTTTTCAACTCCCGGTCTGTAACTTTTGGTCGACTTTTCAACGGGAGAATTTTTCGGGAAGGTTTCGCGGAAGGCTTTCGCCGACTTTTCGGGAAAGTTCGGGGGAAAGTTTTCGGCAAGTTCTCGGCAAAGTTTCCGGCAGAGTTTTCGGTAGAGGGGCGGAAAAGTTTCGCCGCCCGGCGCCTGCCCTTTGTTCCTGCCCGCCAGCCGGGCCGCCCTCGGGCGGCTGCCTTGCGCCCGAAAAGAGGCAGGCACAGCCCCCCGGCAGGCACGCCTGCGGTTATTGCGCACGTAGCCAGGCAAGCGGCCGGCCCCGCCCCGGCGGGCGGCCGGCGCTACGTTGTCGCATGCGCCACCGGGCAGCGGATTCACGCCCCGGGGGCGCCGGTGCGCGTGTAGCTTGCTGCGAACCAAGAGAGGGCGCCCGGGCTTCGGCGGTTGCTACCGACCCCCTGAACTTGGTTGGCGCGTTGCGCCGTTCGGGGCGCGTGCGGGGCATGCGCTCCGCGTACTCCACACTTGCGGCGGCCGGCGGGCTCTTGGGGGCCCGGGCGCCGCTGGGGTTGGCGTCGGTTTGCCCAAACCCATAGACGGAAGGAACACCCGGCCCGGCCGCGCCAGTCCTTCGCCCCCCCCGCCCGCGACCGACCTAGACCGGGGCCACAGTGTGCCGGCCGGCAACAGCCGCGCGGGCGTGGCGCCTCCCTGCGCACTGCTGAGCCCGGGCGGGGGAGGCGTGTTATTGGGGCGCCGAAGCGATTCCGCCGCATCCGCCAGGCGCCAGCCGGCCGGGGCCGGCCTGTCTGGGGGCCTCCCGCCCTCTGATATGGGGGCGCGCCTGCATGTTGGGCCCCGCCGGCCTGCCTGCGCGCCTGGAATACCGGGCGGCGCCGCCGCGGGTCTACTTCCTACGTGCCGGCGGCCCGATTGCCACCCGTCGTTCGTCTCGCCCTTCGCTCGCCCTGCGCCCCACCCTGTGGGCCGGGATTGGGCGATCTGTTTCGTCTCTATCTGGTCAGCCGGGGCCTGTGCGTTTGCTGTTTTGCTTTTCCGACAAGCATACCGTGCGGTCCGACGTCGGACCGCATGGCACGCTCGACACCGTTTCGGGCGGGGCGAGCCATGTTGGGGCGCCGGGCGATGTGGTTGGTGCACGGGCGGAACTGCGCCCCTGCGTGCGACGTAGGGGAGGGGACGTCGTGGGGGCTTAGTTACCCTCGGGGCCTGTTTGCTTGCTACGTGTGGGGCTGTCGGACGGTAAGCCGCTGCTGCGTGTGCCCAGCGTGCCAAATATAGCCTCCGTGGCGGAGGTGGTGAGGTCGGTGCCGCTGGCTGCCTTGCCCGCCCGCCGGCCGTTGCCCTGGCCAGCCACTGTGTCTTTTTTCTGGGCCCCCCGTGCCGCTTTTGGTATGGCCATGCCGCGTGGCTTGGCCGTCTTTTGGAAAGCATGGTAGTTCTTTGCCAAATTTTCAGAACCCCTGTCCGAAAGCTAGCCCTGGCGGTATGGGGCCGATCCGGGCGCCGCGGTGGAGCGCCCTGAAACCGAAGGCAAACCGGTCCCATGGCATGGGGATTGGCCTCGCGCGCTTGGCGCGCTTTTGCTTTTCTGTGTTTTTTCTTTGCGCGCCGGCACCCTTTGCAAAGCTTCCGCCGCATAGAAACCGGCGAAAAGGCGGCGGCCGCTTTCGCGGCCGGCCAAATGCTCCGAACGGAGCCCCGGCCCTGTCGTGCGGCTTCGCTTTTCTGATTTGCCGCGAGTTTTTTGGGGCGCTCTTTTGCGCGCCCCAAATCGCCAGAACCCCACGCGGCCGGCGCCTCAGCGGGGTGCCCCTTTTCTTTGTCGGCCCTCCTGTGTCGTTAGTATTATCAGCCGGCGACCGATAGAACCCGGCGCCGGCGGTTCGTTGAAGTCAAACAAAGCCCAACAGGCTGGCGCGCTTTGATCTTCCTCATGTGGAAAAGCGCGAAACAGCAGCACACACCGCCGGCAGCTTTTGGCCGGTGGTTGCTTTGCATTAAGAAAGCTGCCAGGGTCGGGCCGTTTCGCGGTGGCGGCCCGCCGGCGGCGGGAGGCGCGGGCGGGCGCCGCGGTTCGCGGTGTTTGTGAGGCTTGGGCGCGCGCGTTTTTTGGCGAGGGCGCGTGCTGCCCGGTGCCCGGTTGCGTCGGGTTTAGGGTCTGGCGGACCGGCCCCCTTCCCTGCGTCGGTAGCCCTCCTCCTAGTCCGTTCCCGGGTAGGCCTTCCGGGCCTGGGGGGGGGCGGGTGGGTGCGATGGGCGGTCATGGCCTTTTTCTTTAGGGCGCCCGCGCCGGCAGCCGTTGGCTGGGTGCGGTCGGCGGGTGCCCGGCGCGCGCACGCTTCGGCGGGTTGAAAGGCGGTCGCTCGGGCTTCGCCGATCACCCGCGGGACAAGAGGAGGCGTCGGCGCCCAAGACCTCGCAGGCGCCCCTGTTCTGTCGCTTGGAGTATCTTCGCTGCGTTTTTTCGTTCTGAGTCGCATTACCAAATCGTTTCCAATGCCGTGAAATCCTGAAAAGTCAAATGAAAAGTTTTGGAAAAGTTCGAATCGCCCGCCAATTAGTCGCTTTCCCTTGTAAGCTGTAGCTGCACCAGCGACTGCAACCCTGTAGCTAAGTGTCAACTTCCTCTACTATGCTATTTTCACAACAGTTTGATATCGGAGTAGTGTTGGAGCATCTCTAGTTCAGTTTATCGCTCATTGCAATCTTCACGGAATCAGATTTGCAACGTACCAAAGATAGAGTTAGAGAGTGCTGCTTTGTATGATCGATACAGATTTCGCCATTGTAGGTTGGTAAGCCAGGAAAAAGAGAAATCCGCCGAGATAAATGGAAAAGAAAATAAGTATTTCAGTTACACAAGTTAACCCACTGGCCGTGAGATTTGATGTTCATCAACTGGTAGTTGTGACCGCCAACGCCCGCTAATCCGTTTCGTCAAACATCTTGCCGGTGAAGTGTTTGTCACGGATGTCCGAGGAATTGCAGGAATAATTTGACGCATTTTCGTTTTCGTTTTAATGAACCTGAACGTCCTGCTCCTGTGAAAAACAAAAAAAATAACGCCCGTCCAGCAATTTCGCAAGATTCTGATTGTGATTTGTGAAGAAGGAGCATTGATAGTTAAAAACGCACGTTCAGCTTTTGTAGTACCTTAACGGAGGTCCTTCGTGCAATGAACAATGATTACTTTCTGCGATATCTGTTATAGTTTGGTGCGCCCTGTTCTTGAGCCACGAGCTAAAATAAACCAAGACACAACAAAATCCGCCGTTCGAAGAACAGAATCCAGGCGGCCGTTGGTGACTTTCATTTTATTCCCACCCTTCTCTCGAAAAGCTTCGGGGTGGAGACTACTTTAGGTTTAGGATTGGGTTTGTGGAAAGGAAAAGTGCGCTGTTGTAGTTGTACGTCTTGTTTTTACCAAGAAAGACTCTGAATCTTTCGAATTTCGTTTTTCTCTCCAATGCATCACCGAGGATCACGATCTGAATCTCGCCCTAACCGTAAATATCGTATTTCGTATTCGTCAACAACAAAATAAAGTAGAGATTTGACTATACCACAACAAGAAAGCACAAATTATGTCGTCAACTCCGGTATTCGCAAAGACCAAAGACTCCGCCAAACGTGGGCGTTTGGACGACAGCAGTGATGGGAGTCCCAACATTGAGGTACGAGAGCGAAATGTCGACACTGCCGATCCGCGGGAGGCAAAAAAGGCACGGCCCCGCGGGCTTTCGGCTTGTTGTTGTCCGCAGAGACTTTTCGACGATGACGAACCGGGCGACGAGACGGATCTGCGCAAAAATCAAAATGGCACGAGTACAACAGGACGGCGGGGACCCGTCGCACCAACCACGAAGGAGCGCCAAGACTTTGATCGCCAAGATTGGATTCTCCTGAAGAGGGTCTTCACACATGCGCAGGTAGATGAGATTGTTGAGCTTGCCGAGAGAACCGCGGAAGCGGAACGGGAGGCGAAAAAGAAAGCAAGTACTGGCGGCGATTTGGCGGATGCAGCAGCTCAGACGAGCACGACCACGAGCCAAATACTTCCTGAGGCCACAGACGAGGAAATAAACACAGTGAGCACGAGCAAGCGTAATCCAGGCACGCAATTCATGCGGCTGCAAGACAAGGATAAGTCGGCAGAGATGAAAGTTCACTTCTGCAAGGAAATGAAGCGCGTTCTGGACCTTGACTTCCATCTGGATAACGCCGGGAAAGTGCAGGTGGACGATTCAAAGACTGATGCAGAGTTGAAAGACAAGGCCACGGGCCTGGCCGTCTTTACGTACGAAGAGAACCAGGAGAACCACACCCACCAAGACCGCATCACTGTCGAGAGGGGGCCCGGCTCGCAGATCGAGCAAACCGCGATTTGCATGTGCTCGGACCCGGGCGTTGACTTTGCTGGGGGTCGGTTTTTCTTAAATAGAGAGTTTGACTACGTCGAGCAGGACGGAAAGGTGGTTATCAATGAAAACGAAAAAACTAGACTGTATCCCGAAGGATTTGAGAAGGGTGACGTCGTCGTCTTCGACAATCGTGCTTTCGTGCACGGCGTGGAGCCCGTGAAACGTGTCGAGGGAGCCACCACAGTGCGGCGGACCACCTGTAGCATCCGTTCCACGCGGCCGCGCCAGCGAGGATCCTTAATCGTGCTGGAGGGTCCCGACAAGGTTGGTAAAACGACATTAGCTAAGAAGCTCATGCAGCATCTACGAAAACGAAACACCAATGTTGCGTACTAGAAGATTCCGAACCGCGAATGTGAGGTCACCGGAGCGTCGGTCAATGGATGTCTGTCGAAAAAGAGCCAAGTCATAGATGCTGCAACGTCGTGGAAAGACGTACACAAGGTCTTTGCGCAGAGTCGCGCCCTTGTGCATCCCGAGATTATGGAAATCTTGCAGCAGGGTGACAGTGTAATTCTGGATCGCTCTGTATATTCCGGCATTGCGTATACGCTGCAGGACGAGCAAAGTAGAGCGGCGGCGGCGGGGGAAGATTCCATCGGATATGATGCAGTGGCGCGGTACTGCCGCGAGAAGGAGGGCGAGGCGTTGCTCAAGCCCGACCTGTTGCTGGTTGTCTCGAATCCCAACGCCGGGGACCTGTGCAAAGAGCGGTTTTCTGCGGACGAGAGATTTGAAGATCCAGTGACTCAGAACGAAATTGCGAAAATCTTTCGTAAAATCGTGGACGAGGAGAAAACGATATATGGTGGGCGAATCAAGGAGGTCGTCGTGAACGAGGACATGAATGAGCAAGAGCTCTTCGAAGAGGTCCGCGAGATGGTGGAAAACGAAGCCCGGCAGTTTATCCCAGTGCGAGACATGTCGTGGGTCTGGCCACGGGACCTGCAGCACTGACAAAGAACGTGGTCTGTCCAGATTCACGCCTGAATGGGTGCACCACCAGAGTTTTATTTCTTTGAATTCCCCACAATCGGAATCCGAATCGCTGGACCGCAAGCACAACCAGCACTAAACCTGCTTCGTTTTTACTTGTGTTGATTCTACCCCGGCCTGCATTGCACTTCAGCTTCAGAAGGGTTCGATCAAGGCGCATACAGTTCCCGCCTTTATTCCTTGATATTTCCAATGAGCCTTTCATTCCTGGAATCTACGTGCGCATGTAACTTGCATCTTCAAATCCAAGTAAGTTTACTTTACCTAGGATTATTTTCCGAGGCGGAGTGCATTGCGGTTACAGTTGAAACTACGAGCACCTCCTCCCTGGTGCTCGTTTGTACATATCATTTGCTATGGATCTCGCCACTGTATATGAGAGAAGGCCGTCGAGACGCGAAGGATGGAATACTACAAAACTATTTCAGCGCAGCACGCTGCTAAACTGGCCGCGTCCGCGTGCGCATGGTCCACCTGGGGTCCATTCATAAGCAGTGTTCGCCAGGAGCGCCCGTTCATTCGATCGGTCAAATATCTTGTCGGTGAAGTGCTTCGAAATCTAAATGACATGTTTGTTCCATCATCTGACTCCGATGTTTAAACCTGTGCACAGTACTCGAGTACTCAAGATGACGGCTTGCGCTTTCAACAGCAGCTCGCTTGATTTTGTTCTTCAAAAAGTGAATCAAGGAAAATAGGATATCGGTTTAAGCAGCAGCCCCTAGTAACGTTCGACGATGCAACGACAGCCCATAGCCCGATTTCTGCCCCGTTTCGTTTACACAGAACAAGTGAGTCACTTGCTAGTGCTACTGGTACGCCGGTCGTCGCGGTCTACGAATTGCATAAAAAAAACTTCTACTGACGACGAGATGATGAGGCTTTGATTTTTGATGAAGAAACGGAAGTAAGGGCCCGTGTAACCATATATAGTCGTGGTAAATGACTTGTGAACCTACGCAATCGCAACGGCTACCGCTACAACTCTTTACTCATTTGCTTGCTGCATTCGAGCCATCGCTTGTATGTCTGCTGCCGATTATGTCAACAGAGCAAGGACTAGATTTACTTTTACATTTAGATTGCCTGTTCGTGTTACCCCCGAAACGTTGCTGGTCGAGCACGACGCCCCTTCTTCTAGTTTCTCCCCGCCACTATTGTAGTTTGGATCTCGAAAAACCGATTCCCCGGTCGTGAAGTAGGACCACATCAAGAAAGATGAAACGCTTGGCGCACAAGGTCCTCCCTTCAGCTACAGCATCCCAGCGGCGTAATCATTCCAGGTTCACCGCAGCAGCCGCAGCATCGTCATCGTCGCGAATACGAGCCCAATTCGCCTGCGTGAGGGAACAAGTTGTGGCGACAAGGAATATACCCACACCGCATGTGGACGACGTCCAAGGAGCCACAATACTATCCGGCACATCGCCGGCCTGTTCTTCGTCCTCCCGCTCGTGGGCTGCAGGGTCAAAATCCGACCACGAGAAATGCAATGGGTCCCCGTATATAACTAGGAGATTTTTCGCAACGACGGCACCGAGCAGCGGCTCGACGTCGTCAAGAAGTAGGTCATTCTCTTCTTCCTCGTCGTCTTCAACGAGCACGGCACATTTCCGACCGCTAGTGTCATGCGAAATCGAACTGACAAGGGCGGGCAACAAACCCGGGGCTTTGGGGCGGATCTTGAGCTGCTTCGAACAGAACAAGGTACTGTAGCGCTTTGATGACCTTGCTAGTTCTGAATGAAAATGAATCTTCGTCTTGGAAGATCAACTGTTTATAAAAGTGGTACTAGTGTCAACATTATGGCATGAAGTGAATGTCGTCGACTTTGTCATGCATTCTGGACAAAAAAAAAGGTCGACCTGACCCACGTGGAGTCCAAGCTACATTCCTTCGCCCACGACGGCCTCGTTTTTCTGATCGATTTTAAGGGAAAGGTCCCCGATACCAACGTGCAAGCCGTGCTTCAGCAGGTCAAGCAGTCTGTGCCCGGTGTGGCGCGCCTCGAGCTCACGCCGCCCAAGTACGTGCCCTGGTTTCCCGCGAGCGCGAAAGAGCTGGACCGTTGCTATCAACTGCAAAGCATGTCTGGGTCTGGAAGATTGCACCACTTGCAAGACTTGTATAATGCTTCGCTCCCAGGCCCACGAGAAATTCTAGAAATTTTGTATGTAGTCTAAGACTGTCATGCATATGGCGAGACTCTGCCCTACCCTTGATTTGTTTGTCATGAAGTTGAAGAAGCGCGAATTATTCTCATGTAATTTACGGCACTACACTCATAGTCGCTCAAAAATATGTCCTTCCTTCCTAGTATTGGAGTTGTGCGAGTCTGTTTGCCTTTCATACCATCGACACACTTCCAGGCTAACTTTCCAGAACACCCAGACAAAATATCTGCAAAGTTGATAGCCGCGTCATAGACACGATAGGGGGCGATAGCGGACTGATCGACGAAGACCATCCGGGGTTTCAGGATGAGAGTTACAAAAAAAGGCGACAGGACATCGCGGAGCAGGCGGCCAGCTACAAGCACGGGGAAAAAATACCACATACCGAATATACAGCGGAAGAGGTACGACAACAGTTTTTGTAGCATGGCGCCCTAGTGGCGTCGTTCTTCGGCACTAAAGATGTAGAGCTTGTTGTGTCGTTGATGTCCTGTTGGTGTCGCAGCAGGAGCTTCATCTATTTCTTTGGCCTACAGTGTGGATCTGGATTGTTCCGATGTGTCTGGCAAGCGTGTTGGGGTAAAGACACGATGTTCAATTTCGCTGTTCCGGTCGCTTGTTTTCTTTACTCTAAAACATAAACACCACAGATCCGCGTCTGGAACGCAGTGTACGACAAACTGACCGACTTGCACCAGAAATGGGCCTGCGACGAGTATAATGCGGTATTCCCCGAGCTGGCCAAGGAGGCCGGCTACGGCCCGAAGCAGATCCCGCAACTCCACGACATCAGCGAGTACTGCTTCTCGAAAACGGGCTTTCGCCTGCGCCCGGTTTGCGGATTGCTGTCCGCCAGGGATTTCCTTAACGCCTTGGCCTTCCGGACGTTCTGCTCAACGCAGTACTACTATGTTGATGTCATTGATTTATTCTAAAGGTTTGACTTCGACCGCTCTTGCATACTGGTTGCGTATGCGGTCGTGTCAGCGGATTTTTATGCCGTGCATCATGTGCAGCATTGCCGTTTCTTTGCCAAGCCGATGAATCGGCAACGAGGATGTCAGGACACGCACAGTTCTTCTTACTTGCCCTCGCTACAAATGACAATTAAAGGTACATCCGTCACGGCGGCAACCCGTTTTACACGCCCGAGCCCGACATTTGCCACGAACTCATCGGCCACGTCCCCCTGTTAGCCGATCCGGATTTCGCAGACTTTACCCAGCGCGTTATCCTGAGCAAAAACGTCCCCAACCCACAGTCAAGATGGCAAATTTGCTAGGCAAATCAGCCAACTCTGGTTACCGCGCATGACAAGTTTGGCCTCGTAGTGTAGTCGCGTCTAGCAAGTTCAGCAGCATCACAGATCTAGTATCTCTTGCTCATTGGAGCATGACAAATCCCAAAACAAGACCAGAAAATGCTGCTCATGGGGCTCCGCATGAAAAACGTTTTCAGAATGCAGATTTGCATTACAGCTACCGGGTGGGGTCGTTCTTAAGTACGAAACGCGTGGGGCTGGCGAGTTTGGGGGCGAGCGATGAGGAAATTGTCAAGCTCGCCTCAATCTACTGGTTCACCGTCGAGTTTGGCCTGGTGCGCGGCGGAAAAGATAACAAGGAGGTGAAGGCGATGGGCGCCGGGATTCTGAGCAGCTTCGGCGAAATGGAGTGGGCCGCCGCGGACAAACCCTCGGAAGAATGTCGGCAGTCCGGTGGGATCAAAAGAGATTACCCGGACCTGCTCAACCCGAAAATTGTCCCGTTTGACCCAAGGTAATAAGAACGCTGCTTTCTCTTGTTCGACCTCACATTTTTCTAGCATATTCTTGATGACACGACACTCTTCGTCTTCAGCATGGTGTGCTGACATTGAACAGATGTAGTCGCGCACCAATTGCAGAAGATTTTTTAGCTGCCTACAGTTGCGATTGTTTCTCCAAGACTACACATTTGTCCTCCAATTTGTCCTTTCCGCAGCGGAGCGGCACTCGAATTTTTGCAAGAGCCACACTAACGTAGAAAACTGACCACATCACAGACACGCAGCCGTCCAGCCGTATCCGATCACGACGTACCAACCGATTTTTTTCTGCTATGGCGTTCTCAGCTGTTACATTCTCAAGTGTTGCGTGAATTTGTGATGCAAGAATGGAAAAAGTGAAAGGAAGGACCTTGCGCGTCTTGCATGACAGAGTTGGCAAAGATTATCAGCCTGTTTGGCCATCTGAGAATTTGTCACGCGAAGCAGCTTGATGGCTTCGATAGTCAAGGTAATTTTGCATGACAAATCATGTAACAGTTGAGAATGTAACAGTTGAGAGCGCCATATCTGCGGCGACAGCCTCCAGGACGTGAAGGAAAAGATCAGCGATTATTGCGATGGCATGGAGCGCTCCTTCCACCCCGTGTACGACTTCGTCACGCAGACGGTGCAACCCTCGCGACACATCCGGAGGCTCGAACGGAGCTCCACGGCGGACCTGCAGGCGCAGAAGCAGAAGGAGTACTTCGCGAAACTGGCCGAGTCCCGCGACCAGATACAAGGTGGGGATAATAAATAAGTAGACCTGCTGCATTTGCGGAAGATTTTAAGTCGTGATCCTAGCTTGTTGGGCGACGTTTTTTTGTCATGCAGAGGCAGGATGATGCAAGAAGCAGGTGCTGCCCTAGTTTCACGTGGCGCGAGGAAATGCAAATACTTCTAAAAGTCGAAAACCTTACTTTTCTTCAAGGCCCGCTGAAAGAAGAAGTGTGAGAAGAATGAAGTTTTACTTCGCGGGGAAGAGTCAATAATATCTTCGAAGATGCACTAGGAGAACTAACACCAACACGAATCGCAGTCGTGGAGATGAACGAAGCTAGTTTTGAAGGACATGCTCCAGACCATTCCTGACGACGCGACGGACAACCAGAGAAGAAACAGGCCTCTGGATCGTGGAAAAATGAAACTGAATTAGTCGACGCGAGGACACCACGACGGAGAACTACAAGTGGCGGCATCGTGCAGCGACCCTCCGCTCGGAAGAAGTTGATTTATATGGAAAAACCGAACATCATCATTCCCCTCGCTGAAAAGTGTAGAATAGCAAATGAAGTTTCCTCAGCACGAGCGTATGAGAATTTTTACTCGTGTTGAGATGAAATTAACTCAAAGCCTCCGCCTTCTTGCAGGTTGTTCTAATTTACTTTACACAGGTTCTTGTAGATCATGAAGACGATTTCCAATTTCGACGACGAGTACGGGTTTCTTTTTGTGTAGAAATTTGAAACTCGCCTTGTGCATACGTCAGAGCCCGAAAATTGTTGCACTTCGGCAAACATTTGACTTTTTGTAGTAGAGGCGGAAAAGAAGAAAGACCCGATCATGCAACGAACGATTCTGCACGATTGTGAAAGACACGCGTCTGGGTCTGTAGCAAGCTGCAACTACTCTCAATTGGGATATAAAAATGATTGGACTCGAGCAACAGTAAAATCTTCCTCTACTCGCAAAAAAACCAAACAACCTTTAACTACTGCCAAAGAAATTTTTTCCTCCATTGCTATTACTACCCGTGCCTTTTTATCAATCGAACCTATCATAAGTACGTACCCAAGATACTAGCGAATGGTGCAGTCACTCGACCTCTGTCTTATGATCTGATTACGAATTTTTTACAAATAAACAGCATACGAGGCAGATTTTGGTTAAAATGCTGAAAGATTAAATCGCTACATCGTATACCTTGGATCGTGACTGGGATACCAACATAAGACCATCACTTCTACTTACCTTGCAGCGCGAGCAGCTGGAGCAGATCTATGGTGACTCTTGACGCCATCCGCTCTGGATCTACTTCGCGTCCCTTTAATACCCAAGCACATGATGAGTGACGAGCGTCGTGACAAGATTTGAAATGTACAATTACGAAGAGTATGTTTCGGGTGGATTTTGCAGGAAAATGATGAAAATAAAAACGATGAAAAATCTGCACCTCGCACTTTTATATTTACAGTGGACAACCGACTAATGTTCACGGTCGTGTCTCACTGAGTGGACTGCGCATTCTGCGCGACAAAATCGTCTGGCATTCCCAAGTGACAGCTTCATTTATGCCCGTTCTTTACCCTGCTAGGGAAACACAGAGCCCCTACTTTGTCGTCCACTTTGGGCGAGGGCGAAGTCAGTCTGGTATAAAAATCCTCCAGCGAGTTGAAGTTGATCGTCATCGTGATCATAGTGGACTTCCATAGTACCCATGGCCATCGTCAGGATTCGTCCCTCAGTTCACCATCGTTGTCGCAATGGAGTTGGGCTCACGCTAAGGAACAAGGATTTTTCATTCTCCTAACGAAGCTGCAGTCGTGTAGAAGAGTTGTAAAACTTGACTGAGAACAAGATGCAGAATGTAGTTGCCGTGGCGGCTGCGTTGTGGAGGCCACCCGACCGTCCGTAAAGATGAAGATCTAGCTTTATCTCCGTTCACGTGTAGACTAAAGTCGTCGTCGACATGTTGAAGATCTCCTTTTAATACCTGACACGACTCCGATCCTAAGCCAGCTTCGACGTTTTCACCTTCAGACTCAGTAGAAAATATTAAACACATGATTTTAAATAGAAGCTTTACCCCCCCTCACGAACCGCAGGACGCCGCAACCTCGTGGCTTTTGGTTTCTTTTTTCATCATCATGCGGGGGTTTCTGCACCGAGTAGATCGCTCTTGCGCGGCCGCGGCCACTTCTGCAGTGGTCAGCGCTACCAGTAGTTCATCTACCTCCCCTACTAGCACTAAAAGAGCCGCACGGTTTCATGTTTCTTCCGGAGATAGAAGTACTTCCCGCTCTCATTTCATTACTCTAGTCGTCTTTCTCTTTTTCATTTTCGCGCACCAGCATGATTTATGTGGTATTACCTTCCTCGCAACCGCGACCTACCACCCTCTCCTACGTACCAAAAGTTGTACGAAGAATTTCGCAGGGAATGACAATAAAGGTGATCAGCCTAACGGAGATCATCAGATGGCAAAAACTGCGGCTGAAATAAAGGCCGCGATTTTGAGCCATTTTTCCTTGCACCTGGTCCCAGCGGACAGAAACACGTCCTCGCAAGAACGGCAGAAAAATCGTTGTTCCAGTGAACAAGACTCTGCGCAGCAGCTACAGGCAAGCCCGCCTCTACTTCGAAGAGATGGGGGGCTTTTTCAAGAATATAATGCAGCAGGTGGACGGGACGAGGCGGTAGAGGAAGAGGACCACGATCATCAGAGGCAACGAGCCAAGCGAGATGAAAAAACTAGAGCTCCACTCGAGGACCACGACGATCCTAACAGACCGAGTCTTCTGCTGCTCCCCGAGACATCTCTGGCCAGCCTGGCTGCGAGGCAGCTAGCAGAAACTCGAGAAGATGCTATTTCCCGGACGAGGATGATGGCACTTCATCGAAGGAAAGCGTGGCAGGAGCACGCTTCTCCTGCTGGTGCGACCGCAGCGAGGGCCCAGAACGGTGAGCAATACGAGGATAGAAGTGCTGATCGTGTACTGCCGAGTACTACATCACGGGTTGCATCTAGTAATACGCCCGATCGGACGAGTGCGGCCTCCAGTTCCAGTTCCAGTTTTTCAACAAGCTCATCTAGTACTAGCAGAGGCAGCTCGTCGGTGGAAGAAGCCACAAATGCAGCGCCGGCACCAGAGGGAGCTCGACCCAGAGGACTGCCAGTATTTCTCATGCGGCCAAACTATGGAAAAGTCCTGCAAGTGGACGGGCTGCAGTTTCAGATCAGCGTAAAAAGGGATGTCGAACGAAGAGGTAGCCCGCAGGTTGGTGAAGAACCCAGTGCCAGGTGCAGCGGCCACGGTCGAAAAATTGGGACAGCAGCACCACCGGAAGGAGATCCTCCTCGTTGTGGCCGCATTTTTGCGCAAACAGGAGCTCCAACTTCATGCAGCCTTTTGAATCATGAAAGGTCCGCGCCAGGAGGCTGTGGGCGACCACAAAGTTGTGCAGCAAGAGATGAAACAGGAGAAGCTGCATCTGCCCCATCTTCCTGTTTCTCCGGCCTGTTCGAAGCCAGCAAGCGCACGCTGGCGTCATGGTCATCACCGACTTCTTCTTGCGCGGGCAGCGCTTTGGATGCGGACCTACTTCGTGATGTCCTCGGGAAAAAGCGGGGGCGCACAGAACAGGACCACGGTAAGAACGACTGCGGTCGTCGGTGTGAGGCACCAGCTACCTCAGCAACACGTTGTGCTGGAGCCGCGTGGAGGTCATGGCCTCAACAAGGACGTGGACAAGAAATGAAGCCCTCGTACAACACCGCCGAGAGGCCCTCCTCGTCTGTCGGTGAGCGAAAAGTCGTAGTGACCGGGAACTTTTTGTCCTACCACGAGGAGAAACGTGCGGGGGAAAATTGTCCACGACAAGAGTGGGAACCACAACCAAAAGGTGGCCGTCGTGATGATGGAGAAGTAGAAGGATCTCGTCTTTTCATCACGGAGTCTATCGACCTCGCGATTCCTGCGAGTTTCGTGGAAAAAAAGCTTCTGCTTCCGACCAGAAAAGCCCATAGTACAACGGCCCCGCCCGCACGAGGACCGGGTGTAATCCAAGATGCGACGAAGAATTGTAGTTCTACCCCTTGTTCGCCTATTGTCGCGACTTTCCTGTTCGATGTTTTCCTTGTGCGCGGCCGCGTGGTGTTTGCGCTGGCGGAACAAAACGAAAATGGAACTACAAATGTTGACGCAACTACAACCCTCGAGCCCCTGTTGATTCAAGACCCGAAGAGGCAGTTGAAAGCCATCACGCACGCGACCTTCCAGCACGCCAAGCATCGACTCAGCCACGCCGGTTTCTTTTACGGCGCGCCCGCGCTGGTCGCTTCCCTCGGGGCGATCGCTAGTGCGGTGGCGATGCTGTACGGGCCATCTTTGTTGCTGCACAACATGACTTTGACCCTCGGCTGCGTCACCGGGTGCATTTGGGGTGCCCAGGCGACGTTCGATATGTTGGCGGCAAAGCGGGCCCAGGACGAGAGAATTTTGGAGAAAGACTGGCAATTACTCAAGTTCCTGGCGAAAGATTGGGTGGTCTTCGCCTCCCTGATGGCGCAAGCGCAGTGGCACGGGGGAAGCTGGAATCCGCGGATTGCCCACCGGACGGCTGCGAACGCAGAATGCCTTATCAAAGAGATTGAAGCGCGAATTCAATCCGGGCAATTCAAACTGAACTCATGGCCCGCGGCGGCCCAACAAACGCGAGCACCTCGTGGGGTTTGTCGGGGAGCTGCTCCCTCAACATCGGCAAATGGACCACCAGCTTCGTCGCACGGAGGCTTGCAGCCGCGCGCGCACAGTATAATTCGTCACAGTCTCCTGGCGAGAGGTGAGGATCGCGGTCAAGATCATGAACATGCTCAGGGAAGGAACGCCAGGAAATCCGCCCAGTCCTCTGTAGCCCCTTGTAAAGGCAAGATCGTCGGGCATTTGCTTTCTGAGGAAACGAGCACCAAAGCGATGCTCCTTGTCATGCAGCTAAACAAACGGAGTGCAGAATCGGTTCTGCGCCAGAAAAAGAATAAAAAGACGCACCGGGCTGAGCGGCCAGACCAATCGCTATCTTCGTCCGACGCGGATTTAGTAGTTCAACGCCGCTCTTTAGTGCCATCACCATGCTGTGGAACGGCGACAGCCGCCGAAAGAAGTGCTACTTGTCTTCCGGGAGACGAAGAACCACATCACGCACAAGGCCAGCAGAGCTTGGGCCAGCTGTGCCAGAGCCAGTGTAGTCAGCTGTCTGCCGCTGGGAGCAGCCAAGAAGCGACGCAACCGGGTGGACAACTCAGCGGGCGGGTGGAGCCGCAGGACGACAGGAGAAGAAACTTGCACCATGACACGACCGACAACTTCGAAAAGCCAAACCGCATCTGTTTCGATGAGAAGATGATCCCGTGTAACACGACGAACGCTGCAGGTGCTCCTGGGACGAGCGCAACGAGGTACTACAGCTGCACTACGGACAAGTACGAGCACAACTCGTCGAGTAGTACTTCTAGAAGTTGGGCCCCACCTTCTGCTTCGTCATTCATTTCCTGCTTCAGTTGCGACATTTGCGGCGAGACCGCTGTGGGACTCGGTGCCAAGCCTGTGGCTTGCCCTTCTAAGATAAACTACACGACGAGTTGTAGAAGTTCATCTTCCTCGACGAGTTCATCTTCTACAAGATTGAGAAACAAGGATCAGCCTCTAGTCAGAGTTAACCTCCAAGCGCTTCCCTGCGGCCACGTGTTTTGCTCCAGCTGCGTAAATGAGCAGCGCCGCGAGGTGTTGAAGCAACAGCATGGAGAGGAGTACACAGACAAAATGTTTGCTGCCACGCAGGGGGAGCCAGTTGGGATAACCTGCGCGAAGTGTCGTGCGGGGTGCTACGCTGTCGGGTGCGAAGCGGTTTGCTCCTCATCGGAATTGCTTGCAGAGCAGACAGGAGTTGTAGAGAACAGCGATTGGGACGACGAGTGCGCTGGTACAACTAGGGGCGAGCACGAGGAAGGTGCAGCTCCTGAGGGGCTACGAGCAGGAACATCAAGGGACTGTACCGCGGGGCTGTCTGTCTGGCCCTGGTCTGGATCGAAGAAAGAAACGGTACAACATGCTGAGGCACCTCGTCCACTAGCGCCGTCTACTTCAGCAGCAGCTCTGCAAGCTGCTCATTCCAGAAGCTCTGATTCCTACTTGGGAGGCTTTGCCGTTGCTGCGACAAGCCGATTCTTCCCACGAATAAGCGTGTTCGCCGGACTGAAAAGTGGTAGGCAAGAAAAGGCGACCAGCGCGACGGCCCCCAGTTCATCTTCACTAGAAGAGACAGACGAAATAGTACACGACCTCGGCCCGCCGTACATCGACACAGAGGCGGATGAGGTACTAAGCAGTCGTGCCTTCGAATTTAGTGATTCCAGTCGTCGCAGTTCCGGCAGAAGTACTTACGGAACTGCCGGAGAGCCCGTTCATCTCGCACGACAGCGCAGTGCAAGCACTGCAGCCTCGTCGAGAGATAATCAAGCTCATGCTGCGACAAGAGGTTTTTTATCTGAACAATTGCAGCATGATCATGATCTTGCACGGCAACTAAAAGATGGTGAGACCGACGAAGTTGATGAAGGCTATGTGATGTTTGAGGAGGTGGAGGAATCCGAGGCGGGACTACTAGAACAACATCAACATGATCACGAAAGAACGTGGTTCACGAATCATGGGCAACAAGTAGCCCTGAACGTTCCCACCCTCGAGGAGGACCCCGCAAAGCTCGCTTGGCTATTGAGTCTGAGAGTGAATATCTACACGGGCAAAGTCGAAACAGAACAGCCCGTCGTGGTGGAGCGGTGTATCTGTCGTGCTGGGATGAACCACGAAACAGCTGCACCGACGTCTTCCGCATCCGCTTCTACAGCTGCGCACCATCAATCTGGGCCGGCGACAGGTTCTACTTATTTCCCTGCTTCGTGCGCTGAAATTAGGGAACCTACTTCGCTAGCACCTTTATTTAGGCATGAACTTACTGCGGTACGAGTCGTGGCCCCTGATCATGATGAAGAAGCTGCAACTCACGCCGGGCGAGATGGTCACACGACTAGAGGAGTTTCCATCGGGAGAAAACCCTGGTCCAGGATCTGGGCTAAACTTCATTGTTCCGTTTCCCCATCCGCTGCTGCTGCTGCTGCCGGAATAAACAAGAAGCAGCCCTCACAAGCTGCCCTGCACGTAACGCCGCAGTGCACGGCGCAGCTCTTGAAAAGTTTGAAAGGGGTGGGACATCGTCCGGAGGAGCGTCGCCGATTGTTTCTGCAGGAAGCTGGAACAAGCTAGATTTAGGTTTAAAAGATGTTCTGGAGTGAGATACAGTGACTGATGGAAGATCGCAGAAAAAATCCTACCGGTCGATGTTGAAGGAAGTTCGACTAAGCTACAACCGCCGACGAATTATATCCTGAAAAAAGAGACCGCCGGGTCAAGAACACATGGAACACGAATGATTGTTGTTGATGCTCAGTGCAAAGGTTTCGCACATTTTTATCTACTTCAGATGTTGTGACAAAGAGAAGACGGCGAGGTCGAGTTGACACACTGCATACTTAGAAGTTGGAGCACAGTGAAAAAAGCAGGCCATGCTGACGAGAAGGATATCGTCAACTGCCTAGATATCACTGCCACCACTTGAATTTGTGCACGGAACTTGAGCGAAACTTTTTAGGAACTTTTTTTTGGCCTCTGAAGCTTTCGCCATACCGCCGTGATTGGCGACTTTGAACATTGTTTGAACATTGGTCGGATCCTTTGTTCGGGGTTCAAGAAGTGGCCCTTCTACCTTTGAAACGCAGGCTGTTTCTTTGATTCAACAAATTCAGCGGCTTCGTTTTTGAATCAAAAAGAAAACTCGCTTTGGGGCTAGTGCGCCGTCTTTTGCTGGACCATTTCCGACCTGGCCTTGTCCTCGGGCTCAGGTATATCTGGCCCATGGAGGCGAGATGGACCCTGCGGACGGGGGCAATTCCGTCCATTGCCGGGCCCCAGATTGTTCCGCGTCGCGCCAGGGCTTTTACAACCGCGCGACCACTCGCTCGCCTTTGTTGGGCGTGGTTATTCGTCACTCCCAGCAAGCTAGCGCCTGTGGCAACGCCCGCGGGGCGTCTGGCCCTTTCTCACATCTACCATACCTTCGTGTAACGCGCGTTACACGAGCGGTCTATGCTTCCCTTTCGTCGGCAGGCTGTCCCTGGAAGCTACAGAGGGGCGGACGCTCCGAATCTTTCCGACCCCTCCCCCTGGGGTGTCGGGGGTGATCTTTTCAGGATCTTCGTGGGTTCTCAGGGCGTCGTCTGTGGCCCGTCGTGCCGCCAGTAACCATGCTGACGAGAGTGATATCGTCAACCGCCTAGATATCACTGCCACCACTTGAATTTTTCCAAAAAAACTTGTGGCTGCGCGCATTTTCGTGCGATTCTTCCTTTTCGAAAACGCTTGCTGGGCTGCGCCATTCGCTGCGACTGTATCCTCCGGAAAACACTGCCCATACCATGCTGATTCGCCTGGTTTTTTGGGTCGCTTTCGTGCGTCGGCGCGAGTTGTCCGTGGTGCAAGCCTCCTGGCGGAGGCTTCCTTCCTGAGCTGCCTAGCCATGGCCGCCTTCCCTGGCTAGGCAGCACCGGGAGTGGCCGTTGTTTTCGGAGTACATGCTCTGGCCGTGGTGCCTTTCGATTCTGCTCTCAGAATGCCTGCGCAGCATCGGGCGAGGGGGTTCTTTGGCAGAGTGGGGCTTCTGCGTGCACAGCCAGAGAGGCAGCGCCCTATGGCCACGGCCTTGCGCCCACGGCTACTTAGTCCAGGGCAGCAAGGTGCTGGGGTGTGTTCTGCCTCGCCCCGCTGCTTCGGTACAGTTCGCAGGAATAGCAGCAAAACCACGGGCATCGCAATCTGTACCAGCGGCGTTCGTCCACAATAGAACAGAAAGAAATAAAATCTGATAAGGAAGTCTATATCGTCAACCGCCTAGATATCACTGCCACCACTTGAATTTGTGCACGCGCGGCGGTTTCAAGACAATCCAAATCTGGATGAACTACGTTGGCAAAGATCCAATTTCACTCTTTCGACACTCTTTTTCAGAACCAAATAGCTAAAGCATCACAATTATCGCATAAGTGTGTATGTCTCTTAATTATTATACCAGAAATCGCTTTATTAGATCTCTTTCGCAGCTGCACAAAAATCAGAACAATTCATCAAGCACTACCCGCCCGCCTGAAGAACTTCTACGCCTGTAGCTATTTTTTTGTTACAGGATATTACTCAAAAACGAAAAGAGCGAATGAATGATGTCCTGGGCTGAGACCTGCGAATTTAATGTCTTGTCGGTGCGCGTTGTGATTCTGTTTCGTCATTTTTTTCGTTTGTATGAATAATGAACAGCAGGACCTTGTCCTTTTGTGCCTTTTTAGCTTTGTGGTGTTATTTTTGCTTTGCTGGTTCCCATCATTTCAACTTTATTTTCAAGTGCGGGCAGAGTAAGAATAAGAAACAAATATTTTCAACTTTTTCGCATTCCAGTCGTCCATGAAAGAAAACCCCTGCGAAGAAAGATCGTTTTGTCGAACAACAAGTACGCGAAGAGTGTGAGTATGCGGATTGATTCTGATCTAGTTGATGAAGTGTTTTAAAGTTTTACGCGCGACGATGGCCACGACTACACCAGCGACATCAAAAACATTGGGACATCGCAGCTCCGTTCTTGCTTTTGGTACATCAAGGTAAGTACAACTACCTGCTGGCTTTTTTCCGGAAAACTGAGTGGAGCCAAGAACGTGAAGAAGATGAGAGTCGTGGCGCGTTCTTTCTTTATCTTGTCCGTAGTGTTCGGAGAGGTTGCAGAGCAGGCGACACATCAACAAGAGGCAGCGCAGATGCAGATGCAGCCTGTTCATGAAGATGGCGGGCGCGTTCAGCGTCCACCGCAAGACCGGGCGAAGATCGTGGGAGCTCCAAGTGGCGCCAACGGGGGTGGCGGAAATCCAAGTGGCCCCAACTTGGGCGTGACATCACACCCGGCTTCGCAACCGAGTCTTCTCGGCGGACTTGCTGACGGACTTGCTGCAGCGGGCTTGTCCTTTTCTTGGCCTTCTGGCCACGAAACTGACGCAGGATCTGCGCCTCCCGCTTCTGCTGCGGATCCTAAAGATAGCGCTCGCATACCGCAACATCAAGAACAACCTCGTGGACGAAGTCTTGTCCGCAGCGCGGCCAACGAGGACAGACGACGCGCCACTCCGTTTGATACTGACAACGAGGATGGGGATGATGAAGACGTCGAGGATCAGGATCCGACGTTGGCCGGCTTGCAGGCGCTAGACGCAGTCACCCGCCTAAACGCTGACTTTAGGCCATGCTGACGAGAGTGATATCGTCAACTGCCTAGATATCACTGCCACCACTTGAATTTTTGCGGGCTGGCAGGAGTCGGCCTTACGCTCTTGCTCGTTGAAAGCGAATTGCTTTGAAGTGCCCTGCTATTGGAAATGAATTACTTACAATGCCTTGGCATAGAAAGTATTTTGTTAGTTTGCTGTGCTAGTATGTTGCAAGTAATTCGTGTTCAGCGCCAGGTCGTTGAAAGCAACGCGCCTTCAATATAAGGGGTCGCCTAGCAGCTGCCACACTTGAGCCTTTCGGAAATGCGTTCCCCCACGTCGGACTTGTGCTCTGGCCGGCAGTAGGTCTGAAGACCTCGCGCAAAATCCGAGAACTTCGCGGATGTGAGCTGTCAGAGAACTTTCGCGCGCAAAGTGCCGAACTTTGGCCCCCTGCTCGTGAAAGTTCGCTCCACGTGTCCAAGCGAGGCGATTGTAGAAAAAAAGCGGAAATCCTGGGAACTAATTTCTGTAAGTCCGTTGCGTAGGATTTGCAGTCAGGTCGGGATTACCGTCCGAAACGCAGATCCTACGCAACCTACTTACAGAAATTAGTTCCCAGGATCCCACATACAACAACTCCTCGGATGTCAGCTCACATCCGAGAACTTCGCGGATGTGAGCTGCCAGAGAACTTTCACACGCAAAGTGCCGAACTTTGGCGCTTTGCTCGTGAAAGTTCGATCCGCGTGTCCAAATGAGGCGATGTAGAAAAAACACGGAAATCCTGGGAACTAATTTCTGTAAGTCGCTTGCGTAGGGCGTGTCGCCAGACCGGGACTATCGGTCGAAACGCAGATCCTACGCACCTGCTTCAAAATTTTTGAAAGCCGAAGACTTAGGAACTGCTCTGGGAACTAATTTCTGAAAGCTCTAAGTCAACCGCCTAGATATCACTGCCACCACTTGAATTTGTGCACGCATCAAGAAACAGGGGCAGGGCGGCAGCTTACCGACGCGTTCATCAAGGAGCTCGGAAAGATGCTCGATGAGGGCCTGATCGAGGTCTGGAAGGATGGAGTGCAGTGCTCCTCGGAGCGCATTCTTTCCAGCCGGTGCATCGTAGACCTGAAGATGGTCAGTAGGTGGCACTTCCGTGTTGCCTGCAGGATCGTTCCGGGAGGTCATCTCAGTTCTCTGGAGGTGTCGGCCGAGAGTCCAGCTTTGAGCGAGTTGGAGCTCCGTCTGCTGGTCTCGTCTTTGCGCAAAGTGCGGGGAAAGCGGGTACTGCGTTCAGGTGACTTGTTTTTGTTTTTGTTTTTCAATCGAAAGATGAGCGAACAAGATGAGAGATGGTCGTCTGTTTTTGTTTTCATCTTTTTTGTCCACAAGAATAAGAAGGTCGTGATATCGTGCGTAGCATCGTGAAATAAGTCGTATTGTCGTACTGGACTTTTTTCCTTCGCGCTTTTCTTCTTGTCGTGGTAAAAATAAAGTTGTACGGGTCGGATTTTCCTTTGTGCCTTTTCTTTGTTTATGCCAAGCACCAGAATTATGGGCAACGAAGGAAAGGCAAACACACATATCCGACCTTGTTTGTATGTTTTGTTTGGGCTTGGTACAAGCCAGCGCAGTTGAAAGTTCCTAGTTTCTGTTGAAGTTCCGTTTTCGATTATGAAGTCCTACTGCACTGGCAAGATTGTGGGAGTTTCTCACCCACACTAGTTCCCCCTTCAGCAGTCCGTCCAGAGTTCCTGAAGAGTGCCATGGATGATAAATGCGATGACGCAGCCCTCGACCGAGCTTTATGGAAACGCGCATGCATTTGCGTGCTGACGATGCTCTGAACCGAGACCACCGAACACCGCGCGCACGTTGTGTCACAGGTATAGGTAGAGTTTTTTGTTCTACTTGGTGATGTTTATGTGATGTACTTGCATTTTCCGCACCCACTCTCTCCATGTTCCATCACATCGAGCACCCAGGTATGCTGTGGTGAACTTGCCCAGCAGTGCCCCCGGCTTCGGCTAGGCCCACTGCTGAGCTATGTGACCTGCAGCCCCATGCGTTGTCACCAGCGTGACGTAATACGCGTTCCCCTCGAGCCAGCGGGACAAGTGAAGCCCCACGCTGGATGTGGAAAACCATGCTTGGGATCAGTATGCTTGCTATACTTTGCCTCGTAGCACTTGAGTGCTTCACTATCCCGTGCTTGATTTTATCTCTACTCTCACAGCGGCCTTTTGTGATAAGTGACTCAGTCTGATAAGTAGCATCATGACAGAGCCAAGCAAGAAGAAACTCGCGAAGGACAGCAAGGACTTCGCGCTGTTTGTAGATCCACCTGCGAAATACGACAAAGACGCGCTT